TGTTTTGAAAATCAAAGCAACCTAGATCCAACCGGTATATTGCTCCAGCGTTTCGTTTTTGGCACCTTCGGAGCCATGCTGCACGCCTAGTAGTCGTACGTTGCCGATCTTGCCTCCAAAGTCATCCTCGGTCGAGCTCGTCCAGTTCGCAAGATGGTCTCTCAGACGCGCAATTACAGTGGGATCATCCCGGATCAGGAGCGCGATGGCGTCGTAGCCTCCAGCCCCCGGGACGACACCGCCAATGACACCTTCGATCTCTGAAACACTGTCTAACAGCTCGGTCTGCACACTCGGTTCAATGGGGACGCCCGTCCGGCGGGTCAATGTGCGAATATGCTGGCGTGTTCGCTGGATAAGGGTGCGAATATCAGAGAAATCACCTTCGGGATTGGCATCGGGGTGTTGAGCCTGGCGCTTGAGCTCTTGGCGCAGTCGTTCGTTGTTATTCTGGAGACTAGCCCAGAGGATATCGGCTTCCTTGCGGTTATTGTTCCGCCATTCAAGAACCTTCTTGACCATTGAGGGAGTCTGGGAACCACAGTCCACGTCGCACAGAACCAGCTGCATCCCGCGGGGGAGCTGCATGCCAAAATCAACACACTCGGTGTCCCATGGATGGTCGGGATCGGAGTCCTCCACGATGGGGAACAGGCGATCCTCGAAACCAGCCGAGCCTACATCGCCGAGGGATTCCAGGATTGAAGGTGAGAATCGTCGGTAGAGGCACGAACCGTAGACTGCGCTAGCAACATCGAATCCCGATCCGACCTTACCCTGGGCTGCGCAGTGGGCCGCTTGAGCAAGATTATGGAGTTTATCCCGACCGGCACCGAGGTCTTCTGGCTGCATGGTGCGGTGAATGACCAAAGCGGAGACAAGCGCAGTAACCAGAGCAGCGGAAGAGCCCAATCCTGTCTTGTGTGCTTCGAAAAGAGGAACACCGAAATTGACAAAGCGTCCACCACGTCCCTGCGACGCTGGACCCTTGGAGGTAGCAGTTTCCGAGTAGTAGTCGCTGTCAGCCATAATGGTGACGGACAAGGAGCCGAAGTCCTTGGAGTCGGCAACATAGCTGATATAGGTCAATGCATAGCTGAGAGAGGTCTCGACAAATGGATTTCGCGGTCTAAAGAGAAGCAAGGTGATATTAGTTCATTAACTTCGCGCAAAGAGATCGAATAGTCAAGCGTACCCATCTCCCTTCTGGATGACCTTGACACCCCCACCATTCCCACATCGCTGCACACCATATTCCCACACCGCATCGACAAACTGCGGGGAACGCACAACGACGGTATCCTCCCCGTCCTGGTCCTCAGGGCCCGAATGAGATAGTGCCTCGACGCCAGGAGTAGGCCCAGAACCTGATGCCCCGCGACGATGACCCCTCCTCAGCTGCTGAACAATAACATGGATACGGGCATCGAGTGCAAACACGGTACCCGTGTAGCCGCGGTCTAGCACGAGATAACCACCGGTTAAGAGGACCTTGCCCGGCGCAGATAGCGCCGTGACGGAAGACGGTAAAGGAGACATGGAATGCTTGGAGATGTTGTTGTGGGGGAAGAAAAAAGCCGGGAACTACGGGGCTTGTTAAGTGCCCCGCGGTCACGGGGGTTAGTAGGTTGGAATGCAGATAAGATGTGGGCACTGTGCAGTTTGCAGCTCAAACATTTCCGAGTTATACAGGTACTCTGTGCTCCATACAAGTGGGAGGACTCTGTAGAGAGTATGGATTTCTCCTAATAGGGACTAGTGGGGATGTCTGTAATAATATGGCTGTCTCTCAGTACTCAGCATGGACTCTTTCAACAGTATAATAATGACTATCACTCTGATGAATTATTTACTTCCTGTTTATTTTAGCCTAGTTAATGCTTTTGTTTCGTCCTTACTATGTATTCCCCTTTTGATTGGTGACGGTTGCAAGACGTTTTTGAATGCAGGATATATTGTGAGCTATCAGATGTAAATGCAATTCCCTTTTGAAACATTGAACTCCTTATTGCTCAAGAAACTTGTCTGAAAAATACCTAAATAACAACAAATGGAATAAACAAAAACTCCATGCGCCACAACCCTTTTAAGCCGCTGAGTATAAATGTACAGGGTATTGTGTGTTCGAGATGTCCAATTCGCAAGCGACAATGGAGTTGAAGCGGAACAGAGTGTGATATAAATTGCTCTGCCCACCAATTCTGGAACCAGAAAATGTTTCAACTCCATCTTCCTCGTGTCTCGAGTGCCAAGAAACCAAGCCTAAGCCTTGGGTTTCTGCGCAATGATACTATAACTTGTCGTAGCAAGGCGCATACGATCCATCTTAACAAAGGCCTGGCCATCCAAACAAAGACGGTTAATCAAGGTCTTGAAGTGTCGTGGCAACACCTTCACTTTGACGAGCGCAAGGATCGCCTGGCGGAGGGTGCGGAAGTATACATCGACGGTATCGATAAGCGGGGCCTGAAGGCCATCGAGACTAGCGTTCTCCGACCGCACAACCACAAACCCAGCTTCCTTCAACGCCGACTCGAGGCTTTCCTGCGTTGGGGTACCCACAGCACCAATGAGCGGCTTAACGCGACGCATGAGTTCCGCGTGTTCCGGATTATTGGCATCGTAAGCCGGCAGGCTGATCCAGTCCAACAAGGAGATCTTCGAGCCTGGCTTGACGACACGGAAGATCTCTCGGAACAGGGCGGTGAGGTCCTTGCACAAACTCAATGCTTGGATCTGGTAGAATGCATCGAAGGTCTCGTCGGCGAAGGGTAGGGGGAGATCGTTGAAATCTTGCGTGACGAAGTTATTATGAAGCCCGCGCTCCTGGTTGAAGGTTGTCGCTTGCTCGACCTGATTCGGGTCGATGTTGAGACCCGTTACCTGGGCGCCGGTGTATTGCGCCATGTGGGCGGCGACGCGGCCGCGACCACAGCCCAAATCCAGCACCTTCTTCCCCGGTCCCAGGCCGACGTCGTGTGCGATTGAGCGCTCGTAGAGGATCTGGTTCTCCAGCACACTGGCCTTGGGGCTCATCCATGGTGGGATGTACATTTTTTCGACATCGCCGAGTGCGCACAGGTGGTTCAGAACTCCGTAATAGGACTTCAAACAATCGCCGACTTTCTCTTGATAGTTGGGGCCCAAAGACTCGGTCATTTGCTTTTCGTCAGACCAGTCAAGGTTATAGATGATGTATGACGCCATAAAATCGTCAACTTGTTTCGGGGTCAAGTGTGCCAAGTGTCGGAATGCCGACCAGAAGCTCTTCCATCGTTTCGGAGATGCCGAATTGTCAAGGTCTTTTCCATTGTGGCCGAGTGTGGCCACCAGCGCATTGTGCTTCTCCTGCGCGATCTCGTCGAGCGAACTATCACTCTCCGAGCCTCGTTGACCGCGCCCAGGATGGAGCGGTGTCTCGACGAGTGTCTGTGTCATGATGCAAGAGCTTTGTACAAGCTATTATTAATATAGAAGAGGTATGTATTAGGTAGGGTGGGAAGAAGGTATGTGTAGTAACCGGCGACCTGAAGGGGATCTGGCGCAATTTATAAGCAATACGTTTTGAGCGATAAGTCAATTTGTCCATCAAAGATAAAAAATCCTCCAAGCCAGCTGTATGGCCAGTAGCCACATAGTGGATTTCGTCACCAGACATGGAAGCTCTGACCGGTTATCCCGGCAATAATCATGGGTTGATCCGTTTAAGACGGCAGAGACCCGAAGAATGGAATACTTTGATTCGGATAACCAACCGTATTTCCCAATTGCTTCACCTTTTTTTTTTGCCATCTTTGGGAAATTCCGTTCCCTCTCCGAATTCCGATACCTAGCTGTGGCGGAGGGGTTAGGTTGTTATACGTTATATGTTCAAGTACATATGTACGGATGACGCGGGTCTTAAAGGAAATGAGTATCGTCATGGGAACGACGATCTAGGCCCACTTCTATGTTTTGAATGCATGTATTCTATATAGGTATCTGATTACAACTGAAAACTGAGCTAAGATAATTGTGCATGCCGCTGTTGGATTTGTAAGATGGGCTAGGATCATCTATATAAAAGTACGTCTCACACGCATAGGCCCCAACTTCCGAAGACGTCAGTCATTCAGACCTCCCGGGACATTCTTCCGGGTCAAGTTTAAATGTTCCAGAACGTCTGAAATACACATATTACCTTCGAGAAGCTTTTGATTTCCAGACCCAAGCTCAACCAAAAAAACCTCTCACAATGTGATTGAAAGGGACTTTATATTGACCCACATGGATCGTCCGGGACTCCACTCTGTATGTCCGAGGTCACGTGCTAGTCCCAATTGAGTATCATGTTCCTATATTCTTGGCATTCGATGTCCGGCTCAGCCGAGACACGGATTTATGTCGTGTTGAGGAAGCATAAGGTAAATCCGTTAGAATATACATGCCATGGTAAACTCTAAGTCAGCATGGGATTTGATTCTGACGTATTTCTAGTGGAGTTTTCGTGTGTCAGCAACAAAGTACATCCCAATATAACGCAGATGTACCAACCGTTGACGCTATAGACGTATATATATCTTTGAAAAAAAAAAAAAAAACAAAAGAAACAAAAGCAAAGATATTGAAAGGCTCATATAAGTATACTTGAGCACCCCAGATCAAACATACATTGACTGTACTTCCTCATGGTTTGGAGATATCTGTTTCAGCCCACATAAACGTCACCTGTTGCTGACATGACAAATTCTCCACGGAACTAGAACATCAAATATAGACCCACCTCCATATGTATGGACTCATTTACTCTCAATCTACTGATTGATTTTGGTGTCCATTCAAACCAATAGATCTTGAAGTTGGGGTAAAAAATCAGTTGCGGCTGTCGTTTTCCGACCAACGCCTGCGAGGTACCAATCTCATTATCATACACCATAAGAGCCGCATTCCCATTACCAGACAGGACCATATCGCAGGGTCCTCCCTAAACAAACCAGCACAAACACAAACTCTTCACTGAACTAGGTTTTCATCACAGTCCGGCCACACGCGCCGCCAAGCCAATACCGCGTCAGCAATTGCACAACATCCGTGTTCTTTTGCGTGAAATCATACAGCTTAGAAGCGCGGGTGTGGAGAATTTCTCCGTCAAGATCAGCCCCCAGGACACGAGCATGACGAGGACCCATAAAAGAAAAGACTAGGGTCGATTGAGAGGTTAGCGGGGCGTTGTGAATCCACCATGGAGGCCTTACTGGGGCAATGGTATGCTCTAATGGCAGCTGGGGCTTCAGACGAGCAGTCATGATATCGGCGATGGTCATGATTTCTCCGCGAAGCAGCCGATCATCCCTATCCACTTCACTTTCCAGGACGACCTTGAAGTGTGGATAGTTTCCTTCTGGGTAATCGGTCACCGACACGGCATACCAGTTGAAATCGACACCTTCTAGGAGTTGGCCAAAATTGTAATCTCCGATTCTGTCATGAACAATTAGAAGGCCGGACCTATCATTTTCAAGTACATGTGAGCAGTAACGTACCCTCGATATTCGCCAGAAGGTGGAAGGTTATGGGAATGCTCCCGCCATGCAAATCCGGAGCATTCATAACAGTGCTGGGTAAGAAAGAGGTTCAGATCGAGAGTATCCCACATGATGTGATCCGGGTCAGGCGCAAATTCCAGCAGCTTGTCCTCCTCCTTCCGGGAAGAGGGAGCTTTTCTTGTTATGGCCTGATGAAGCTTGGATGATGTTGCGCATCCATTTCGGGGGACAACGAGAGGCGAAGAATACCAGCCGCCTCTAGGTCAGGGGATTCAACATACTGACACCGGGTTTTCTTGATTAATTTTTTCAATCCTGGACAACGTGTGGCGACGAGCGGCCCGCTTCAGCAAGAGAGCCTGCTCCATTTCGACTTTGACGAGAATTGATGATAATTTCAACCTTCCGAGACTAATAGCAAAAGACCTCGATTAGGCGATCAAGAGCGCCATGATGGCATCATGCCAAACATTTATAGAGCTCCTGGAGTGATTTTGAGATCGAGCTGGGGTTATGAGGTCGATATATGGGTGGACATATTCTAACCCTTGCTGGTTCTTGCTGAGCAAAAGGAAATACTAATAGTTGGGTCCATTTAGACTTGGGACATCGTCAGCCCTCACAACCTTATCAATGGCATGAATTCAAATGGCATATTCGATGACCTGATCCATATGGCAGAACTAGTTGCCCTGCTAGGCGCTCCGTCACCGGAATTTCGCGCACAGCGACATCTCAGTTCGGTCTTCTGGGGTGAGTCAGGCGACTGGAAGGAAGTAGTCCCAATTCCAGATATCACCCTCGAGAGGCTTGCTGAGAAGGTTGCAGCTGTTTTACCACTCCGAAAAGCCTACATGTGGGATTGCCTTCGCCTATGTCGATCTTTTCCCGCAAGCCAATAAGCCCTTGTCGGAGAAAACGAGGTCATCAAAGGACAGGCGGGGGTTGACTGATAAGAGGTATCAAATCCATGACGTAGAATCTCTTTACATGGTAGATTGAGGCATAGAAGTGTATAGTGTCAAGTTGAGGGAATTAAATCAATCTTAGTGTAATTCATGATGGACAGACAGTAATATGATAGCTAGCCCCTAAAAAGTGTCATCGCCTGTATTGACGATCTGCACAGCAAGTCCAGCGATACGGAAGTCACCGCAGACACCCAGGGAAGCGGGTTGAGGAAAACAGAAACACCACAACCATCAAACCGCGAATTACGGGGTCCGCACACGTTACAGGACCGGGGTAAGTAGTGCTCTGTAATGTAGAACCTCGGCCACAGCGGTTTCATCACATTCATCAAATCCACCCCTCAACGCTCGGATATTTCAATGTCACGAGGAGACACCTTCATTTGCATGCAAATCACACTGCGCTGACTATTCTTAGTCGACAATCTTTGGGTGACTCTCTTGAATACTTCCCCCATCATAGAAGGCAAGCACTATGCGAGAAAAAAAAAAAGAAAAAAAGAAACGCTCAGTGGATTAGCTCGTCGTTTGAGCCTGAAAATCACCCAAAATCGGTCTCCCAGGACTATTGTTACCCCGGAGGATACTCCATTAGGAACCGGGCACCTAAGCCACAGTGAAGAACAGAATCTTTGCCATGGGTAAGATGCTTCGGTGTCAGATCCATGTGAGATCCTAGTCCAAAAAAAGTCCGATTTTGGGCATTTTCAGACCCAAACAAGGAGCCAATCCACCGAATCAAAGGGACCCGAGATGGGAGATGGGAAGAGGAATCCCTGCCCAGGTGCAGGCAGGTGTGTGCGTGCAATTACAAATCAAAGGCTCTGACCGCCTTTGTATTGCCGTCCTCCGTTAAATCCGAGTCGGCCAGTCGGGAGGCCGACATGGCCGTGAAATGGCCGGAGAAAGCGAGAAACCTTGGAAGTTCCGAGAAAAGGAAGAAAAAGAATCGGAAGAGAACCATGACTCACCAGGAATTCCCCTTTTAAAGGGTTTTCTTACAAGAATCTGCGAGCTCTGATTGGTGTCCGTTCTCTTCACTTTTTAGCCACCTGACCTGTTTGAATTTAAAGCCTCAGCTTACTCCGTGCAATATAGATGGTTATCTCGTATTGGATACTTGTTCTCGATGTATTTTCGAGGGCACCCGATGGGGAATCCCCGTTGAAGGATGGGTAGACCTGGTCTAGATACAATATTTCCATGTACCAGTACAATGACATCTAAAAAGCTTGGATAGGGAAATCCGGAGTCATAGAAAAGTAGATCCAAGAGGATTCTCCGGAGAAGAGATCGGCCCTAACCAAATTGGTGACACTCCATCGCTTTCCAGAAGAAGTGTCCGTATTACATACTTGAGCGCCCCCCCTTCTTTTTCTCAGGCTACCTTCTCTCCCCCATCTTTCTGGCCCTGTCAATAACAGGACCTTCCTAATCTCTCTACCTTAATTTTGCATTTGCGCGTTCATTGGCGACGGACTGTCGTCAAATGAACCTGCACTTTCGCTATAATCTTGAGTGCACGGTAAGAAAAAAAAATATCGAGAAAATCATTACATCGACTGACTCTGGTCTCAGCATTGCCTCTTTGCTCTGAAGAGGTTACCCATTACATAAATGGTTTTCAAACCATTCACCCACCTCGCGCGCCAGAGTTTCACCAAAGCCTTTACTCATGGCTATGCTCAATCCGTAGTCGCCGCGTCGCAGACGTACGCGTCGACCACCCCCTTTAACGCCCTCGCCCAACCCGCCAAATTCTCCCGCACAACCCAATTACAAAATGCTTTCTCCAATGCGTCCAGTTCGTCCGGGGCTGGCGCCAAGGCCAGCCAAGGAGGATCTGGAAATGGAGATCTCGGTCTAGCGGCCTATTATGCCGCATGGCAGAACGCTCAACAAACCGGGGATGACAGCGATTGGACCCAGTTCGAGTTTAAGCGCCGTATTGGCTGGAAGCCCTCGGCGGAGGAGGCTGATAACGTTCACGAAGACCGGGCTGCGTCTGACGTAGTTCCCCCTCACCCGACCAAGGCTGCCGTGAACGAGGATGTGAGTGCCCAGGTGGAGGAGGCTGTGGCCCGTGAGATTCAGATCCAGGAGGAGCAGGCACAGGCCGAGGAGGCTGCGATGGGGGCCGAAGCGAGTGTTGAATCAACTTTCGACGGTGTTGCCGTTTCGGAGGCTGTGTCTGAAGCCAACCAGATTGCTTCGGATCGCATTGTGCAACTGGCCAACGGGCACAACTTTGCAGAAATTCCTGCTGCATTCGAAGCTTTACTCCGACAGGGATTGACTCCGACCGTCGAAGCGTATAATGCCTTGCTGGTCGCCGCTATCCGTCTTCATCCCGATGCAGCCCAGGCTATTCCCAAGGCCCTCGATGTCTATTCTGACATGCTTCGTCGAAGGGTAGTTCCCGACGAAGATACCTATGAGACTCTTGTTCAGCTTCTGGTCACTCGGGCTCACGATATCGTCAAGGCCAAGGAGGCGTTGGAGCAAGAACGTGTTCGATTTGGTGGTATGGAAGAGCCTGGCAAGTTCATGCTTCAGTCAAGTGAATTGGAGCGGGATCTTCTCGCCGAGGATACTTCTCTGTCCATCGCTGTGAAGCTCTTTGACACCGCCACCGCCCGACACACCCGACTTGTGTTCCCGCTCGATATGTACCGTCACCTTATCATTGCCTGTGCCAAGGAAGGTAAGGTGGAGGATATGATCCGGATTTACGCCCATATGGAGTCGCAGAAGATGACCCCACATGCCACTATCTTCCCGTCCATGATCACCGCATTTGCTTCCACCGGCGACCTCAGGAGTGCCGTTGAATGTTATAACGAGTACCGGGGACTCGCTGTCTCCGACGACAGTGGCGTGTTCAGTATCGTTCAGCGCCAAGACGGCCAGGTCTATGCTGCTTTGATCCGTGCTTATCTGTCTTGTGGTAAAGAGGAGGGTGCCATGCAGTTCCTTGATCGGATTCGTTCTTCGTTCGACGAGGTAACTGAAGGTCGCGAGGACCGATGGTCTGCAGTGGAAGCTGTGATTGTCGAGGATGCATTTGTGCAACACTCGCTCAATATGGGAAATCACAGCAAGGCATTGGAACAGGCCAAGAATCAGTTGCATGATGAAGCTCGGAATCAGGCCATTTCTCGCATCTGCATTGCTGCGGCCGATGCGGGTGATCTCCCCACCGCTTCTGAGGCTTATGATCGTCTGCCCACCGCACCTGACGTACGACAGAACCCAGCCATTTCGCTATTGGCCCTTCAAGTCCGCCGAGGCAATGTTTCCGCTGCCCGTTCATTGTGGATCATGCTGAACACAGTGGGTCAGGCAACCCCGGATCTGGTCCAGCCGACAGCTATGTATGCGGTCGCTCTCATCAAGAGTGGCAATGTCGAGGAAGGTCTTGACCAGGCCCGTAACATGTTTAAGCGTATCCGCACTTCCATTCAAGATCAGCACGCTGCCGTCGCCAACCCCGTCCGAGAACAGATTACCGAGTCACTTCATCTCTTTGGTCGCGTCCTGATGCAGTCGGCCGTGGTTCTCTCCCCTCAATCATCCATGACACTGTTGTGGTCCATGCTAGAGAACGGTGGCCTTGTGTCTCCTCTGGCTGAGCACGCTGTCGCCAACCTTGGCCCCATCGGTATCTCCCAGCTCAAGGCTGCCGACCTCACCCTGGCGCTCCAAGTCCAGGCTGGCATGCTCGCCAGCAGCGGTTCCATGTTGTTTGATGTCGCTCACCCCGTTCGCTTTGCCCACATGCTTGACGTCGCTCTTTCTTCTTCCCTCCCTCTGGACCTCTATACCACTGGCCTCGTCGACCAGGCTGTTGGCAAGCTTTTTGTCAGCCGTCCTGATGTCGTCAAGAAGTGGCAAGATTATCTGGAGGCGGGCTCCCAGACCTCGGTCTCGCCTTCCCAGATGTTCCTTTCGTCTGATCGTCAAAGCCCCGTCTCTATGGCGGAGACTTCGATCACCACTCCATCCGCGGGTCCCGAATCGTTTGATCCTTATGCTCACGCGACCGACTTCCGCGGATCTGCCATCATCGCAGAGGAACTTGAGAAGACTAGCGGGCGCACCGAGGCTCACCTCAACGATGCCCTGACCCGCCTGAACAACATGCGCCGCATTGGTCGTCATCCGCGCTACATCACCTATGCTAAGCTGATTACTGCCGCGGCCAAGGCTGGTCGCATGACCCTGGCTCACGACATTCACAACATGGCACGCACTGATGTCCCCCTTGATATGAACTTCAGCGTTGTCAAATACGGCTGGGTCTCCATTCTTGATGCCATGGTAGCTGCTTGCCTCACTCTTGGCGACCGCAAGCTGGCTGCTCAGTATCACCAAGAACTTCTCACGCTCGGTTCCGCCCCATCTGCCAACACTTTCGGTTTGTACATCACCACCCTCAAGGAGTCTACCAAGACCTTCGATGAGGCCACCGAGGCTCTCAAGGTCTTCCACCGTGCCGTCGCTGAAGGCGTGGAGCCCACTTCTTTCCTGTACAACGCGTTGATTGGCAAGTTGGGCAAGGCCCGTCGCATTGACGACTGCCTTGCTTACTTCGCTGAGATGCGTGCTAACAATGTGCGCCCGACAAGTGTGACCTACGGAACCATTGTGAATGCTCTCTGCCGCGTGAGCGACGAGCGCTTCGCCGAGGAGATGTTCGAAGAGATGGAATCTATGCCCAACTACAAGCCACGCCCCGCGCCTTACAACTCCATGATCCAGTACTTCCTCAACACCAAGCGCGACATCAGCAAAGTCCTGGCCTACTACGAGCGCATGCAGACACGCAACATCCAACCCACCCTTCACACGTATAAGCTTCTCATTGACGCACACGCCTCCTTGGAGCCAGTGAACATGGCCGCCGCCGAAGCCGTGCTGGAATCCATGAAGGCCGCCGGCCACCAGCCGGATGCTGTGCACTACGCTTCGCTGGTCCACGCCAAGGGCTGCGTCCTGCACGACCTTGCTGGCGCGCGCAAAGTCTTCGACACTGTCGTCTCCGACCGTCGTGTGCGCCTCCAGCCATGCCTCTACCAAGCCCTTTTCGAGTCCATGGTGGCCAACCACCGCGTCGCCGACACCGAAGAAGTCGTTGAGAACATGTTTGCACGCAAGGTTGAGATGACCGCCTACATTGCCAACACTCTGATCCACGGCTGGGCTGCCGAGGGTAACGTGGCTAAGGCCAAGGTCATCTACGACAGCATTGGCATTCAGAAGCGAGAGCCCAGCACCTACGAAGCGATGACCCGCGCGTTCCTCAGCGTCGACGATCGTGCCAGTGCCGCCACCATCGTCCAGGAGATGATGTCGCGCGGATACCCGTCTGCTGTGGCCGGCAAGATTGTCGATCTCATCGGTGGAGCTTCCGCCTCTCTCTAAATTCTCTTGCCTATATTTGTGACCAGGTGATACCCATTTAATGTTTATGTTGCACCCCATCTCTCTGCCAGGGCTGGATCCCTGTGGGATATTTCCGGTTCGGCGTCTGCAGGGCAGTTGGATATACCTGGGATATCCGTTCTCTGTTCTTTTTTTTGCATTTAGCGAGGCATGGCGTTTATTTTGGTGATCAAAAAGGGCGTGCATTGAAGCACTGTATACCATTGTCATTTTGTCTTTAGACACATCCCAACTCTCCCACCGCGTCATAGACGCAAAAATCAAAATGAAAAAAAGTGAATGAGTTAAACATGTTTTCCATCTAATAGATTCAGCTACATCCATCATGGATTTGTATGTTGGTAATATCATTTGTATCTATAAATCATCAGGACCTTGGAATGGCATGACGTCTCGGAGTGTTCCGCTGAGACCGAAACCGAGACATTCTATGGGATTCCTACGGAACTTACGAACTCTTCAAATCTCCGAGGTATAACGGAGTACACTTATCCTTCAATGCAGACTCGTTTATCCTTCACTTTCCGTTCAGCCGTTGACTCATTCCTCACCATTCCCCGCCAACCCCGCCAACTTCGATATTCCTCCAACCACCCTAGCAACCGCAACCCAGCAATGGACCAGAACGAACACCAGCCAGACGCTCATCGGCGTCCGAAGAAGCTAATCTGTAAGTCTACGCATCAAGCTATCCACCTACATAAAGATCCGACGATATCTCTCACCCTTCATCTATACAACCCTCAAGCTAACACTCCAATCCAAAGTCGCACCAGGCGACATTGCACCAACCTCCAAGGAACCTACCCCAGAACCCCAACCCCAAGCAGTGCCCCCGAGCAAGCAAATTGCAGAAGCTCTCCGCACCTCAACCTCAACCCCAACCTCCGTAACGGAAACCGAAGTCCTCTCGAATGCCGCACGCGCCCACCAATTCGGCACAAACCCACCCCCTAACCATCTCCCAAATCCACGGCACAAACCCCCTCCACCAATTCAACACCTGGTTCCGAGACCCACGACTCCCCGCCTCCTCTGCCCCAGAAACCTGCACCCTCTCAACCGCCTCCCTCCCCTCCGGCCGCGTCAGCGCGCGCGTCGTCTACCTCAAAGAACTCGACGAGCGCGGCTGGGTCGTCTACAGCAACTGGGGTAGTCGCGAAGGCAAAGGCGGACAAGTCTTCGGCCCCGGCGATGGAGCCGATACACTCGGCGCCATGCCCGAGCCAACGACCATTACCTCGGAAGTCGGGACCGGCAATAAATGGGGCGCGCTGACATTCAGCTGGGCGATTGTTGAACGACAAGTTCGCATTGAGGGCTTACTTGAGCCTCTGAGTCGTGAAGAGAGCGAGATGTATTGGCGGACGCGGGAGCGGGGAAGTCGAATTGGTGGATGGGCGAGTTGGCAGAGTCGGGTTTTGTGGTCTGCCGAGCCTGAGCAGATGGAGGAGAATCAGCGACGGAAGAGTGTGGCGAAGTTGCAGGGGGCGTTTGATGGGAATTCGATTGTGCCTGCTGATATTGATCAGACGGATGATGCGGATGGACGGGCGTTACTGGAGTTAAAGGTTAAGGAGATGGAGGAGCGCTTTAAGGATGTTGAGGATATTCCCTTGCCACCGTTCTGGGGTGGTGTGAGACTTGTACCGGAGTCTGTGGAGTTCTGGCAGGGACGTCGGAGTCGTTTGCATGATCGGTTCCGGTATGTGCGTGTTGAGGGTGAAGAGGAAGAGGCTAAGTGGCGGGTTCAGAGACTGTCACCGTAGACTATAGATGTAGATTACACTATTGTATTTCGGGGTTCAATTACATGTCGTATATTCGAGCTACAGTACGGAGTATGTGTTTCGCGATCATCCATATCAGCTCTTATCGATATCACTATCTGTCTTGGCAGACGAACTCCTTCAACGTCACTTTTCAAACGTCTAGCCCTTGAGTCCTACGCTACTAGGATATAGTCTACAATACTATAAGAAAGGACTTGAAACAACACAGGATATATGATTGTATCCCATTCGCAGCCATGTCTACCTCAACGTCCCAATCAACGCCGTCCTCCACATCCCCCTGGATCATCCTCGCAATCACGAGCGGCGCCTTTGCTGCATTGAACGGTGTTTTTGCGAAATTGTACGTGACTCGAGTCTACATCTATATATGCCATATGCTCTACAGGCTATATAAGCTATCAGCTATTAAGCTATCTATATAAGCTACAAACCCGTGCAACGTACCAAAGTTAACGTTCCACAGAACCACGGACGACCATACAACGGCCTTTGCCCAATCCCTCGCCCACCTCTTCGGTCTGGAGTCCTCGCCGGTGATCGAGATGCTTACACGAGGTGTATGTATACACCTTTTTCCTTCTATATCTGGATCCATCTACAACATGTATAATGTGTACTGTGTTGGACCGTCATATTATGTCATTTTCTCTATACTTACCCAAATCTATATCATAGGCCTGCCTCGGTCTAAACGTCGTCTGCAATATAATAATGTGGGCATTGTTCACACGCGCCCTAACAGCCGGTCCATCCACGGTCAAAGTCTCCATTACGAATACGGCGTCGAACTTTTTGGCGACGGCGTTGTTTGGAATGATTGTTTTCCAGGAGGCTGTTGGGGGGCTTTGGTGGTTGGGGGCTGCTATGATGGGGGCTGGGTGTATTTTGGTAGGGATGAGGGAGGGAGCTTAGATTTTTGGATTAGGTTGAGTTTGGATTGGATCTATAAGGCCTATAATTTAGAGATTTTGGAGATTTTGGATTTGAGATGGTTTTGGTAGTGTGTATGGAGCATGGGGATTACTGGGATATTGTTGGTAACGATCTCTTTGGAGTTGGGTAATTTGTTATAGTAAAAAGGGAGAGTTGCAGTGTTTCCTACCAGAGAGGTGATGCTGCTCTTTCCTCAGGTTGATTGCTCTGCTTCTCCCTACGTATCGCTCAAGCTTATCCCTCTTTTCTTTCTTTCGGGCTCTATTACCTTACCTATCTCTGCTCCTTCACTGTCAGCGTTTATTTGGGATATGGAGATGTCCCTATCCTACCACTTCGACAACTTCCCTCCCTATTCCGAATGCTGATGATGCTTATGGGTTGACACGGGCCAGGAGATCGGAAGTCTCAGGTAAAGACGTAGCTTCTTGTGTTCGAGTACATCTCTAATGAATGCGCTGGTTTGATATAGTCTACCCGAGTAGACGGATACGACTTTTCTTCAACCAAATCAATACCTACCTCGATCCTGTTACTTCACCTGCAGGGCAGGCTACTGAAACCGGTGCTATAGCCGCAGTGCGCATCATTATCTACCGTGGACGCCACCACACTGACGCGAGCTAGTTATATATACACACCAACTTTACCTGGACGCGCAACGCAATCGTTACTCCGACTGCTCTACAGAATCCTGCTGGGAGGTTTACAACCACACAGAGCGTAAGTGTGTTTATTCGCAGAGTGTACTGAGTATAGGCTTGACTAACGCTAAGAAGGGGCATATTGGTACAATTACCAAAAAAGATTTGGGAGAGACTCCTTAGACATTGTGTCGCCAGCTTTCCAAGCCTATCCATGTACGGGTCGATGGTCATCAATCTACGATCAAGAAAGATGAATTGGCCTTTGGCAAATGATCATGTGAACTCCGTGAAATAGCTATCATCAGGTCTACCATGAACTTAAACAGTCCTTATCACCTTGAACCATGAATGAAGCGGTTGAAACTACAAGTAATCGTAGTTTAGTCCTGTCGACTGAAGACAGCCATAGCAGTCCTTTTTCTGTGTAAGTAAGGAAGTTCTATTGATACATGTCACCCTAAAAATATGGCCCCCTAGGCCCTAAAACAGGAACCTTGGTTTTTTTTTATGGTCTAGTGGTAGATCAAAGTGTCAATCTCCACTCCTCAAACACCCTTTCACAATCTTTTATCACATCTAGACCAAGAGTCTGCCCCTGTCGAAATGAAAATAGCCATGTCCAGTCACTCTTCCGGGTAAATCCTGCATATCCTAATATGTAATCCCGGATCGTCTGCAGAAGCCCATCTGGCAAGTGAAAGATCTTTCGATTCATGATTGCCCCTTGAACATTTCGGGTTGTGCGTGCTTTCCGGCATTTTTCGTAGAGAGTTAGTACAACAGCAGTGAGATACTGAGCTGAAGAGCGCGTTGATATTGAGGGATCATTTCCGGAGTTTTTAGAGTCTAAATGATGAGCCTGCAATAGGCCAAGAAGTTTGCCGATGACTGCTCCATCTTCAACAGCCATCGCAGCCCCTTGTGCCTGATATGGCAGAGTGGGATGGCAGGCATCACCAAGTAAAGCAACAGATTCCTAGCGAGTCGCAGTTAGCAAGTTCGTGATCGGAAGGAAATAATGATGTACCGACCTTCGCCCATGATTCCAGCTCAGACAGATGTGTTAGTTTCCATTTATAGACTGATGGTACACAAGAAACCAGCTTTTGCAATCTAGAAAACGAGAAACATATTAGCAGAGAGTTGGATCCGACTATTCTGTATATATATACTTACGTTTCATCCCAGTCAGCATAGCTCTCTCGCATCTCTTGAATATCTCCCTGCTCTCTACGAGAATCTGATGATAAGTTATCGGGCCGCATGAGAACAAGATTAAACTCCTTTCCACCACGGAGAGGATAGAAAACAGTATGCTTCTCCGGCCCCAGCCAGCCTGTGACTGCAATATCCTGACACAGTTCGTTCACTTTCTCATCTCCTAGGGCCTCTAGTTGTTCTCGTGAAAAAGTTGCTCGATAGGCCATGTCGCCCGTGGGAACTGGAGAATGAGGAGATCCAAGAACAGCCTTTCTGACGGTAGACATCTGGCCTTTTTTTGTCAGAATAGATGGCCAAATCTATAGCCGATAGAGAATCTATCGACTTACCGTCAGCGCCAATCACAACATCTGCCGATATGCATCTCCCGTCAGCGAGAAGAACGGCTGGCTGATCAGTGTGAATATCTTCTACTTCTGCTCCCAGTTGAAGAACCGCACCAAGTCGAACTGCTTCATCAAGAAGAATGCGATGATAGTCTACCCGATGAATAATTCTGCAAGGAGGTTAAAGTCTGTATACACACAGCCAGACCAATCAACATACATCCACGGCGCCCCGAGTTCCTCCGTAATATCATCCCCTAAAGGCATTGACCGCAGAAGACGGCCATTCTTGTATCTCCGGAGATTGATCTGTTGTACTTGACATCCTTGCTCCAGAATTTGGGGAAGTAAGCCAAAGTCGCGCATTATCCTAGCTCCATTCGGTGGGATTTGGATGCCTGCTCCAACTTCCTGGACTTCGACGGACCGTTCGAGAATTTCCACGTCAATGCCCTCACGGCGGCAAGCAATTGCACAGGCCAGGCCACCTAGACCTCCGCCCACAACGACGACTTTCATCTCCGTTGATGTCAAAGTGATGTTCCCCGGACTGCGTAGGTTCCGAATTAGGACTAGTGGGGATTCTGAATCGGACCACCTTATGTGCACTTCACAGAGAATATGATATGTATAAGATTCCAGGCTTAGTCCATGGACAAAATCAGTCTATGTAAGACTTGTCAATCTGGAGACGGAAGTCGTTTATGAAGCGGATTTGGTAATACCTCTCGAGGTCCTAGATACAGCGAGATACAATATTCGAGGCGACAGAAGTTCGTAAAGACAAGAAATCCAGTCAACATATGTTGTACGATGTGGTTTCGTTGGAAAAGTTGGCACCAGAATGTCGTGACACGTGACTGGGCTATTTCCTTGTCTAGACTTGGAACTTTTCTCATATCTTCAAACGCACATAATGAAACTGTTCTCTTGGCCGCGTTCACAGCTTTTGGAAATCGGTGACCAAAGCTGGTGCCCCTCATGGCTTCACCGGCATGAGCAACTGGTTCTCACGCAGCTGTGGAATCTTCGAGTCCCTGGGTGGAGCCGTGGAAGTCTTGCGACACAGGCCTGTGCAGTGTTCAAAGAGCAATTGAAAGATCTTTCCTCGTACACAGTACTCGATATCTGTGCCGGTGCTGGTGGACCTACCCCGGTGCTCGAATTGGAACTTAATAAACAACTTGAGTCCGAGGGCAAGGGCCCGGTTCAGTTTGTTTTGACCGATCTTTATCCCCATATTTCAGAGTGGGAACGAATCTCAAAGAAACAGCAGAATGTCACGTATATCGAAAGCCCGGTAGATGCTCGAACTGTTCCTCGATTTGCAGCAAGTTCAAAAAAAGAGTGTCGGATCTTTAACATCTGTTTCCACCACTTTGGAGATGAAGATGCAGCGGGGATTCTGAAGAATGCAATTGAGTCCGCAGACTCGTTTATGCAAGTCATGATTCTGTTCATATCATATATCTCATCAGCTAATTCGATTCTCTCCAGCATATTTGAAATCACAGCACGCGATCTTTGGACTTGTCTATGCTCGCCTCTGGTCTTCTTTTTTACTTTCTTTGTAACGCTTGTTTGGTACTTGGATTCGCCGGTCCATCTCCTTTTCACATTCATTCTGCCTGTGGCGCCTCTAACTATATTTGTCGATGGGCTTATATCCTGTCTTCGAACTCGCACCGCAAAGGAAACCTGGCAACTGTTGGATCAGCCGGATCTGGATCTCACCAACTGGACATTTCACAGTGGGCAAAAAGTTGTTCAATTTCCTTTCATCACTTTGTATTATCATGTTGGTATCAAATCATAAGGATGATTTCTATCTAGCTTCGTTTATGTGTTTGTCTGCACATCTTCCTGACGATCTAGGCTTTCCTTCATATAACAATATGGTTAAACAAAACCTCAGCATTGGCCATTTGATCTGCCTTCTTTTACTTTGCTATGTTTTATCCTCCTATGTCATAGCATCGTCATTAAACTATATATACTTGAGTATATGCCCTATATACCAAGAAGGGAGCGGATGTTTCGCTTTTATATTGCCTTTTATCGAGATACGTTCTACCCAAAACGAGACCGGAGCTCCAAATGATTTCATCCATCTTCCTGCTCTAGCCACTTTCTTCTTCTTTCTCCAGATCCTTAACTTTTATCCAACTCACATTCTTTTTCATCTATATCTTTTTCGCTACGAATCCTATACCAACATATTTTTCTTTTCCTATCAAGTCCTTAACTTTTGCGTTCGCCTACTTCTCAGTTCGTTATGTCTACCGAGATAGCATATGCATCAGGCATCCATACTCTTCCAGTTGAATTACTAGCAGAAATCGCCAAATATACCGAGTCTCTTGGTCTATGCGCTCTTCGGCTCACCTGCCGAGCAATGTATCAGAGCAGCCTTCACCACTTTGCACAAACTTTTGTCCGCACATTAAAGACCGATCTCTCACCACACTCACTTGTCCGCGTCGAGGAAGCAGCCAAAGATGAGATTTTTGGCCCCTATGTCCGCAAGTTGAAGATCGGCAGGAATTCAAACTGTTGCCCGGGACCATGCATCCCAGATACCACATCAAAAGAAGCATATATTCAATCATGGCGCGATGTGATGAAACGCCTGGTGAACTGTCGATCTTTCGAGTTGCAGTATTCAACCTATACAACGCCGCATCCCGACGGCGACGGCATCGTGCTTGACGAGGCGACTGGTCTTGTTCTCGACGCTATATCTACCGAGCAAATTCCGATGGAATCTGTCTCGATAGAAATTCTGAAATACAGAGACAGAACTCGTCAGGATAACCCAACGCAATTTGGTATCGCCACTTTTGGGATCCCGACTTTTTCCCAGCTCAAGGAACTGAGCCTTGTGATTCCGGATGCCGAGTCAAAGACTATCAATTGGATGGCAAAAACGATCCAAAGTACCAAATCTCTCCGAAAACTAGAGATTCTTTTCAACTGGAATTGCAAATCGACTTCACTTCTCTCGCAGCTTACATCGGTTGGATGCTTGCCAGAACTACAAGACCTGACTTTTTCGCGGATGTCATTCGAGTCTTCGGCTGCTTTGGGGATGTTCCTTTACAACATTCGAAACTCTCTTCGCTTTATCACGTTTTCTCGTGTGGAACTGGAAGCTGGAGGCTGGCGGTCCCTTCTCTATGGGTTGAGTGGGGGTGTATACCAACTTGACAGATTGGTTTTGCATCGTGTGTTAGAACCTAATATGTTCGTGAGCTTTCGGAAGGTTCCCGAATACGCACTCAAAAATACGTCCATAGACAGGAGACTACTCCGTACGTACCAAATGTGCTATTTTGACCGGATGGATGTGGGCTTCGGCTACTCGGGTCCGAATTTCAACGATGTTATACGGAGAGTGGCTGTTCTCGCAGAGTCACCTTAAGATGAGTTGGACAGGGTTTATTCTTATGTGTCTGTCTTTCGTATTGTTTGATCTTATATCGATGTAAATATCTACGGTCAACACAACTATATCATTATCCTTGATTTGGACGCGTCACTGTAAGAACTTCTAGGATAGGAATTGCATCACTGTCATAAAGGTGCGGTAATGAAAAAAAGCTCTTTTGGTGTTCTATGTTAGTATCGTTCCGTCTATAAGCCCAACCTAATACACATCTCATTTGAGCTTCAAAGCATCGATAACCCGCGGGAAGATTGCCAGCGCATTCTGATTATTGATACGGTCCATCTCCACCGTGGTGAAGTCACCATTACCTTCAATCGCAGATAATGCCGGCTTTGCCTGTGAGAAAGGAACATAAGGATCTGCTTGTGTCAGTATACTGCATTTGTACCTTTCGGAGGCGTAACTAGCACTGCCCACTTACAGTCACTCCCAGTCACAATCTGATCCGCACCAACAAAACTCTTCAGAGCCGCTAACTGAATAGCAGAAGTGGAAGCAGCGGTATCAAAATAATACCCGGCGAGTTGCGCCAGGGATTCAGGGACTGACAGTCCACCCAGTGAGGGAAGGGATGCCATGCCGGCAATTCGGGTAGCAAGAAAGGGGATCGCGCCACCACCGTGAGCAAAGATCATCTTGATGTTCGGATATTGCGCGCGTTGGCCAGTTAGCAGCAAGTTCTCAATGGCACGCACAGTATCGAAAGGATACTCGGTCATCGGGATGGGATGGCCCACGGCAACAGATATGCAGCCCGGAGCGGCTGGGTGAACGAACACGCTAGCATTGCGTGTTTCCAAGGCCGAGAAGATAGGATCAAGGATCGAGTCACCCAAATACGTCCCGTTGGAGTTGGTAAACAGCCCTACGCCAACAAACCCGAGGATATCCAAGCAGAACTATGGTTCCAGGTTAGATTTGACCAGGTGATCTGTTAGAGGAAAGGGGTACCTTCAACTCCTCTACTGCTTCATCAACAAAAGGGAGAGGGAGAAGACAGAGGGCTCCAAGTCGAGTTGGATGAGTTTGAGTGTAGCTGTGAAGCAGCAGGTTGATGCTACGGGCTAAAGATTTGGCCTTTTGGGCCTCTTTTAGAAAGAACACACCAGGTGCGCTAACACTGATTGTCGTATAATTAACCCCAAGGCTGTCCATGGTGCTGATATGTGAGTCAAGAGTCCAATCAGGGACAGGAAAGCCATCTGTATACAAAGTACCATTCTTGACTGAATAGCCTGCAGAGATCAATTCCTCTTTCCAGATTGACGGAACGGCATGAGAATGGACATCGATCTTATAGGTTGAGTCGAAGGAATTAGTACTGGCATGGCCACTAGCCAGACATGTCAGGGGAGCCCCCAGGAGGATTTTCTGCAAAATAGAAGGCATTGGGATAATTCGACGATCGAGAAGTATGTGAGCAAGTCCAAGATAGGCGATGACCGATTCGAAGACAAAGAAAAAAAGAAATTCCAAGTAGAGTAGTTATCACACTAAATTTGAAACATCTCTTCTATTGCGACCCTAAACAGCAATAGATCTGGTTAGCGTACGCTAGGTAAAATGTATTAATCCCGGGGGCCGGACGTATGCCTCCGTGGGGTATAGGCTACGGTAGTCTATCACTCCCAGTTTAGATTAATATTATGCCTGTACGGAGTACAGAGTAGCTTGATAACACACCTGAGCGCGTCAATTCTATATATAAGTCGAGAACCAAAGTCGAATTGAGTGGAATTTTTATTAATTGTATGGCTTTCCGATGCCCAATCCGTCTATGATTTGCCCTACTATACATCCATCACATCACATATTATATTAAATCAATTACCTTTTACAACCTTGTCCCTATTTTGTAACTCTCGTTTGATTCTTCCTATCCTTCTTGCTATAAGAAATCTAAAAATCTAAAAATCCAAAGTGCTGCACTGGCGGCAGCAGGCTGCCCGAGTATAGGTCCTATGTTTACCCCTATATATCTATTGTACGATGTACGGAGTACTTTCGATCTGTCTAGCTCCACACTTACTGTCAAGTCAAAATCCTATCTGATGTCTTGCCCAGCTCCCATCCGCCTCTTCCGAGAATTAGAATACGAGGCTAGCGAGATAGGACTTTTTCTCCAGAGTTTCCCATTTGGGATTTTTCAAGCCCTTTAGTATTTACCTGTCCAATTCTATTTATACTCTCTCCAACTGAGATCTTATAACCTTTATATTCAAAATCAACTATAGAGAAGAAAACTATTTCTACGTTCCATCGGATTCTCAAGGCTCTCTTGGCTAAGTGTTAAAACGAACACAGGGCTACTCCGTCCGTGTTTGAGAGACGCTTTAAACAAAGAACCTTCTCCGCTTAGCTCTCATAGAAACTGTATGCTCCACTAAAGTAGATATCTACTTTTCTAGGTAGTGAGAAGCCTATATCTGGCCGTGGCCAATAAAATCACACCCTGCCTTCTACCACAGTCGGATCGCAGACGATGCCTCGAAGGATACAGGTCGTTAAGCCAGAAAGGAATACGCCATAGTACACATCCGGAGTATACAGAACTTAGTTCTTGTCAATATTCGGTTTGATTTATTCGTATGGTCAAGGTCTACACGAAGCGAGAACCTTCATCGAACGAGTGACGCAGCGTTACAGGGATTGGAGCCAACTTGCGCGCTTGAAATATATACTAACCCCGGCCCCTGAAAATAGTATCTTCCCAAAGTTCCTTGACTCTTTTTTACCATATGGCTTCTATGGCTCTTCTGTTCATGCATAACCCTTTCTCATTCTGAGTCGGACGCCGACATACTATGGAGACCTTTCAGCTGCGATCCGATGTAAGTAAAGGTCCACCCAAAGTCACAGTCTCTGGGGCTTTCTCTAACTGTCTAGGTCGAGAACCGCGGGCCTCTATTGTTAACTATCAATTGCACGGTGACAGGCTTCGCGGCGATCATTGTGTGTCTCCGCACGATCTCGCGGGTCTTCATTGTGAGAATGTTTGATCTGGATGACTGGACCATAATTGCTGCGACTATTTTTGCAGTTTTGAACGTCGTGGTCTCCGGGCTTGGTATGCGTCCTGCTCCTTTCACAATTGTCTTATCTCTTATGTCATGGATAGGAGTCAAGCATGGAACAGGGAAGCACACATGGGATCTCTCCAAAGCAGACGCCCTGCCTGCAGCGAAGGTATACAACAAGGGTAACATGGGTTGGAAGATGGCTAACCAACGTGAGAATATAGGTTCGATATGTGACGCACATCATCTATACTCTGATCAACGGTCTGATTAAGGTATCAATCTGCCTGCTGTACCTGCGGGTGTTCCCTAACATCCGAGTCATCTCACTCGGAACAATCGCCTTCGTGACGGCCATGAGTGTCGCAATTATGCTCGCAACTATCTTTCAGTGCTCCCCGATCAGTTCTGCTTTCGACGAACAAGATTTTGAACATTATACTTGCTTTCAATCTGTTCCATTTTGGTACTCGACTGCCGCACTGTCTCTGGTGACAGATGTTTGGATTCTTCTCTTGCCACTGAAAACAGTCCTTGGTTCGTGGTTACTCCAGATCCGCTCAAGTTATTACTCTAATCAATTGCAGGGCTTCATATTGGGACTAGGAAAAGATTTCTCGTCGCTGGTTTGCTATCATTGGGCTCCTTGTATGTGTAGGAGTGATATTCTTTGATATGCATGAGTGCTAACTGGACAAAAGTGCATGTATCGCCAGCATCATCCGGATGGTCTACATTGTGGAATTATACCAAAGCTCAGATCCTTCTTGGGATACTTTTGGGATTTCTATCTGGTCAGTAATCGAACTGGCTGTCGCTATCATCGCTGCCAGCATCCCGGCAACCAAGCCGATCATGAACAGACTATTTCCAAAGCTCTTTCCCAGAAGCGTTTTGTCGCATTCAACCAGCTACCGAGCTTATCCTTCAGATAGTCGGATTGAGAGTAACCGACTGCGCTACGGACCGAGGGATGTTATTCCACTCTCACTTTTCCCGACGAGAGAAGGAAGTGATACGGGGGATGATGAGTCTACGAAAGCAATAACGCGGGAAAACCAATCATGATAACATAAATATCGGATGCAATCAAGAGAGAGATCAATGTGACTATATTTAATCTATTGACAGAACTTGGGGAGAAAATATAAGGAAGAAAGAGGCACTGATATATTGCTTTGTATATACTCAAGTGGTCACTACCCAAGTATCTGGGTAATAACCCTGTGAAATAGGGAACATTCTCCTAATCGCCATTATTCCAGCACCTTAAAAACATTCCGACTATCTAAAATCCGATATATATTCACTTCTTTCTGTTTGGTCCTCGTTTTGCTTAATATCAAGGCTGTAAAAGCTTCACTATTTTGCTTTCTGGGAATTCGAAGAGTCTGGAGGTATATTTGAGTGAGCCCCGTAGAAGATTAGCTTGTCTCTAGCTTAGTATATCGAACACAAAGTGGGATCAGGAGTTGGACACTATTAGGCTGAGAAGGTTGGGAGGACTGTGTGAAGACCAAGTCATCTATGAGGAAGGAGCCTTGGAAGGGATCTTGCCTTTGGAAGATTCAGCGTAGCTCTTCTACTTCCTCTGAGCTCTTGGACTCTTATCCTTCAAATAATCTCACCCTTTTTGAAAGGGACATCTCAAAGATCATTATGATGTGTGATACCCCCGATAGGGCCAGGAGATGAGTGAGTAAAGTCACGGTGATTATTGGATCATTTCCTTACTTATGGTGATGACAGCCTCCTTCTCCGACCTATGTCTCTAGACATCTACATTGTGGGAAGAACTCCTCGATATCTCTCGAATAAAAGGGCATATCGGTGCCTTTGAGAAGAAACCCAATTTTATGATCTCGTTGCGTCTATTCCAGCCAAGCGTTCAATCCAATCCGATATGGAATGATTCTACAGGCCAAAGACACAGAGCCAGCTGGATGGTTGCTAGACATCGGACACTCCAGCCAGTCAAGTGTGAGATCTTCAATCCGTCATCTAAGCGATTCGGAAGTGAAACCCAAAAGACCAGTGACATGGTTTGCTGGATGCAGCACGACTCAGGCTACCTATGAGTCTTCGGTTCGTCCGCTGCGTGGTGTCGGAAGATGCAGCAATATCGACCATAACAAACCCAGTGCGGTGGGCGCATCTTTGCTTGGAGATTTCGGAACACATAACTCAGTATGATCTGAGTACTAATGGACTGAAGAATGAGTAAAGCCACCAGTCTATGTTGCCTATACCACGGCATTGACCAGTGACATCCTTTTTCTCTCCTTTTCTCTCCTGAAAGGAGCAAGTTCTCCCCATGCCCGAAGTTGCTTGACCGGCATTTATCGACGCCTATTGCCCAGCTCTAGCCCATACTACTCTATCCCAACCTTTCCGAGCCCAGCCGATGAGCCGCCATTGTTTCGCTCCAAATTCACCCCGGCCTTCGACAAGCTGTTAACCATCCGCCTGTTACGAACATGACATTCAGAGACTTCAATCTTAGCCACGCTCAGATAACCCTGGATCTACCTATACAATAGTGTGTGGGAGATACGCAGAAAACCTTCCCTATGACCCAATACTCCACAAATGGCGATGGTCATGATCTCTATGTTGTGAGGGGGTGATGATGACACCAGCTCTTCAGCCTCGCGATAGAAAAGTCCCCCAAATCATCAAGCCATCCATCTACCTGCAATCCTACCTAAAGTGCTGAATATTTGGGAGAAGGGGAGGGGGAGAAGGGGGAGACTTCTAGCAAGAGCTGCCAAGAACACTCGAAAGACCTCGGCAAACACCTTATTTCGTTCCTAGGGTTTGTTTCATAGAGCTATGAGAATGCTGAGATGAAATACCACCCCCATGAACCTGCTCATCAAATAATTTGAAAGAAGCAAAGTGCGGTAGGGCAGTGTAGATTATATTGGGCTCGTCTCACTGTGATGGGATATCGGGAAATCCAGTTCTTACTTCTATCTTGAACACATTAGAGCTTACGATGGATGAAGAAATGAAAAGGGAGCAGCGCTTAGTATGTAGCAAAGAGCTCTTTATCGACGTAACGTACAAGCATGGCAACATAGCGATCCCGCTTTTTATGGGATCATTGGTCGATCCTCTCTGTCCTCCAGTTCTACCGCCGCGTCATCATTTCTCTCTTCTAGGATATCTGACGGCTCCGATGGTCTAGTCCCAGCGCGGTCACGCAGCCGGACCGGCCGGCGAGAGACCTTACCAGATACAAACACAGCCACGGTCTGAATCAGACGCCACAAGCGATCTTCCAATGTCTCAGGGGCAGGAGTGTTCAGGTGCCCACCAAGGGCAGAAAGTTCAGAAGAACTCGTTGCTGCCAGTGTATGTTCTTCAGCTTCAACCTTGAATTGGTACTTCAAGCAGTCCTTGACGGTGACCAAACCGGTGAGTTTGCCGCGGTGTTCAACGAGAATAACTCGCGGGCCCATCTTCTTGAATATCTCCATGACTGTTTCGAGGGGATGGCGCGGGTGAACGGTCAGCGGTGTGTGGTCGACATATCGCGAGAAGTCGACGAATGGAGCTCCTGCTCTCCTCTGGATTGCATCAAACGTATCCGATGACCTAGACTCTTGCGAGACGGATGCCCTGCGCGCAACGGCTGCGTCGGCTGCCTCTTTGGTGAACACGCAGCGGGCGTTTGGCGCGATCATTCCCTGGCCGCGGGCGCGGTCGATGGCGTATCGAAGTTCCGTTCGGCCGATGTATCCGACCAGGATTTTTGATGTGCGATCCTCCACGACAGGGAAGCCCTGGAACTTGTTGTCGTTTAGAAGATGTTCTGCTTCGCGCACAGGGAAATCCGATGCTGGCAGCGAGAGCGGGCCTGTTGTCATTGCATGTGATACAGGCACGTTGAAGACGTGATCCTCCTTGTTGTCCAGGAATGGGAATCCGTTGAACCAAATCATTCGGTCAGCGATGCCGCCACTGCCGAATCGATCGCCAACGGCTTTCGTGACGCCTACCACAATCTGAACAACAGTCAGTATGGTTAAAGAAAGGAATGCCATTGGAAACGAAGTCTTACCATGGTCGGTAGAATATAGGTCAGTGCGCCAGTCAGCTCGAACATGATGACCGTTACAGAGATCGTCAGATGCATTATGCCACTTAGGGCTGCTCCAGCTCCTAGGAACGCATATGTTCCCGGTGTAATGCAGGGAACATCTGGGTCACACGAAGCGAAGAATGCCGATTGGGGGAACGACTCATGTAGTGCCTGTACCATGATACCAATCATACGGCCGAATGAAGCCCCGACGGCCATTGATGGCACGAAAATACCGGCTGGCACCTTGCACCCGTATGAAATAATAACCAGGCAAGTGCGAAGAATAGTCGCAATAGCCAGGGAGAAGACCATCGACCATCGGTTCTTGGAGCTGCAATGAGTTAGCAATTTCCTCTCATGAATATGGAGGGGTGGGTCCGTACTCGCATAGTCCATTGTAGTCATGGCCACCCTCGCATTCACGGAATAAGATCTCCATCATTCCGGTCATATTGATCTTCAAAAACATGTTAGGGTAGCACAGTATCGCAGTGAGTCCCGCGAGCACAACCGACTCGGTGATAGGCCACTGTGATAGGTATTTCTTGCGGAATGCGGCCATTCGAAGGTTCCATTTCATTACGAATGCACCGTAAAGTCCACCAAAGACCCCAAGGCCAATAAAGAAGATGAACTCGAAAAAGTGCCATGTGCGATTATATTCCACTTGGAACATGACCAATTGACCAGTTCGGAATGGATTAACAGCCTAGAGTGAAAGTCAGGAATGAGCCAGAATCAATTGACAACATGGGAAACATACCGCCAGCACACTAGTTGCCACCAAGGCGCAGAAATAGCTGCGCCAAAGAGTCTTGAGGGGGAAATAGTTTGCCATTTCCTGTTGACGGTCAGCTTTTATCCCACCAGCTAGTGCGGTATTGAACTCACCTCCAGAGAGAACAGCACGCCTCCAATCGGACTACCGAAAGCGACAGCCACACCAGCTGCCGCCGAGGCAGTCAAAATTTCTCTCGTCTTCGAAGCATTTTGTTTGTATTTACCAAAAAACCGTGATATCACGTTTCCGGTACACACAGCAAAATGTACGCTAGGTCCCTCTTTTCCAACAGACAAGCCCGACGCAATAGCTAGTGGAAGGGCAATTGACTTGATTAGAAGAGTCCATGCACCTAGGAAGCCCTTCATGACAAAGCCAGCAATAATGCATTTGATCTCTGAGATACCAGAGCCTGCGGCGTATGGCGCAAATGATTTGACCAAAACTGCGGCAATAGAGGAAAGTAGCAACTATCTCCAGATTAGCCTACGTATTCATAGTTTCAAGTGTTAGCCGGGCACCCGTCTTACCGCGCCAAAGAAATAGAAAACATAATTTATCAACCAGAATGAAGTCCAATGTTTCCACTCGGGGCAACCTATCAAGGGAAAGGATTAGCCTCTGGAAAGCCCGTTGGAGAACCTGTTGAACATACCATTCTCGGCACCCCAGCAGCAGAAGGACTCATTGAGATAGAATGCGGTAGTACAATGGCCCAGCTTAATATCAGAGAGCCATTCCGTGATGATATTGAGCACAGCCGAGTTCAATCCAATCGCCATGCCGACAAGCGTAACAACAAGCCATGCTTGGCCTGCATCGTATGACTCGTACATTTTCCGTCTCCAGCCAAGGATCCCTTCCTGATCCCAGAATCTAGAGCCACTGCGCCGTTTTGCGCGCCGCCTTGACTGCTCGTAAACTGCATCTTGGACCCAGTCTATTGTTGTAAAATCTTCATATCGCTTGACCTCATTGATCTCTTCTGGGATGGCGGGGGCTTCTTGGTCGTCAGCGTCTCGTGGGTCGATCGGGGAGGGAATAGAACGACCGGACCGCCTTCGCGAGGTGCGCCGCTCTCTTGAAACCGAAAGGGACCTATCAAGGGCCGGTGAGAGGCGTGGAGAGGTCATAACATTGATCGCGGAGGTAAAGTCAGCATAGTCGATTTAGAGTTGACTCGATGATCTGTGTCCGCAATGGACGCCGCGCTTTGCTGTGAGAAGACGAACTCTCAAGGTCAAAATTCAGTAGCACCTTGATTCTTTCCCTCAACTTCCTATTAGCAATAATCAAAAGACAGGGGTGAATGGAGCTCTTAAAAGTAGATGATGTGACAAAGCGAAGTCGCCAAGTATCCATGGATCGATAACGGGGAGCCTGAGATAACGCGGCCACGCGTTTTACTCTTTCTCGACTCCACGCTCGCGCCAACTTGCTTCTACAGCGGGAATATTTGACTGGTGCATACTGCAGATTGTATATCACTATTCGACCGATACTTTATTCCACCAAAATTACGCACAATGCCTCCAAAGACTTTGGGAGAACCGGATGAGATCACCGGACAGAGCGCACTTCCGAGTAAGTCCCAGGCACTACTTTCACCTTGGATTGACATACTGATATGTTTCTGTAGTTGCTCGAATCAAAAAGATTATCCAGTTGGACGAGGACATCGTACAATGCTCGAATAACGCGACCTTTGTCATCGCGATGGCTACCGTACGCCACGCCCTCTACCTAATTACCTTGAGCACCGACTAATCCTAGATTTAGGAAATGTTCATCCAATATCTTGCTGAGCAAGGGCACAACGTGGTCAAAGCCGAGCGAAAACCTCGCAAGACCGTCCAGTACAAAGACCTCGGTCGGTTACGCCTATCCCACCGTTAGCAAGTGGTCAGACAGCGTGCTAACGTTCAATAGCTTCGGCGGTATCACACACTGACAATCTGGAGTTCCTTTCTGACGTGATTCCTAAGACTACAACCTACAAACAATTTAAGGAGAAGAAGGCGAAGGATGCGGCAAATCAAGGCGCCATGGAGAAGGGCCAGCGTACTCTCAACGGTACCGGTGCACCTTCACCAGCAAATGGTACAGGTATGGGGGACTCCACGCCACAAAGAGATGATTCAAAGACAACATCTCCGTCGGTTCCTCGGCCGATGGTCCCTGTAAGCGCGTTGATTGCGGACCGGACAGTTGAGCCCATGGCAACCCATGACCATGATGTGGAAATGCAAGATTGATTGCGCTATAATGTCACTTTTTTCTTTGAGTCTTGTTATTTGCATAGGAGTTTTTTGATGGGTTTCCCTGCGCATTGATTTTGGGATTTGTATGGTCGCATTGGGTCGGGTTAGACGTTAACAAAGAAAACGACATATTATACAATTGACGAGTCAAAATTGAACAGAAATATCAATAATTAAATCAATATCGATCAGAGAAACACATATTCAAGTAGTATAAAAGTTGTAGAATGTTTTCTTGTTAGGGAGTGAACGGGAACGGATCAGCCAATGACAGGCCCCGTGATTCCGATCGCTAGCGAAAGCTCTGGCTCCAACTTCAACTTCCGACTTCATCCACCCTCTATCCTCACCTCGCTCTCCACAACTCGCGGCTCAATTCCCCCCGTGGTCAATTGCCCTCACAATGTCGCTCTCCTCCGCTTCCAGCACTCTGCTGCGCACCGTCGCTCGGCAGCAGCTCCCCACCACCCGCGCCGCCGTCACCTCCTGCCAGCAGCGGAGGGGAGTTGCCGATGCGAAGTCGTCCTTCCAGTCTCCCTTCGCCAGCGCTAACGAGGCTGGCTCGACCCTGAAGATCCCCGACTTCAGCAAGTACAAGTCCAAGAACTCAGCCCGCTCCAACCAGGTCTTCTCCTACTTCATGGCCGGCTCCCTCGGTCTGGCCACCGCTGTCGGTGCCAAGGCTACTGTCCAGGGTAGGTTTTTGACAAATCTTCGAATGAGAAAGGGGAACAACACTGGCATGGAATAAAGCGATTGAACGTGATTTTTGAACAAGATTCTTGATTACTCGGGGAAATTCGGACGACTTTGAACAAACGACTGATGTTATCCTTTCTCTCCAGATTTCCTGGTCAACATGTCCGCCTCCGCCGATGTCCTGGCCCAGGCCAAGGTCGAGATCGCTCTTGGTTCCATTCCCGAGGGCAAGAACGTACGTGTTTCCATCCGCCATCCCATCCGACCGATCCCAATACCCCATGATCTCTATCTAACACCCTTTCCAACAGGTCATCATCAAGTGGCGTGGCAAGCCCGTCTTCATCCGTCACCGCACCGAGGCCGAGATCACCGAGGCCCGTGAGTCTAAGTGGGAGGGTCTTCGTGACCCCCAGCCCGATGAGGACCGCGTCCAGCGTCCCGAGTGGCTCGTCATGCTCGGTAAGTCAACATGCGATTCGCAAATAACGACCCGCCACATTCTAACTCTCCTTTCCCCCCCTACAGGTGTCTGCACCCACTTGGGTTGTGTCCCCATCGGTGAGGCCGGTGACTACGGCGGCTGGTTCTGCCCCTGCCACGGTTCCCACTACGATATCTCCGGCCGTATTCGCAAGGGCCCCGCCCCTCTGAACTTGGAGGTTCCCGTCTACAGCTTCCCCGAGGAGGAGACCCTGGTTATCGGTTAAGCGAATTTTTGAATACACCCTTTTTCTGATCGCCGGATTGTCTCATTAGGAGTGTGGATGAGATGAAAGATGGGGGGATCATGTATCCTACCTATCTATGTATGTGCTTGTGTGTTTTTCTTCCCTTTTTTAGACAGAGCGGCCGTGTGTCTTGTCAAGATTAAGAGACCTGTGTTTTAATATGGACAAAAAATGAGCCTCTTTCTTCCCTTGTCTCTTATCTTCCTGGATCTTGATCTTGCTCCGTGGCAAACACACGAGATGTGGAGTCGGAGATTCTCGGGCTAGGGGTTTGCCTGGCAGTGCAGAGGATTGTCCTATGGTCTCCTTGAGTACATATGTTCTTTATTTAGTGTATCACCTAGTCATGTTATTTCATTTGTCTTGGATCAACATTTCCTCTTGTAGAAGCAACAACGCCAATGCTCAGCTATTCGATATATGCTCGCTTTCCAGACAATGCTCCAGTAGTCATACACTTAACTCAATTCCAACGTTATATCCAACTATTTATCTATTTTTCTCAAATGTATGTACAAGTATAACCACCCCAACCAAAAGGGCAATTATCAAAACGAGACCAGACACGAACCAGAACAGGTTGAGTCCTCGCTGGTAATGCAATATGACATGCTCGAACGAAATGATGTTTTTACCGAGATCCGATCAGGGCGAAGAGTAGGCCCGTCACAGCTGCACCAGCTGCAGCACTCTGGAGAGCGGCAGTGGTGAGATCGTATTGAGAGACAGAAATGCTGCGATCACTGAAGAACTCGCCAGCAACCTGTCTCCAGTACTCGAGCGACAAAATAGGAGAGGTAATGTTCGACAGGCGGGTCCTGAGAGACTGGGAGGCGGCTGCGTCATTCACCGAAACAATAGACCCCGTAGTGGAGGCATCTATATCTGTCGTAGAAACCTTCGGCTCAATCAAAAGAGAGGGAGTAGTCTCAATTGCGTTCTCGGAGGTAGAATCAACAGCCTCAGGGATGGTAACAGAATTCGGCAGCGCCGTGACCGAAATAGCGTTCTCAGCAAACATAGCCCGGTTCAGCTCCTTTTCCTTCTCCAACGCTTCAACGACCTTGTCCTCGAAACCCTTGACGAGTCGCTTCCGACGCCATGGCTCCACGAGAATCTGGAAGACAAGGAATAGCAGGACGTTCACGCCCATCAAACCCCAGGTTCCCCATGTCGACATGCGGCGAATCTTGTCGGACCAGACTTGCTCCTCGTGGTAGCGCGAAAGGATACTCTTGCTCAGTTGCGCGGCAGCCTCTTCAGCTTCGCGCTCGCAGGCAGATAGGGCGTGGGAGGTCTCGGTCTCAGCGACCTCGTTTGTGTGGTCGTTTCGGTAGAGAAGGGTGAATCGTTCCAGGTCTGTTGAGGACCAGGCGTGCTTGCGTTGGAGGAGCTCGTTTACTTCACGTTGGGAGGTTGAGCGGCGGTTAATAGCTTTGGCGTATTCTTCTTTCGCTTTCTTGACGTTCGCTCTGGCGGTGCGGAGTCGGTCCTCTGGATAAGTCCGTGGGATTAGTGCCTGTGATTTCGCGGCGGGGTCAGGATGTGCTATGCTACATACCGTGGAATTGGATCTCGTTCTTCAGAGCTTCGATGCTGGAGTACCCAGTCAGGTCATTTAAACGCTGACCCGCTACGAAAACATTCGACTGCAGATTGTCCATCACGGTGCTGAACTGCTTGGACCATTTTGACCGACGGCTTTCCAAGTACGAGGGCAGACCTCCGCTCCTCGCGCCGGCACTAGCTTCCTCCTCCTGTGAAACTGAGTGCTCCTTTTCATTCTCCTTCGTTTGTGATTGTGCGATGGTCTGATCGGTCTCTTTGGGAGGAGGAACCGAATCGACAGAACTGCCCGCCTCCACACCCGGTATCGGGACCGGGTCGCGGGACGCGAGTTCCTGCTTAGCGAGTTCCTGCTCGGCAATTTCCTTCTCCTTTTCCCTGATTAACCTCTCGGTATCAGCGGAGAACTTTTCTCGGTCATTGTAGGCTGAATATGTGCTCGGCTGTAGACGGAATTGGCATTGTACGCAGGCGGAGAAGCTCCGCGGAGTCGGTCTGTTGACGGGAAATGCAGGCCGGAAGTGCGCTCGCACGGGTGAGGTGCTTGTAAGTTGTAGGCTAGACCGAAGTGATTGCCTAAGCAGTTGTGGCATAGACTGCATGGCCAAAACAAGGGCCACAGGGTTGTGGCAGGAAGTGGTGGTGGTGCAAAGAGAGGGTTGAGGATCATCTCGGGACGGGACTTGGCCTCGGATAGTCTTATCAGATTGCTGTCTGGACTCTGGCATACCAAAGTTCAATATTCTATGGATATCTAGTCTTGAGATGTTCTATTATTCAGACAATTGGCCAGTATCTAATTATCTGACTCTGATGAAACTGATTCCTCCTCTTTTACTCCCCGGTATTTAGGCTGAGATGCCGAAAAAAGACAATAAGAATACTTCCCTAGATAGTACAGTATCTGGAAAGTAGCCTGTATATTGTTGGGACCAAGTAGCTTGGTGTCTTTTGCGAGAAATCGATGCCTATGCTCTTCTATATGTTACTATTTAATTCTTAGGCAGGTCCCGTCAATCCACCCAATGCTATCGTCAATATATATCCCGTTCTGTGTCTTGTAGTATGTGCTTTCACACTAAATCTCTCGATATGTTATGGGGTGCCTTCCCACTACCCTCCTGCCAAATTCGCTAAGATATCAAGCCTTAGGCCTATTCTTCAATCGCACTTGCCATTACAAATATCCTTCAGATACCTCTCTCATCACTATCCACAATTTTCTACCATTCTATTCTTTCACACTTATACCTGCCTCAGATGCTGCAAATCTGTGATTCCACATGGGAGTGCTCCAAGAGGCGCCATAGCTGACCTAGTATAGGCCATCGGGCTTGGGGAGTCTCCTTACCAATCGGTCTTCTGAATACGAAGTCCAGGTTGTCAAACCCGATGCCTGGCGGAAATAAACGATTGCCTAAATACCAGCCACGGAAGGCATGCCCAGCTGGCTAGCCCAAAATCAGGGCTACAGGCCAGGGAAAACACGAGCAGTTACAATGTCATTGAGTCTGCATGGATTGCAACAACGCAAGTGATGCTTGGCAGCTGAAACGGTGGGAAAATGGAACCAATCAGCACTTCTCTTGCGATGATACCGGTAAATTCAGGGCCCTGCCAGCAATCATTCTTCATGGTATTCACAAACCTAGAGGCTAGTACTCGGAAATCTCTCAAGAATCCGATTTGAGCGTGGTCAAAAGCATTGACCCGATTCGCATCAACAGGGCTATGCCTTACCGAGGCTTTTCAACAACCAAATGGCAAAACTGCCCGGAATCAATGATGATCATCATGATATCGTCAAGTTAATCGCTGTCGCTCAGGTCATTCCACACAAAGACCTGAAAGTTTTGTCTTCGATGAAGGGTAGCAGGTCTGGAGGAACAGTAAGGTCATGCACCTTACTTGCCTCCGACGGCTGTCCAACCAACTTGAACTCGGCCAAAATCCTGTGCGAAAGAGAATATATGGAGTTCTGGTCATGTCAATTCGATGGAACAGCGACGATGGGAGCATTTGCCATTAGGGAAACCCTTCCCAGATCATGTGCTTTGCTGTTGTTTACGCAATAACAAAGGCTGAAAGCCCACCGAATCTACAAAATTTGGTCATACTTGAAACCCCCAAGAATTAGACTTGACGCTATGTAAAGCTAAAAAGGGTTTTTATATCTAGGGCTTGTCGAAGCAAAGACTCATTCAGTGCGGAATGCCTCCGAAGCTAGAATAAAAAGTATTGGTATAATATCACGCCATATAAAGAACATACAGTCAGGGAAGAGACACAGCAGAAACTAGTAAACAGAATCAAAAATTCAGAATTACATAGAACATTCCTTCGTCAAGTCATAGCATAACGATGCAGTTCTCGAAAGGCGCGTGTACAGAACAGCAAAGTGGAGGGGGTATGGATAGTACAACGTTGTCGGGGTGGAAGTGACTGATGAGATAATGGCAAGCCGAGGGGCCACCGACTACCAACAGTCAATGAGTCCAGTCTCATTCTCAATCATGATTCTGCACCTTATTATCACCCTTCACAGCCTCAGCATAGGTCGGTGGAGGGGCGCGCTGCTACTCCCAGCATGTCCACCTTCTCCAGTGTGGTTGTGTTGTTTGTTTGCCGGACCCGGCGCCTGCTGGCCGTGAGTGTTGACTGTGCCATATCCGCGCTGGGGGGGATGTTGCTGTTGGTGCGATACGTAGTAGTAGGTAACATTTCCGTTCTCCAGATCACGACGCCGACTCCCGCCACCGGGAATGGGCTCGTAGGCTACATCGTCATCGTTTTGTTCCGGATACTTGAGGATGATGTACCATGCATGAATCAGGCCTGGGAAAAAGCAAAGTAGAGTAAGAGTAATGTTGATGATCGAGTCTGCAGTGCAGAATCCGGCCTTGACCCAGACTGTTGATGCAGGGGCTTGATTAGCATTTTCGTACTAGTGTAGGTGCGTTGGTTTGCGGGTTTGGACTTACCTGCGATAGGTGGGAAGAAGACGGCGAGGACCGCTAGGAAAATGTCGGAGCTACACATAGCGGTGTCTCTGAGATCTGATGTAGAATGTGAGTTGTATCTAGGGGAGTTCGTGGCAATGGGTAGAGGTTTCCAAAGTTTGGACGAGTCGCATGTCTGACGGCAGCCTGGCCCAAATCAGATGATGTCAATGGTCACATGACTATGATAATCCAGAGCCCTACATTGTACAGCGACATACATATAATTGTATGATTTTGTACAACATATACCTTCTACTCATTTCAAAGTAAGGTGTACGTATCTCGCTAATTTGTTGATCTATACAAAGTAGAAATCAGACTCGTCATATGTCTGCCAAAGCGGGGGGGTGGCAGCTTTGACTCACACGTACGGTGTTTGCATGTACCTGGTACATGCGGCTACCGGGTACCTGCCGCGTGTAAGGAGGTACCCTGTACTCCAATTTCCATACCGAGTGTGCGTTGAGCCCTCCCTCGCGTTCTTACCTGATAGCTCACATACAACGTTGAAATGTGCTACATCTATTGCTAAATTGCGTGCAGGATGCAAGTGCAAGAGGTAAGGTAACTCGGAAAATAATCTGAGCCCCCAGAAAAGCCTTGTATTACCGAGTTTTTTCGTGATAGCGATCGTCCTGAGCCGCTAACGGGTTACTAGTGAGTTTAGAGGACGAAGAGAGGAACCGGTCAGAATCTGACAACAGGCATAAAACAGCCATTGTCAATTATAATTGAAACTGTATTGTATACTCCCTACTCTGTATATGTTGTATATAATGTCAGTCTCAATTGAGCTTTGGTGCCCAAACGAGTCTGGAGAATATAGAGAGAGAAGAAAAAAAAGATAAACACGGGATAGCATCCCCCACCCCCTTTTATCATATTATTTCTCCAATATATAACTCCCGAGGTCTGTTAGCCTCTTTATATGTAGGCAATAAGATTGAGCTTAGCGTGTCTGTACCACTGTACCTGTGTACTTACAGCTTATGCCTGTTTCATAATTCCTGCCCATCTCATTTCCCGGTCTCTTCCCCCCTGTTATCCACCACGCCCAGACCATCTTGAAGATTGTCTTTCCAATCTTAGAACTTCGTCTTGTCATCCTCTCTTCCCTTCATTCTCGAAACTTTTCGAATCCAGAGCGCCTACGGGGCTCGGTTGACCTTTCCTTCCGGGCATTCACAACCCCGTTTCACTCGTTCACCTTCCTTTCACGCGTTTTTTTTTCTCTTCTCGAGCTTGAGTCTCGGCCTGGGGTCGACCATTCTATCCAATTCACTTCGAATATCCGATTCGCGCCCCTGGGACATTCTCGATCGCAATTGACACATTCCGCGATATAACCCAAAGGGGTTCATTGTGAGGCCAGACCACCTATTGTGCCCGACATGTCGGATTCTTGTATTTCACTGTCGGGGTCAAGTGCCTGTCCTGCCTGGAGTAGCTCATCCATTTCAACTAGTTCCAGTCTATATGCGACCTTGTGAGTGGAAACGCGCTTGAATAAGCATGGGGGAAAATGATTGCTGACAGTACGCTGTTAGCCCTTTCCTTAAGAATGTATCGAATCTGACGGATTTCGATAATTCATTAAAAGATTATGTCCGTGGATCATATATCTCGTCAAAGTATGTATCGGTGCCAATGGACTGGGAGGAGAGTCACTAATCAGTGCTCCCAGGTATGATGACTTGCTGGGATGTCAAGGCCTCAATACGAGTGCGCCAAACGACTACTATGCCCAGTATACAACCAGTGTTTTGTGCAGCAGTGTCGTGCAAAGCTCCATATCCGACTGCAAACTTTCCACGGACGACTCGCTGCCAATTTGTGTCGACACATGCGCACTTTGGGCCCGAAGTGAACAGGAAACCATGGCAAATACAGACTTATGCGTCAAAAGTGACAAGGACTACACGGACCTAATCTACGCCGAATTGACCATCTGCGAAAAACCATCCCGCGCCCTTTCTGGAGACTGTGTCAGAGGAGCTGCGAATGAGCCTCACAACTGTGGCTTTGCAACGAATACCATCGGTCTCTGCACCTTTTGTGCCAATGCTACCGATAGCTGCTGCGCGAAGTCCAACGCCACGAGTCGCTGTGACGGTGTCCCAGTACCGACTGTCACTCTACCCCCTCTCACGCCCTCGCCTTCCGCCACTGGGGATTCTAGCCATGGTTTGTCGGGTGGCGCAATTGCTGGGATCGTAATTGGCGCCGTTGTAGGAGCTGCCATTATCGCTGCTCTCATTGCCTTCCTTTGCATTTTCATGCGCCGCCGCCGTCGTGAAAATCAAAATGAAGCTGCGCTAAACCAACCAAACCCACAAAGAAAAGGTGGACCGCCATCGATGCACCAGCCCCCAAGCCCAACTTCATACAACATGGTCCCCGGAGGCCGAGTCACACGGATGTCAGCACTGCGCGAAATGCCCAGTTCATCGCCCGCCTATTCGCGTACCTCGGCGGCGATGTACGGTGGTGCCAAGTACAGCGACACTTCAGACTCAGAAGGCATGGGTGCCAGTCCAGGAGCCATGTCCAAGAGCATTCCACCAGTGACCGGGAAACGTCATGGCTCACTTTCGAGCAGCTCGATTCTGGCAGGACTAGAAAGCGACAGCTCCCCTCGATCCGGCCCGACAAATCAATACTCTTCCCCCGAAGCAGTAACCAGTGGTCGATCGGAGCAGCTGTCGTATTTCCGTGACTACTACTCTCAAGATGAGATTCACGCTGGTGACAAGGTTGCTGTCCTGTGGGCGTACTCCCCACGCGCGGGTGACGAATTCGAACTCGACCGAGGTGAGATGTTACGGGTGATTGGCATCTGGGACGATGGCTGGGCCACGGGTGTGCGACTCCCCGAACGCGCTGAGGACCAGGATCTGAATTACCGCGAACAACGCGACAGTGGTGTCTCGAGTGGCTCGCGTATGCATGGTGCTTCGTCACCGATGCCGTCAGGTGAAATCAAGGCCTTCCCCTTGGTCTGTATCTGTCTCCCTCAGCACTGGCACAAGATCATCGATGGCGGCCAGGAAGACGAGGAAGTTTGAGCACAGTTCTCAATTCTCGGTTTTCATGCAAAATTACGTCTTGACGACAGCGTGTTGATTCTTCCGTCCGGTGTTTTTTTTTAGACCTTGGCTGGCCATTCCCCTCCGAACGATCCCAACGATCGGCTCAATGCTCATTTTATACTCGTATTCGATATACCCCCCCTTTTCATGACGGTCATTTCGTCTTTTTCCTGATTTTTTATTTCACTATATTCTTCCACTTGATTCGTGTGGAACCGATCGCTGGCGCATCGGACTCGGACAATGTGCTTTTTTGCTCCTAGAGCACATCTCCGGTCTCTTTATGTACTACACATCGGGTTGTCACTTTAGGCTTACCCCGATGGATCGCCGAAAGTGGGTTGGTCAGATATCGGACACATATAGTGGCTTTGATGTATGTACATAATTAGACCAATTTTACCAGACCTTGAGGTGCAATGATCTTTCATATCTAAGTATGAATGCCCAAATATGCATTCCATGGCATTCCATTCTTATGCGGAAACGGAGTTTTCGGAGGAACAATCGCTCCATTTGGCGATTGATTAACAATTGCACTTGACTAATCCATTCCCCTCAATTCCGCAATGTCTTTTATAATGGCGTGTCTTCCTCTATATAAGTTCCTTTCCCATCCTCTACACTATCAACACAGCAATTCATAATGTCCGCCCCAAAGATCATCCTCTACACCAACCGCCTGTGCCCCTGGGCCCACCGTGCACACATTGCCCTCAAGGAAATCGGCCTCGACTATGAAGAAGTCACAATCGACCTGAACACTCCCCGCGAGCCGTGGTACCTTGAGATCAACCCTGTAAGTGGCTATCGCGCTTTCCCATACCCACTCTCTTATCTATACATCTGCACCACATATCCTGCTGGTCTATACTGACATCCCCACCAGCGCGGCCTCGTCCCCACCATCTCCTACAACGGAGAGATAATTCCTGAATCCGGCATCGTAGCCCAATTCCTCGCAGACGCACACCAAACCCACCTCCTCCCCCCATCCACATCACCCGCAAACGCCCTTTACCGCGCGCGTCTTGCGTTCTTCGTCGATGCCTTCTTCAGCAAGGTCGTCCCTCATCTATTCGCCGGTGTCCGCGCCGCCAATGAGGCCGAGCGTGATGCCGCCGCCGAAGAGCTCGTCGCTGCTGTTGCGAAGGAGGTTGAGCCCCTTCTGGCAGACACGGAGGGCAAAGGCCCGTTCTTTGGTGGTAGTGATAAGTTGACTCTGGCGGAGGTTCAGTCGGGCTCGTTCTTGTTGAGACTTTTGAGCTTCGCGAAGCCTGAGCATGGTCTGCTTTCTGCTAAGTTGACTACTTTGCTGGAGCAGACTCCCAGGTTCAAGCGCTGGGCTGAGGCAACGGCTGCACATGACAGTGTTAATTTCATTTATGATGAGAAGCCTGTGGCGGATAAGATGAGATCTAAGTTTGCGCCCGCGGCCAAGGTTTAGGTCTAGGCTCTGTTTATGTATCTACCTGCATGGTCTAGATCTGATGTCCTGTTTCGGGTAGTTTTTTTTGGCATTGAGGAATGAGAAATGAATCAGATGATATGTGTTTATTCAGGGTTGGTCAAATATATATATATTGGTAATGAAACTAGATTCCATGCTGCGTAATATAAGTATGTTGGGTACCTAATAGGCATCGATGATAAACATAAGCATTGCGACAACCCTGCAATATAGGCAGTAATAAGCCCTGCTTCCATACCACACACTCTACGTTAGGTAGATGCATAAATGGTGGGCCAAGACAAAAATAGCCACTGACGTGTCCCATGGTTGAACCGGCCAATTTTAGCCCGCACCCACATCGAAGAGGCTCAATCCTTAACGTAGGATGTACTCTGTACATGTTATGCAGCTACAGGCTGCGATTTCCCAATTAGTATACTATACAGGGTACCTCGATGTCAAAGGAAACAAAAAAAGTTCATGAGAACAAGAAGTATTCTTCAATATAAGCATGGATATACCGGATACTACATGTCATTTTCAAGTCGAAGACCCCAATAACCTCGGAAATCATAGAGATCTTAAAAACAAAGCCTACTAGATCAATTCTCAACACGTCACCCGAGTTGTCAACAAGTACCGAGCACTTAAATTATCAAAAGTCTGATATCACGTGCAGCCACCCCCACTATGGCCATGGCAACACCTGGGAAACTATTCACCCCTCAAACTCCATCTTCCCCGTTTCATCCGTCTCCGTTGCTTGATCTTCGCTTTCTTCATTCCTGTAAGTCATTGGAGTGCTTACTACTTTGGCTCTTCATGTTAAACATAAGAAGCCCGAGGGACCCCCTGAGTTTTGCCATCGCAGCCACTGACATAGTACTAGACAGCCCGTCCTTTTTTTGTCTCCCTCTCTACATAAGCCATCATGTCGGTTAGTATTGACTCCCAAACGCATGTTATATAATATCCAATACTAACTACGTTATTGCGCAGCTCGCATCCGGGTAAGTCGTCGGTTCCCGCGCTCACAAACCGGTTTCCCCTCAATTTCACTATTTATTGACACCTGCCCCCCTACAGTGTCCAGATTCAAGATGACTGCATCACTGCCTTCCAAGACTTCAGCCGGAGCCACGGCAAGACCAAGTACATCATCTACAAGATTGCCGACGACAAGAAGTCGGTTGTTGTAGACTCCATTGGCAAGGACCAGGACTACGAGGTCTTCCGCAACGAGCTTGCCGATGCCAAGGACAGCCAGGGCCGCCCCTCCCCCCGCTACGCCGTCTATGATGTCGAGTACGAGATCCAAGGCGAGGGAAAGAGGTACGCATTCCTACAATCGCAATTGTTCTTAGGTTTCCCCCACCGCTGACCTGATTGTTCTCACAGAAGCAAGATTATCTTCATCTCCTGGGTGCCTAGCGTGACCCCTACTCTCGTAAGATCCCCAATCAGATTTCATGCCCCGAGACAGTAACTAATTTATTTTCAGTGGTCTATGATCTACGCTAGCACCCGCGAGGTTCTCAAGAACGCCCTCAACGTCGTCACTTCCATCCACGCCGATGACAAGTCCGATATCGAGTGGAAGACAGTCCTGAAGGAGGCCAGCGGTGGCAAGGCATAAATGATAGCGCCGGCTGGATCCGGGCTGCGCGACCGATAGGGGTGCGCCCTTGACGGCGCCGCGGAACGATCAATTCATAAACTTCTCTGCACACCGTTCTCCCATTTTCTTTTCTTAGTTGCAATGCAAGACCGTTACGACTTGGCCCGTGTCTTTTTTTAATTTCGCGAGAAGCCTGAAGAGACTTGATTTCACTTCCAGCCTGTTCCAATTTTGTTCTGAATGATTTTTACTTCAGGTTGAGGCTATTTGGTTAATCGGGCACAGAATCTTGTTGCCTGTTGGTTATATTGCACACGGTTGGTGAGAAGATCTCGAGCTGCATGCTGCTGAATGTAGAATGGTTAAGCAACCGGACAACTCCTGGCTTTTGCTGCGAAGGGTATCGCTTGACAGGGCTAGTTTCTAGGCGGGTAAAGATTCCGACGACAATCAAGGCACTTGAGCGACTAGTTGAAACTGGGGTATTTTGCGAATAGAGGCATAAGAACAGTCTAATTAGAAAGAATAAAGGTACATAGGGTCAAAAGATCAGCAACAAATAACATCATGCCATATGGCTGAGAATGATGATGATGCTAACTGGTAGGAAGTGCCGGTTTGGGCGAGGAGCCAATGAGAAAGCGGCCAAACCAAAACCGCACTAGTCCCGACCGGCTCCTCGCCTTTCCACCTCAAACCACAAGAAACGTCTTCAAGTCATATCTCCATCCACGACCCCCCTCCACTCTCTCCTAAGCCGTGCCCTGGCGTGCTCTCTGGCTTTTAGACACCCGACTCCACTCTAATTACCTCAATTGTACCCCATTTCGACGTGGTGCTTCCACCTCCCGCCTGCCGCACAATGTTTCTTCGCACCGTCTCTCGCGCTGTCCCTCGCAGCACCGCGGCCGTCCGTGCTACCCCAACTGCTGTGAATGCCGTGCAGACCCGCGCTGCTTCGGACCATGCTATCCCCAACCCTACCCTCGCCAACATCGAGAAGCGCTGGGAGGTCATGCCCCCTCAGGAGCAGGCCGAGCTCTGGATGCAGCTCCGTGACCGCATGAAGGTCGACTGGCACCAGATGACTCTGCAGGAGAAGAAGGCCGGTACGTGCTATCTCTAGAACGCGTGTGCTTGAAATACAGCCTCTCCCTTCGACTATCCCAAGGCTTCCGAGGTTATCTGTCTCGGGATGGCCCGACCCCTCGAACCTCCACAATTGTCTCTGCAAGTAGCCTTTTTTTTTTTCGCTGACATCAATTCTCTTTCTGCTGTAGCTTACTACATTGCCTTCGGTGCCCACGGTCCCCGTGCCCAGGCCCCCAAGGGTGAGGGCTTGCGCGTGTTTTTCAAGGTGGCTCAGCTCACTGCCGTTTCCGTTGCCATCTTCTACGGCATCCACGCCTTTGCTGGCAAGCAGCCCGGCACTATGTCCAAGGAGTGGCAGGAAGCCTCCAACGAATATGCTCTGGTACATATATATCCCTCCCTCCCTTTCCGACCGCGGTCGGGAGAAGTCTCTGCCCCAGCCAACTTGGACGATGTTAACCTATCCACCTACAGAAAGAGAAGATCAACCCCATCCACGGTATCAGCAAACCGGGTTATGAAGGCAAGGGCTTCGTCCAGAGCCCTCCTCTTGAGAAGTCATAGATGTACCGATCGCCCGACCGGGAATGATTTGATATCTACGCAGGACGGATGGCATCCATCGCACGACCTACACGTCGTTTTTATTCCAAGCTCTTTCCATAGCCATGTTCAACATGTCTTTGTATCGGAGGATGGGTCTCCCGTGCGTGCAGCTGTCGACTATTCCCCCATTCTATCCTTTTTGGCAAGCATTCGAAAATGCGTGTATCCCGTACTGTGCTATAATCAATGTATCTCTTTTGTAGCCATAGAGAATGTGTTTCGAATTTTGACTATAAGAGATTGTATGTGTATGTTTTCCGGGATGGCGTGGTCTACGGAGTGATTCGGAAGCAACGTAAGTGCGGAGAATCCCTGCGGAAAATGGTTTCGAGAGGGTTTCTATGGTGATGAAGAATATCAAAAGAATTATAGACTATAGATCATATTGATAGGGAATAATATTGAATAAATTGAGCATAAAACTAGCCTCAAATTATAAGTATAAGTTCTATAAGTGCTCTATGGAGTATACATTCCTTTTCTACCCGGAATTGGTTGAGACGTCAGAGATTTTCCGATGGATATGTTCGGATCAAAGGACCTTTGAACTTCATCATCTATATCCTATTGAGAATCCTTGACATAGCTTCCCTTCCCTTTTATATATGTTGTATATCAAGGTTTCTCCGTCATTTAAGAAAAAAGCCGTAGGTTCCCTGCACCCGGCCGCCAAGCCCCGGTGTGTGTGCGCGAATTCCAGGGCAACGGGCTGAGCTTCCTCGGCCACCAACTCACCACGAGAAATTAGTGGCAATGGAGAATTAGAAACAATAGATGTTCTCATATTTATAGCTAAAAAAATCATTCTAAATAAGAAAATCAAGCTCTTTTACATTGTAGAAAGCTCAAGTTGGTGCTCGGTTCATCACGGGATCTGTCGGCAAAACCGCCCCGGAAAGGCTAAGGGCGACCAGTCCCCATCCACCAACCTCTTCCCTTCCTCTTCTTCCCTCTTTTCCCGTTCCAACCTCACCTCTCCCCTTCATCACACTCTTCAACACCGTCATTATGTTCAAGAGGTATGATTATATGAAATCTTAATCTCCCTTTCATTTGAAAACTAATTTTTTTTTTCCTTCTTTAGCGGTCTTGCCCGGTCCTTTGGGAGGGCTGCTTTTGCCCGGACGACCCCCGTCGCCCGCGCCTTCCAGCCCATCCGCTCCAATGCTCTCCCGGCTCTTGCTCGTTTCGCTAGCTCCGATGCTTCCTTGACCGGAAAGGTTCACCAGGTCATTGGTGCCGTCGTTGACGGTACGTGTTGTCGACTCCTGACGGAAATGGGCACCTCGCGAAAATCTTTTCCCTGGACCCAATCCATCACCGAAACCATCGAAATCAACCCCCAAACCATCAACAAAACCGTATCTGACTTTCTATTCGCCATATTACAGTGAAGTTCGACGGCGAGAAGCTCCCTGCCATTTACAACGCCATTACCACCACCAACAACGGCCAGAAGCTCGTTCTGGAGGTTGCTGTACGTGATCTCATTGGCTCAAACCTTGATCCAAATCGCAAAGCTAACAATGCCATTATAGCAACACTTGGGTGAGAATGTCGTCCGTACTATTGCCATGGACGGTAAGCTTCACTCCCCCTTCATCCCCCTTTCTTGGGCCACCGTGTCGTTCCTTTCCCGATCGGGCGACCCACCGTGTCCCTACTGTATATGAGAGCTTCAACTAACGTTATGTGAAGGTACCGAGGGTCTCTCCCGTGGTGTCACCGCCACTGACACTGGTGCTCCCATCACCATCCCCGTCGGCCCTGCCACTCTCGGCCGTATCATCAACGTCACTGGTGACCCCATTGATGAGCGTGGTCCCGTCAAGGCCACCAAGTTCGCTCCCATTCACGCCGATCCCCCTGCTTTCGTCGACCAGTCCACCTCTGCCGAGATTCTCGTCACCGGTATCAAGGTTGTCGACTTGCTCGCCCCCTACGCCCGTGGTGGTAAGATTGGTCTGTTCGGTGGTGCCGGTGTCGGTAAGACCGTGTTCATTCAGGAGCTGATTGTAAGGATTTCCCCCTCCATTTTTATCCTTGAAAAATAGCATCAAATGCTCATACATGACCTTTTAGAACAACATTGCCAAGGCCCACGGTGGTTACTCCGTGTTCTGTGGTGTCGGTGAGCGTACCCGTGAGGGTAACGATCTGTACCACGAGATGCAGGAGACCGGTGTCATCCAGCTTGAGGGTGACTCCAAGGTCGCTCTTGTCTTCGGTCAGATGAACGAGCCCCCGGTGCCCGTGCCCGTGTTGCCCTCACTGGTCTGACCATTGCTGAGTACTTCCGTGATGAGGAGGGTCAGGATGTGTTGCTCTTCATTGACAACATTTTCCGTTTCACCCAGGCCGGTTCCGAGGTGTCTGCCCTTCTCGGCCGTATTCCCTCTGCCGTCGGTTACCAGCCCACCCTGGCTGTTGACATGGGTGTCATGCAGGAGCGTATTACCACCACCCAGAAGGGTTCCATTACCTCCGTCCAGGCCGTCTACGTGCCCGCTGACGATCTGACTGATCCTGCCCCCGCTACCACCTTCGCTCACTTGGACGCCACCACTGTGTTGTCCCGTGGTATCTCCGAGTTGGGTATCTACCCCGCCGTCGATCCCCTTGACTCCAAGTCCCGTATGCTCGACCCCCGTATCATCGGTGACGAGCACTACAACACCGCCACCCGTGTCCAGCAGATGCTCCAGGAGTACAAGTCCCTCCAGGATATCATTGCCATTCTCGGTATGGATGAGTTGTCCGAGGCTGATAAGCTCACCGTCGAGCGTGCCCGTAAGCTCCAGCGTTTCCTGTCCCAGCCCTTCGCCGTCGCCCAGGTCTTCACTGGTATCGAGGGTACCCTTGTTGACTTGAAGGACACCATCGCCTCCTTCAAGGCCATCATTGCTGGTGAGGGTGATGACCTCCCCGAGGCCGCCTTCTACATGGTTGGTGACATCAACGCTGCTCGCGCTAAGGGTGAGAAGATTCTGGCTGAGCTTGAGAACAAGGCCTAAATGTAATTTTGTCATTTGCTAGCTAGCGCCGTCTTAACTTCCCCCTCCATCTTCAATCTCTCTTCTGTTCCCTCTCTTTCCCTCACCTATTCTCTCTTGTTTATCCCTCCATTTAATTCCCTTTGTCAGAACACCCAAAAATGTTCCAACGTTGTACGCGACAACATCATTTCTCTTTTTGAGGCGTGTATATTACCATGTACATTACCCCTAAAGGGAAAAAAAACCAATGCAACAATAAGGGGATTTGCTTTCACTTTTTTTTCTGCTTGGTCGTCGCGTCAACGTTGGCATCATTGGGGTCATTCTTTCTAGACTCGATCCGAAAGGAAATCGAGCAAGGGAATATGAAGTGTCTGGGTTTTTTCTGAGAGTTGAATTGTGGTGTTTGGGAATTGAGGGAACAGGTTTAGGGTTGGGATGGACGGGGGGAGGTTGATGCGTTCTATAGCGTGATGGGATTTTAAAGCCGGTCTGGATTGGAGAGATACCTTACACAACCCCCCTTGACCGGCCTGTTTCATTATTTTGTGTATTTAGAGTTCAAAACCTGATTCTCGACATTTCCTTTGTGATGGCGTCCTGGTCTTGCGTAGATGTAGGTGTAGATGTAGTGGGCAGAGATGAACATTCGTATACAGATGTCAACTTGATCATTGACCCGATGTCTGTATGGAGCTCTAGTTCTGATCCTTAGATATGGTTCTACACTGCAACCTGATATCTTGAAGCTCTCTGTCCAGTTCGATGCATGGTATGTCAGAAACAAGTTTATGTGATATGAGACTGTGCTAGGTATAGATAGCTATATGAGTGATTAGAAACAAAATGCAAGACATTACAGAAAGAAGAAGTCAGGTCAAAGCACGTCTCATAGCGAAGAATAACACTCGATGCCAGGAATAATCAGCACAAGATATTCACTCTCCGACTCGGCTGCGTGCAAGACACAGACATGGATTGGTATTCACATTACAGAGTATTTTCCAGAGCAAGGACCTGTAAGAACCCAGCAGTCAGCAAACCAGACAACCTTGAAGATGGGAAACATGGGAAGACACATACCAAAGCAGTCCTCGTAGGAATATAAACCTGCACGAAATTTCCTCTCCCGTTCCACTCCATATCAGTAGTAAAGAAGCGTGTCTCCTTAACATTCCGTCCAAGTCCACCAAACTCTTTCTCATCCGTATCAAGAACAATACGGTAGGTACCGGGGACATCAACACCAACCCGGTAATCGGTGAAGCTCTGCTTGGGATTGAAATTGAAGATCCAAAGGAGTCCAGCACGCTCAAAGACAAGGACCTTGTCGCTCTCGTTCTTCAGGCTGACATACGCCTGCGGCGAAGAAAGCCATCCGTACTTCTGCTCGGTGAGCTGCATCCCGCGGTCGAACTCGTTCAGGAATTTGTATCGGAGAAGAGGGTCTTCGGTTAAGTTCAGCTGACGACGCGCGTACCAGAAGGAGTTGTCGTTGCCGGCGCGTGGGAAGTCCAGCCATTCGGGGTGGCCGAATTCATTGCCTTCGAAGTTAAGGTAGCCTTCGCCGCCGAGGGCGTGTGTTACTAGGCGGATCATTTTGTGCAGGGCCATGCCGCGCTCGATGATGGGGGTAAACTCGGTGAGAGTGGACATGTGTGTGTACATCTCTTTATCGCAGAGCCACATCATTAGGCTCTTGTCGCCGACGAGGCTGTGGGGTTGTGTGTTAGTTGGTTGGATAATTGGAGGCTAGATGGGAGATTTGGCTTACGCTTGGTCGTGACTCTCGGCGTAGGCGATAGTCTTCTCGCCATGGCGACGATTGGTGAGCGTGAAGGAGATGTTGGCCATATCCCACTGATCATCTGTGCTTTCCTTCAACAGCTTGATCCACATGTCTGGAATGGCCATTGCGAGGCGGTAGTCGAAACCGGCACCGCCTAGTGCGTGAGGTAGACACAGTGCAGGCATGCCCGAGACATCCTCTGCCACCGTGATGCATTCTGGGTAGAGCTCGTGCAGCATCTGATTGGCGAGAGTGAGGTATGTGACGCCCTCCTCGTCGACAGATGGCCCGAAGTACTCGTGGTATCCACCGGAGAAGCCTCTTTTTCTTTCAGTTAGCGGGTCTCTCAAATATAGTAGAAGAGTGCACGTACGTTCCGATACCATGGTGCGTATAGAGCATGCTGGTCACACCATCGAAGCGGTATCCATCAAATCCATACTCTTCCATCCAGAAGCGCAGGTTACTCAAAAGGAAACGCAGCACCTCGTGACTTCCATAATTGAACAGACGGCTGTCCCACAGCTCATGACGGCCCTTGGCACCGCCATGGAAGTATTGATGGTCCGTTCCATCAAACTCGTTAAGTCCATCAATGACGTTCTTGGAGGCATGGCTGTGAACCACATCAAGCAGTACAGTCAGGCCCATGCTATGGGCGGTATCAACAAGCTCCTTAAGATCCTCTGGGGATCCGTAGCGACTGCTCGCCGCAAAGAAGTTGTTCACCTGGTACCCGAAGCTAGCATAATACGCATGCTCCATGATGGCCATTAGCTGGATTGCATTGTATCCCAGATACTTAATGCGGGGCAGCATGTTCTTCGTAAACTCCTTGTATGTAGCAACCCTGGTATCTGGTGACGAGATGCCAACGTGCGCCTCGTAGATGCGCAGGCTCTCGGGCTTCTTAGGCCGGGCGTGCTGGAACTTGTACACCTCTTCCGCGGGAGGATTCCAGAAAACGGCATCGTATGCGGGCGACACGCTCAAGTCTTGGACCACGCGCTTGATCCAAGCGGGGATTCGGTAGATGCGCTCGCCGCTGGGGAGCACCATTGTGATCTGTGGGGGCTCTTAGTGGGGGGGTGATCTGTTATACGTGGGGTCGAAGTGCTAACCTTGATCTTGCTGTCGTGGGGAATAGCGGCAGCACCGTCCTTCGCCGGTACCGTTACATTCCAGACACCGAAGTCGTTCCTCGTCATGGGGTTGGCATTGACATCCCAGTTGTCTGCCAGTCTCAGTTCAAGCTTCTCAAATATGACCAGTACAAAACGTACTAAACTCGCCGACCAAAGAAGCCTCCTTTGCGTTGGGCGCCCATTCTTGGTATTTGATCTCGCCGTTGGGTTGTGCATGAAGTCCGAAGGTTTCGTAGCCCTGATAAGCGTATTAGTACCGAGGAAATCAATCGATAGGGGTCAATTCACCTTGCTGAACTTGTCCAGGCCACCCTCTGTCTCATTGATGGTCTTGGCCCATGTCTCGACTACCTGGTATCTGTGCTTCAAGACATCGCGATGAGGTTCCAGCCAAGGATCCAGCTGGATCACTCCTATTTTTTGGTTAAAATTGAAATCATGTTTGTTTGTGGTGATAATTGTCAGCTTACCTGTACCATCATTGGGAATATTTGAGCTGTTTGTAGAAGACATATCTGGTGGGGAGAGCTAAGAGAGAGAGAGGGAGAATGGGGGAAGGTCCAGATCAAGGAAATCCAGCGGGGAACATGTGACATCAACCCCTCAACGCTTTGTCCTTCTAAAAATTTGCTTGCTCGGTGGGATGTCTGTGTCAATCTTTTTCCTTGCATAGCAATTTAGAGCAAATGTAAATGTAACTGCATATGCATCTGGACTCTGAACTTCGAGCTCCAGTGGGGATGTGGAGCGACGGGAACGGATCCGCCAGGTACGAAGAGAGCTGTTTCCAGGCACTTGATAGTTTACTATATACATGTATGTCGATAACATATATTTGTTCTCTTTCTTTACCTATTGGACAAGTAATACCTCCAATCCTCTTTCAAATGATCGGCTCGGAGACTTGGTGCTATGAAAATTTAATCTATGACGTAGTGGCAAAGCCCGAAATGCGAAGCTATCTATGGAGCAGGTGTGTCTGCATTGGAGCGTATTTTCTCACCGGACTATATTTATATCAGTTACACATTCACCGTGCAGGTACCCGCTTAGGCACAGGACTGGGCTTGTATAGTTACCGCTTGGAAAGTGCTCGGTCCATATTGGACCTGGCTAGAACTGCAGATTTTGCAGAATTGAGACATGCGCAATTTGGTAGTCTGGATCATGATTTATGGGTTGTCTATAGAAGGAAGAGCTGCCAGAGTAACATAATCCAGCCTATTTCGAGCATAGTATATAGGCTATTTGAATCAAGTACGCCAAGAGTGAGAATGAGGATTCTCAACGAGTCAGAGAGATCATCATTCAAACTCTTGTTTCATATCCCTAAAATTCATGTCAATGTGTCTATGGGCCCAAAATGTTCAAAGACTTATTGGAGCTGGGCAGCGACTTGGGCAAGCCAGAGCAACTATTTTGAAAACGCCTATTGTAAAAATTTCTAGCTACCATATCCCAACCTTCACACAACTACGACGGGTCTCACCACTGGAATTAAATGTGTCGTAATTTTAATATAACCTCTCGGAATACACATGGAATCGCTCGTGCCCTTGAAGAAGGACCTAGACAACTACCGAGATCTCAAAACATAGCAGCGTCTACTTGATATAGAACGGAGGTCTACAATGGAAGAAACCCCAAAAGATACACCTGATTTATTCAATAACAAAGTAAGTAGATAAGTCGCATAAATATCACGGGCGGGAAAGGTGACAAAGCTGAACGCAGGAACTCATATCCAGAGGCAGCGGCGCACTAGAGAGCAAGATAGTACTGGGACGAATATCATCCAAATCCGACGCGACAACAAAGTCAACGCTTGCCCTCGGATCTGACGACGCCTCATCAGCTTCAAGGTCAGCAATGGCTTTTGTCAAGGGCGCCATGATGCGTACGCGACACAGATGCTCAAACTGGGTGAAGAAGTGGTTCTTGGGCTTATTGCGAACTGTGAGACAACGCGGACATGACCGTGCCATCTCCTCACCTAGGACAAAGATGACCTCCAGTAGCCTCACCATCTTGTGGAGGACTGGAAGGACCTCAGAGCGGATCCCATCGCCGAGACTTAGGAACCGGAACTCCTCGTATAGAGAAGACCTGAAGCTATCGCATGCGGTGAGGAATCGCTCTTCATAGTCCATCCTGTCGACCTCTTCTGTGCATGGGTATCTATTGGAGCTCATGTTGACTATCTGGTGAGAAGTAGACTGCGAATTGATCAGCAAAGTGGATAGTTGTAGGTTTTCTTACCTCGAGTCTTCGGTGTGGTAGATGATGGGAATGAGAGCTTGGAGGGATGGAAGGGTCCGCCTATTTATGCTTCTCCCGTCGATACTGACTGGACTCACTAGACAAAGAGTTAGTTCAATGAATCGACAAAGGAACAAAGGCCACAAGTTGTTATACAGATATCCTTTATCGAGTCTTTGGACAAGGAGACAAAGGTGGGTGCTTAATCTTCGCAGACAGACATAATAGGACTGGAAAAGTTGACAATGAGATGAACAAGCAGCCAACTAACAAGCAGTAAATAGTCTAATTTAAAAGATCTTTCATGTTGAGATCGAATATGGGAGGTTGTACGGAGTAGTCTTCCCTTCACTACGCACATGGATCTAATCTCAACTGAATTCAACCCATTCCCACTATCTTTCCCATCAAAGTCTTCCTCAATTGAGGCTCATTGACTCTCTTTACTTTTGATTTAATTTTAGAATACGCTCTGACAGCTCACATACATGACATAATCACCAAACCTCCGTTACGACGTTACGAGGGGGCCAAAAGCCGCTGCACGGGCCCCTCATGGATGTTGCACTTATCAGCGGACTTCAGGGCTGGTCCTATTGCCTATTCTCAAGCCTAAAATGTCTCTACAAGCAGTAGCAGGCTATCGGCCATGCCACCAAGCTACCGCAGTCCGACTGCTAGCGGACTCCCTGTATGAGTCGACGCGCGGGTCAACGGCCCTAACAAACCAGGCCCAAAACGAGCTTGGGCTGCTCCTGGGTATGCTCAGCGCGACCGAGGTGTATGCCTCCTCTCTGGGCGCAGGATGCGTCCATTTCACAGTCCTGAAAAAGAGATTGGAGACATGCGATGTCATTCTGCGGGAATTGCAGAAGCTGGTGCTACATCCAGATACGTTCGGGGCGCAGAGCCTCATTTCCGATATTCGCGCGCGCCTTTCGTCGGTCATTTTTGGTATTAGTGAGATGAATTTGAATATGATGACGTGTGTTCGCGCTGATGTCCTATTTTGGTTGATCTGGGTTTTAACACTTATACAGGTCATCACAGAAGATTATTGAGAGTGCAATGAGATGTTTTCTTGATGACATTCGTGCTGGCAAGAGGGACGCCTTGATTGCCTCTGATGTTTTGAAGGATTCTTCAAAGCTTGAGAAAAATGAAGCTTGGACTCGGCTGCAGGGAGAATTGGTCGCTACTGGTATTGCCCCGGACTTGGTGGCTCTGAATCGTGACTTCGCTATCTCGACCCTTCAAAAGATAGTGGAGACAGAAAGTCCACTACCTTTTAAGGGGGACACGGCTCCAGTGGAGGAAGTCCATGAATATACGGCACCAGCACCGAACCTGGAATTAGAACGCCAGAGAAGCCTGGACGACAATGACTATTTATCAGACGAACCGGGTGGTCTTCCCTTTCTTCCTCTCCCGCCAAAAGGCCTCTCATTTTCAGATAAGCACAGTTCAAACTCCAGCCAAGTGCAGCCCTATCCACGAAAAGAGGCAATACGGGAAGACTTCCCAATACCAGTGAGGCTGGATATGCAAGATTGCACAGATACACAGAAACAAGTGCTACCAGCAAACAACTTCCCAATACCAGCGAAGCTGGACATGCAAGATTGCACAGATACACAGAAACAAGCACTACCCTCCAACGACTTTCCAATACCCGTAAGGCTGGATATTCATGACAGTACAGACACACAGAAAGAAGCACTACCAATCGAGGACTTCCCCATCCCAGCTTCCACAGAATCTACTCTACCATACATCGACATGGACCTCCCAGAGACGGTGAAAGCACCCATCGAGCGCAGGCCATCCGCACCCATCCAGCGCAGGCCATTCAATCCCTCGTTAGACATCTACCCCTTCAGGGTTACCAAAAACCTAGAAAGGCCCCATCGAATGAGCCGCATGTTATGGGATATGACCAAGTCCAAAAAAGGCTTTATGTCAGCCATAGCATCCAACCAATACGTTGTCGTACAAACCTTCCTCTCCAAAGGCGCAGACGTCAACGCCCAAACCCTCCAAGGCCTAACAGCCCTCATGTACGCCGTCTCACTCAATCACGAAGGCATAGTCCGCCTCCTCATCGAATACGGCGCAGAGATAAATGAACGGACTCTTAAAGGCGAGAGCGCGCTCTCCATCGCCGCAGGACGCGGCTACGACCGCCTCGTGCGGACCCTGATCGCGTCAGGCGCAAACATAAATGCGGGTACAGGGAATGGCAGGACGGCGCTCTCGCAGGCTGCCACGTACGGCCAGGACCGGATTGTGGAGTTGTTGTTGGAATGCGGGGCGAATATTAATGCTGTTAATATTACGGGGGAGACAGCGTTGGCGATGGCGGCGTTGAATGGGAATATGAGGGTTGCGAAGTTATTGCTTGGACGGGGTGCGGCTGTTGATCATATGCGGTATCCTTGGCACACGCCGTTGTATAAGGCGGTTCAGTCGGACGAAGTGGAGATGGCTAGGCTTTTAGTACAGTATGGAGCAAATCCGTTTGTTAAGGGGGGAACTGGTCGGAAGGAGATGGTTTTTGATATTGCGAGGAATATGCAGAGGAGACAGATTTTAGAGATTTTTGAACAGCATGGGTATCGACTTGGGGGTCCTGTTCGGTATCAGTATTTTTGATTGGGATCTATGGAGTCTGTCTATGATACCTATCATCTAGCGTGAAGGGAGTTTGGTTCTTGATCTAGGTTTTGATTTTTAGGAGATGTTTTGGAGTTGAAAGTTGGGATGTATGTTCTATCTGTAGCTTTGCCACCTTGAAGAGAAGAAGATCCATTAGCCATAGCTAACAAAGACCCGATACATATACTCAGTGCTATCTTGCATCGTCATCACCTTATTCCAGGGCCCCCTAATAAGATGATTGGACTGACACGATAATTGGGGGCTAAATATCCCGAGATTTTGATTTAAGCGCGTCTAAGCCTACTCAACCTTCGAGGCTCAGCGCCAAGGTGGGAATTGATCGGCACCAGTTCCCTGATTGGGTCCGCGTTCAGGATCATCGCCCCCGTCGGGAATGATAATATTAAACCACGAGTCCGCGTGGAGTATGTACGGAGTATTACATATGTATTTGTTAAAGATACAAGCGTAAGTTGCTAGCGCACCCTTGGCCAACTCACGTATTTCGTCCCATTTCTGGTGAGAGTTATGAGCACGGAAGCCCTACAACAGTCGGATGGTATATCTGTAGGTATACCCTAATGCCAAGGTATCTCCCTAATCAACGCAAGCTTCTCCCAATTCCTACATATTGAAACTGTCATTTGTACCCTGAGAGCGCTCATGGATCTCCGAGGTCGACTCATGATCTGCACATCAAGAGGCCTTGCTCAAATGACGACTGCGCGGATTGTGTCTGGCACCGGAGGATGCATGGTCTACGGCTACCCCTTCACTGGCGGAGCTCTCGTCAAAGAGCATCCTGAGCTTGTTGACATGCTTTCCTATCGATCCCCCGCACCCATGTATCGCAAGGTTCACCCAGTGCCGACGAAGAAGCCAGATTCTGTATTCTCCTGCGACGCACTGGTGCGATGTTTTAATCGGGTAAGAAGGAACTGATCGAAGCGAAGATATTTCAAATGAGGGCTCTCACTGAGGAAGAAGATATGAGAGAGTATGGTGCTACATTTTTTTTGGTAATGCCACACCGGAGGAATTTGATAGCTACATACATGAGGCCTAGTCTTGGGATGTCGAGACGGGAGAAGTGACAAAACAGCGTATTGGGGGGCTAAACCCCAAAAGGTAAAGCTAACCTGAATAGGAAATACACAGCCATATCACTTCTTGAATATGTATTGCATAGCCCTTGACGATCTTTTGACCTATTTTTATCATTCAAATGTCTCCTCTAGATGTTGTAGGCTGTCATATTTTACTTATAACCCCTTCCCCCATTGATGCATAAAAGTGAAACATCTAACATACCAACCCACTTCCCCAATACCCCAGACTTCAAAGTCAACAGAAACAATGACAGGACACCCCGGACACCCTGAGCCAATGCCAAGTAGGCCATAACCCCCTCAGCACCCCAACAAAATAGTCAATAATTAACAACCTCCAGCACCAGTTCCCACATACAGCGAAGCCCCAGAAGCCGTCTTCTCACACCAGCCAGCCCAAGGCCCCGTGAGCCCACATCCCGATACCCATTCGCACACTGGACAATCCTTCCCAGACACCCTACACTCTAGCTCCACCCCAACACCAATAAATGGCCCCTCAGAGAAACACTACCCCTACGAACCCGACTCCATCGGCCAAGCACCAGCCTACGCCGCAACACCAATGGCCACTCCACCCGAGAAGGCGTACTCAGGCCAGCCCCTGCCCCAATACCCCCAAAACCAAGCACAGCCACAGCAGTTCTACACACCTTCCGCCCAACCCAGTCCATATGCCACGGCCGTCCCGCTACACGCTGTGCAGTCTGCGCCGTGTCCGGTTGATTGTCCGGTTTGTGGAAAGCGGGAGATGACTCGCGTTCAGCCTGTAAGCGGCTCAACTACACAGTAAGTTGGATTCTATTGATCGCGATATATCGGAATAGTGATTGACCTTTCGTCTTGAATAGTGGCTGGGCTGCTATTCTTTGCTTTTGTTGCTGCCTCGGCTGTATCCCTTACTTGATGTCATCGCTTAAGGATGTTGAGCATGCTTGTGGGCAGTGTGGGGCTAGGCTTGTGAAATGGCATAATAGTGGTCGTGTAGTTATGTTGCAGAATGGAGCGAGGTAGTGAGTTGTTTACTGTGCTTTTTGTCTTTGCAGAATGATACCACTTCGTGTTTGAGATCATTGGTTTGGGGTTGCACTGGGTTTGATTTGTTTTTATTTTCGAAATGGTCACAAATTTGGCTATATGGATTAACATGAATTAATACGAACAATGTGCCAACTAGCTAAGCTATGACAGACTGAACGGATGACGCGCCAAGCCTCGTATGAGTCCTCGTATCCGATGACCACTTGACATTCTTCTCAAATCCCCAAACATCACAATTGACATCTCATAGCCCAAAAAACAAACATGATCCGTCTTATCTTCACGACAACGGCAGTAATCACCAGCTCCTCGGTAATCTACTTTTACATCTTCCACGAACGCTTATCAAAACGCGTAACGCACAAGTCCCACATCGGAACCCTCTCCACAGCCCCGGAACCAACAAGTATAGAATCCATCCCGGAGCCTGTCTTGGGCCATGGGTACTTCACTATATACGACCACGCCTCAAAGTCTGTACCGCGGGCCTCTCTCCCCAGCAGCGAGACCACAGATGTACTCTTCAAAAGACTCGTGCGCCGCAACATGAGGGCTTTCTCGCGGTCTCCGCAGGCGCTGATGCTTTCTATGGCTAGTAAGACAGCGGAGCAGAAGGAGAGTTTCGGAGCTGGACATCTTTCCGCGCTGGACTTTGAGGTCGGGGATTTGGTTTGTGGGGTTTATCGGGTTGTGGTGCGGAGCAGGGATCGTGTTGAGTTTGAGATCAAGGTCGAGACGGTGGATTATGTACAGGGGAGATTGGCGATTAGTTATAATGAGGATAGTAATCGTGAGGAAGAAGGGAAGGTTACGTTTTGTAGTGAGACTGTTATGTGGAAGAAAGCGGATGAGGTGAGAAAAATGCCGTTGGAGAGGCCTCTTTTGAGATGGATGCATGAGACTGCTTCTTGGTGGTTGTTGGACTCCGGGGTTAGATATTTGGTGGATCTGGAGGGTTGAGTGACATGTTTCGGCTGGCTTTTGTCTGGTTTATCTAAAACTAGGATTGGATGTTCTTGAGACAGTGCTTTTGTATTGAGTGGGCAGTCCAAAATCTTGCCCTTAGAATGAGTTATGACTGTAAATTTCGATATACTCTGACCTTTCAATCTACATCAGTCACTATATTCAATATAACCTAGAGGAATTCAAGGTTTAAATACAAGATATATACGCATTTTGACCAGATGAAATCATCTGCACCAGTAGCAGAGCAAAATGCTCGAACATAAACGACGAGCACAGAGAAACAAAGGAAACATTCGCTTGGCTCCGACTTTCAGAACCCCAGTAAGAAGACAACTGCTTTTTGGACATGAGTAAGGGAAACAACCGCTTCGATGCGCACCGTGAACTGTTTGGAGCATGTCCCCTAAAATTACGCTAGAAACAGAAAGTACAGTAAGTAAAGAGCGTCCAAATATGGCTTATATTCGATGAAGAAGTACTCCTATATCTCAAACCTAGTAATACGCTGCTCTGGCAAGACCAAGTTTCTGCGCTCCCAGAACACCACGTTTATGTCTTTCCTGGGCCCAAGTCACCATACCACAAAGTATAACCACAGAACTTCTTTGCTTCGTATGTATCTCTTTCAATAGCAAAAGGAAGAGAGGATATATATGGCTGAGTCTAATAGTTCAGGAGCCAGGTGCCATGGTCTGGATACTCACCACCGCGGCTTTGTCGACGGTACTGCCCATGGTATGGTTGATGTCTTTGTTGATGTCTTTTCTGACCTCCAAAAAGGCAGGTCATGTCGAGAAGGCTGAATTTGTCATAGGATGATACAAGGCAGAATTCCTATTGATGGAACAGAGCAAGGACTTTATCAGATGTGACAACGTTGTCCCAAGACTTTGTCACAGTCTTCATCAAAGCGGTGGTAGGATCAGGACATTATTTGTTCGATTTGACTGCAACCTTGGACGTAGAATTTGGTTGAATGACAAGCTTCAACGGATGTGAGTAGAAGATATGAAAGAAATAGAAAGAGATCAACAAGGGAAAAGGCTTTATACCTAAGGATTTTGGGCAAATATATAGAGAGCTCAAATGAGTGAGACATCTGTTACAGCTATTAGCTGCGGGAGATGAGGGAGAGAGAAAAGAAAGAGATATTTATCATTCAGTTTATGACAAGCAGGATATTCATACTCTAGGAACTCGTAAACACTCGGGTTGCTAGCGACGAGAGACAGAACCATCTGGTGAACTATTCACTTTAGCTAAGTGAGAGGGAATCCTATTTAACCGCTGGAAAAAATCAGTAAAATATATGTCTCTTCAAAGTAATGTACACCTGAGGGTTGAGACAGCACAGAGATGATGGGCTACGAATTTGAGGTCCTTTCCAATAGATGTCTCATTCTATCAAAGGCCAAAGAAGCACGTCTTGGACATTGGAACGTGTTTCTCTCTACAATCTTCGGTTTCCTTCCGCTTCATCTTTATTAGATCGGGGTGGGACCGATGTGAAGCCTATGAGTTCAACGATATTTCACACTGTGTCATCTGAATCGGGTACAATAGTCATTGTTAGATGGTTTGGATACAATGAGGATGGAATGTTTAGCACAAATGTCTTTGAGTATGATTCAAATAGCACGCCCGAGAAGCAAAAAGATCCTTGGGAATATGCTTTGATCATAGACAATTGTGAACAAAGAGTTTTAGACTGACACTAAGACAATGCCTTCAACCCTATCTTTGTTATAAGACCTACCTTTTTTCATTGACTCGGCTTTGTACTCGTCTGTCGGATGACCCCAGACCAAGCTATATATATGCCCTAGCATTCGCGCAGATCTGGTATGACAGCAGAGCATTCCTGTACTCTTAAATCATTTCAAATATTCTTTCTGATTCCAACTCAGCTATTCCATTGCTCCCTTAAACATGAGAGGCTACACGTCCTACTTCCACCACCAATACCCCAGTTGCGGACATGAGCGCACCAAGCCCTGTACTGAGACTATAATCTCCGACAACCTCCTCCTTCCCTACCACTACCTCCGCGCCACTCAGCCCAGCATGTGCGAGGACTGTGAGAACAAGTGGCTGGATAACTACTTTGAAGAAAATGGCCAAAGTCAAACTTCAAACTCTTACCGGGCCATCGTGGACCCGGTTTATAGAGATCATATCATCAAAACCAACGCGGTTGGTAATTCTACTCCAGACGACAGGGACACAAGCAGTGCTGACCACAGCGACAATGGTCAGCTCTTCTTGGGTTCTGCCGTTGATGATTCTGGCAATGGGGACGGGCACAGTGCTGGCCACAGCGACAATGGCCAGACCTGTTCCCGTGCTGTTGTCGATGAGTCGGAGTCAAGTTGCGGATATCCGGCGCATTCTGATAAGTCCTCTGCGATACCCTTTAACTTTGCTCGTACTAATCCTAGTTCGCCGGAGATGACTGGAGATCTTGACTCTTTTGTGTCAGCAATCGTCAAAACCAATCCGGATCGTCTTGATCAGAGGGGCGATGAGAGTGACGATGCAGAGGACTTTGTTCAGATTGAATCACCGGACACCGAGGGCGATGCTTGTGAATCCTTCAGTGATAACAGCAGCTTTGAAACAGACAGTTCTGGCTCATCGCTCTGCGGATCGTCTTTGATAAGGTATAACATACTGAAGCTGAGAATTGACGAACTCGTTGAGCAGCGGCAGCAACAGCGACAGCGGCAGGCGAGCACTGACCATGAACAAGACGCTCATGCTGATCTCAAGGACACGCCCCTTGCGGACTCAATTAATAGCCCTGAATCTGACGATCACTCATATGACCAGTCTACTCTTGACATTGACCTTGTGCACCAGCGTATTGAAGCCACAATCCTAAAGCGCATTGAAGAAAACAACGAAAGAGAAGCCCGACAGGAAGCCATCTCCAAGCTCCTTGACGCAGCACTTCTAAAAAAGGACCAAGACGAGCGGCGCGAGAAGAACGCCGAACTGGGGATTGAAGAGGACCCCCATCTTTGGGACACAGAGTCCCTCGCCGAAATATGGCAGGAAAAGACTTCCACTACGGTAACCCCTGATAATGACAGCACCCCTGTCTCCCCCCACACCTGCTCATCGCCCAAAAACCAACAGGCCCCAACCCCAGATTCCCCACAGAAGCACATGTACATGGGCAGCATGTTTGCAGATGAGGAATCCGCTTACCAACGCGGACTGCGCGAGGTCCGGCCCTACGGCAATTATCCAGGTGAGTGGGAAGGATTCTTGATGGCATTTTCCGAAGACGACGCGAACCGCCAGGGTCTACTAGACCCGATCCATGTGCGGGGCTGCTGTTCCGAGCAGCGCGCCGACTTCCACCTTTACTACGGTGTGATGCATGCTGCGTCCGAGGAAGAAGCTGAGAAGCGCTGGTTAGAGGATATCCGGCGGATACCCGGTGAAGAAGGGAAGTTCTACGGGTTATTGCGGGCTGACGATTTGCGGCACGCGCGCGCGATGGGACTGAGTGAGATCCGTCATCCGTGGGGGTGTTGCAAGGATGGGCTTTTTACGATGCCAGAACGGGTGCTTCATACATACACTGGATTTATGTGCGCGACCTCTCTGAAGGAGGTTGAAGATATGGGATTATGTGATGCGCAACCGGTTCCTGGGGAATGTGGTGATTATTACGGTGGGACTTATTATGGGTATATTGAAGCTTATAGTGAGTTGGATGCCTTTCAGATGGGACTGAAGGATCCTGAACATGATGGGGAGTGTTGTGCCAAGGCCGAGGCTGTGTCGATCTCGGAGGGGCACACGTATTACGGTTATATGTATGGGAGGTCTCAGGAACAGGTAATGAATAGGGGTTTGAGGGATGTTTTGCTTGTTCCTGGATTTGATATTAAGTATTCGGGATATTTACGGGCGGACTCTGAGCAGGCAGCGAAAGCTATGGGCCTTTTTGAACCTTCACGTATTGCATGAGGTGTGATTTATTTTTATCGGAGTGGGTTTTTGTTCTCATATCTTAATACCTCAAATTCCTCCTATTAATGGGGACATGCTAGACTCAAGTTGGATGTTGGCGTGTGCCCCTCGGCGCTAAATACAAGTTCATCACATCATCTTACTAGGTCTCTGATCCTGATCGTAATGTAACCAGTGAACAATGTCCTTTTATATTTGACATAGGTACGATGCATCTGAAACATTGCCCCTGGAATTTCCCATGAGGGGTCGAAAAGAAGAAAAGAAAAGAATTGCCTATTATCGTATTAAACCTATACCTAGCAAAACGTCACCTATAGAAAGGAACTGCCTCTTAGGGCTACGATCTTCCGTCACACAGTTTTGGAAAAATCAATAGTGTGACGAGCGGATTCAATAGAAAAAGGGACAACTTCGTGCCGCCAAGAGATCTTTGATCAGATTTCATCTTATCGAACCAATTATAAGTCTCAGATCAATTGACAAATAGGACGGTGGATCATCTCCATCATGAATGGGACCACGATGGAGTAACGGAACTCAAGCGAGTCCATTCTTGAGCAGTCAAGGCACCTTGATCGACTGGAACACTCCACGTTATTGTTTCCCAGAAATATGGCGCGGGTAATGGATATCGCCAGCCATAATGATCGACATCTTGACGACAAAAAAAGTTTGGCCGGGCCCACTTGCTCGTGCAAGTGCTTACCCCCAGATCGATGTACATAAGGACATGACGACCCGGCATGATGGTCGGATCAAAGCGCTACCCAACTTCACACACATTCTTTAAGCACTTTCCAATATGGGGTCCGAGTACGGTATTACGGTCGAGTCCAAACCTCAGATCGATCTCGGCCCCGTCACCATCTGGTGGGTTGTCTGGGCATGTGTCTGGACATCCACCCTCGTCGCCGGTATGATCTATCTGATCATAAACCGGGATATGCCGACACTTCGTATTAGAGGTCTCGCTCTATCACTTACTTCAATTGTCATCCTTCATTTATACTGGATCCCGACCCAGTTTGCCACGATGATTGGCGCCCTCTTGCCTGGTGATTGCGGATATTGGCTGATGGGGACCTTGCTGCCCTGTGGCATGGCGCTATTTCATGGCTCCAACACTCGTTTTCAACATGTCGCAAAGCTCCAGAGAAAGTATGCTCTGGACGGCTACCGTTTTACTGAATCGCCTGCCGGGGAGCGCAAGGATGGGTTGATCAATCGTTTCCGTGGTCTGAGATATACCACCAAGATTCTTATTTACGTTGCTATCGCAATGTTCGCTCAGGTATTCTATATTACCTTTTGATATCTACGACAAGCTGTATCTAACTCGCCATCTCATAGGTCTTCCTCACTATCCTCATGTGGGTCATCTCCCGCAAGTATCATAGCTCATGGGGTATTCCCGGCACCGAAGTTCATGGTACCCCTGCGGAAGTGCTCGTGGCACAAGGTGCAGGATGGGAATGGTGGCCTGGTGTAGTCTCGCAGTTTTTCTGGTCTTGGGTAGTTGCCCCTATTGTCCTCTGGAAGTCTCGCAACATCCACGATACCCACGGCTGGCGAGTCCAGACCATTGGCTGCGCTGTTTCCAACCTTCACGCTACCCCGATGTGGCTTATCGCCCTCTACGTTCCTGCCATGGCCCCAGTCAACGCCGTCTGGGTTCCTCCTCAATGGTAAGTTCCAAACCACATAACCATGACGACCTACTCTAATGCAATCATAATAGGATCTGCCTATCAATCATGTTTATCGAAATCTTCACAGTCTTCCTCCCCTGCTGGGAAGTAATGCGCCACCAATCCCTCCGACAAGAAACCCTCGAGTCGATCGCACGCTGGGAACAGAAAGTCAAATCCACCGGCTCGGAAGAAAAGTCCCTGAATTCCGACATGACAATGGTATCATCTATGATGTCAGGCTGGCGATCGAACAGCTCGACAAGCACACTCAACTCTCGCGACAGCATCCTCACAATGGGCGCCTTGGAGCACGTCCTCGAGCGCAACCCAGCTCCACTACAAGAATTCTCCGCGTTGCGCGAGTTCTCCGGCGAGAACATCGTTTTCCTCACCAGCGTCGCCGAATGGCGCAGTCGACTCCCCTCATCCATCAAAGACGGCACCGCTCTACAAGAAAAGAGCAAGCGCGACATTCTCCGTCAACACTTCAACCGCGCGCTCCACATCTACGCTGAGTTTATCAGCGTTCGCCATGCCGAGTTCCCCGTCAACATCTCGCACCAGGATCTGCGAAAGCTAGAAGAGGTTTTCGAGAAACCGACGCGTCTTGTGTACGGCGAGGAGCGCGACTGCGACCCTGCTAGTCCGTTCGATAAATTCACTTTCGATGTGCCTTTGCCATCGCCGGTTTCTACGGACTCTGGAAAAACTATGCTGGCTGAAATGACGGGATCGATTAAAGACCGCGTGCAGTACTGGGGTGATATTCCTGCGGACTTTGGGGCTTCGATCTTTGATGCTGCTGAGGCTAGTATTAAGTACCTTGTGCTTACGAATACTTGGCCTAAGTTTATTAAGGATCGGAGGAATTCGCTTGGTTCGATTGAGAATCTCAAGGGAATTGAGGTTTAAATGTTTACTGTGTGTGGCATGCGAAATGAATTCAAGTCGTTTTAAGATACGGGTCAGGGCTTTTGTTATACTTGATGTTTCTCTTTGATTTTTTTTCTTCTTTGGCCGTTGGGGACTTCGGCGCTCGCCGGGGGTCTCCTGGGCTGTACATATTGGTCTTATGGTTGGATATAATATTCTGGATACCCACACACAATCTATTTCTTATTCTTATTGATATTATCAAAATATTCTTTCATTCCAGTTTGAGGAGACTACGAGAACCTAGTTGTAAATAGTAAGACTTTTATCAAAGTTAGCAAGCCGGAGTGGCCAAGCCTATAGCTGGCTGCGCTTATAGCGCAACGATTCAATTGATTGAAGCACCACGATAGAATTAGACTGCATATAAAATTGAAATTTGGACTATAAATATTCATAACTCATCTCCACTATTATACTACTGATCAAAAGCCTTCACCACACTAGCACTTCCCGCAGCACCTAACCCAGACTTCTTAGCCATATACAACACATTCAAAGCAGCATTGCCGAGGTTCAAAGGACAGTGAAGATCCCGCGCCCTTTGCACGGCCTTCTCCAAACGGGAAGTAGCAGCATCAACAGTCTCTCCATTGGCACCCTGTCCGAGCCCCTCAATCATCTCCAATCCCTTGGTCATAAATTGCCGACTCGCACCAGCAGCATCAGCAACAAGAGTATAGAACTGCTTCAGATCGACCTTGAGATAACGCGCAAACGAGATAGCCTCAGCAGCCGCAACGAGGTTAGTCACCTCCATCATATCGAGCACCAACTGCACCGCCTCTGCCGTCTCCTTATCAGACTTGGTACAAGCAACCTTCGTGATCGGCTCAGCAAAGTACTGTCGCACCATAGAAGAGTCATCAACAGCACCATATCCCTGCAACAACGCAGACAAATAAACCTGCTCAGCAGTGGAGCAAAGCGGAGTCGGGAATTGACTTTGGCGCGCAGACGTCGTGATAATCCCCTGAAATCCCCATTAGCACAGCCCCAATCTCAAAAAAACATCAGAAATCCCAAGGTTTCCTTACCACATCCTTAAGAATAATAGTCAAAGCACTAGCACCAGGATGCCAATCCTCCTCCAACATCCGCTGCAAGCGATTCTCATGCATCCAAGTCCAAGCCGGACTGGACTTAATCGCCTCCGCAGTCTTCTTCGCATCTAACCCCAGTCGGGCCGCAAATCCCTGAGCTTCACTAGCGCCCAAAATGTGGATACCAGCCAACACTTGGTGCACCATCTTCATATTACTACCTGCGCCAATCCCGCCGGGGACAAGGTACAGCTTATTCGCATCCGACATCTCCTGTAGCAGGAAGCGGCCTTTCTCCAGCGCGGCATCGGGAGCACCAGCCATAATTGACAACGTGCCCGCCGCAGCGCGGAGTGCACCACCAGACACGGGTGCATCGATGAAGGCTATATCGCCCCTGCCGACGGAGACCAGCTCTGCAGCGACGGATTGGGCGTATGATGCTGGGACAGTGGAGCAGAGAAGAAGTGTTGCGTTTTGGGGGAGAGCTGAATGAATTGTATGGTCAGTTTCGACCAGTATCTCTGATTTGGGACTTAGGGTTCGATTAGAGGTGTTTACCTGCGATAATGCCATCATCACCGAAAAGGACGCTCTGCACCTGCGGCGCTGAGGCGACCATACAAACATAGAAATCATTTCCCTTGGCTGAGTCCCGGAGTGATGATGCTGGGATTCCGCCGGCGGCCTTGAAGCGCTCTACTGAAGCTGGGAACACGTCGAAGCCGTGTACTGGGTAGCCCTCTTTCACGAGATTTGTGGCCATCCCGAAGCCCATGGCGCCTAGGCCGACGAAGCCGATTGATGGTTTGGACATGGTTGTAATGACTGTTCAGATGAAAATATACAATAGATGGAATAGTCCCCGAGAAATCTCAATGTATAAAATAAAACCAGCTGGTCCGACCTGCGTGTGGGGGCTTTTATGAGGGGAAGATATTGGGGGCAACGCGGGATGCTTCGGTGCAAGTCCGAGCGGGCCAAGTTGGCTGTTGCCGAAAGATATTGCTTTGCCAGGGTCCGATATTAGGATTTGAGGTCTTTGAATTACCGGTTAATATTAATATATGTGAGCCTGGTTGCTTTTGTTAAGTTGGTAGTGGGAGGTCGGAAGTTTGCCGACGCCAGAAACGTTATACTTCTATACATGGTAGTTGAATGGCTCTGTAACCAAAGAGTTGGATTTGATTGGACAAATATATATATATATATGCTTAACGCCTAAAACAAAACCTAATAGGAAGCCTTGCCATCTACTTTTGCCGCGTGTTTTCCATTCCGACGGGCGTATAGACCCGAATAGCTCAAACTGACGTAACACCCGGAACAACTCCGACACTCGGACCTGAAGCGACTAACTCGGTCAACACAACGACTTCCGACTATATAACACTATAGACCCTGTAAAGTAAATCAAGACCCCAAACCCCTCATTTCCTTCAAAACTACCTTCTCCCACCAAGCCCCAAAATGACCCTCAAAGAAAACCGCGCCCTGCGCATTCTAGACCATGCCTCCGCAAACCACTACGCCATCCCCGCAATGTGCTGCTACAACGTGGAAGGCATCCTAGCCACCGTCCGCGCCGCGGAAGCCAAGCGCTCGGCAGCAATGATCCTCCTCTTCCCCTGGGCCATCCACTACGCCGACGGACTTCTCGTGCACGCGGCCGCCGAAGCCGCGCGCAAAGCCAGCGTACCCATCACCGTGCACATGGACCACGCACAAACACCCGAGATAATCCGGTACGCGGCTGACCTGGGCGGGTTCGACAGCATCATGGTCGACATGTCCCACTACGAGAAGGCAGAGAACCTTTCTCTGACGCGCGAGCTTGTGGAGTACTGCCACGCACGGGGGATTGCGACAGAGGCCGAGCCTGGTCGGATCGAGGGTGGTGAAGATGGAGTTGCTGATACAGCCGATCTTGAGGGATTGCTGACGACGCCTGAGGAGAGTCGGGAGTTTGTGGATACGGGGATTGATTGGCTTGCGCCTGCTTTTGGGAATGTTCATGGGGAGTATGGGCCGAGAGGAATTCAGTTGGAGTATGAGCGGTTGCAGTCGATTAATGAGGCTGTTGGACGGGAGGTGAAGCTTGTGCTTCATGGGGCGGATCCTTTTACTGAGGAGATTTTCAAGAAGTGCATTGATTGTGGGGTTAGCAAGGTCAATATTAATAAGGTGTTGAATAATGAGTATGTGAGGGTGCAGGCGGAGAAGGCTGGGAAGGTGCCTTTGACGACGTTGTTGGAGGAGACGACCAATGCTATGCAGAAGGCTGTTGAGGGGTGTATTGATCGATTGGGGTCTGGGGATAGATATCCGTCGAGTTAGGTAGATGAGGTTTTTTATGTTCCATGTGTTAAGTTTACTTCTTGTAATAATGTCATCTATTCAAGAATGTATTATGAGTCAAAAAACAATTCTCAGATTCTGGAAATAAAGCTGTTGGATATATGTGATTGCCAGCCAAAGAAGAAGAAAAGTCACCAATCTCTTGTCGGAGATACTGGTGTACAAAAGAATAAGAACACGGAGGCGACCATCTCAACCGTTTGATAGAAAATAATGATCCACATCACCAAAAGACCACATCATGCAGATATCAGGTTTAGCGATGGAGACCGAGACCAGCCATTGGAGCGGCAACAAGACCTCCAATAATGGGAAGACCCTTGACAAGGTCGGCAAGGGGAGCAGCGGCTTTAGCTGCGGTAGGAACAGGAGCTGCGGTAGGAACGGGAGCTGCGCTAGAAGAACTAGAAGCAGATGCGTTCTCAGAGGGAGTGGGAGCGGCGGTGGTAGAGGCAGAGGCAGAAGTGGAAGCCACAGGGGCCTCCGAGGCGACATGGGCGGAAGTAGGCTTAGGTGTCTGAACGCTGGACTGGGACACCGAAGTGAGAGAGGGCGCTGCGAGCTGAGCGGACTTTTTCATTGCCTCGAGGGCGGAGGAAAAGGAGTGCCCAAATCCATCCTCGGTGTCGTCAGCGCTGGAGCCGATTGGGGTGAAAGGGAATCCGGTATCGGTGTCTCCAAAGTCGCTGTTGCTAGGCTTGGGAGCGGCGGGTGCGGCGATAGCACCAATGGCGAACATCGCCAGGGAGATATATGAGATGCGCATTCTTGTTGGTCAAGTGACTTGGGTATTGGGGAATAAAAAGAAGTATATATGGCCAGAGAAAGAAATGAAGGGCTGGCTGGCGAGCGGGAGGAAGGGTGATAATGGGGGTTATGTAGGCAATATAGCGCCCTGACTGAGCTGTTGCGCTTGCTGTTTCACATCTTCCATGCCTCGCACTCTTTTCGCGAGTGATAAACATCGTTGGGGCAAATAGCAGCGTCTATGACCATTGGGGGGGCTGCAAAGGGTTCCAGGTGCCGCGCATGCCCAGTTCTTGTGGAATGATCGCCCCTGGGATCTGCCCAGGAAAGATGGAAAGCTTGTCAAATGCTGGTGGTCAAATCCGACGATCATTATTTGCTGTAGAGAAAGGGTGGACCCTTGTGGGCTGGATGATATCGGAGGTAATGGAGGAGGCTGACATGGTGGCACACGTCAAGATCCTTTCCGACACTTCATGGATGTGAGTCTCTTGAGATCTATATAAATTCTGCAGTTGAAAGGAATAAATGTGATTGTTTTCCCAACCAGATTGTCGAAAAAGCTCTATCTTGCTGGGCCGATGGTAACGGAATGCGTTGTACACTATCACTACAAGCACACTGTATTGGAAAAAGTGTTCCTTTGGGACTCTCTGGGAACCATACCTGCCCTGACACGTAAACCGCGGTCGGATCCCTCGAGACTTCAAAGGGCGTTGAATGTGTAGGGGAGGTTCTGGCATGCGGAAGTATCCCCTAGCAACTTAATCACCCCTTGCAGTGTCAGCCAGTCAGTCCATATGTACGGGCTTACTTTGCATACGGAGTGTTTACCTCTTTCTATACCTGCATTATAGTCACATACGCGCAGGATCGCAAGTTGACAATGCATACTCCGTACATTGTTGTGGTTTGTGGGGTTGCATCGAGCCTGATGCCCCCAGCCCCAGCTGGGTTGCTTGATGTCGGCCGAGGCTGATATATATTGCGCATACCATTCAATTTAATATTTCAACCCTTCGCTTGGGGCCTGTGGACTTAGAATGCGACATTTGGTCAATTTTAAAAAAGACCGCAGTAGCGATTTTCTAACGATCCAATGTCTGTATTTTATAGAAACCACCCCAACACATAGTAAATGAGATATGTCACGACCTGATATTGTAACAACCAAATTGTCTGTTTTTATTACTATTTAGCTATTCCTAAGGCTTATGAATACTGTACATCAATTCTTGGAAAATCGAAAACCTGCGTTGTCATAGTAGTGAAAATCATGCTACTCAAGGCCAGGAATATATATATCGCGATCACGGATTGCCAGACATTTTCCATACTTCCTAGAGACGCTGGATATCACCTAAAAAGTATCGAGCTATCAAGGAATCCATATGTACTACGGTGATTTAGCGCATGTACTATGCGTTTTGGGGTTGTGGCCATGTTATAGCCGGGGTCTAAATGCCAGACATTTTATTTTAGACCGACAGAAAGTAGACCCGAATCACAGGGAGAACGAACTCACGAGCAAAGTCAACTTTGACGGGCCCCAAATTTAAGGGGCTTATAGTCTTGGTGCTATGGACCCCACAAATTCTTTGAACTATCAAACGAAAGTGATTTCCCGCCGCCTAAATTTCGATCTGAAAGCAATTATTCCCATAGAAACACACTCGTCTTCGCTAGCTCCCGGGATCATTCGTATATTTGGACCTATCGTCTCGATCGCTGCGGAAATAGGTCATCTAGCATCGGGGATTTGATGGAACTAAGAATTTATGCGGTGGAATCAGCTTCAATTTCCTGAAATAGGGAAATCTGAACGATCGGAATGGTTTTGAGGCCTAGATATGGGGGAAATATGGAGGTTTATCACCAAAAGTGCCTTTTTAGTCATAAAGCTGGCCGCTTCGAATGCCCAAAACGGAATTATGTTGGACGTTATCTACAATGCCCTTGAAGATCCCATATCCCAGGGCGTTTAATGTGAAGCATCACGTTCACACTCTCTGACGATCACCGACGATCTATGCGCCAATTCCTCTCAAACCATTGTAGAAATATTGCGAGCATTTGGTCAAGTATTTGAAATGCCAAGGAATATCAATATAAAATACGTAATTCATTAACCGCTAGACCTACTATAGTTTCCTTTTTAATTGCTTGTAATTTATTATCACAATGAAGTAAAGTGTAGAGATCTCTAGAGCTTCAAATATACTACTAGAGTGCTACTATTTAGACTTGCATTTTAACACCTTAGGATCTATCAGTATATATCTAGTAACTAGGCTTCATACCCCTAATTCAGTTCTCGAGCTACTCCGTACACTGACGCCTACATACCTTATGGATAATACCTATATTGAACCAGTGCCAATATAGTAAATCGTACCAAGAAATGATCAGGTAGTCAATCGATTAAATTGAATGAAAATTTATATGTCTTGGCATACTTATAAATATACTGCCTGGCCAAGCATTTTGCCTTGGCTATGTTGTAGATATGTCTATTAGGACTGTGGATAGAATGCGCTATATTAACATGAAACCCTCTCTTCATCTCTTGACTGTGTATTCGAAACATATCTCTTTTGAGTCTGGTTTCTTTGCATAATTTATCCAATCTGTATTTAGAGTCCAGGGAACTGACCGGTTAGATTTGGATTACACTACGCAGGCGTTTGCCGATGTATCTTTTGTACACGAAACATATATAAAAGATCCCCAGTCTATATATATGGCATCTGATGAAAATTCGGTATCTGCTGAGGCGCACTAATACCAGGAGTGGTGTTGGCACTTGACATGTTCGGGAAAATCGTTTACTTTTTACCCGTTTTGGTCAATGGTATTCACTGGGTTACCATTCACCCGTTCTGGTCAGTGTGGCCTCAGGTTCAACTGCCCGTATGAATATCAAATCATATATAATGAACGATTTTAACATGCTAATTCAGTTTATTTGTATCCAGCTCCTTTTTATCAACATCCGTCCTTCTATTCGATCTTCACTTCAAAATGCGTTTTGAACTTGTTGTTTTGGCTCATCTTGCCAGCTCGGTGACTGGTCTTGCTCTTGGACAGGGCGGAAACAAGTTGGTCGCTCGAGATGAGGCAATTGCTCGGGTTTCTGGCGTGGTGTTACCCACGCCTATTGCATCACCTCCGCCCCCCATTCCCACCCGATGGGTTGAGCTATGCCCCGGCAAGCCTGGTTATTCCTACTCCCCGATAGATTGGGTGGAGGTAGGCGACAACGGTAGTGACGGGCTCTCAGGTCAGGAAATCTGTCTGGATGAAGAACCTATCAAGGGTGAAGGTACTGATATTGTAAGTTTACCCAATGAACGGTCTGCTATTCTTATCCACTAATACAGACAATAGCACGTTGAGCGTGGCTGCATTGTGATTGAAGGCGAAGCGCACTGCGCGCCTACAAGCTTCTCGTCTACGATGTTCCTCCCCCTAAGATTGAGTTGCCCTACCGTAAGTAGTATCATTGCCTGTTACTGGGGGCTAGGCTAACAGGTCTAGACGTTTCCGCGAGTGAAAAGAGCATCGTCTCCGTCGAAATATATGCCATGTTCGATGGTGACAACAAGGATGATTTGGTGACTCCTCGTTGCAGGCTCTCGCCACCATGGCCTAGCAATTGGCGTGATCTGGACTTCACCGCCGATAACTGTATCACGGATCGCAGCAGGGTGTGGAAAAAGTGCTGCGGCGACGAGGGAAATGGTAATGATCAACTGACTATCAACCCATACCTCTAAGCCCGTGCCTTTTCTGTGAGAGACAGCCTCGGGACAGAGGTCTACGTTAGAATTTATCCAATACACAAGAGTTCAGACACCTATCATGTTTTTTGGGCTTATGCTCTTCCCATTATGTACTTAGTGGAGACATTTATACATATCAGCAAGCATAGAGATCTATTTACTTTCCAAAATGAAAACCCTGCAGTATAGACTCGCTACATAGCTTAAGATAAGAGACGTTGATTCGACCCGAACAGTAAATGTGTATCTTTACATATGCATCCATTCGATCACAATTGGACACATCTAAATTCACTAGAATGGAGTATCCGTCATCACCAAGACACGAAGTACCGCCAGTACATATCAAGTCAAACATCCCCCACAATACGGTTATCTGCATAACCAATACGCACATTGCAAAGCACCATAAAGGGCTATGATCGACAGAAGTACAAGCTAGACTCTCATACATCATCAAAATTACCATAACAGAGAAACTTTCGTATATCACAGAGAGAACCTACATAGCCTACAGTATCACAGGTTTACTCCTTGATAAGACCCTCCACAGTAGCCCTCACACCAAACATACCAACCTCCGGACATCCAATTCCCATATCACGATAAACACAGATATTGTCAGCAGTAGTTTGGTGTAGCGCAAACTCGATGCGACGAGCAATATGCGCCAAAGATAAGTAGATTTCCGCATAGGCCAGGCTATATAAAGTATGAGTATACACGTGCGAGATGATGCATAGATAGAACTCACTTCATTCCCAGACATTGTCTACTGCCCTTGGTAAACGAGACAATATACCGACTCAAATACTCTCCCTTCTCCGCAGCGCGGATCCAACGCTCCGGGTCAAATTTCTTCGGCTCAGGGAAGAGCGTGGGATCCATATGGACAAAGTAGTTCGACTGACTGACCGGAGTCTGCGATATACAATAATCAGTAACTTTCCGTTAAAAGGGCAAGCCAGCTCTAGACCCGCCATCAGATTATACGCCCAAGAGCCGCATCGGTAGATCACAGCCAGTAAACTGGAACCCTTGACTTACACCTGCAGGGATAGTCCAATCCTGGTAGAGCATGGACTCAGTCGGTGAAACACGAGCCAATCGGGCCGTCATGCCATGGCTGAGACGCAGACCTTCATTAACGACACCCGTCTATTTCAAGATCAGCAATTCAAAACGAATATAAGAAAGGACCACTAAACAACAACCTACCAAGTATGGTAGTTGCTCCAAATCCACCCATGAAGCCTTGGAGCGCGGTGTCGGCAGCACCGTCTTCAACTCCGCCCGCAGCTTCGCCAAAATATCCTGATTGTTGATGAGATGAAATATCGCAACAGTAATCGACCTAGCCGTAGTCTCCGTACCAGCGCCAAGTAGCAGCGCAGACTCGTCCTCCAGACGATCAAGCGTTCTTTCGCTCTCAGGCAACTCTAAATTCGTCAACGCATCAAATATAGTCGGCCTCGCCTCGGAATCAATTTTTCGCAGACTCTGCTTCTGCAGAGTATCACTCGCTTGCTGTCTAAGCCTGGCCTTCAGATCGAATAAATCTGCCATTTGCGGCTGTAGCCAGCGTAGCAGGGTAGGCGACGTGTTCCTGAAAATGGTGATAAGGAATGGGAAGAACCGGTTAATGTGGAACATGACCATCAGTCCATTCACAGCGTCGACGAGGTCGTTACTCCGTGATCCCTTCTCGGTATCTAGGTAGCCGTAGCTCCAGCCATAACAGTAGTCTGTGATGACATCTGCGGTCAGAGCAGCGAAGTCTAGATGTATATGCAGCACCTCGCCGGCTTGATAGGCTTGTTCGAAGCGCGCGATCAGCTTGTCGACTTTATCGTCGATGGACGGGCCAAGATCTACCACCGAGCGCTTGGAGAAGTAGTTGCTCAGCAGACCGCGGCGGAAGCGGTGGTGATCGTGGCTTATTGTTCCTACAAGGGAGTAAGGCGCGCCGAAGGCTATAGCGTATCTAGGGTCCTTGGAGCGTTTGCGCGAGGCGCCGGCATGAATTTCGTCATAGTAGTTTGAGTCTTTGATGTGAATTTCATGTGGACTGATGCGTACGATAGGGCCTGGATGAGATATCAGTAAATTTGTATCTCGGTATGTTTTTGCCGGTTCACGTCGGATCTATATACTCACCATATTTCTCGTGCATGCGCTCAATCTCCCAGATATACATGCCGCTCTTAATTACATCATAATAAAATTCATAGAGAGAGGTTGCAGCAGCGAGTTTTGGACCGGGGAACCTGGACAGAGGATGGAAGTACAGATGGTACACAGTGCGCAAAGCCAGCAGGCCCAACGGCAACGCCACTAAGGACACGAATAGTGTCGAGGAATCCATTATAGACGAATAGCTCACTGATGGCGAGGGAGAGGAGCGAAGGCTGTTTATATAGAAAGGACGATGACATGGGTCCAGATGGGCGAAAATAGCCCCACGAGTTAGGTGGTGCATATATAGTGCATAGTGTATTAGCTAGCGTACAGAATACATTGGACTCTTTCCCGATTCAACGGGCTTATTCAAACAATGCAACCAGTCCTGGGTACCGACACGTCCCCGAGGGGCCCGCTAATGTACTATTTAGGGCTGCTATTCGTCGAATACTATCGGTTCGCACACCCCGTGCAGCTGCAGGCGCATCAAACGCTGGGGTCGACTCGAGCACAATTCTCCTTGTCCTTTAGCCAGGGAACAATCGGACACCCCCTGGTTTTGGATGGATGTGATGTGATATGTAGATGACGAGGTACAGCATGCATGGCTGATATACCCAACGTCCGTGTGAGCCCACCATTCGAGGAGCCAATGGATATCCTGGTTATTGGGAGTTGGATTCCACAGCCCGCTTTTATCTGCAGCCAACAAGGGGACAAAGCAATAAAGCCAAGGACAATGACACGGAACTTGGCCAAAAAAAGTAAGAGACAATGGACTATCTGGTAATCGAAACCAGGACCTCCCGCACGCTCGCAGGTATGCGAAGCGGGCGCACTACCAACTGTGCTAACAGCCCAGTTGAGTAATCGCTCGTGTCGCTATGACGATTTGTGGAGGAAGTGGGCTTGTTAGCGTGGTAGTGATGTTAGTGTGGACATAGCCGAGTAAGCCTAGCCCATGCGGGAATAAGTGTTTTGGGGATTCGCTTAGCATCTATTATGAGGGAAATAATCATGGTGTTGGCTGATATAGACTTGCAGATTGTTGTATATGGATTCATATGGAAATATCAGACATCTGGATTGATAGATTGATACAACATAAAAGTATAGGTTGCGATATCATCAGCCGAATGGACTACCAGTGCATTCCTGTAAGAAACAAAGGTCCACAATTTACACCTATAGAAACATCCGTGGAATAGTCGGGAAAAAAAAGTAAAACGAAAATAAGAAATAGAGAAACAGAGGAAAGGCGACTGGAAAGACATTGGACAGAAAGGAAAATTCCGCGGTACTCCGTTTTATATCCACAAATCTAGACGGCCAACATCTTCTTGATCTCGGCAATTGCGCGACCTGGGTTCAGGCCCTTGGGGCAAGTCCGTGTGCAGTTGAGAATGGTGTGGCAACGGTAGACGCTCATGCTGTTGTCGAGAGCGGCCTTGCGCTCGGCGGTCTTCTCATCACGGGAATCGGCCAACCAACGGAAGGACTGGAGCAGGACAGCGGGTCCGAGGTACTCCTCGCTGTTCCACCAGTAGGATGGGCAGGAGGTTGAGCAGCAGGCGCACAGAATGCATTCGTAGAGACCGTCGAGCTTCTTGCGGTCCTCGGGGGACTGGCGGAATTCGAGGCCCTGACAATCGTTAGTTTTTGTATAGATGATGCTGGTGCATAAGATAACTCACATCTTCGGAGGGAGTGTCGCGCTGGAGATATGGCTTGATAGACTTGTATTGCTTGTAGAAGTGGGTCATATCAGGGACCAAGTCCTTGACGACATAAGTGTGAGGCAGAGGGTAGATGCGAGACTCGGTCTTGGTATCGGTGGGAATGCGGCCTATACGGATGGAGAATTAGCATTCTGTCGGAATCTGTCGGATGTTGCAACATTGCGTATGTGCGGGTCCGGGTAACATACACAAGCAGGCAAGAGTGTTGACACCGTCGATGTTCATCGCGCAAGAACCGCAGATACCCTCACGGCAAGATCTCCGGAAAGTCAGGGTAGGGTCGAGTTCGTTCTTTATCCGGATGAGCGCATCGAGCATCATGGGTCCGGTCTTGTTCAGGTCGAGGTCGTAGGACTGCATCTGGGGCTTCTCGCTAGGTGTGTCCGGGTTCCAGCGGTAGACCTTGAAAGTCTTCATCTTGGGCTGCTCGGAGGGAGTAGGCTCGACGGTCGCATAGGTGCGAGCGAAGGCAGGGCGGAACATCGGCCGCGATGCCGCGAACAATCGCGAAGTGGTACGGAGGGAGGCCATGGTGATCGGAAACGTGAAAAACACCTAAGGCGAAGAGGAAAGAGAAGGTGGAGAGGGTGGAGAAAATGGGATTGATATCAGAAAGTCAGAAGAAGAGGGGAGATATTTCAAGAGTGTGAATGTAGCGACGACGAAGTCGAGATTCACGGTCCAACAGAGATCCTCAACAGTAAAATGAAGTCCAAGGAGTCTCTTCGCTAGTAACCTCGGGTTTGACGGGTCGGGTGTGTAGATGCTGACATCAGCGGGTCTCAACCAATCAGGACGAGGGTGTTTACAAGCCTCGGGCGGACACGGCGGTGACCTGGATCTACTGCCGATACTACGCTCACATAGCTATATGTATATGCGTTGAATACTTGTCAATTGATCTTATTAGTATGATAGGACGGGTCTAACATATTAATCTTCCCATCTTATCTACTCCAACCCTCCATTGATCAACTCTGGAGTGATTCCCCAGTCAAACCCACAAAAGTGGACGCCTCAGGCTCCAAGGCCACTCCCGATCTGGTTGCCGAGACTGGATAACGGCTACTCCGGCCGACTCACATGCCTTTGGAAACTGCCACAATGTCGCATTAATATTGACATGATTATTTCATTATTACAGCCAACCACTTTCTCAATCATCCGCTAACGGCGATTAACATAGTTCTGATGCCATTCATAGTCCCGATTCTCCGTCAAGAAAGCCCGAATAGCCTCACGCGGTGGCACGGGTTGCCGGCCCAGCAAGTCCGCCATGAGCGGGTCAATCGTGCACGTCTCCCCCTTTGAAATACCCTCGTACCACGACAGCAGTGCCTGGAAGAATCCTTCGCCCTTCCCGCCCTCGTCGCCAGCCTTCTTCAACCGCACAAACTCCTCCGGCGAGACAAGCTCGAACTGAACATTTCGGCCGGTCGTCTCGTTGATCAGATCCACGATCTCAGAGAATGTGATGGTCTGCTGGGCTGTAAGCAGCACAGTCTCTCGATCGTATCCGCCCCGGATCATCAGTCGCGCATTCGCCTCGCCTAGCTCCGATCGCAGTGTAAAGGCGATTGGTCCGTCGGAGGGGAGGTAGACGGTCGATGTGCTTGGATACCAGCCCATGAAGACCGGGAAGGCGTCTGTGTAAAGACCCTCACGGATGGAGGTAAAGTTGATACCGGCTCTGGCTGGTGTTAGTGGGGGGTAGGTTGTCACGGTCGGGCCTTGACACTTACTCTTTCATCATCTCCTCTGTCATCAGATGGCCTTGCTGGACCGCTGCTTTGGAGTCGGAAGTGTATCCGCCGAATGCAAGAGATGTATACCATAGCTGCGGGTTTCATGTTAGCTGCAGTGGTTGTCCGGGGGAGATTCATGACTGACGTGTTTCACGTTCATCTTCTTCGCTGCAAGTATAAAGTTTTCGTGTTGCTTGCGCCGCTTCTCGGTGTCAAAGGTATTCGTGCTAACGAAGAAGATGTTTTCCACGTCTTTAAATGCGGTCTCTAGTGTCTGAGGGTCGTCATAGCTCGCTAGTCGGAATGCGATTCCTCGGTCTTCGAACTGCTTGCGATTCTCCTCTTTCGAGGACGCTGCGGCATATTCTGATGCCGGGACATTTGCAGCAAGGTAGGATAGGACCCCGGCACCGAGGCCTCCCGTCGCTCCTGTAATGAGATATTTAAGTGTCATTCTGAATAGTAGAAATTATGAACGTTTTCGACCAAGAATCACTAGGATGAGTCAATGGAGTAAATTAAGTAGAAGTGATCTTCCCCCGGACTCCGAGTGTGTTCTTGCGCTTTTATACATCGAATTTCTATTGCATGACATGTGTTGATCGACAGCTTCGCATTCAAATCGGTCTAGATTATTCAATCATGTTGGTAAGCGCCATCATTGGTAATCAGCTAGAATCACTGCCTAAAAAGGTTGACTCATGCATTTTGACAAAGACGACAACGTTTCACTGGACGCTAGTCTTAGAGCTAGTCTTGGGGTACAGGGGGTCATCAAGTTTTGCTCCGAAGCCAACCGGTTTATGTTGATGTGAAGCTGGCTTGACATCGCGAGACAGAGGTTCATCTCAGAATCCGATACTGTAGGATCATTAGGGGCACTCTCTAGACTGTGGATCTGGTTGGAAGATTTTCTCGAGAGTAGACGACCCAGCTTCCAACGGAGTTCGGACTCAACTTTGGACACACAAGGTCCCCCCTAATGCAATGCACATGCATGCACGCCACCGTGTAAATTACAATACCTTTTCAAATGCATACAGTCAATTCAATACAGAACAGGGCGAGAGACACATACTATCAATCAATCAACTTTGATGATGGGTATTAACATTACTCACCAAAAGTAACGTGGCGTACATGTACATATTGCAATAGGGGACCTTCTCGGGCTGTGGTAGTTGCCTCTATGGAGTATGATATGGAGCACTTAAGATAGCCCAGACTTTAACCGCCGACTAATGACCTAACAGAAAATAAAACCGTTTCAATGTCTCACTAGCAGACTAAGCGCCGCACTATCGAACGCCTCCAACAGCCCACCCTAAAATCACCATCTACCACATCCAAGCCGCGCGAAGAACCCCTTTCGTTTGTCTTGTCTATCACGTCTTTGCATAGTACCCGCATCAGACGCAACCGCACCGGAGGGGGTTTTACCAGAATGTTCTGTCGGGGGTGTAGGCTTCCCCGACTTGTCAAAGGCCGGGTTATATTTTAGCGGATTGATACGAGGATCGACGAGGTTACCACTTAGCCCGATAAACTTACCGAACTCGCAGCGCTTGATTTCAACATCGGTTGGAGTTTCAATCCACATGCGTCGTTCACAGTTCCACGTGAGCCACGGATTAGCAATAACCGTGGGATAGTCTCTAGTTTCTTCGGTCTCGGGACGGAATTGATAAAACCACGCGGATAGATCGTTGAGTGTGGCTGAGTCGAGCTCGTAGTATTCTCGAATAGTTTTTGGAAAGTCCTTATGTTCTTCTCCATGATCTTCACCATGCTCTTCTCCATAATCTCCACGGCGGGATACGAATTGAGCAATGGGTGTGTCAAGGCCGACCTTGCGACGTGGACGTGGAGGTTTGGTAGATTTTGGGAAGGCTTTGGGATGAGCAGTGGGAGGTTCGGTGCTGGTGCTAGCAGGAGTGTTGCTGAAGTTGAAGGATTCCATTACTTGAAATGGGCATGGGAGAATAGATGAGATTGAAGATGGGCATATTCGTGATTGTCGGGATGGAACATACTGTTTATATAGGACCTAAGATATAGCTATGCCAACTCATTGTCTATATCGCGTTGCTGTTATTGAAACATCCCAAAATAGCGTTGAGCTGGACGTCGGCGAGCAAGTCATTGTGAGTTTCATTCTCAAACATCGAGACCTCTTTTCGACCAAGGAAGCCATGAGATTTGTCTGTAACACTTCGATTATTTGTTTCATGAGTAAGGCTATACAGCCACGGCGATAAAGGACTGGATGCACAGCTTCATACTGTCGGACACTATCTGGTGATAGAGAAACGGGGTCTCAAAAATAAAGAAAAAGGTATAGTTCATGCCATATATACAGCGCGTAGGATGTCTTGAAAAAGACTTCCAACGTCTATGAGTAGTCTATATCTATATCTATATGTGTATCTATTATAGCCAAGAGAATCCCCTCTAACTCTCTATAGAGCCAGGCTTCTCGACACTGACCCTCTCCTCCCCACGACTAATATTAACTTCATTCGTAACCCGAATCCCGGGACTCTTCGTACCATGCTTCCGCTTCTCCTCCTTCCTACTGCGATCACTCCCGCTCGATCCGCCTCGAATATCTCTCGAAACCGAGACCTCGGAAGGCATCATTTCATAATCATCATTCCCAATCTTGGACCAGTTAATGAGACGCTTACTATCCCGATTGCTGGAGACCGCACCGCTTCCCATAGTCTTGGAATGACCCAGACTATGCAGTTTTGCCGACCGCGTGCGCGTGTGACTGGAGGTGTACTCAGTCAGGTGCGCGAACAAGTTTCCAAAGACCGGCTTCAGCGCTGGCACGGAGAGCGCCACTAGAGTTGCTGCGATCTCGGCGTTCTCGACACACATCATAGGGTTATAAGCCCAGCTACCGTCGGAGTCCCATTGGCCTATTGCGACGAGCCAGACGCGGACTGCAGAGATGACGATCACGCTGTTTGGCATTAGTTTTGGAGGACTTATTTCGATATTGTAGATGGGAAAATCGAGGTACTCACAAGACACCGGGGAACATCACAAATGATAGCTTGATCTTCTTTTCTAACGAGACATGTAGTCCCTTGATGAGTGCGGCCGGGATCGCGAACATCAGCACGTCGCATGCGAGCGACAGACCGGAGTTCACCGAGTATACGAGCCCCCACGAGAGACATGTGTAGGTCTTTGGCTCAACTTGCCACGCGTAGGGCCACAGCCCTGTGACCGGTTTGCAGTGGAAGATCAGGAGGAAGAGCTGGGGTAGATAGGCGGCGAGAAGGAGGGGTGCGGCGATGATAATGCTTAGGTGGAGTTTTGTTGAGCGGGCTGAGAGCCGGTAGTAGAAGGCTAGACCGGAGAGACGACAGAGGAATAGAGCCGTTGTGTAGAGAATGTGGGCGATGAAGTCTACGATTTCGGTTTCGCGGACTGCGCCAGGTGATAGCACATATTGGATGTATTCCATGTGGCGACCACTTCCTAATTTGATCACGACGATGGAGAGAACGACAAAGCCAATGTAGAGAATCTGTGATGGGAGATCTTGTTAGTAACTATGTTTTTGTGACTATCCCTAGTCAATTCTGTCGTGCATGGCAGTTGAGCCGCCATGCATGTTTAGTGCAGATCTGGGGCGAAAAGTGGATGAGTCGTACCAATGTCACGATTGCCAACATATCGTCCAAGCCAATCTTCTTTACAATGAATGCCCGGGCATATAATCGTGCAATCATCAACAGGCCGGTGAAGCATATCATGAAAATGATTCCCACAATGGCGGCATGATCGCGGGTCTCTGCTAGATATTCGAGAGAGACATTGCTCGGGATTCTTCCTGCTGCATGTGCAGCAAGAATGTCATCAGGTATAGTCATATCCAATTTCAAACCATGATTGGAAGGTATCAAGGCATTTCAAGGTGTAAGGGTATTAAGGAAGGCGAAGATGACGATATCGGAGAGGTGAAGGCTATATCCCCGAGATGGCAAACATGAGAAAGTGGGAGCGGGTCTTTACTTTTTAATCCAAGGGAGGTGGCCAACGGGGTCTTCGTACCAGACATCCCATCCAGACCCATGGGACTCTGGTGAATCGAACTGTGTGGAGATGTTCAAACTCTCTTGTCATCGGAGATCCAATCATGTATTGTGATCCTGACTATACATCCTCATACCTAGGCGGACTATCATCGGTCAGATACCATCTGTCTGTCAGAATAGACCATAGATTAAAGATCAATGAAGTACCCCTGCAGAATGCGATAGGTTTTTTCCGATATGCTTTTCCACGTGGATGAAAATCGCCTAGTATGCAGCTTGACTTTCAGCTTTTCCACAATATCCTGGGATATGATAGGTGCCGTCGCTATATTAAGCCCTTGATCAAAGTCAAAGGCTACCGCGCAATGGCCGAGCTGAGCCGAGCTAGTCAGAGAACATTTCGGTCCCAACGGGCCTTCGCAAAGGACAGCCAATCAACCCCTACACAGTGGATCCGGATCGATCGAACGACATGCACAACTCGGTGCCGAATGGTACGAGATGGAGCCCGCAATTTCTTCGGGTCCAGTGAGCGTGCAGTTTTAGGCAGGTGTCTCGAGTCCCAAGGTTTTGCGCGGTAGGACATAGATTAATTAATCAAGGTAGAGATTAATTGAACCGTTTGGGTCATTTTTCAACACTTCTTTTTCCACCATGGTTTCTGAAGAACGCCACAAGTCTCAATAGTGCAGACCTGGTGGACGAAAGAAGATTAGTCTGAAGAGAAATGTCGACCGAAGCAGAGAGAAGCAGACTAAAATAGGCGCGTCGAGGAATTCGGAGATATGAAAACAGTGAAAAAAATGTCCTGGATGCGGGTTTATCGCCGATTAGTCACGCAATCACGGTATCGGCCGACCCACGCGAGGAGTATAACAGCACGAACTCCCCCGAACGATTAACCTTTCTGCCACATGGTTTGTTCGCGGGGATTCGAAAGATAATTCTCATCATGGCACCGTTAATTCAGACATTGGTGAGCGGTCTCGCTTTGGTGACCTCCGTTGTGGCTCAGGAGGCCGACAGCTTGGTCGACTCCCAGATCCTCACCGATCCCTACCTCTATGACTTCCCTCGTCTGGGTGGCGATGGTGCTGCGCAGTTCGCTATGCGACCCTGCCACGGCTTCAAGCTGGAGGAGGCTACAATTGATCAGATTCAGGCCGAGTTGGAGAGTGGCACTTTCACCGGCGTCCAGTTGCTGGAATGTTACATGGATCGTGTCCACCAGACCCAGCCTTACTTGAAGTATGTAATGGTTGATTTCTGTCATAGAATTGTTGACTAACAAGCTCGCTAGTGCTATCCTGCAAGTCAACCCGGATGCTTTCTCCATTGCACAGAAGCTCGATGCTGAGCGTGCTAATGGCATTGTTCGTGGTCCTCTCCACGGCATCCCCTTCATTGTCAAGGACAACATCGCCAGTAAGGATCGTATGGAGACTACTGCCGGCAGCTGGGCTCTGCTCGGCAACGTCGTACCCCGTGATTCTTACGTCGTCAACGGCATGCGTAAGGCCGGTGCTCTGCTGCTCGGCAAGGCTGCTCTGAGCGAGTGGGCCGACATGCGCTCCAACAACTACTCCGAGGGCTTCAGTGCCCGCGGCGGTCAGTGCCGCAGTGCTTACAACTTCACTGTTAACCCCGGTGGCAGCAGCACTGGCTCTGGTGTCGCCGTCGGCGCCAACCTGGTCCCCATTGCCCTTGGAACCGAGACTGATGGCAGTGTCATCAACCCCGCTCAGCGCAACTCGATTGTTGGAATCAAGCCCACTGTCGGTCTGACCTCCCGTGCCGGTGTCATCCCCGAGTCTGCCCACCAGGACACCGTCGGCACCTTTGGCAAGACTGTCCGTGATGCCGTCTACGCTCTCGATGCCATCTACGGTATTGACTCTCGCGACAACTACACCTCCGCCCAGGAGGGTCTCACCCCCGTCGGTGGGTACGCCCAGTTCCTGACCAACCAGACCGCTCTCAAGGGCGCCGTCTTCGGTATCCCCTGGGAGTCCTTCTGGGCCCTTGGCGACTCCGACCAAATCGCCCAGCTGGTCGAGCTGGTCGAGCTGATCGAGTCCGCTGGTGCCACCATCATCAACGGCACTGAACTGCCTCACTACAAGGAGATCGTTTCGCCCGATGGCTGGAACTGGGACTACGGTACTACCCGCGGCTACGCCAACGAGTCCTCCTACTCCTACATCAAGGTCGACTTCTACAACAACCTGCGCGACTACCTCTCCGAGGTTGAGAACACCAACGTCCGCTCCGTCGAGGATCTCGTCCAGTACAACATCGACAACTACGGTTCCGAGGGCGGTTTCCCCGGTATCCACCCTGCCTTCGGCTCTGGCCAGGACGGTCTCATCGCTTCCCTCGAGAGCAAGGGTATCATGGACGAGACTTACTTCCAGGCTTTGGAGTTCTGCCAGCGCACTACCCGTGAGGAGGGTATCGATGCCGCTCTCAAGCATGGCAACGTTACTCTCGATGGTCTCCTTGTGCCTCCCGATGTCGCTCAGAGCATTCAGATCGCTGCCCAGGCCGGATACCCCGTTATCACTCTGCCTGGTGGTGTCAGCGATGCCTCGGGCATGCCGTTCGGTCTTGCTATCATGAACACTGCCTTCTCCGAGCCTACTTTGATCAAGTACGCCAGTGCTATTGAGGATCTGAAGAAGAGCCGAGGCGCTAATGGTGAACGCGCACTCCCTAAGTGGCGTGGCTACCTGGAGCGTCCTCTGCCTGTCGCCTAGGCAATTTGAGTGTATTTTGTTTGAAAATGGTTATACATAGCTGATCATTTTTGCTTTTTGTTATATACCACACATGATTATATAGACTACACATTGTTAATGGATAGAATTCAGAGTCATCCCTTTTCTTTTTCCCCTATGGCTTTTCAATGAAACATGTATTTATTTACTTGATATTTCTCCAGCAAATCGCCGAAATTATCTCGAACAGGAGAGCTTCCGGTGGATCCCATCTGACAGCTGTTGTGGACCTACATGATCTTCACCTACGGAGTACAATTTAGGGTATGATTGCAAGAACACACCGCTGGAAGATCGACAGAATATCACCTCTTCGCCAAGACGGAGAAATTTCTCGATCTCACCCCATGGTACCCCATGACTCGGAATCTCTTCAGGACACAGACCTGCAAAAAGGAGGTCGAACTGGATCTCGGAGATAATTTTCATCCGAGTGAAGAGTCCACAAAGCTAAGCTTCATACAGATACGTGGGGTATCCAGATATGAAACATCTTCAGACACCGGAGTTGATCCTTTTAAGGCTGGTCTGATTTACACTCAACTTTAATGGGAATTGATGTGTATACCCTTCGGCCACGGAGGACTCTTGGTGCACGAATTATCCCAAAGTCACCCTATTGGTGTATATCTCTCACCCCTGACACCTGCAATTCTTCCGGAATTCCTCCCAGATGCACCTCTGCATGGCATGGCTGTTTTTCTCCGCAAAATTGTGGATTGCAGACAACCCACTTTATTGCTCGGACTGAAGGTCCACGTTTCTATGCCAGACTGAAGACTTAGGGTTTCGGTATCTCCTGGGTAAACGGAGATTAACCGCATTCTCAAACATGCCTGTCTTAGCTCGGAGCTATCTATAACCGATTGCTGATTCCTATATAAGATCACCTGCACCGCGCCCATGTTTTCTTCAGATCTCAACTCCTCCAACTTCCCCCAAAGCCCACCATGAAGATCGCAGCCATCATCGCAGCACTCGCAGTGCGAGCCGCTGCCGTCGGTGTCACCGGCGCAGCAGAGGGTTTCGCCAAAGGCGTCACTGGCGGTGGCTCTGCCACCCCCGTCTACCCCAGCACTACAGCCGAGCTGGTCTCGTACCTGGGTGACTCCTCACCCCGCGTGATCATCCTATCCAAGACCTTCGATTTCACCGGCACAGAGGGAACCACCACCGGCACCGGCTGCGCGCCTTGGGGTACAGCCTCAGCTTGCCAGGTCGCCATCAACCAAAACAACTGGTGCGGGAACTACGAGCCAAACGCACCCTCCACCCCTGTCAGCTAGTGCGTACAACCTCCCCAATTCTCTCCCCTCGTACTAACCCACTCTCCCAGTGACAATGCCGGCGTCCTCGGCATAACCGTCAAATCCAACAAATCCATCGTCGGCTCCGGCTCAAAGGGTATAATCAAGGGCAAAGGACTTCGAATCGTCAGCGGCGCGAACAACGTCATTATCCAGTGAGGAATACCCTGAACCTGAATATACAAAAGCCATTTTAAAACCTAACACCGCCAGGAACGTCGCTATCACCGACATCAACCCCAAATACGTCTGGGGCGGCGACGCAATCACCATCAACAACGCCGACATGGTCTGGATCGACCACGTCACGACAGCACGCATCTCGCGCCAACACATCGTCCTCGGCACCGAGGCCTCCAAGCGCGTCACTATTTCCAACAGCGTCATTGACGGCACCAGCACATACTCTGCTACCTGTAACGGCTACCACTACTGGGGTGTCTATCTCGACGGATCTAGTGACCTCGTTACCATGAAGGGTAACTACATTTTCCACACTAGTGGACGTGCGCCGAAGGTGCAGGGGAATACGCTTTTGCATGCCGTGAGTAGATTTCTCTCTTCTCTCTCCCTCCCTACCTGTTTCGCGGGGGCCAGTCTCTTTGAAACATCAAGAATACACACTAACACATAAACCAGGTCAACAACTACTGGTACCAGAACGTCGGCCACGCGTTCGAGATCGGCACGGGTGGATATGTCCTCGCTGAAGGCAATGTGTTCCAGAACATTGCTGCTGTTGTCGAGACGCCGATTTCCGGACAGTTGTTTACGTCGCCGGATACCAACACCAATGCAGTTTGCAGCACTTACCTTGGGCGGGCGTGTCAGACTAACGGGTTTGGATCGTCTGGATCGTTTAGTCGGGCTGATACCGGATTCTTGGCTAATTTCGCTGGGAAGAATATTGCCGCTGCGACAGCTTATACTTCTGTTGTTGCGAGTGTCAATGCTAATGCTGGACAGGGTAAGCTGTGAGGTGGGGAGTTGTGTTTGATATACTCCCGGGGATGGGGGTTATAATTGAGCATTGTCTGTCGTTTAAGCTTGTACTAAGGGTTCTATGTGATTTACTGGTCCTTTTGAGGGATTTTGCTCCAATAATTATTCATTGACAAGAAAGATAAGACGAGAACTAGAACTAGTTCAAGTTGATGGATGTACAAGTTGTGCTCAAGTCATAGGGCTGATAATGATAGTGATGTGCTTATGTCGCGAGTAATTTGCCAGAGGCGGGTGTGAATATGGTTCAATCAGTTGATGATGAAAAGGCCCGGTCCGGCGATAGTTGTCTTCGCCACGCTGTATGCATTTGGGAATGGCCCCTTTGTTGTAGTCACCGCAGCGATGGTCAGCCCGTTCAATTCATGTGCATCATAGGGGAACAAAGCCTTTGCGGTAATGGTGCCGTTCCCCTTCGAGACAACCTGGAGAGATTCCACAATCGGCAGATTCTGCTGGTTGATGTAAGTGAGCCATAGCGCGTCCTCCTCAATCTTGTCGGTATGGGCGAAAGAAACCTTGATGTTCCCGGTCTCCGCAGTAGGGCCTTGGATGACATTGAGAGGTGCGAAGGTTTTGAGCGGAATGGTGTCGATGTTGGGACAAGTACCGGGCACGGTGAAGCTCTGGATAGCAGTGAAGGCAAAGTTGAGATCAGTGGTTGTCAAGAAAGGCAGTTCACTAGGGACCTTGCCCTGCATGATACGGAACCAGCCCTGCTGTTCTCCCTCCTGGCCAATGACGGAGGAAATTGCGCGTGAGAGTCCAATGTCACCACCGATAGCAAATCTCTCGACAACATCCTGCAGGGTTCCCAAAACCACATCTGTGAAGGTAGTTGCAAGCATAATTGCCGCATCAAAGTTCTCAACGGGAAAGCTATAACGACAAGGCTCGATCGGGTCAATTCCAACATTAGCCAAGGCGTTGTTGGCGTCTAGGGCATGGAGCTCCTCTTGCTGCGTCAAATTAGCAAGTATCACCGAGCGACACTGATGGGGATATCGTCACGTACAGCCAGAATCACCTTCAGGCCATTCAAAACAAAGTTATAATCGCCTTCATTAGAGAAGCGATACCCCGGGGCCTTGTCAGTGATGTTTGCGATCAATTGATCGAAAAAGGCAACTTCAAACAACTCGTTGAATGCGATCAGCTTGAGATTGGCGATTCCTCCTTCGCTGATACCAGTAGGGGGAGGTCCATTTGGCAGAGTTCCGTGTGCATTTTGCTCAATTGTCTCCACTTCCCTTGGATCTGGATTAGGCATTCCATCCGGAAGAGGGCGAGCGGACACATTCAGAAACGGAGCGGCGAAAGTCAAGTGGGCCATGCCCAGAAGGGCAGTAATATAGAAGTGCATAATGTTTCAAAAAGGATGTGGAGTGAGTGAAGCTGGTATCAATGTGTTATTATAGCGAGTTGATGGGCGAGAGAGTGGAAGATGAAGTGACGAAGTCGGGAAGTATGGCAATTCATCAAGGGAAGGAACAGCCATCTACTTGTCTATTTGCACTTTGACTCTTCGACTATCTCTTCCAGGGGACTTCATGCGCGTCTACGAAAAATGACGTCTATTCTGGTCAGCACTTGGTCCTCTCCTATTCATGGTGATATCTGCTTCAGATTTATTCACTCAAAGAATTACCAAACGAAGCTCAACGTTTGCTGAATTCACCTCGCGGTTCCCTCACCCGGGAAGAAAAATTAATATGTATCTAAACCAAGACAATTTGGGTATTGCCTACGTTTAGTTGGGAGCTTTCTGCAAGGTTATGCTTGAATCGCACGAAAGATCTATTGGCAGTTTTTCCAGAAAGGTTGAGATCCGGGGAGTTTGGGCTCTCCGGTACTCTCCTGTAATCACATAACACGATATGTATTCCAAGACCTCCAAGGGGGTCTGCTGTTACCACACGGTCTATTGAGTCCTTCCCTGGGAAAGTAAAACAATGTATGCTATGAGTGGTAAGATCCGAACAGCTCTGTACATCCAGCAGTGGGCTCCTTGACCAACTGGGGTGAGGTATTTTACGCTTTTAATATCATTCTATGCCAAGTAGATCAATTATAACGTAGAATCACGTCAATCATTATCAATTTAATTCAGGCTGAGTAACAAGCAAGTATGCGTGGCGCATGGATATCTTTTCACAACAAACAACATTGAAAGGAACACTCAAGCACGTTCCCGGTACTCAGGCGACTCCTTCTCCGTGACTGCAATCTCCTTCTCGACCTGCTGGAGATCAACATGCGCCACATCGGCATCTTCACCATCGAAGATCTTAGCCAGCTCCTCGAGAGTGGGACCCCGAGTCTCAACGTAGAAGAAGTAGACGAAGCAGAGCTCGATGAAGATCCAAATCGTGTAGATCATCGACAGATTCCAGTGGTGAGGAAGGTTCTCCCATGCAATCGGATTGGTATAACTAGGATGGTCAGCCTGGTCCAAAGAATAAGAATCAATATTGGGGGCAACTCACTTTCCAAGAACCAGAGATGCCTGCACCGTCAGGTTCATAATCATAACACCCTTGGCGCGCAGGCGGTAGGGCAGAATCTCGATCGAGTAGGCGACGAGCAGACCTGACCAGGCAATGGCGTAGAACACAGCGAAGAGCCAGACGAAGACGACTTGGGGGTAGCCGGTCTTGGCAACATCTCCGGTCTTCTCGAAGACGGAGGAAACGACAGTCCATGCGAGGAACATAAGAACCATGCCTGCGAAGAGAAAGTCAGTAACACGGTAAATTTATCACGGATGTGTTTGGCACGTACCGACTGTGGAAACCAGGAAAAGAGGTCGGCGACCAACTCGGTCAACGAAGAATGCACTGGAAACACTGACAACCAAACTGAGTAGAGTTTGTCCACCATTGAGCTATAAATCGTCAGTGAGGAGCCATTTGACAGGACGCAGGGGGAAACGAACAGGAATCTTCTTGGTTTGTTCGGTGATACCCATGCTGTTGTAGATCAAATTGGTGTAGTTGCTGAACAAGGCATTGCCACTGTATTGGGAAATGACTCCCAGAGAAATCAAAAGTGCCAAACGGTAACGGTTACCCCTGGTCTTGCAGAAGTCCAAGTAGCTGCTGTTCTTCTGGTACCGCATCTCCAAGTTGATGGTCTCCTTAATCTCGCGGTACTCGAATTGAACGGTGGCGTTGTTCTGATCTCCATTTCCGTGATAGTACGCGAGGATGTCCAATGCGTCCTCGTATCGCTCCTTAGAGACAAGCCAACGGGGAGATTCCGGGACCCCTTAGAATGGTCAGCGTGGATACAGTCGATTGCAAGGAAATGAGAACTCACAATAGATGAAGACAATCTGAATGACGGCGGGGAGGACTTGGAGAAGGGTCAAACTGCGCCATGACCAATCGTTGGGGATATACATGGTTCCCCATGCAAGCCAAGCGACGACTAGACTCGGTCAGCACAACGTCTGGAGACGGGTCGGACGAAGACATACGGAGTGCACCCAGATTCCACAAGCAGTTATAAATGGAGGTAACCTTTCCACGGTGTTGGGGGTGGCAGATTTCAGACAGAAGAACTGGGGATGCCATCTGCGCCAGACTGTTTCCGAAACCGAGGAGCAATCGACCAGCGACGTACACTACGGAGAATTAGCAGAAGTTAAAATGTGAGTATATGAGATGGTAACACTTACTTCCATAATTTGTGCAGAATGCACCGAGCAAGCCACCGAGAATCATCAAGACACATCCAATCGCGATGGGAATCTTGCGACCCCATCGATCAGCGATGAAGGGGCTGGTCAAGTCAGCGAGTTTCCATGATATTTTGATGCTGGCTGACTTACACGAAAGGGAAACTGGCAAGACTACCAATCTGGTAAATTGCATTCATTAATCCCAGCTGAGCGCCATTGGGATGATCGAAGTACACCTGCCACGAATCCAAATTTTGGGAGGTGTTAAGCATCATTCTACACTCCAGTCAGCTCTATACATGTTCATTCACAAAGTTCTCTGAGCCTTACCCATCGTATCCAGTAGTAGCAGAAGCGACACAAAGAACAGCGGCCCAGAAGTAGAGTTTGCGCAGACCAGGCTCTTGCCACCAGTTAACTTTGTCCAATTCAGGCTTTGCAGCATGAGTCGCGTCCAAATCGGACTGCAGAGTCGAAGCTCCTACAGCGATACCCATGATGTCGGTAGAGTCTGCTTAGACAAAGTGTATGAAGTATATGCAAAAAGTGGGGATGTCCACCAAGCTTGCGACACAAAACAAAGGAATGCAGAGGCAGGGGACTCCTCGGAGGTTTTAAGCAATTCAGATTTGCCATCCTCCGATATTTCAAGGTTGATATTAACCGGCTAATAGGAGAATTGATGCCTTGGCTGAGCTGCAGCTCTCCCCGGTTTTCAATTGAAACACATACTGGAAAAAATAGCAATAAAGAAATTCCAGTGTTTTTTCATGACGCTAGGACAGATTCTGCGCAGCGCCGGCACTAGAAAATGCCTATTCATGCACAGACTAGCCAGGTTGGTGGCCTGGCAGACCGACCTTGCCCTATGGGGAAGTGCTGGTAGAACAAAAACGTTCCATTCCCGGGTCTAAGGTCTAAGTATCTGGCCCAGGCTAATTCCATGGGATCCACAACTTACTGCAGAGCTATGATTGGAGCTGAATGAGCCACTACAGGCAAGTCGTGTGGTCAAGATTACCCTCGCTTATTTGGGTACCGCGTGTTGTTAGGGACCCTGTCTTTGGATGTGAGACGAAATTCATTCTTCCCCACAAATGTGTGGATTGGACGGCCCGGGGCCCACAAATTGATAAACCTGGAGAAGGGCAAATGCATCTAATGCACATCCCTCCGTGTTCATTGAGGTGTTAGCTTGGGTCTGTTCTTGATCAAGGTTTTGAATGCTTCCTGTTGAGGGGTTTCTGTATGTCAAACACCTTCATGGTCCAAATTTTCCTCCGTGCCGGATTAAGTGACCATATTAGCCTGGACGCCACCTGACGGGAAATGAAGTAGTTTGAGTGGTATGAGTGGTGGTGCCAAGACGCGCAAGGGAAGTTGGTGCGAAGTTGGGGGAGCATTCTTCATTTGCGGGGGAAAATGCACTATGGACTTGACTCTTTAGCCGGCAGACAGATCTTGGCAACGCCATTTATTAGGCAAATTATTGGCATGAAATCTTGTTCAGCTTCAAGCAAACGCCTGATCTCGAACAAGGAAATACATGTGAGGATCAAATAACAGTGTGTATAAATCGGAGTTCACCGCTTTCTTCTCCAGTGAAGTGACCGCCTCAGATCAAGTAGAGACAGAACCGCCTCTTATTGGTCCGATTGAATTGTCGGCAGAACCAGGGACGGCAGTTACACAACAAATAGAAGCCGCGTTGCTCAAGTAAGTAACTGCCACTATTGCAACTATTCATACTGTTTTAGAAGATGGACTCATGCTGTCTCCTTCAGGAGCCTCAGCTAAAATGACAGCTAACTCCAGCTACAAGCTCTCACAAGAGCAAATTGATCATTTCATGAGATATGGATACGTGCGTCTACCAGAGTGTTTCTCCCGGGAGAAAGCAGCCGAGTGGGCAGGCGATGTGTGGACTAGACTCGGTGTATCACCAACGGATAAGTCCACATGGACAACCGAAGTTACCCATATGGGAGACACCAAGGAAGAACCGGTCAGGACCTTTGCCCCCAAGGCATGGGCGGCCATCTGCGAGCTTCTCGGAGGGGGAAGACCGCGTGGCACCGGAATCGGCCACTTGGAACGATGCATTGATCGTAAATCTCGGCTCCCCCGAGTCCGAGGGTACTTGGCCCCATCCTGCTGATCTGCCGGGGTGGCATGTGGATGGCGACTTCTTTACCCATTTTCTTGATTCGCCCGAACAGGCCCTGCTCGTTATACCGCTATTTACCGACATCCAGGATCGTGCAGGTGGAACTATGATCTGCCCTGAGGCGATGAAATTTGTTGCCCAGCATCTGGTATGTGATCAGGGCCCTGTTCCAATTTCCCATGTTTCTGATTCAATTCTCTAGTACAATCATCCTGAGGGCGTGACACCGTACATGTATCCCCGTGGCCAAAAGCCCGTTGAGAACCCCAGTGATACACCCTTTTACTCGGATATCATGAAGAAATGCACCGACTTCCACGAAATGACTGGTGAAGTGGGCGACGTGATTCTTCTCCATCCTTTCATGTGTCACTCGATTTCTGTCAACAGCCTGAGACATCCCCGGGTTATTACCAACCCTCCAGTGGCCTTGAAACAGCCATTCAAGTTTGACCGGGATGATCCTTCCAAATACAGTCTCGTGGAGAAGAAGACACTAGAGATGCTTGGCAAAGACAGGCTGTCTGGCTGGAAAATCCAAGGGAAGCGAGAGTTCGTTGTTCCTCCGAGGCTAAGGGGTGAAAGCCGATCGAGCGAGAGTAAGATAGAAAAACTTGCGAACATCACCGGACAAGCCATGCCAGCCGCCTGATTACCTTAGCCGAGATGCCGTGTCTTATTCCTACGCCAAATTAGCCTTTAGCCTGAAATCCGAGATATTCTTACCAGAGTTCAATAGACTGACTCCTTATCCTTAAATTGACAATAAGCTCATTATACTCTATCGGGTTAGCCGAGCGTGTTATTCTGAGACATGGGGCGACAAAGGTGGTAATTCCAATGACCTTCAATTCTGACATGTCTACTATTCACATGACTTTTTTCCGCCACAGGAAACAAGACGAAATTCCCCCCTAGGACAGCCACGCCGGTAGTAAGGTCCCAGATCGCTTGAAATGCCGCAACCGAAACAATTGTGACCGCCTCTCTCTGTTTACTTGTCATGCTCACATCCTTCACCAGAATGAGATATCCATTGGCAGAGTTCACCATGTCTCGCTTTAGGTCAACACTTGCAAGTCCATTGCCAAAGAAGTTCAAGAACATGACTCCTCCAACAGGGACCGCAACAGCCATACCCCAAGCTCGCATGTAATATGACATGGTTGTTGGCAAGGTCGACGGGGAACACTCACCGTCCCTGGGCAGATTCTGGATGCGAACATTATAACTCGCAAGCAACAGACCATGCCCAAGACCTGCTGTAAACAGCAAGAAAACCCACGCCACAGTTGGCGTGGAGCTATCCAAGAGAATAGAGCATCCACTCGCAAGGGAAGTCAAGATCCAACCACTAGAGATGATCCACTGGGTACATCCCAACTCTTTCGCGAGAATGATACCGACCACGGTGGCCGGCACACAAGCAATCCCAATCATGGCTAGTAGGGTGAGACCTGACAAGGTGGCGGACATATAATGAGTGGACATGAAGTACAACGGGAAGAACTGTAACTGAGCAAAGACCTAGGATGGTATGTCAGACAACACATATCAAATGCAAGAAAAACCTCTACTAACCACAAAGCCATGCAAAAAGCATCCTAGATGTGTCATCACCATAACCCTCGATCGAAATACCCTCCTCCCAAACTGGGGATGCAGCGCCCACTTGGACTCCCAAAAGAGAAGTGCAAGAAGAATGATAGCGCCCAACACAAGAGGCACAATTGTCTGCCAATCCCTCCAGCGGTACAAGCTCCCACCCCAAGAAAGACCAACCAGCATAGTCCCAAGGCCCAAAAACGCCAAGGTAGCACCCGACCAATCCAAAATGCGCAACTTGCGCAGCGGGATATGTTTCAGCGCGCGAAGATCCACGGCAAATGGAATAGCTAGTAGACCAAGCGCGCAGAAAATAAAGTTGAAATAAAATGCCCACCTCCATTTAGCATTATCGACAAACAATCCTCCCATGATTGGACCCAAGATGCCGCCACACATGCGCGTAAGCAGGATATAGCATGAATACCGTGAGTGAATAGATTCAGGCGCCGTCTCGGTCATTATCACGAAGCACAAGCTCATTGCGCCGCCGCCGCCGATACCCTGAATCATGCGGCCGATTATAAGTTCCACAAGACTCATAGAGCCACAGCAGATGCCCGTGCCGATAGTTGCAAGGACTACGGCAATGATCCATACAGGTCCATGGCTGAAGACTTCGCTCATCATTGTGAAGTAAAGTTGGCTGCTTGCGCCGAAAAGCAGGTATACCGTGTTGACCCAGAATGTGCTTGCTAGTGGCTTTGCGAATGTGTTTGCCAAGTTCTGATTTGAGTCTCTGGTTAGTTCTGTTATGGATTTAAATAGCAATCGGAGATTGACACACAGGTAGGGCTGGGATCAAAATAGTCCCGTTGAACGAATCCATCATCGTCAGGATAACGATACAGATAAAAACTAGCCATTCCCGCACTTCGAATGTTCTTCGTTGTTCGTCGAACGAGGGTTCGCTTTCGAATAGTTGAATTGAGCTTCCCAATGCTGGGTTGTGCATCATACCGTCCACGCTTCGGACGCTGTCCGGTACGCCGAAGTTGATTTTAGACTCATTATCGTAGATTTCTTCTGCTATTGAACGGCGTCCCATTTGAGTTGATACTGGCTGCCGAAAGGCTCCTCAAAGTATATACTTGTCGCTAAACTGGCGTTCCTCTCGAGAATCGGCACACTGTGGTATCCGAGGTTGATTGCGGCATCAATCAAAAGTCAACGTCGATTCTCGGAAAAAGTTCCATAGCTAGCATGGCGGAGCTACCCCCAGAAACGTGGGATGGAAGAGCTGCAGTCATTGGAAGTCATAGGAACTCCCCCCTGCCCCTTGGTCATTGGGAAACATACAATGGGCCCAGTTTAGGAGGGTTCCACAAAACAAGGGATACGTAGTAAGTGCATTGCAATTGGTCCGCGATATACCCTTTTGCTATTGAAACCCTCTATGGGGAATATCACAGCCAGATCCCTAGGAATGATGGGTTATAAAGGGCGAAGGACTCCAACACGGTTGGCATTCCAGCCTCCCTACTCCTTCCTTTCTTAGCTGTCGTGATCACGGTGCAAGCATTCCGTGCATAATGTAAGGAGAATTGTTGCATGAACTCAGCTTAAAATATCTTGCAATGGTATCCTCAAGTTGTATCACGAATCTGATGTTTGAAATTGGAATTGAGGAGGAGCATGCACAATATATATTTCTAGGAAAACGCTAGAAAATACTTCGACCACGAGTTCTATTCACTAGCAGGATAGATGCAGAGAGATAAAAGCACTAATAATTCAGTGATTTTCATAGCAACACACTGAGAAATGAGGTCTTATCAACATCTCGCTCACTAGAGGCATTAGTCATGTGTATAAATGCCCACGACCGACTGTGTCTAATTCCACCCTACTCGCATCGGCTACTCACCATAGGGGTGCTGCGATCCCCCTTCGACCAAATCTACGGATGATTGGGGATCGGATCAATAAAATCCCAAAATTCTTGGTTGATTCTACCATTTGGTCCAATGGGAAATTCGCAGGACTACCTAGGTAGAATATGGCCTAGATGATAAAGAAATTGGAAAAAACTACTGACATCAAACAAACCATTGATTCATTCAAATTGAACATGATCCCGCCACTCTCGGACATGTTCAAATTTTTGACGAGTTGTCTCTTCTTGATCCGACGAGCTGGCCCCGCTAGACCCGTCATCGTCATCTCTATAAATCAAAAATTCCAACCATTCGTGCTTCCAGAGAACCTTTTCTTCTGTCCTGATACCTTCGGCGAAATAAGTCCAAGAAAACAAGTTTCGTGTAGCGATTTGGGAAACAGTGTCGTCAAGCTGTTCTTCAGTATTGGGATGCACGAGGCTCGCCCCGATTCCGAACGGACTTGTTATGACAGTGGCTGGCGATATCGACGGGAATGGATGAGCCTTCGATGCCGAAGTTCTTGATTGTGACCCGTAGGACAAGCCAAAATCAATAATGTCTTTTCCACCTTGACAAAGCCAATTCCAAGAGTGATATTCTGGCCGATGGTCACACAGCAAATGCAGTCTAACGCCAAGAGATGTGTCTTGGACATTCACTAAGCCAAAGGGAGGGTATGGAGAGAGTGGTGGATTTCCATACGCCTGTGAGTCCTCATCCGTGACGAATAGGAGACGAAATTCATCTTCTCGTAGAATCATATCCACGCCATGAATATTCTGAACTGGCGCAGGGCGATGAAACTGAGGGTCCATGAATGATTGAGGCGATGAAGTCCAAGCAACAGCCTCTAAACACACCATTGGTAGGAATGTCCTCGAGACTTCAAATATCCGGGGCAGAAGGCCTGTAATTGCAGCACCTAGCCATAGAGAAGCTATATTCGGGCTGCGTTGAGACATGGCACAGATTAGGGGATGGAAACTTTTCGATTGAATGAACGAGCAGAGGATTTCTTTCATGGGCGTTAGCCACTGACTGGCTAGGTTGCATGGGATACCTGGTTCCCAAACAGAGCTTAATAGGCACGATGCAACGAGGCCTGAAGTACATGACAAAGTCATGAAATGGGGAAGCTCGTTAATGGTTGGTATTTGATTGGCATATATCAACTCAGTGTTCTGTCGTGAGCTGGGCCTACTGATAGGTTTAGGCAAGTTGATAGAAGCACCAAATCGGTTGTGAGATGGCAATGTGAGTGCAGCAGCGAATGCAGCAACGAATTGATCGAAAGCATCATGAATTCGGGCAAAATTGCAAAGGTATGTATAGGCTTCTGCTGCAGACGGTGGCTCAAAGACGGATATAGAAGATGGAATATATGCGCAATGATTCAATCTGAATAAACTGCTGTCCAAATGACACTCCCATGGCGGATAGTACTGTTTACCATCTCGAGCAAGAATCGCTTCCCAGCCACGTCCATTTGCAAGTATTGCAGCCCACCATCGAACTTCAATCATGCTCTTACTTCCAATATCAAGATCAAAGTAGTTCCCAGGCTGATCTACATCACGCCTATCCCATTGTGCACGATTGGTGGTATACACAACTTTATCATCCGTTCTCTGACGTAGCTCTATCATCCGCGCGGAAAGGACGTATGACCAGCCAAGAAGAAACACACAGAGGTAGTTACACACAGGTTCTTCAAGTGGTTCAAACCCAGTCCATTCCGGGATATATTCTGCTGATAACGTGCATGTGCTCAAACGAGAGTTCGCAATAAAGACGTTTCGCGATAGGTTCTTTTTGAAATGCGATAACTCGCAAGTATGTCTTCGGAGATTACCAGCCGGCAAGATTGACCATTTTGAGTAGCCTTCTAAAGACAAATGACGCTTTCCGGCACATTCTATGGCCCCGGTGGACTGGGGGATTGAAGGTGTTTTATTGAGGAGAGATTTCACATTGCTGCAGGAAAAGGGCAAGCTGTTTAGCGACTGAGCCGAGGATAGTAGGTTACGCCAGTTTAACTGAGAATGAGTCAAAGTCTTGGATGAAAGGAGCATTTCGGGGCGCAGTAAGTCATGATCGTTGGGATCCATAATGACTTGAGATCAACGTCGGGACTATGCAGGTGGCAGGGTTCTGCTCTAGTGGTGTGTCGGATATAGAGAATGTTTCTGAAAAGACATCTTAAACCGACCCAATTATAATGCTCAAAATATAAGGGAGAGAAGATTTTAAAAGAGTGCGTACTGGAGACGGTGAGGATGCTCACGTGGATCAACCGACACGACCATGAGCTTAATTTCCACGCAAAACCATGCTCTTTGGTTCTCTCCCAGACTATGTAAACAATACATCGCGCTACTAATCAATTCCATACGCGAGACCAGAGAACACGCCACTGAAGAATATCGTATAATCGACGTTCTGTGGAGGAGGTGGGGGGCAGGTTCGCATTAGCCATAACTCTGGCCGGCGAGAGGCTGGTTTAGAAACCCGCAGTAGAAAATCTGTCGATTCGCCGCGGTGGAATACACTGCAAGATTTCCGTTTTCGAGTCTTACGGTAGGTTTGATGGATCCCACCCGACTCAAGAACAGTGCAAGGGCTGTTCTCTTGGCAACTAGAGCAGATATACTTATCCTTATCAAAATGCATGCTTGAGGACTGCTCTGCACATTCCATATGTGACCACCCATAGCAGTCCAAGCAGTAGACCCCAGGGCCATCCTGTATCTTCCGCTTGCCGCAGCATGGTATTGAGAGGGGTGATTTGTGTATTGTGATGTTACATATTTGGGGGATGGAAGAGTAATACCATTGCTCAACCAGAGAAGACGCCTGCGCCATGGAGATCAGATCCCTCGGCGTGAATGTTTTCAGAACCGTGTCAAAAACCTCCATGGGTATTTTGGCTGCCCAAGATTCCGTCGACTTCGCCGAAGATCCAGTCCAGTGAGTGGAAGTGAACAAATAGGCCAAAATCTTGAAACCCGGAGAGCAAGACAATGCCGAGGCATTGGTAACCAGGGGAATAGGGGAAGAATGAAGTAAATTCCCGTCGTCAATCTTGAAAAGTGAGATATGCCTTATGGAAATGGCTATCCCCACTATGGGCTGAGCGACCCTGGCGTCGTTGTCAACGCGGGACAAATATTCATTTGCTTTTGCAGCAACAGAAGTGCCAATTTCCTCAGTATTGCAACATATGACCAGATATTTGTGGAACCAGAATACTTTTTCAATAGCCGCTTTCCATTGTGGAAGGGAGGAAAATGTGATCGGCAGGTCCTCAGTATCGGCATTCCTGACCTCAAAGTCCCATGCCGCGATACGCAATATTCCAATAGCAAGGGCAGAGAAAATGGGAAAGGACGTTTTCCAGGTCGGAATGTCGTCGAAATAAAACCGCCACGTGAAAACAAAGTCCGTAAACAGTTGAAATTGTAGCTCGTTTAACGGCGCAGGGATACTGGGGGTGATTCCGAATAATTTCAATAGATGGTGCACATCGGTTGCGCCATTCAAATCACTCAATGAGTATTCTTTGTATTTGGACACTACCACCATATCATCAAGGAGTGTTTCTATTGTGCTGAGCGATGTCTCTCGGATACTGGCCAACGTCGCCCGTCGGACTCTCCGGTGTAGAGTCCCATTCACCCCTGGCCACTGGGTGACTGTAAAATGACCAGCATCTTCATCAATGGTATAGACATAATCAAGTTCAATATGAAGCGGTGTTGGGAACGGAACAGTTTCCAACTTGACTTTGTCGGATCTCGAAAGAATTTGGTGGATAGTGTACAATGTTGTTCGCGTGTCTGGGGATGAAGACCGTCCACGAGGAGGGTGGAACCAACGATACCATTTCCCTATATGAGTATTAACTTTGAGTTGTGATTGCAAGAAGCCCGCATACCATCGAAATGTAAGTTCCAAAGTCCTCTGGTTACCATCGCATCGAGGTGTCAAATTACAGGATAGGGGTAACGTAGCTCTCAGTGACCTGCAGGCTTGTCGACACAATCGTCACGTGAACTTGTTTGCGAGTCCACTATCGACTCAAGTTGCTCTCTTTCTCTTCTTTTCTCCAATCTCGATAGCCAGTGTTGCGTTGATTTCTTTAGCTCCTAGAGTACCCGCAATTTTGGTGGGTCCAGGATTCTCCACTCGGCTTGCTATGAACCATGTCCGCGATTCCAGCTGGGGCTCTAGGAAGACTATTTAAACGAGCTTCTACCGTGGAAAACCAAAACACAGCCGCCTACCAACTTGAACGAGTTATGCGAGAAAATTTCCACCAGGTTTGTTGCGTTGTACCGTGGCACGTACAAGAGCGACTCCGATTGGAAGAAATTTATACGTCAATACCTTCAGCCAGTGAAAACCAGCTGAAAAAGAACAATGGTCTAGATGTACTCAGTCGCTTTAGGCCGACGGTAGTTGAGGACCCGTGCTTCGACGGCACTTCTCCTTCGCTATTTGACCGTACTTCAACCAGTGGGTGGCTACTGCGCCCCAGAAAGAACACAGCATGTGCCCGGAGACGGGGCTGCCCATGGACTCAGGCCGTTACCTGTTCTGCATTATGGTCGATGAAGAACTGGTGCAGTAATTTATTAATCGCCCGGTTGATATGGACGAGGGCAATGGCGAGTGTGATCACTCAGCCTTCGTTACACTCGTGGGTGCGTATTGGTATCAGAACCAGATGACGGTTGATGATGAGGAGATGGAGCAATACAGTGCTGTTCACGAGGCGGAGGCTTATAATGCAGTCAATGGTTGTACTGAGTGGGACGTGGGATGTACGAGAGTGCATAACAAGGTCCATTTAAGAGGGTATGTGATGATAAACGATATGCTCGACTGGCAATTGCATTATCGTCGTGTCCCTGAGATGGGACTATTTTACTAGAGCATTCCTAACTTTATGTACTTACAATAAGCCTGAAAGCCGAAGATAAGATGTAAGAATCACTCCTAGTACTTCCTCGGCAACACATATCCCCCAATACTAACAAAGAACTGCATAGCCTGACTCATAAATGCAGTAAGATCCTCCCCCAACCACTTAGGCAAGAGCCTTGTCCTGGGCTCCTCAAGCTCCCGGAGATACTTACCAGCAACCTAAGCACCCATTCATAACAGAATTAGCATCATACCAATTTATTGCACCATGAAAATATATATCTTACCAAAACACAATTCCCCTGCCTTTTTTCATCCAAAGCCACAACTGCAATTGCACCGGCAACTCCCTCTGGAGTATTTTTCTCAAGGCCTGCCTCATCCCACTTGTGCGCAAAGCCCGCGGTGATATGAGTCGGTGTTAAAAAGGGAGCCACAGTATTCACCCGGACACCATGCCCGCGCGCAACACCCTGACATGCTCGGAGGAGACCCAGGACACCGTGCTTCGACGCGATGTAGGCAGCTACACCGGTGCCGCCAAAATAACTGGACGTGGACCCAACTAGCAAGATCGACTTTGGTGGTTGGGGGGTTGTAGTGGTAGACGTGGAGGATCTCATGTAGTGCAATCCTAAGCGGAGAGCTGTTTTATAGACAGATCGGCGCGTTGTCAGTAAGTGAGCAAGATAAGATTGATGTTCACGACATTGAAGATTGAAGAAGATGGGAAACTTCACTGTTCAATGTTCCCTTAAGATTAACATCAATAACCCTCCCCGCTTCTAGACTCTCGAGGAGACGTCCATTCTCGTCCACTTTTTCCATGTCTAGGACAGACTCGGATTCCATGATACCCGCGTTAGCTATTACGATGTCCACCTTGCCGAAGATGGTGATTGCCTCTTCGAAGCATGCTGTAAGCTCTGCCCAGTTGATGATATTGGTAGATACGAATATTGCGCGGTTTGGGTATTTCATCTGCTTCTGAATAACTTCCTCGGAGCTGTCTCGCAGTTGGGGGAGATCGGCGAGGACGACATAGGCACCATGGGAGTTGAATAGGATTGCGGTTGCGGCCCCGATCCCCCGCGCTGCCCCAGTTACTAGGACTGTTTTACCAGCAGATTGGGAAAAGAGAGCTCGGTCGAGTTCGACGTCAGCCATTGTGGTTGATTGATACCGAGAAGATGCAAATGAAGAGGGAAGAAAGGAAGAGAGAAATGGATGCAATTCTGGTCATGAAGATCGACTGATTGCTGATGTCAATGTTGCGGGGTATTGATGGCAAAATTGACCATGCGAGTTTGCTATGACCGATGAAACCAATGAGATAGTGATGTCCATCATGTTTTGTACAATCCATGTGAAAATATGTATATACAAGTTACCGTGAACGGACCAAAAAGAAATATAGCAAATTAATCGTTCTTGTTCCGATCACTAGGTCTCGATCCATACTCGCTCAAATCCGTTCTTGATCCTGCTCGAGAGGTCATTCGAGATTCGGCCATCGACTCTTTTGTGCTGACAGCGTGGAAAGAGAAGTCCAATTCACCAACCAAGTCTTTGACAAGCCTAGAATACATGGCGAAATTAGCAAATCTGGCAACTTCTGATAACGGAGTCGATAGAAGAGCCCTACCGGAGTAATCTGTCCATATCACCGACAATGCAGCGGGTCGAGATCTGCAAAACTGCAAATGTCGCAAATCCCGGTTCGGCCATGTGCCGGAGGCTCAAGATATCACCGTCAAGAGCCTGCAGGCGCTTGGTGAAGCTGTATGGACGAGGTGCTTTGAGATACGGCGGCAGAGGTTGTCGATTCGTAATGCTAGCAGAAAGAAGGCAAAGCAAAGACGTGACCTCATGTGTCGTCACTTTGGCAGTATTGATCAACCGTCGAAAATCGATCATCCAGTTAGTGGAAGACTCATCTTCATCGTCGTTAAGATACATGAGGGTATCTGACGCGTAGCCTAGCAAACTGAGATAGTTCACAATGCTACAAGGTACGCACTGTCAGTACCAGGAAGAGAGAAGGAAGGAGATAACATACTTTTCTACACAGATGATGATCGAATCATACTTCTTCTTCGGGAACCTACCGCCAATTGGAACCTCCCACCGAAGGAACCCAGAGTATGTCCGTAAGCCAGCTAGCATAAGCATCTGCTTTGAGAAGACTTTGTGTCGCGATTTTTCAAGTTTGCGACCTGCAGAGGTCCTTTTGAGTAGGTACTGGCCTTCGTCGCCTCGTATGCGACCGGAGATCGTCTCGTGGATGATCGAGTAGTAGTTTGCCAGAAGATACAACGATGCACCTAGACTTTGACGCAGGACTGAGTGCTCAGAGATTGGATATGGGAAAAATGTCCAGATAAATGCAACAGCAATACCACCCGCCACAACAGCCAGCCGATACGGCGCCAAGAGGTAAATGGGGTAGTAGACCTGTCCGTTCGAGGTCGCGATTTGCTGGCCCACTCGGCGAACTTGAAGCTCATAACCGATGATCATGCTTGTAGTGACGAGACCGATGATTCCGACAGCTCGGAAGCGGAACATCTTGATGGGGATGTAGGAGGCAATGGAAACAAATATGAACTGGAAAACAATAATGCCCGGTGTCCTTTGGCCTGGAATATACCATATCAGAAAGCATGCCACCACTGCAATGAATGTACCAAATATTCGTAACACGAAACTGAAGATGCTTTGCCCTGACGTAGGAGACATGCTCATGTTGATCATGATCATGGCCCACACTAATCTTTGTGCAGTGAAGAAGACCTGAGTCTCATGAAGGAACCCGATTATCGCAACACTCATAGTGGCACAGGCGACACGAAAGCCGTAGGTTGACTCAAATGAGCGCAGGAACCAGGGGAACGCCCGAATCCTGTCCCCAATCTTCTCAAAGCGAGTGACTGGAGGTAGATGTTCGGGGTCCTTGCGAAGCTTGTATGCCTCGCCAAGTTGAAGGATGTTGTTTTGTGTATGAATGTCACCCATATTATCATCATCGGTATCCACCGCAGTCAAAAAGGACTTAGCCCACTTCCACAATCGCTTACTACCGGGAATGATGAGCCGAGTCTTCGACAGCTTCCCTTTGGCCTGAACATGATCGGCATAACGGACAAAGTTGAGTACGGTATGACCAGTGGAGTGGAGCAATTGCTCCATCTAAGGTTGTGTTAGCTTGAATAGACCTAGTGGCCGGGGTGTGAGAACTTACATAGAGGAATAGATACAGTTGTCTTCGGCTTCGCTCTGTTGCTGTAGCCGAAGTGTCCAAAATATCGCCGTTCAACATTTCGGAATTAGCTGGATGATCGAAAAAGTCGGGCGGGAGCGTGATGCCTTTCTCATCAGCCCACGTTTGCAAAGCGAGACGTTTTGCAATTCGAAATTCTCCAAGTTTCTTTTCATAATGCTCCACGAATGCCTTTTCTCCAGGCGCAGTGTTCTCTGCTGCGGCCTCCACATCATTTCTTCCATCTGGTGAATCGTCGCCTGAATGTTTTGCTGTGGCTTTTCGACTGGGGGGTTTCGCGAGCCTGAAAACATAGGACGTATGTAATAATGCCTCATCAATAGTTTGAATCATCATCGCGAATGGATCGTGTACCGCCCTCATGATATCATTCCACTCGCGGACAACACGCTGTCGGATATCCTCTGGAACCACAGGCTCATTCAAATCAATGGGTCGGTTCCACCTATTATAGTCTGACATTCGCTCAAAGATATCCACCACAAAGCCCAACCCCACCACCGGGATCATAACCTGGCGAAGATGACGAAAAATCGTCTGAATATCATCGGGTCCCAAAGTTCCTAATGCAACCTCCCGCTTCGCAAACGTGAGGTCACCATGGAGTTTGGCGTGGATATCTGTGATGTTCCGGACTGCAGCGCGAATAGCTTCTGCCTGGGAACTGTAAATCTTTCTTCCCTTCTTGCCGAACTTTTCACGGCCCTCATCATGGGTCTCTGTGCGGCCAAACATATCATCTTTCTCCAACGATTGATAATATTTAGCGTGAGCTTCCAAGGCTGACCGAAGTCCGCCAATGTAGGCTGCCATTTGTTTGAAGACGACCTGTCGTGATGTAATTGGCAAAATGAATAGCGAAGTCGCTGTTGAAACTGCGAGACCAGTAAAGAATGCTGCAACTAGCTTCTTCACCATGTTGAACGCAGCACCCATGTTTTGCATTTGGGGGGCGTACACCGAAGAGACATTCGCGAAGATTGCATAAATAATCACGGGGAATTGCAGCTGTGGGTATTTGGCACGGAAGGTATGAACCATCCAGATCTGAAAGAACAGCCACAAAGCACTGACAGCAGACGCGGAGGAATTATATTTCTCAGTAGGGTCAGTTGCAGTGTGTTCGCGCGCCCTGACACTGGAGAACATTGTCAACAGAGCGAAACATGCTGCTATGCCAACAGCCAAAATGTCGAAAATCATCATCTGGATAAATTTTGCGCGCGGCATAATGGCAAATCCCATAATAGAAACCACGGGCACGAGATAGCCCAGGGTCGTAAACTCGTGGGCAACAACTTTAGATTGGCAGCTGGACTAAGGGTCAGGCCGATTTTGATAGAACGGGAACTTTCAAAGTAACTCACATTGACAGAGCTATGGTAGGTGGAAGACCGCCCCTAAATTGACTGTTAGAGATATCCCAATGTGCTATACTGGAAGCTTGATCCCGAACTCACTTCATCATCAGGAGGACGGTGGGCCTGTCCAAGCCCAATTTCTGCCATCTGTTTTTGATGGAGCTGAAAAATGAGCTTTTCTTCTTGCTAGATTTTTCTTTCACATCATCCTGCGATGACGAAGACCCGAAGGATGAGCCCGACTGATTAGATCGAACATGCGCCATATTGACCGGTGTCACACAGGGATGCGCCTTGGCACCGCCACCAAAGATCAAGATCTTCAACGCTGTTTTAGCGGCATCGCTCACGTGACCATTAAATGATGCGAAGGCAAGAATGTGCGAGATTTTGAGAAATTGGAGAGAAATCAAAGAGCAAGGAAGTCGGGAAGTCGGGCTGAAGTCCCGATCGTGGACGTTTTCAGTAAGTACACCCCGCCTTCAAACGATTGGCTGTCACATGTGGGGGAAGAGACGCTTGGCATATAAAATTGCTGCCTGGCTGATCAGGCCAACAAATCGGCGTCCATAGTTTCTCTTGGCTTCTGACACAGGTTTGCTATATTTGTTGACCGGTCAAGCATTTTACGCCTGGGACTAGGTTTTAGTCTTACTGGAATTCTGTGAGTTCGAATCCTCCATCTCATAGTCTCTTGATCATTGATGACATCACTTCGAGCTCTGGATCTTGATCAGCGAGAAGCGTAAGCCGTAGACAATCAGATATATATGTTAGGTGCATGGTGGAAGTCAGGAGGTTAAACTGAAATATCCAAGGATTATAAAGCTAACCTTGAAAGACAACTATAAGATCGACCAAACAGCTTCATCTGACGACAGACAATCCCATGGTCATGATATGGCTGGTATAGTATGTATCAAAAGTCAAGTCCTTCTTTTCTCATATAACAGGGCTTGCAAGGCTGGATACTATTGTTTTGTGGGCTGGGGTGATCCCTAGCTCCACGAGTGATTAATCAATCGTTCCATCGAAGACGTTTACACATTGTCACAACCTCAGCAGTATGTTCATCGCGGACCTATCCGCCATTTGGGAATTCACCTCCACCCCTTGACCTCCATCACTTACCTAGTTGTTTTTCTTTGATAAATGATGCTGAATGGTAAAGCTACATGTAGACACCGAGACACTTACAGCAAAACTATGTAGGATTGTATCCCAGCTTTAGGTCTCAGTAGAAGTCTAGAGCAACTGAAATCAAACCCGGGGCGTAAGCCCCTTTTGATTAGATTCAAGGTTGTCCCATGAAGAGGTGGCTAATATACGCCGATATGCTTCCATTTGGGATAATGTTGCGTTTTCCGACCTTCCGACTTTTCGTACATGGTAAACCCTATAGTGTCCAAATGTCTGCACTCAATTATGCCTTGGGAGTCAAGGTGTTTTCCACATATGATAACCAGGAAGTGTGGGTATAGGTAAGTCAACGACGATGTCCCAGCATGAGTGATGATCTGTTTTTATGATTTAATGGCACAGATGGCTAGAGCCAACATTTCTATCAAAACAATCCATTCGCTCCGGTCATTTTAGATACTCCGATTTATTTATTTGTTCTCGAATTTGATACTCCACGGCCTTGCGATGGGCCTGCATATTGACGTCCGTCAAATACACGAAGTCTTGCCGAAAAAATGATATAAAGATCGAACCCGAGACATTGTTTCAAACTTATTTTCCAAGTTCACCAGGAAGGAAAGAGATAGAGGTCTCCACAATGAAGCTCAGCGCAATATGCAAGTGCAAGACCATTGCCACGATGGCATTTCTCTGTATGGGTTTAGCTCTTGGGGCTCCCATGGATCCCGATGCCATTAAGACATCTCATGATCTCCAGAAGTAAGTGGACAGACACAATCCTGGCTATCCATTTCATCCCTTGTCTAGTTTCCACATTCATGACAGAGGGCAATGCTGAACCTGCGCCCAAAACCAGCCTCGGCCAATTGAACAACACACACAGCCCAGCGGCAGGCCAGGCTTTTGGTGGTGATTTAACATGGTATAACACCGGGATGGGAGCGTGTGGCTGGTTTAATAATGGGGGAGACCACATTTGCGCCGTGTCTCATATTGTCTTTGACCGCGCGAATGTAGACGGAAACCCCAACCACAATCCACTTTGTGGTCGGCTAATCCACATCCAACGGGGCGACAGGGGCATAGATGTTACTCTCGTAGATAGATGTGAGGGATGTGGGGAGTTTGACATGGATGTCAGCCGTGGTGTTTTTGAGCAACTCGGTAACCTTGATGAGGGACGGGTTCACACTGATTGGTGGTGGATATAGGCAGAGCCATTGTTTGTTACTCCTCCATTAGCCGGTTATCAACAGTGAGGCGAGTCTTGGGGGCTGGAAGCGTAGAGATAGGATAGGAAAAGGATAGATTTCGGACAGTTATTTCATGTCAGAATCTAGCAGTTTGATTCATTCAGTATTCTGGCCACGAGGGATCCACTTGTTCTCTCCATGATCGGAGTCCCCCGCGAATGTCACCAATGAATCTCTTCCCATGTTGATCTAGTCCTAGTTCTTTCATTTTCTTGACAACAATCTGCGAGTCATTTCCTAGGCGGCAGACGACGTAAATTGGGTTGGTAGAGTCAGGCGAGGCAACCTCGGATGGCAACCAAGAAGGTACTTGTGTAGCTTGTTGTCCACTATCGTCCCCCTGTAACCCCGCAGAAGACCCTGCGGAAAGGATGTTTGAGATAGGAATATTGATGCTATTATCCAAACTGCATATTCCAAACTGAGCTTCGTCTCGGACGTCGATGATCGTGTGGGGCTGTGACGAAACGGATGTGACGGCGTGTCTTTGGTTGTATTCCCGAGCAGAGATACGTTCCTCGGGACCAAGGAGGGAAGGCAGGCTTGTGGATCCACAAAAGAACACGTAGTCCGTTGACCCTGATTTGATTGTATCCAGTGTGACAGTTGCCTCAGCCGAGCACACAGCACAATTGGCTCGGCGCGAACGAAGACGGATTGTGCGGACCAGGGGGGATGAGTAGGCAGAGAAGATATGAAGAGACGGGGGATCCCGTGGACGAGCTGTGGTCGCATCTGAGCTTCCATCAATCTCGGGTGCAGTAATGACTTTTATCGCCTCCAGGGCCTGCAGGACGCCCATCGTCCCGACAACCGGGCCCAAAATTCCCCCGTCTGCACAGCTGACCACGCTATCAGCCGGTGGAGGCTTGGGAAATACACAACGATAACACGGCCCTCCAGTCTTGTCGCCTGGTGCTCGCGGTGGGTTGTTCAACACCATCAGTTGGCCCTCAGTGCGCAGGGCGGACGCAGAGACCAATGGCTTTCCAAGAAGTACTGCCGTGTCCGAGATCAGATAACGGGTGGCCGGGTTATCGGTGCAATCGAGAATAATATCATAGTTCTGGAATACTGTGGACGCATCCTCGGGTGTGAGGTGTGTGCGGTGGGCAATGTACGTGGGATGCGGATTCAGTCTGGTGAATGGCACAAGAAATCGTCAGCGCAAATCAATAGTCCTACCCAGTTGCACTCACTCTCGCAAAGACTCAATTGCACTATCCACCTTGTACTTTCCCACGTTCTTTGTTCGGTGTAGCACTTGGCGATGGAGATTCGACACCTCTACCGTATCCCCATCGACGAGCCCAATAGTGCCAACGCCAGCACCAGCGAGATACTGCGCAGCTGGACACCCCAGTCCTCCAGCTCCAACGAGCAGAACCCTGAACGACCGGAGTTTTAGTTGACCTATGGATTCAGAAAATTGCGATCAGTCCCACTGCTTTATGGCGCTATTTCCGAACTTCCGCCAGATGAGGTTGTGACGTACCTTTCAGACCGATTTGTGAAACAATAATTTGTCGCCCATATCGCTTATACTCCTCTGGAATCAATGGCCATCGTCTTCCATCGCTGCTCTGGTCCTCGAGCTGGCTTTCTACCGTCGTGGCGGGCTCCGATCGCGCCGCTTGTTCGGCGTTCGCAAGGTCGCGTTTCAACCCAGCAAGCTGTATTTCTGTAGCGGTAATCTGGGCGCGCAAAGAAGCGCATGTTTCGTCGAGAGATGCCATCTTGATTGTTGGCGTCAACGCGTGGAAAAATAAATTGACGCGTTGGGGAAATCTCAAAAGTTCCCCGCGGTACGGAATACTTTTTGTGGGGCTCTGCGATGAGGCACCTTGTGTACGGAGTACAGTCCGGGTCTACGAGCTTACATTTCAATTTCAACGTCGAAATCTCTTCCAAATACTCACATGGACTATTTATCTTTCTCTATGTATATTCAACATTCTTGGACTCACATCCACCTCAATATGATCCTCTGATCCAGTTCACTCCTTGTACTCAGTGGTGTTCGGAGTCTTCTCAGTCTCCGTGGTGTCTACACGCTCTTCATGCATAACGTGAGTCTTTTGTAAGGTGTGCTCCACATCAGCGCGTCGTTGCTGCTCATCAACGGCACCGAAGATAAGATCCATTTCCTCCAGAGTCCGGCCCTTGGTCTCTTTGAAGAATATAATGACGAAGATACACATGGCAGAGCAGAAGATACCAAACATCAGGAAAGTCCTCCAGCCAATCTTGTTGATAGCACGAGGGGTGATTTCGGTTATGACGAAGTTGAACAGCCATTGCGTCGCGGCACCGAAACCGACACCGTAGGCGCGAAGACGAGTTGGGAAGATCTGTTGGGGGAAAATGTTAGCGACTGGGGTAAGTGAAAATATATGTCAGATTAGATAACTCACCTCACCAAGGTACACCCAAGGAACCGGTCCCCACGATGCTGAGTATCCGATGACATATAGATAAATCATTGCAACCATGGCGATAGAGGCTGATGAGACAGATTCGGCGTCTTGAACTGGGGGATTGGTCGCCAACACTGCGCCAATGATGAACATCATGCTGGCCATCCAAGCGGCACCTCCAATCAAACTCTTCTTTCGGCCCCAGCGATCGATACCGACGATCAGGAAGACGGCCGTTGAAACAACCTTGACTGTGCCGTAGATCCCAGTGGCAAATAACGAGGTGTCTGTCTTGCTCAATCCGACCTAATATGATCGAGAAAGTCAGGATCTCATTACTTCAAACACGGAGGAAGATGCTATGTTATAGAGACATTGAGTACTCACGCTGGCAAAGATCTGAGGGGCATAGTATCCGATGCTGTTTGTCCCGGAGAACTGCTGCCAGAACATCAAGAGGAATGCCAGGAAGAAGCGGTATCGGTTACTTGGCTTCAGACACTCTCTCCAAGTGAGGCCCTCGGTAGCCTGTGCTTCCTCGTGGATAGCAGCCGAGATCTCAGCAAATTCGAGTTGAACAGACTCGCTGCTTTCAGACTCATTGCGAATGTAAGCAAGCGACTTGAGTGCATCGTCCCGGCGGCCCTTAGAAAGCAACCAGCGAGGAGACTCTTTGAGGAAGAGTAGCCCGACAAGCATTAGACCACCCGGAACAAGCTGGATGCCAACCGGGATACGCCATTGGCTTGTACCCTCGGGAACATGAAGCGCAACACCATAGTTCAGCCAATAGGCGAAGGTGCTACCAATCACCAGGAACTCCTGGAAGAGACCAGCAATGCGGCCGCGAGTTGCTGGAGGGCAGTTCTCACTGACAAATACGGGTGTAATACTGGACATACCACCGACACCAAAACCGGCGATGACACGCCCACCGTAGATCATGCCAATCTTATGGTGAGCTGCGACTTGAATCGCTGCGCCAACCAGGAAGATCACGGCAAAGATCATCAGGGAGTATCGTCGGCCGAACTTGTCGTTCATGTAAGCAGCAAAGATGGCTCCGAAGAAACATCCCGCTGTGAGTAGTGAGACCACGTTGGAGGAAATGTGAGCGTTCTTCTCATCGCTGAATCCGGAGGAGTCAACGGGAAGGCCAAAGTCCTTTTTAAAACTCGAGAGGGCCAGGACTGAGCCCATGACACCCGTGTCATAGCCTAGGAAGGGCGTCTGTTAAGATCATTCTACTACCAGATTAAAGAATCCACTAACCAAAGAGCAGGGAGCCCAGATAGGCCACCGATGTCAGGATATAGACCCGATAGTTCTTAAAATTGACGAAACCCATTTCGAGTTCAATGAAGACTGGGCAATCTCCCCAGTCTGTGTATCAACAAATTCACACGAGGAGTCTGCCGGGGTGAGGAAGATAGAGAAGAAAGAAAAAGAGCCATTGAGGTCGGATGGTATCACCATTTATATTCAACCCAGAGACCAGAGTGTGCAATACCACGCGATGCTCGAAGCATCACAAGTAATGGAGTGGCTTTGTGACCTTGCCACATTGATACATAGACCTTTGGGGCTGTCGCGCTAGACACTCCGGGGCTGCGGGTGTGGAGACTGGGGTACACTTTGGGGAAATTAATGGCGGGGGAATACGGGGGTCGACTGGATGGGAATATCACCTGGGATTTTCCCCATCCATTTAGGAATGCCTAGGCCTTGGGTAGAGGGCTTGATGTCTTGCTCAGCATTGGCGTTGACACGGACGAAATGGCTTTTGGTCGATCGACGGTTATCAAATTGCGGCAATCGGTGATTGGAAGAATCATATTCACGTCTTTCCCTTCTCCACAAGATCGGCTTTCTGGTGCTCATAGGACCTGGGCCTCGCTGTATCTAATGTTGACTAATATCGTCTTCTATATGTGTTGTGCATATTTACCAATGTCTCGATCATTGAACAGTCGTGATCATATTTCTTCCAAGACTATATCCTCAAATGCCGTCGGGGACTGTCTTCAGTTGCCGCGGACAGGGTACTTTGTACTCCTAACATTTTATAGCTGCCGAACCCCGGTCAGAGAAGCTAATTGTTGTGTATCCAAGCCACATCCGATAGCCATTGGTTGGAAAGTGATTGGGTTAATAATGCTTTTCTTCCAAGGTCGGTGTGGAAGTAGGCATTGGAGTTTGCCGAGGCACATTGCCGAGATTCGATGGCAAATTTTCAACTGTACAACGACGGTGGACTTGGTTCACAGACACCATGGTGTTCCAGCAATTAAGACTGCCACTAAGACATCAGAAATGGGAAGTTCTTTCCAAAGTCCTGATAGCCTCGCTATAAAATCCCTGTTACTGGAGCTAATAGACGGAAAGTGTATATATCCAATTGGTAGCAATGATATTATAGCCCCCAGAATTTTTTTTGGGAGTTCAAACGGACACCAATCATTATCGGAGCCCGCCCATCAAGATGGGGGAAGAAAAGCAGAATGAAAACGGGCGAAATAGCAATAGTGAAAGTCACAGGTGAAACCAAAGATTCCAAACTAACCCGAGAATGTCTGTTGAAGATGCTCACATAGAAGGCACTCATAACACGTTGAAGTGTGAGTGGCATTCAGGGCTGGTAATCAGTACACTGGTGGTAGTTCAGTCGTTTCGTACACATCCCCATTCCGGTAATCATGGACATCCAGAAGCACCCGAATCACGAAATTCGTGTTGGCCGGGTCAGAAAAAATCCCATGGAGTACCTTCCACTGGGATCGGAAGGCGTCTACCTGATAACAACAACTATCAGTCTCCACTCGATATGACAACATCATCTCATACAAGTTCAATCCATAACCTCCACAAGACATCATATGTCGAATGATGTCCCGGAATGATGCACCCGTTCTGCATAGTCGAGGGTCTTGTGTCATCGTCTGCTCCGCTGGAGGAAGCAATTTCCCGGCATGTGCAATTCCTGTGAGAACACGACACAGATTCATGTTCCCAAGTGTGTTTCGGTTCCTGTCCCAGGTGACCTTCACCTGAATCGGGGCAAGGGCATTGGTAATTTCCTCTGGAAATACAGAGGAGCATTGCTGAGCTAATCTAACATGGTTGGGCCTGGGTATCGTTCTTGTCGGCATGCTGCTGTCGTATATGGCAGCCTTGTTTGTTGATGAGACGAAGAATCCCAGTACCTTCTCCCATGACTTCATGTAGGGGATCCATGATATATATCTCAAGATTGTCCAGCATCGATCAAATCTTTCATTTGGATCGTTTCTCCAAGACGTCAGGCGAGGACGAGGATGTGACACATTGTCCAGCGAGATATCGAGCTCTAGCATCGCGCTTAGTTCACCGCGATATCTTCTTGTGCGGTGGTAATTATGCAGATCGCTAGACATAATGTACTCCTCTATGTCCTTGGACATTTGGACTAGATGCCATGCCATGATGTGTGTCATTCTCAAAGAGGTGTGTTCTTCTGACTCCCGGGGGCGTTGGGGCCAAATCTCGTATGGGTCTTCGATACAGGATAATTCTTTGCCATCCTGGATGAGATGACTTATCTCAACTTTCAGTGACGCTGTCTGCTTATGCGGTGCCTAAATCCAGGTCTTGATGACAGGCCAGGATAATGCAAAATGCCTGAGGTCGTGTTTGTGCTGAAGTCCAAGATATACAGCAAGCTCTGCCTCATCACGGGAGTCACGTAAGAACTTCCTGAAATTGCCAAGGTTATCGAGTGTGCGATCTGTATGACTTTCTGCACTATTCTCGGTGAACCATGGTGCCTTTATTCCCAAGGTTAGTTTTTGTCAAATGGGGAGAATATCTCTGTTTTCCTACCGGACGATGAGGCTCCAAGGGGACCTGTGGATATTGAGATGAAGAGCCCTGGGGCGATGTGTGGCCAAGATCTAGGGGATCATCCCATTCCTGCTTCTTGGGATGAGTACGCAGTATTGTGACAGCAGCAGCCCGTCGTACCTTGATTGAATTGACCCTCGATGACTGCCTCTGAGGGATCTTCCTATCCGTTGACTATAGAACCTTGAGTTAGTGGCACTGTCCCGAAAATATGTAGAGTTGAATTTTTCAACCTTTCTAGACGTTAGGTCTTGAGAGGGTGACTCGGGCCGTTTTCTCTTGCCCTTGTCGTCGGTTGGACGAACACCAGACGAGGTATCTGCTTCTGAACTCATAATTTCACTCTGAGAGGTCCGATGCTATGAGAAAACTGGATGGCAATTTGCTGTGGACATAAAAAAAATCAATGATTTATACGGAATATCTCAGGGGAGGCGACAGAAGAATAGGCCGACATGATGAGAGTATGGTTTTGTACAAGGGGCAGGTACACAGGAACCAGATATAACCACGGTCTGTTCTCGCATAATCTCACGTAGTGACATTACTTAAGTGGTCGGTTTGCATTTGTGTTTTAATTCAATCCATTCATCTGTTTCAAACAACCAGGCTGTAAAATATATTCCCTTAATCTCAGGAGTGGTGCATACAGGCTAACTCTAGCCCTAGCTTCCTCCTCATCAATACATAGGAGAAACCGGAACTTTTAGAACGCTTGATATCGACTCGAATTGGAATATGATTCGAGTCAGCCATCTATTCCGGTTCAACAGATTGGTCGAAGTAAAACACAGGGCACAAAAGGTTGGTGATATTTCAAATGGGTTCCATTCGGAAATAATCACAAGATCGAGGTTTCGAACAGGAGTTGAGAGCCATATTTGTTCATATTATCCCAACGTGATTCCCATGGTTTGAGGGTGAGACAGGCGATGGCACATGGTATTGCACAAAGTAACGCAACGTGTGTGGACCAGTCAAATACAGTATTTGGAGTGCTAATAGAATATCCAGAGCGCAGCATCACTGCAAGCACATTGTTGAATGACCACAAAAACAAATCGATAGGAAAGTTAACCATCGATAGAAGCGATGGCCAATATATCGGAGAGCAGACGTAAGAGGGCTGAGCATCAAAAGTGACATGTCATGACATTGCCGAAAAGCTCTTGATTCTGACTCGCGCACTTGAAAGATATACACCGCGGAAAGAATCACAGCTCAGCCAGGATTGAAGACACATAACGGAGATCGTTTTAGAGGGATCCAAAGTTTTGTATTATTGATTACTATCGATCTTGAACTTGAGGTAGATCATGTTCTTCGTACTTGGACCTCAATCATGCTCTTCCAAGTGAGCTTCCAACAGGCAATCATTACTAACTTTCACCACGCAGACACGAACACACAACACCACTCACTATGAGCAGCCCCAACCCCCAGTCAAATTCCAAGACACTGTTAGGTTATAGCGAGGTCGCTCGTGCCTAACTTCGAACTGATTGGTGGATTTGTGGCGAGGGAGCAGAGTACATGATCAACTAATCACGCGTTGTCTCAAACGACTCCTTGTCGGCTTTCCGTTTCAACATTCGTCGGTATGCAAAAAGAGCCATGATTCCGACCACGACCAGAAAGACGATGCAGAAGACAAGGACAACCCCACGATTTCTATTTGCCCAGTTGCCCTTTTTACCACTTCTTTCGACGATTGAATATAGGGACAGGGATGCAGGGCTGTTAGGATGGATTGTTTTGACTGGTGCCATGTTGTTGGAAAGGCCTTCGGTCAAAAGTTGGATTCTGTTTCACAGATCAGCCACCGGTCAGACGATAGACCCATCAGATGCCTCATACGCGGAGATGAACACAAACAATCCGCGATTGAAAGGGATATGCTCACTGAATACTGCGGTTTTGGAGCTATATGAACAGATGAGTCGACTATACACAGCAAATATCAACAAACGTTCAATGTTGTTGTCTTATCACACTGTATCAGCGGCGCAATGCTTGTCACTGTTCACAAGGAAGAACTCTGGACGAATCCAACGAGAGCAAGGGACGTCACGATAACGCGGGGAAAGACACCTACTGTCACACAAATGACAACACTGTTGATAGATATGAACTCGGAGCTCAACGAGACCAAGACCGGCAGATTTTGATGGAAGCCCAGAAATCACTCTAGCAGACGGTGGTGATCTCGTCGAAAGAATTCTGAGACAAGCGATCAAGTTCGCCAACATGGGTTTCGTTCATCAGGCGAACCTCCGGCACGCGACGGACAAAGACAATTGCCAATAAATGATGCGGACTGCTCTCGTACCTTGCATTGTTCCTGGCTGACTTCGAAGCCGACACAGGTTCGCCCTTTGATTGGGTTCCTGGTGATCCTTTACCGTGGCTATTGCATCTGAAAAACTAAAGATACCAGATGGCAACCTCCGTGGAGCTCCGATACAAACAGCGAGGCTTTCTCGAGAAGATGGATCTATGCTGAGCTACAGGCCGATGTATTTTGACGACTTGCTATTTACACAGTTTGCGCATGCATGATGTTTGGGTTCAAGTGTGTTGGAATAACTGCATGTGGAAAAATGACAGCTTACCACAGACGAGAAATTCTGGACACCCGTTCCGGTACATGTGCGTCACTCATCAATCATTCACAAATGTCTGCACTCGGGTCGTTGGGTGCCTGTTGACAATCCTATCCGGCGCAACGGGGGCTTTTTGGGCACCGGGGGGTACATTAGCTGTCATGTTTATCCACAGGAGTAGCCTCGCAGCAGACCTCGACAATCCTGACACTTGAGAGTCGTGATAGAATATATTACCTGGGCATAAATTTGTACGCATCATACCGTTGAAACTGTGGTTTGACGTCATGCCCGATAGGATGAAATAGGCGACTTAGTGACAATTTTCTTTGAAATGGCTACTTTTGGTCTTCGATTTGCCGCCAACATACTTGAGGGAAACGACATGCAATGAGATGTTCCTGTTGATTCACAAATCCACGGTCAATCTACTCTTTTGCCTGAGGCAGGAAGTCTTAGCCCTGACCTAAGAGGAAAAAGATCGTATCCTTTCGAGGATAACCAACAGTAACCGATTTCGATTCTGGTATACACCTATAAAGAACCCTGCAATGTCGTATCGTTGTGCTGATTATCTTGTTCTATCCCAAATTGGTCTCCCGAAATGACTCTAATGATGGGTATGCTGATCGCCTACTGGCTGTTACTTGAGCGGATTTGATTTTCCATTCCGACAAGAGGCCTAGGCACGGAGTTAGTAAGTGGAAGTTAAACCTAGACCGCTCTGCTTCCAATGTTACTCCTTCATCAAGCATTCTTGTCGCGCAACCTTCGGCACTTTCTTCTCTATCTCTACTGAATGATACCTAAATCCGCGAAAGCCAGCGAAAGACAACAATGAAGTCCTTATATGCTTCCTCACAGACATTACTATCCATTTACTTTTCTCTTCCTCCACTGAAGATCCGATGGTTTACGTTTTAAAATTTTTCCACGGCCCATTACCTCGTATTCGGCCCGCAGGGCACCAATCACCGTTCTCGACAGTTAGGCTTCCTGCAAGCCGAGACTTGAACGTGCAGTATTCGTGGCATAGGGACTGAAATAGCTCAATTATTTGGGATTAGACTATTTTGACAGGGATAGTACGAGTGATGAGGACCGCTGCACCCCGTATTCTCCGAAATGGTCAGCCACCATGTGCCAGATGTTAACTTGCATGGTGTCTTCACAGCATACAGACGCTGCAAGGAGATTGACAGCATAACTGAAGGTCAGCCGCGATTCTAGATTGTAACTGATGTTGGCTACTGCGTGAGAAAAGATTTTGATTATCCTACTCACGGCTAATTCATACTGGATTCATCTCCCTTCAAATGCACTAGAGAACGTGTTAATCTGTATCTGGATTAGCTCCTCAGTCTTCACCACTCTATTCCCCACACAGTATAGATCGACTACTGCAGGTATCGCAGGGACCAAAAACAGGGGTTTGACTGGCTCCACGCGTAGACCAGGACAGACCCCACCACAGACGAGGCTCATCTCAATACGAGGTTTATTCTATCTGCATTCGACGAGTGATGAGGGTGCCTGCGTATTATGTATATTACTGACATGTCCCCCTCTCACATTACTGACAGCGGAAAGTCTAATCCCAGCGTTCATTTACCATCCTCCTCGGATTCACATTTCAAAAGACATCGCCATGATGTTACCATTATGTGCACTTTTTCTAATTCCTCTGGCAAACGCATGGACCTTCCGCACTACCAACGCAACTGGTGCTACTGAAATTGCCCGCGGCAAAGAGGAACAGCAATGCTCAAATGCCACCATCGGGAAAGGAAAGCTTTTCACCTGGGATCCTGAGGGATCTGATCTATGCGTCTCTATATACCGCGACATCGGCTGTGATTCACGGGCGGGATACTCATGCGGAATCTGGAGGAAGAATGCTAGCGAACAGTTTTTGGCTTTCGATGTCCTGGTCGAGAGCGATATAGATGCCAAGCACAAAACATCTACGTTTGCTTTGACGGCGACAACTACAACAGCAACAACATCCAAATCCACATCCACATCCACATCTTCATCTTCATCTTCATCTCTGCACGCGGCTTCCGCATCCACAACCCCCACGGGCTCTAGCACAGCATCCGGTCTGAATGCCAGCAGCGGGTCCTCTGACCCGTCACTCTCAGGGGGTGCTATTGCAGGCATTGTGGTCGGTGTTGTAGCAGCAGTTGCGATATTCGCCGCCTTTATTATCGTTTTCATGCGAAAGAAGAACAAGAAGAATGCCGCAGCTGTTAACCGGGACGGTGGTTACGGGCCCCATGAGGCGGATGCTACTGAATCCTCGATGGGGGAGACTACAGTTGCAGAGAAGGCAGGAAACTCAATTGCGGAGAAGGAAGCAGAATCTGTACGCCGATTTAGACCTGTGCCTGGATCGCAGGTTGTAGAATTGGTTGGTGATGAGGGAAGTGCCGAGCTGGGCAGCAGCCCAATAAGTGAAATGGATGGGACCAGCGCAAAACGTCCATTTAACGTGGTGTAGGATCTAGGAACGTGGTTGAATGGGTTGCTCTTTCTCAACTGAGGGTTCTAGCTGTGCTAGGGTGTAGCTGGGATAGTTTCCCTTTTTTCTTTTCAACAGCGAGCGAGTTTTCATGGTCGTCTTTATTCGGGGGTCTCATTTTGATATACCAGGGCTTTATTTGGAATACTTGAGAGTAATATACGCGCTTATAATAATCAAATACATCTGATCAAACATCATTAGACCTCCGGTTGTTCTTCTTTGTTCGTTGGTCTCAGGCCTCTCCTATTTATGCCAGTGACATAAGCACTTCTCTCTCCCGAGGTCCTCGCTCCTCCCCAACAACAACCATGGGCCCTTGAGAATTGGCTGTTAAATAGGAGAACAATGTGTTCGCTTATGGCAGGAACCAGCAAGCAGTCCAAACGCAACCGATTAAAGATGGATAGAAACGGCTCCAGTGTAATGGTGGAAGGAGGTACAAAGAAGTTGTTCTCAGATGTATGTCATACGGCTGACTTTGAGATCGAAGATAACACTAATGAAATTTTGAAATCTCAACAGGCCTTTCTCTAAAAGATCGTCGATGTTACTGACATGGGTGCCAATTTCGTTGATCCTAGATGCAGAAGAAATCTCATTGCGTAACAATAGACAGCTTCTGATAGGTTCTTTTATATAGATAGATCCTGCTGATTCATGAAACCAACGCTTTCTATGTTCCGCTCCAAGCTAGTTCTTTCATTCTCCTTTGTCGATGTACTATCTACGCCAGAGAAGAATATATGATATAAATGTCTTACGGAAGCAAAATCGATCATTCTCGCCTACCATATCATTTCCTCCATTGGTATTCCTCTCCACTACCTACCAGATTAAATACAATATCCCCCCACCCGGCAAGAGTCCTATATTCAATGTAGGTGTGAAGGACTTCTGGATCGCATTACAGTCTAATAAAGCAGAATCGCCCTTATTGCAATTGTAATTGTGAGAGCGGTTCCTGTGACCGAATATCATGGGTAGGACAGGGCAGATGGTAAAGAGCAGGGTGGGCATGCAGCAGCATTGCATAATCTGTTTGACCTCGTTCAACCTTCTAATTTGACCCATTAGGGCATATAATCGCGGAATAGGGGCCCCCTTTTCAGCGTTGGAGCTACTGATGAAAAATTCTTACAAAGTATATCCAACAGCTCAGTGGTCTGCATCTCGAATAAGAAGATTGGAATTTTCACACAACGGTCCCAGTTTAGAGATCAACTGGCTCGCTTATCTTTTTGTCTCCAATAAAAGTACATAATAACGGCTGAGCCCCCACTCCAACACGTCGGCATACGTTGTTAGCGTGGCCGGGAAGATGATAGGCGGACCGTTATCCCCCAGACTATCACGAAAGCAGTATGGAGCTGCTGTCAAAGGAGCGCCCTAACAAACCCACCGGGCGATGTCAATGAGCCCAATGAGCATCTGGGTCAACTAGCTGTACACACCTATTGGCCATGGCATAATGCTGCCTCCCCCTCTACCGCTCGCTGTAAACATGGCGGAGACAGAGGGACACCGTGGTTGAATTTTCTTCTTGGTCTCCCGTCGCCATCTCTGCATACACGCGCAGTCCTAGTCACAGCTGTACTCCTTTGTCTCGTATCTGCAACTTCAGCAGGATGCCCAGCTTTGCGACCTATATACTAGGCGTGCTTGGAACAGTTGTGATTGCCCACCTGGTCCTCTCAATCCTCAAGCGTCCCTCGCTGCCCCTGCCCCCCAGGACCAAAGCCCGCGCCTTTAATTGGAAATATCCACCAGCTGCCAAAGAGCCTCCAGTGGCATGAGTTCTACCGTTGGAGTAAGAAGTATGGCCCTGTCATGCACCTCAGCATGGGTGGACAGCCCCTCATCATACTTTCCACTTACCAAGCCGCACAAGATCTACTCAACCGTCGCGGCTCACGATACTCAGACCGCCCGCGCATGGTTATGGCTGGCGAGCTGGTCACTAGGGGCATGCACATGCTTCTCCGACCATACAACGACCAGTACAAACTACACCAGAAGATGGAGGCCCCGCTCCTAACCTTGCGCGCTGCGAGTAAGTACCGCCCCCTACAAGATCTTGAGTCGCAGCAACTGCTATGGGATGTACTCAGCGAGTGGGACAAGTTCGGCGAGAAAGGCGTTGACTTCCACCACCACTTCGAGCGCGCAATGGCCAGCACTATCTACTGTTTGAATTATGGCTACCGGCTACAAACGGGACAGGAGAAGGAGCTGATAGACGCGAAGCGTGTTGAGGCCGAGTTTTCGCGTACCGGAAAGGTAGGCGCGTACATTGTTGACTCGTTTCCGTCGCTCAATTACCTGCCCAAGTTCCTGGCACCATGGAAGAAAGAAGGAGAAGAGCTATTTGAGCTCGAGCGACAGCTGCATGTTGGGAATTTGAAGAAAGGACTGAGTGACCGGAAGTGGAATTTTTCAAAGCATATGAAGGCCTCGCCGGAGGCTGCGCGAATGTCGGAGATTGAGCTTGCGTTTGATGTGGGGGTCCTTGCAGATGCTGCTTTGGATACTTCGACTGTTGCACTGGACTGGTTTATTGTTGCTTGGATTACCTCGGGCTCGCGTGGCTGGGTGAAGAAGGCGCAGCAGCTGCTAGACGAGGTTGTTGGTAAGGATCGCCTACCAAGATTTGAAGACCGACCCAGGCTGGCCTATATCGACGCTATTGGTGAGCTTAGCCTTTTAAATCTCAAATTTTGGGTAATAACTGACACAATATCACACAGCGAGCGAGACCCTCCGCTGGCGCCCTGTCTCCGCCCAGGGCGTGCCACATTTCACCAAAGTTGAGGACGAGTACATGGGTTACCATATCCCCGCCAACTCAATTGTCCTTCCAAACGGATTTGCCATCAACCACGATGAGGCCGTCTTCGGGGAGGACGTCGACAAGTTCATCCCGGAGCGGTGGCTCGCCGAAGAATCCGACACGGAGCACATCGATGTCTGCGGCTTCAACACATCCGCCCTCAAGGATCTCCCAAGCCCAGGATTTGGATTTGGGCGCAGAGCCTGTACCGGCCGTCTCATCGCGCGCAACCAGCTTTTCATCCAGATGGCGCGCATGCTGTGGTCGTTTGATGTCGAGGCTGGCGTTGTGGATGAGGCCACAGGCGCCAGACACAAGGTGCATGATATGGACTATACGGAGGGATTTATCACTCCGCCTCGGCCATTTCGATCCGTGATGCGCCCGAGGGGGCAGTGGGTTCGTGATGTGATCCTGAAGGCCGGTACCACACATAATCTGGATCACTCGGCCATTTTGGAGGCGGCAAAGATTGAAAGGTAGGGGATAGAATAAAGAAGTCTCATTTTTTATTGTTTCATTCGGTTGCATATGTTTATAGCACGGATTTGAATAATAGGCCGACGGTTCTCCCTGGACTTGGTGTATGATCTAGCGATATTATATACACATTTGTCTTCATGGTGTTCAGTGATGCTATGAGAAGGATAGTTGTTACTGCTCTGATATATGAAAAGAATCGTCAATTTAATTTCTTGTACCCAAATCGTCCTCGACACGATCAATGTCTCACAGGAATACTATTCCCGATAAACTACGACACATGTATCCATGATTTATCCTCAGTGATACAATCTTCCCTTTATCAAACCAGGAGCAACATCTTGTGCCACGGTGGTCAAGGCAAGACACCCAACATCAGCGTCGGGCTGAACGTCCCCAAGCCATAGTTTCGTATCTCGTTGATTCTTCGACCATTCCTCTGATGACCACGTAGAAGATCCGACAATTCCTTCTATCTTGTTTTGTAACAGGGCAACGGAGAGTGATCCTAGAAGATCAGGGGCGATCGTTATAATGTGGAGATAGGCGCCTAACAGTGCGAAGCAGAAGATAACGACCGAGGAAAGAAGGAGGATGGCGAGCCACAAACGGTGACACTTCACCACATTTTGCAGGTGGGAATTTTTAGCCGTCAATTTGACGGGGCTATGCTTGATTTGGCCATTCTCGATTTGTGTCATGTTGACAGAGCCTGTGAATGCCGACGGGCTGATTCCAAGATAAAGGACGGAATTAAAAAGCTGCGAGAGACGCGTCCCAAACACCTTTGGGCTCGTTGTTTCAGGTGACATCAAATTGTCTCCGAAGAAGTCCCCAATGGCGTGAAAAGGGTGAATAAAATATCCAATTACGGGCTCCAGACCACCATGCTGCTCAACATCTGGAAAAATGCTGGTGAGCATGTACAATATCCCTTTGTTATATCCTATTGGCAGGGCTGAATCTCCTGGAAACTTCAGATCGAAAATAGTCCAGTTTTGGTGGAAATGGGATTCATTCACCGACCGGCGAGCGGAGGACAGGTTACAAGCTTTTGTAGACTGACTCCCATCCAAGGATTCGCATGTCATATTGGCATCCACGTAAGTAGTGGTGAGGTCGCATACAGCTCGCGTGATGGGAGACCGATCGACTTTAGGATCCCCTGCATAACCACGATCCCATGATTCCCATATCAGCTTGCGGGCATTCCGAGTCCTTGCCATCGACGCATCGAGTGACTTCGAGCATGGTTCCGAGATGGCGAGCTGGAACTGATAGCCACCCTGTGAGCTCGTCCAGCTACAGTCGTCGCCATTTCCAGGAGATGGGGCATCTGGCCCAGTGAAATTTGTCAAATTCATTTGGTGCAGTGTGTCAAAGATGGGACAGGATATGGATAAATAGGAGCCCGGGAGCGTAAATGATGTGTTGCCGGAATTGGGCAAATCAATCACCGGCACGCCGACAAGGGACGCGTACGTCAAATTGTCGTTCTGGGGTATATCCATCCAACCGGTACTGTCTTTCTCAAAATTCTCGATGAAGGGGAAGCGGATGTTGCCCCAGAGATCTTGGTTGCGGTTTGCGAGTAGCGAAGCGGCAGACAAGGCGGCAATCAATGGGTTAGCAATTGATGTTTTGGCTTCCGATAGCCCTTGGCCGTAGCCGTACTGGTACTGTGTGAAGGTATTCAAACTGGTCAACTCGACCTGGTTACTTGGGTAACTCGGGACGATAGATATGACTCGGAGAGATGCCTGACTGCCTAGAGGAGACAGGCACCACAACAAGACGGTCAAGATGGCCATGCTGTTCACCGCACGTAGTCTGATCTGAGTAAGAATGGCCCCTGTGATAGTCTGGCTACCAAGACATTGCTCTACCAGTCCGATGGTTGCTCCTCCAGTAGTTTGGATACGCCATGATGCAATACTTTTGATGCTGCTACCAGCAATGGCGGCAAAAAGGACTGGGAATATAGTAGGTGCCTTGAGGAGAAATTTGACATCAGCTAGGTTTGGCGACATTGGAGGGAGTGTACGAATGGGTCAGCTAACATATCTAGAGACCTCGAAAAGCTTAGAGCCTATGGAGTCTTGGCCAGCCGGCTCCCCATCGATACAAGAAACCCATATACCGAACACGGTGAAGAGCGAGGCTATAATCGCAAGGAGCAAATCCCATAGCAGACGAGAAATCCTATCCAGTTGAGAGAGTCTGAGGGGCTGGGGCTGGGGTTTCTGCTCGTCGACATCGGGGGGCTCTATTGTTGTATAATATTGGGATTCTGATGACGGCCTCGAATTTTGGTGATTCTCCTCGGCTGGTACAGCCCCATAGGGGGTTCGCTCAGATTGCCTCATCTCTGGGGGATTTTTCCTCCACGGTGTTTGTAAGAGCGACATGGAGGGGATCTTTTTGATTGCGGCACCCCCACAGTAGACACCCGTCTTTATGCAGGGGAATAATCTATAAAGCGTACCTTCGTCTGTGGAAACGACGCCAAGTGTGAGGTAGTTCGCAAATGGGCTCCGGGAAATCCTCTTGGGTCTTGCAAAGTCGAGAATGCCAGTTGCTCATTATTGTCATTTGCTGCTAGGTCCGCGTTCAATTGAAGGGGATTTGTCACGATATGCGAGTCTTCTAGCCCCCAAACAATGCTGACCTAATACGTCAATTCACTCAGCCTCTGTCACACAAAAATACTCGGGTCCGAGCAAGGGGTAAATCAGCTGTTTCGGGTATTTCGCGTGGCATTAGACATGGGAGAACAGAGTACCTGATGCGCATATCGATAGGTTGGATAAAGATCTCACTGTATTGGTCAAGCCGCTTTGAAATTGAGTCTTACATCCGTATCCAGACCTGTACGTGAAGTGTTTACTGAAATTCGCAATAACATGAAACTTGAATCATAATATTCGAAATGCAGTTTCAAGGGTAGGTAAGCTCGCCTTGGTAGAACCAGGTAGCTAGGGGTTTGAGAGGGGCACCAAAGGGTGATTGATCCTGGTGGGGCTGAATATGATCATTCTTCGCAAACACAATGCAATCTTGCTACGGAGGGCAGATTCACGCTACAAGTTCGCATCGTCTCATGTCGCCGTTTATTGTCATTCCCTTTTAGGCCCCATGCTTGGATCGAATTGTCCGTCGAGAGACCGGCGCCAGCTTACCGTCTTTGAGTATCATCTATTCCAATCAAACGTTGACACTCTTTGAGTGAAGAAAGTACAGTGTGCAGTTCTGGGCCCACTTTACACACCGTTGTGCTTTAAGCTAGGCTCCAATTTTCTCGAATGTCTTCCAGAAGACCCGTCTACTTAAACTGTAGCAGTGGCCAAATTGGTCGAAAGATATTTGAATGTTCAAATACTAATGATCAGCAATTGTTGTTGCCTTCGTAGTGATCTCATACTTTGTAGTATGCACTAATCGCGGAGACGGTATTCCGTACGCTGCCGACGCTTCCTCGGCAGGGTACCTTCCAGCTGGTAGGTCAAACTCTCTGAGCCCACAACACCTGGGCAGCGTAGTTTTACGTACACGATCAAAATCGAAAGTCGATTGTACTTCAGTTTTGGCTGAGCTTCCAAGGTTGATAGAGGTCCGCATGAAACCATGGTTTGCGACCGGGAAGTATTACCTTATTAGGACGTCACGGCAGTCCAGAGCGGCAGCTCGACGGCCACCCGTGGATCATTTTAACGGATCAACCGGGGAAACACTCGATGACGCTGTAGGTGATGAAAATGGCCGTATTGCTAATCCAGTATTCCCAATGACTTTATGAATTGCTATATATATTCTCCCATTCACTTGATGGGGTCATTCTTAAGAGTACAGTGCATTGCATATATATTTTTATCACCATGTCTCATAGCCCATACGATACTAGCAGCAGTGATAGCGATGAGCCCAGTAGTATGACGACGATACCTGATCGTCGACTATCGGAACTAGGGTCCATGCGCTCAGGGAGCATCGATCGCCGCCAAAGCAACTTGAACGAAGTCGAGATAGAGCGAATCAACACGTATCGACTCCAACATCGCTCAACCGTCGGTTCTATTTCAGGACCTACCCCCAGAGACCAATGGCTTCCCCTCGGAGCTGGCAAGCCCCATCCGCCAGCTCTTCCAGACCCCGAGGAGTACATTGTCGAATTCAACGATGCACAGGATCCAATGCACCCCCAGAACTGGCCATTCAAACGCAAACTCGGTATATCAGTGACCTTGGCATATACAACCTTCGTTTCCTCTTTCGCTAGTGCCATATACTCCTCCGCGGTCGGACATATCAGCGCCCACTTTCACATCAGCACGGAGGTCGCTATTCTCGGTGTGACTTTATACGTTCTGGGATTTGCTTCGGGACCGACGGTATGGGCACCAGCAAGTGAGCTGATTGGGCGGAGATGGCCGATCTGCATTGGCATGTTCGGATACTCCATTTTCACCATTGCGACAGCAACTTGCAAGGATGTCCAGACTTTGATGTTGACGCGATTCTTTGCCGGCTTCTTCTCTGCTAGCCCGATCGCTATTGTGCCAGCCGTGTTTGCCGATATTTGGAATAACAAGACGCGCGGTGTCGCTATTGCGATGTTCGCCATGGCTGTATTCGTGGGGCCTTTCGCGTCTCCATTCGTTGGTGGCTTCATTACCATGTCTTACCTGGGATGGCGATGGACTATGTACATCGCCTCTATCATGGGGTGGCTAGCTACTTGCCTTTGTCTTTTGTTTTTGAAAGAGACCTATGCACCAGCTGTTCTTGTAGAGAAAGCCGCCACCCTACGACGGCAGACACACAATTGGGGAATCCGCGCTAGACAAGAAGAGATTGAGCTTGATTGGGGCGAGTTGATCACAAACAATTTCAGTCGGCCATTCCGTATGCTATTCACCGAGCCAATCGTTCTACTAGTAAGTCATGCATGAATATCTCCCACTAGCTCAACCTGACCTTCCTTCAGATCTCTCTTTGGATGAGTTTTGTTTATGGGTTGATGTACGCCCTTTTGGGCGCTTACCCTGTTGTCTTTCAAGGAATCCATGGTCAAAACCTGGGGGTTGGCAGCCTGCCTTTCATTGGATTGATTATTGGCGAGTTTCTAGCTGGCGCCTATATCATGTTTGATCAGAGGTCATACACGAAGAAGTTAGCCGCCAATAACAATATCCCCATTCCGGAATGGAGACTTCCTCCCGCCATCCTGGGGGGTGTGTGCTTCTGTGTTGGGCTGTTCTGGTATGGGTGGACTGGATGGACAAAGTCAATTCACTGGATGGCCCCGACCGCCAGTGGAGTTGTAACGGGATTCGGCATCTATGTCATCTTCCTGCAGTGCTTCAACTATTTGATTGATTCATACTTGATGTTGTAAGTGTTGCAGATTCCGTTCGACTCTGGAAGGATAGACTGACCTTAAACCCAGTGCCGCATCTGTGTTTGCCGCGAATACCATTATTCGATCAGCGGTGGGAGCTGCGTTCCCATTGTTCTCAAAGCAGATGTTTATCAACTTGGGTGTGCAATGGGCTGGCACACTTCTTGGGTGCCTCGCCCTCATCATGATCCCAATTCCCATGGTATTCATCAGATGGGGACCTGCGTTGCGCAAGAAATCTAAATTTGCTCCTATCGCTGAGGCCCCTCTTGCAATCAAGGCGGAGAAAGATGTAACGGAGTCGGTTTAGCTATGACTCTTGTTTTTTGCGTTCGCATACTTCAGAATTTCCCTGTCACTAATAATAAAATCTATAGATGCTTCATAATTGTGACTCTCGATGACTGTACTCTCTGTGTCGGCTCTTTCATTAAAAATAAACGCCACAGAAGGTTCAACCTTAGGTCTGTTGCGAGCCATATGAGGACGGGCCACAGCCCCATTTCCGATGATCACATGCCGCTCTTGATACTTCGCCTAGGTGCTCCAAATGAGAGCTCCCCCGGAGTATACTTCAACTGGCTGGACCATATCCTGGATTCTCCTAAAGCGACATATATTCGCTAGATGGGAGGAATCAGGCGATGTCACTCAGTGAGCTCGAGAGGAGACTGTCAGGACCACTTGTTCATCACGTGCCAGTGTGCTCCAGAAAAGAGCAGCTAATCCGCGCGCGTGAATAGCGAAGTAGATCATGTGGATTAGCTAGAAGTGTGTAGTATACCCACCCCGCATTCATCCAAGAGATCAATATGAGATCACCGGGAGAATTGCTTTTCTTGGTGCCTTGTCGTCCGAAGTTCACACATCTCCACGTGGCATAGCGCCTCAATGAGCGTAGGCTGATCCAGCCCCTTTTTCAATTGACGAGCTACGAATTGGTTTAAGCACCTTGAGATCCCCGGTACGAAGTCAGGTTGTCAGGACCGAATAAGTCCGATATCTGCGGGTGAGATTTGTTGATAGCACACGATCGGATATGGCCGTTCCCCGGATATTGCAGGGCCATGAGCAGAGATATTCAGATCTGATGATTTCTCCAAATTACTTATGTCATCGGCTTCCACCGGTTATCGTGAACGCTTGCCCTTGCGCATTGGCGATAAGAGATAAACCACGTCGGGGTCTTGGCATTGCAGGGGTTCGCAAACTTCTCGAAACGAGCATCTGGCTCTTGTCTTGAATATTTTTTTTCTTGCGAACTGACTATCAACAAGGACGAAGGAACAATGTCTCTGTTTTTTTCCCACCTCCAACACCGGCTTGCCGAGCCTTGACTTATGGACAAGTTTTCCGTCGGCAAACGTGTGGCCAATTAGGGCTTCTTCGCGGCATGTCACGGATGAGACAGCCCCGCCAAGCCGCCAAGTGCCCAAAGAGCCGGAGGATAGCTGTAAATGGAAGAGGCGAATTTCTTTTTCTTTTTTTTTCTCGATCTCTTATCAGCACAATGTGGTTGGCCGAGGGATCAGATTGAGATTTGCCAATTTCTTTCTTCAACCTATATTCCACACCTACCTCTACTGCAGGAACATCTTTAAATACTGCGTCTCAACGACGACAGCGTCTTCGGAATTCGCTGTATCCACCACACAGGACGTGATACTATCCCGAAATGTCTCTCAGTAACTGGGTGCACAACACCAATCTGCGGGTTGCCCGCAGTCCGGTGGGGAAATGGTTTCGTCTGGAAGGCTGTGGCCATGTAAGTGATACTGCATTATTTGGGATGTGCGATCGCGGCATCGATGCTCGTGCAATGGACTAACTCATTTATCAGCCTAGAGAGAGGAAGGGTAGCTACTTCTTCACTGAAATCCGCGCCGGCCTCGCCACCTTTTTCGCCATGGCATACATCATCTCCGTGAACAGTAATATCACCTCCATAACAGGTGGAACCTGCGTTTGCCCCGAGGAAGACATGGGTGACTTCTGTGCAACCAATGCCGAGTACGCCTTGTGTACACAAGAAATTAACCGCGATCTTGTTACCGCCACCGCTGCTATTGCCGCTCTCTCGACTTTCTGCATGGGTTTCTTCGCCAATCTGCCTATCGCGCTCGCACCTGGAATGGGACTGAACGCCTATTTCGCTTACACCGTTGTTGGACCCCGTGGTTCCGGCATGGTTCCCTACTCAACTGCTCTGACGGCCGTCTTCGTGGAAGGATGGGTATTCTTAGGCCTGACACTGTGCGGTATGCGACAATGGCTGGCCCGTGCGTTGCCAAAGTCTATCAAGCTTGCCACTGGTGTTGGTATTGGTCTCTACCTCGCCTTGATTGGTTTGACGTATAGTGCTGGTATTGGATTGGTTCAGGGTGGAGTTGACACTCCCATTGAACTCGCTGGATGTGTGAGCTTTAATGAAAAAACTGGTCTGTGCGATAGCGCGGATAAGATGCGAAGTCCCACTATGTGGATTGGCATTTTCTGCGGCGGTGTTTTGACGGCTTTGCTCATGATGTACCGTATCAAGGGTGCTGTCATTCTTGGTATTTTGCTCGTGTCTATCATCTCGTGGCCTCGTACCACAGCGGTTACCTATTTCCCCTACACCGACCTCGGTTCCAACAAGTTTGATTTCTTCAAGCAAGTTGTCACTTTCCATCCCATCGAGCACACTCTGCTTGCACAGGATTGGAGCCTGGCTGGCAAGGGTAGCCAGTTTGGACTCGCTTTCATCACATTTTTGGTATGTCGCAAGCTTCTCATTCAGCTATGATGTTTGACTAACATGTCCGTAGTATGTCGATATTCTGGATACGACAGGCACGATGTACTCTATGGCCCGATTTGCCGGCGCAATCGACGAGAAGACCCAGGACTTCGAAGGCAGCGCTATGGCCTACATGGTTGACGCAATCTCCATCTCCATTGGTTCTCTTTTCGGTAGTCCCCCCGTCACAGCATTCGTCGAGTCCGGCGCAGGTATTTCCGAAGGTGGTAAAACCGGCCTTACCTCATGTGTCACCGGCTTTGCATTCTTCATTGCGGTGTTCTTCGCGCCCATCTTTGCTTCCATTCCTCCTTGGGCTACGGGTTGCACGCTCGTGATTGTTGGTGCCATGATGGCGAAGGCTGCCGCCGATATCAACTGGCGGTACTATGGAGATGCCATCCCTGCATTCCTCACCATCGCCATTATGCCCTTCACATACAGTATTGCTTACGGCCTGATCGCCGGTATCACCAGCTACATCACCCTTAACGGCTTTTCCTGGTGCCTCGAGAAGATCACCGGTGGTCGCATCGTCCCGCCTAACAAGGATGAGTCTGATCCTTGGTCTTGGAAGCTCCAGGGCGGTTTCCTTCCACCCTGGGTCAAGCGTGCTGCTCATGGAAAGAAGGACTTTTGGAAAGCTGATGAGGAATATGCGGAGGAGCGGGTTCAATCTGGTGAGGCTGTGTCCTTTTCGTCCGCGTCGGAGGAACGTGTACCTCTTGAGAAAGGCCATGAGACCACTGCTGCGCCCCTGAAGACAGAATAAATATTTGGAAGATGAAGAAGAGGAGTTGCGGTATGGTTGGGATTTTTTTTCATGGAATTACAGCGGATGTGTCAATTTTGTAAATTTTTTATCATATGTATTTATTGACTTACTATTCACACCTGGTTGTCTTGAGAGGTGTTGTACATGCCACTGAATGAACATGTTGTTTTAATATTACCATAGACATACGACTTACTGAAAGAAGTAAGTGGTGAACCTAGAGACTGAGATAATGTTGATCTCTTGCCAGTAGTCTCTGGTATTCGGTCTCTTTGGCGCTAGATCAAGGGTGCTAAACGCGGAACACCAGGCGTTCCAAAACCAACACCACTTGGCACACCTTGTATTGGGGTCTTGGTACCAGTCACAGCTGTGGTCAAGTATTCCTATCTTCAGTTGGATCGACCGAATGACGAGAAAATTGATAACATGACGCAGTGCATCATTGAGGACGATTTGACACTAGTATGCAAGGAATCTGGACACAACGATGCTGTTCTTAGAACGCCTGATCTCCAATGAAAGATATATAAACAGGTCACATATTCACTACCACAAAACTAGTCTAGGAAACCGTGGCCAAGTGATGATGACAGCACCTGATACTGTGTTGATATTGACGAAAGCGGGAACTACACCCGGAACCCAGTGCTCATGAGCCTCGTATCCCCGACATAATTGGCTTCCTTGGCTTGCGGTAAAATCTTGGGAGACAATGCCATTTCCTAACACTCCATGCTCAGTTCGAACATTGAGTGGGGTCCCTCGTGTGTTACCCCAACATTTCCCAAGATCATGATCGATCGCTATTGGTGGATATGGTGAAGGCTAGATAATCCTTTGTATTAGGCCGGAGGTTAGCGGTTGCTCTGATCCCCTACAATGTATACAGTAGATGTTCCCGAGGTTCTGGCGGTGTTCCACCCCTGAAACCGTCTACAACGTTACGCGGCGTTCTAAGAAATTCTTTTGGAACTGCTAAGCCAGCCTTGTGCGTTATGTAGCACACCTACGACCTTCCTAACTAACATACATTGGATTCCATGTGAGATACGCAGGGATTGCCCGGCTGTGACGGATGTGAATGCCTTATGCGGAGTTAGCCTGTTGAGGAAGTGAATTGGTCGATTGAGCCACATCGAAGCTCGCCAGAGGTAAGGTGATGATGAAATCACATCTGATTTACAACGAGGCTCCACGCTAACAAGCTCTATGAAAACTCCCTGAGATTATGTAACGGAAAGGCAAGATGCCATCTCCGGTTTTACAGCCATGCCAGACTGGAGAGTCTAACAGAAGCGATGTCTCTACCCATTATAAGTCATGCATTTCAAGCCTACTGCTAAACCGTTCCCTGGTATCGTACTCCTGGGCCTCTAGGTCGTTGTCAACATAATCATTCTACCTAGGACCGACGTCATGCTCGTACAGTGCAAAGTGGCATCTAGAATTCGGGAACATTTGTAGGAATACAACTTAGATCATGCGTAATATATGCGAACGATGGGACTTTCAACAGATATGTAGAGAGAAGGGCATGATAATAGTACACTGTAAAATGCAACGCTTAGCCAAATATCGACTAAAATTGTAGTGCTTTTAGAGCTGCATTCCCAAACTGTATTTGAATCAATGCGACTTGATATTTGAAGCTGCAGAAATCGTCAGCCAGGTGGATAAGACCTATGTTTTTCGACATAGTACATGGGTTAATAGCATTTTTAACCAGGTTGGTTTGATTAGCTATCACGGAAATTAGAGAATAGTATAGTAATAATCAAATTAATCATCTCCTTTTCTTGTCCAATATAGTCAAATAGGTGGTGTCTTTTCTGGCTCAAATTCCTAGATTATATATATCTACCAGAGTCGTGCGGGTTTGCTTCACTACTTTCCTGAATTATTCTGGGAGTTATGCACATTATTTAATGTTGAGTCACCTTTTAAGTTCTGCACGGTCATACGTTCGGCTTTATGTCTGGTTCTGAACTTGTGTACTTATCCTTCTCATTGTACTAACTGCACTTGGTGTATTCCGAGTCGATCTGAGATGGCCCTAAGTCCCCACACCAAACACGCTAGAAGATCACAAGCAAACAAGATGTCTACATATAAGTTTGTGGGTACCAGTTTGTCTCGGACAACCTGTCTATATCACATCATCCTTCCCTGTTGTTGAGATCCTTCGACCATTTATCATCACTCATCAGCAGGAACTAGAAAGACAGCATTTGCAATGGCTCTCACACACGGTGCCTGTGACCCCGCTTTCAGCCCCGTGCGTGACCTCCTTCAAGAAAAATTGACCTCAGGAGAGGAAGTGGGTGCCTCGATTTGCGTTAACGTGGACGGAAAAACGGTCCTCGATATCTGGGGCGGCCATGCAGATGCCGCCAAGTCACGCTCCTGGGAAAAAGACACCCTGGTCATCGTCTTCTCATCTAGCAAGATAGTCAGTGCTCTAGCTGCGCTGATCCTCGTGGATCGTGGTCTACTGGATGTGGAGGAGAAAGTGTCAAAATACTGGCCGGAGTTCGCGGCCAACGGCAAAGAAGACACGAAAGTGTGGCACATCCTCGGCCACTCTTCTGGTCTACCCCACTGGGACAAGCCGCTCTCCATGGAAGCGATTTACGATACAAAAGCTTCAACTGAGATGCTCGCTGAGCAGGCTCCGTGGTTCAAGGCTGGAGAGGTGTCTGCATACCAGCTGGTAAACCATGGACACTTAATTGGTGAGCTGGTCCGACGCATTAGCGGCAAGTCCTTGAAACAGTTTGTTGCAGAGGAGATCGCGGGGCCGCTGGGCGCCGATTTCAGTCTCGGACTCGCCGAAGAGAATTGGCCGCGTACGGCCGATATCATCCCTGGTGATCTTGTGGATCTTCCAGAGTTTGATCCGCAAAGTGTTGTGGGTAAGGTCTATGGAAACATTACATTGAAGGCCGAGGATTCTCAGACACCCGGATTTAGGGGTGCTGAGATCGGTGCCGTGAATGGGTTTGCAAATGCGCGTGCGCTGGCTCGAATTGGTTCAATGGTGTCCTTGAAAGGAACAGTCGATGGCAAGCAGTATCTTCGGCTGAAGACTATCGACCAAATGATTCAGGAACGGGTTAGTGGTGTTGACTTAGTGTTGTTTATGAAAGCCAGATTTGGACTTGGAGTTGGCCTTCCGGTGCCAGAAGTTATAACCTTCATCCCCAAAGGAAACATCTGCTTCTGGGGAGGTTGGGGTGGATCTATGCTCGTCATGGATTTAGATCGTCGCATGACTATTGCGTATGCCATGAACAAAATGGGACCAGGGATTATGGGCAATGAGAACGCGAAGGCGTACATCGATGCGATTTATGAGATTATGGGGGACAGAAAACGTTCTGTGTCCCTGTAATGTATGAAATGTCATAAAACGAAGATAATTTATACATATATGCAACTTTTGTTCAAAAATTTACATACGCTTCTTCAATATCGATAGTCCGACACTTGCAGTCATAATTTTGTCACCACCGTTCCGTCAGATGAACTTCTTTGCCTTCGAGACCTGCTTGCTACCGCCTGTCTCGCTGAACACTAGCTCATCTCGCTCCCAGATCAACTCCACTGCAGCACCCGCGGGGCCGGCAAGAACTGTCAACAGAGCAACCTTAACAAGGAGTCTGGGCCAAGAGACAATGCCGAGCAGTTGCTTGTGAGCAACAGTATACAGCGAGATAGCCCAAATCAGGACACCTGCAGAGCCGATCATGTAATCCCATCGCAGAAAGGCATGGACTCCATCTCCCACAGTGCTAACCACCAGTCCAGACCAAGGAAGAGGAACCGAGAAAACCTTGGCTGGGTGAAGGGAATCCAAGAAACGGTCTCTAAACAGAGCGGGGACTACCACAGTTGCCAAAGAGACAACCCATGACACGATGTGCGTCAAAGATGCATTGGCAAATGCAAATGCGTAAACCCAGCGCAAGCTAGACATTGACGCCCGGTGGTTGTTCGAGAAGAAAGGCGACAGTGTAAAGTAGGCGACCGTAGTCAGAATAGACACGTACGCGGGCCAGGGGTGCCAGATGGCAATGGCAATCTGCTTTAGGTCCACAGAAATGACGGAGGGAGCGGGCAACGCCATCACCGCGGTCGGCACCATGTACCCGACGACAAAAATGAAGGGCAGAACTACGAGGACAGCCCGCGGGATCCGGATGTTATCTGCATGAGGGCGGCGGGCGGTGATTGAGCAACCCAGCTGAAGACCACATGTCAATGGGATACCGAAGGCAAACGTGAGCACTTGAGCGATGAGGCCAAAGATGGTCGGGCTACATCGATTAGTCAGTAGAGGTTCAATACGCAAGGTGCTCAAGACTGGGAAAAACATACTAAGCGGCTATGGTCCCGGCATTTCCCTTACGCCAAGATTCCAAGACGATCAGAGTCCAAGTTGCACCGAAAGTACCACTGAATCCAACACCGTGAAGCAGCAGACCAGGATTGTGACCATCAAGTGTCGGGTAGAAAAACACTGTCAGAAGAGTTAATACATTGTCGACTGCCTCGATACCCGTGTAGACTGTTCGCAAAGGTGCATCGATGCTAGGCAGCTTGCCAGATTCAATGGATTTGTGACCCAGCGCATCGAGGCCGTTAATGGAGGCGAAATAAAATATCGCGTAGAACACCAATGCGCTCAAAGAGAACAGTACGTATCTCATGATGAAGATATTTTGACAGCTAGGAGGGGACTGAGACAAATCCGGGGAAACAGGAGAGGTCGCGATGATAAATATGGGGCCTAGTAACCCGCGCCAAGTTCCTGTGAGACCGAGGCTTGTGCTGTGATGCTCAGCGAGCCGGAGACACACGCCGTGCTGATCGTCTAATCAAGGCTTCAATGCGAAGGGACATGGCGGCCAGGGGTTGGTGCCTTATTCACATCTGATGTTTGACTGCTTTAAACACCGCTCTATGTTGTATAACAATTTCACAAGCGCACCGTCGACCCGTTTGAATTTAGCTATATTTGTCTCAGCTAAAACGGCATCAAATTAATTATACTAGATGATCAACTCTTAGTACTTCTAAATATATATATATTTATATATATCCCGTGACTCAAATCTCTACTTTGACTACATATTGGTAATGCGGTCGTCCAGAGCTGGAGCGCTGGCGGCGTTCATCGAAAGGTGGGGGCGCTATAATTGCTGGTCTTTCCACCGGCTTTGTACGGAACGCTTCTTGAAAGGAGAGGTCTTGCCAGATAGATGCTCCTGGAACTGAGTGAGTCATTGCTTCTTTATCTTGTTGGTGGCGCGCAATTCATTTACTTCTTTCTTGGGAAAAGTAGCAGAGTATATACTGTTATAATGATTCGGGTATCATAATTCTGTCCGTCTCAAAGAAATAATTGAGGCGCTGATCCTAGAAGCCTGAAGAGTTTGAAACTGGCCGGTATACCCCTCAATCACATGTCGATTGCTCTATACTCCTTACATGCCGATGCGATTCAATGAAGTTGTCAACATCTTGCATACCCAAATCGGTTTAGCGTCCCCCATTATTTTACACCTGGAATATCGGGCATCAATTTCAATTTCTCTTGGCTCTCTGTTCACTACGACTTCATTACCCATGGCTGGGTCATTGCCGCTAGAAATTCTGCAGCAGATATTTTCCTATGAATCAGACAGTCTAACACAATATGCTTGTGTCTGTCGGCAATGGCAGCTCGCCGCTGAGACATTCACTTTCGCCCATTTGCATATCAATTCGGCGGACCTTGAAAGCTTCCGTCAGATTCTCGCTTCCTCCCATTCAACCGGGAGATATTTCCGTGTCCGGTCGCTCTCCTTCAAGGTTGTCCTCCCAGCGTACAGCGATCGCGCCCGAGGTCACTATGAAAACAAAGATGATCGCGATGCCAATAACAGAGTCTTCACGCAAGCAATAATCTCCCTCTTCAAAATTCTGAGTTCGTGGCCTTATCACGACAGGTATCAAATTTTACTTCAGATATATGCTAGGTCTCCAAGCGATTGGCAAGCGGAGCCAGATTGGATAGCGCGACGCGCCCGACAACAACGAGGCTATGCTTTCCCAGAGCAAGACCTGCTAGACCGGCGCTACGAACGTTCATATCTGCAGCTGACGGGACGTGTAGCACTTGCTGACGCCAGGTGCATTACTTCAATCGAGGTGAAAGGCTCTGATGCTGTTCGAAATATTGGACCAGCAGCAGTATGCTTGATCGTTGCTCACCTCCTACGACTGGAAACTATTATCGCCAGTCTACGTGACAAGGAGAGGGAAAATACCAAAATATGTGATACCTTTGGAAGTGGTTAGTTGCACCGGCATTCTTGCTGCACTCTGGTTGTTTCAATATATCAAAATTTTCTGACAGTGTCAATAGACTTCTCCATTACCGGGTGGCGTCGCTCCCTGCGACAGTTATATTTAAGATACAAGGTACAGGCACCATATTCTCAGAGCCTCCTTGTGCCATTCAACCCGAGACCCAATCCTCTTTGTCTTGTTCTGCACCGACTTTCTCAGCAATTGGAAATTGTTGACCTATCACAAATCATAATCGGCCCTGAATTGTTCTGGCCGGTAGATGCCAGCAACACTAATCCGTTCTGGCCAAGACTCACCAAATTTACAGCAAGCTGTAGTTACTTCCCCACATATGGCTACGCTCACTTGGATAAATCCATAAAATTGGATGAAAATGCTTCTTCTGTCACATCAGATGACTCCGTCGCACTACCTCATGACCAAGGAAACCTTTTGTATCTCCAGAAAAATCGCTTGGATGAGGTGTTTGTTGCCGCTGGGCGCGCTGCCCACCATATGCCTCGGTTGATTTCCATGGAAATCGATATTGGTACGCTCCGTGTGCCGGCATTCGATTTTTGTTTCAGCTACGATGCAAGGCTGGGTACAGCAACATGGACAACCTTCTCGGAGTTCTGTGTGTCGAATGAAGTTCAACAGGCCTGGGATCTTGCGGCAAAGAGTCATGGACATGGTCAAATACGTACGGAGGTTTTTCCTGCCGATTCAAGTTTGTCTTCATGACAATATGACTCTACATTGTAGGTCGGAGGAAAATAAGAATATCCAAAATAAGAATCAAGGTTCACTTGAATTCATGACGGCGACCTGCCTGTATGACGATTGTATGGTAGTTTCAATGCCATGGAAATCTCGACAAGATAATGTCCTAGGTCAAAGGACATATAAACATGTATACTATCTTCATATGCTGCCTCTTGAATGGGCAACTCTTACTTTCTGCTACAACAGAGCATCTATCTTTCATCTCCCCTCTTCTATTTCCCTTTCGTCCAAATTATTTCCTTAGACATCCGCCAAGTGTATCGAATGTCTACTTTATGGTTCCTGTAGGTCGAAACCAGAAGTAAGTCTTTTGCTGTAGTTTATTGGAGACATGGTATATCATTCCCTTCGAAACGTAATCGCTTATGCACAATACAGTAGAAACTACTGCTGGGGATGTGGGGATTGGGTAATTTGCGCACCTGCTGCCGCCCTTGGATGTGGTAGCAGTTTTTCAGGCTCAATTCTCCCTTACCCGTTGCCACAACGGTAGGTAGCGCTCTGCAAATCCCATAAAAGTAGGTCTATGGCCCAACCCGCAGTGGGCTATGGGCTATGTTGGGCTATCTATGGGGCCCATATGTAATAGGGGTCTTGGCGCTTCTAGCCCGCCGACTTGTAATCGCTGTATCCTATATCTTACTTTTCATGGTCACGTATCCACATCAAAGAATCACCAGTCATTAATCCGGAGCGACTGTAGAGCAGGCCCGTAGAGGAGGGAGGGGGGAGTGAGAGGGCCATTTACCTGATACGATTCCGTCAGATGTGCGTAACCTAGAACTATATGGACTCTAATCAGAGATGAGAGTTTGCTCTAAGCTACCGAGGGATCTCAAAGAATATCTCGTGTTTAAAAAGGACCTGTTAAATCAGACAGCATATTTTCCACATGTAGCTCGTCCCGGTACCCCTCAAACACTTGATCAACCACATCAGCCAGCCAACGGATCAAGCCACGAACCGTGTAATGCATTTTGGTATATTCCCAATACTCCGGGAAAAATCCCGCGTTCTCCCAATCCACAATACCTGTGATCCTCCCATTTTCCGCGAGAATATTCCTAGGATTTAGATCTCCATGCGTAAAAACAATCGCGTGTGGGATAGCATGGGACTTGGCCGCTCTCCTTCGCGTGTCATCCGCCATCATTCCAGTGAGATAATTGTGAAATTCAGTCTCTGTTCGGAAGCGTAATTCGCCTGACTGGCTGTCAGGGATGCGCCAGTCCAGGATCCCGCCGCCTTCGGGGTTGCAGATTTGGAACTCCCTGACCTGATTTGGGATCGCTCGCAGCTCGGCGATATACCGTCTGAGGTCAGTCACAGCGCGGTCAACTTCTTTCTCCGTCATAGTATCCAGAAGCTGGCCGATTGGATTGCCAGGGACCTTGGTCATGAGTAAATACGAAGCATGAGGGGTAGTCAAGACATCAATTGCCCTGGGCGCGGGGATTGTAGTGAGCTTCTCGACAATGACAAGAGTACGAGCCTCTGCCCGATGCTGAACTGCCTCGTGAAGCTGTCCCTTCCGTAAATATAGCCCAAATGGCACTTGTTGGACTCTTGGAGAAAGTGATCGCCCATAGACATAGGAGCCGACCGAGAAGAGCATTTCATAGGCTGAGGCTCGAATAACAGATGGCAGAGTATTCCATATCCACCTAGTGATGCCAAATAACAATGTAGGTAGCAATGGAAGCTTAATCAATTTTGCACCTAAAAGCGATCAGAAGAGATTCAGAGAAACGAAATTCAAACCTACTCGCACGATTTTGTTGTTCTACCATGTACTTGCGTGTGTCCATCCATGCCAATGACTTAGATAGCATGGAATGAAACTCAAGAAGATCTTTTTGTGGAATCGAAGCTTGACCAGTCGTCTTATCCTCAAGAACCAGCCTCTTCACTGATGAAGCTATGGGTAACTCGCTTCGGGTTCTGTACCTGAACAGGTGGGTGTTGATGTCATACTTGAGCCCAAGTCAGTGTGCACTTATATAAATGGGCTGATGGTCACCCACACTTTGTCTGTGACAAGAATTATCCTGGTCCCAGCTCCTCAGCCCGAACCATACCACTCCAGATTGCATAAGCTCGAAGGCAGAGACCGATAAAAGCCAGATATTGCCAAGATTCTGCGTTTTCTCTGGACTTGAGGATGGGATAGATCGCAGAAGATTTATGGAATCCTTGGACAGAAAGGCGCAGAGCATTTCAAATAGTCGACCCTTGTGCGACAGTCAACGAATGCCATATGATACGGAGGGGCCATACCTACACCCTCGACTAGATCTAGGCTCATCACCCCTCGTGGTGGAACGATGTGTACAAAGCGCAAGGTAGGATCATCTGGCGACTTGAAAAAGGTTTGTGTAAGACAACAGCGCCCGCCATCCCTCTCATACACCAGCCGCTTGGTGTCAGCGGATAACCCTGTCGCTACTATAGGCCGAACTACACCCTTGCAAGTTAGAAATAAAAGGACAAAATGCTCATTTGAATACCTCTCAGCTATGCTTACGCGTGGTGATCAAAGACTTCCAGTCTGAGAGAATCTCCCAAATTGTTCTTGTTCGGATGATTCGCAAGGCGTCATCGGCTGCTGTCTCCCGCAATAAGTAGCGAGATGCTTCTTGTGGATCCTGCGCGTCGAGGAGAAAGTGACCTAGGATAGCCCGATCTGGATGTGGTAGCTCGGTGATAGCTAAGAGAGCGCGGTATTGAGGGGCTTGATGGTCCTGGTAGAATATCTGGGAAGCCGAGTCCCGGATGTTCCTTGGAATGGCCATGATAAGGAAGGGGAAGGACCGGGATGATTGAGCTTGAAATTTTCTAAGGAGAGACACAAAAAAAGAAAAGAAGATGGCTCAACTCAGGGAGAGGTAGAGATGAGGTAAATGTAATAATAGGTCAGATATTCGCCCGTTGGTTTGTCTGGTTTGACCTCCACATGACCTTCTTTGTGTACGTGACTCTGAAGCTGTACGTGTACCCCAATGGTCTGTCGTATTCCCCCTGAAATACTATCTATGTTTGGATAACATGGTCTGAGCAAATATTGGAAATTCCATAACAGTTCCAAGGTTGTTAACCCCGGAACTCCTTGGAGAAGGGCCAATGAGGTTTGAGCGGATGGCTTCGCGCTAATCCGTTTCGGGCACTTTTACGGGGAATGCCACGTGACAAGATCTTCTCCGCCAAGGGTCACCTGATGCCGCCTAACGGCGATTGACCGCCCAAACCAAACAGACAAACAAATTTCCCCACCATAGCTCTCCATCTCACCTCACGGGTTGGAAATTTGAATTTCTTTCATCTTCCAAATTCCAATCGAATGCTGGTAGACAGCTTTGAATAAATCTGGCTTGTGGGACTGGCACATGTCGCCCCGATACCTCTGACAAGATGCTGAGGGATTCTGATATAGATTCCTTGAACGGGCATCTTGCATCCTTATCGCGAGAGCAACAAAAGCAACATGACAACCTCCAGGACCTGCTTAGCCAGTTTAAGAGTTTATTGGACGACTACAGCTCGCTAAAAAGCGACTATGAAGAAGTTAAAGAAGGCCGAGAAAAATACAAAAGGCAGGCCAGAGGCCAGGTAGGAGTTCATCAATTTAATGAACACCCGAGCGATGCAAAATTAATAATTGACCAGGACCGTAACCCTTTTGTTCTCGTCCTTGTAGACGGAGATGGTTATCTGGTGAGACTACGCTGTTTTCCTCGCTATTAAATCGGTCGACTAACGTACCTCTTCAGTTCAAAGAGCATTTCTTGAAGCACGGCAGCGAAGGTGGAATTAAAGCAGCCCGCGAGTTGAGCGACTCTGTCAAAGAGCTTATGCATTCAACAATGGGAATGCAGGCAGAACAGTGTCGTATCATGGTTCGCGTCTATGCAAATGTTCTCGGTTTGTCGAAAGTGCTAGCCCGAGCTGGACTTATGGGCCACGAGGCTCGATCCATGTCACCATTTACTTCGTCATTTACCCGTGCCCAGGAGCTTTTTGATTACGTCGATGCTGCAGAAAAGAAGGAAGGTAGTGATTTCAAAATCAGAGGTAATAATCCGTTCAGCATGAATAGTCCGGTGATTGTGCTGACATGTGCTGCAAAATTAAGAAATGTTCCGTCTCTTCGTGGATCTCAACCAATGCCGCCATATCTATTTTGCTGGCTGCCACGACACTGGATACGGCTCCCTGCTGACGCCCTATAGAGGCAGAGGTGACCGTATCACTCTCATCAAAGCCGCTGGTTTCCATCGCGAATTTGAGGCCTTGGATCTCCCTATCCGAGAATTACCCTCAGTGTTCATGTCTACTCCCCTAATTAACAGCAAACCGCCCACAGGCCCGGCTGCGTCTGCGTCTCCGACTACGACTAAATTCAATGGCGGAAACGGTGCACACCATATCCCTAATGGCATAAGTTGCGCCAACGGTGCAAGTATCACTAAGCCAATCTGCAAGCACTTCCAGAAGGTATTTCTTTGCGATCATCCAATGTTCATCGAGAGCCAGGCGTTGACTGACATCGATCTAGGGTATTTGCAAGTTCGGCAACGGCTGCAATAAACAACATGTTATGCCTAACCAATCACTGAATCATCAGCCGTTGCCTAAGCAATTAGGTGCAGGCGATTCACCTAAACAGTTTTGGTCTTCTCCCACAGTTGTTGGTCGCTCCGAGGATTTTCTTAGATCCATGCTCCCTTTGCCAAGCATCAAAACAGAAGAATTCATTCCAGTCAATAAGGATGGGGACCGTATCGACCCATACTATTCCCAGCCATCGCCCGAAGCCTTCGATGAATACAACGCTCGAGCTAAGGAGCACAAAGTCTGCAATAGCTACCATCTTTCTGGAGAATGCGGCGACATGAGCTGTACCTATGACCACAGCGATGTCTCTAATGTGATCATTGAGGTTTTGCGATACATGCTCCTTCAACACCCCTGCACTCGGGCCGGCGCTTGCCGATCCATCAAATGCTACATGGGGCACCTTTGCCAGAAGCCTGGATGCAAGGGCGTCAAGAGCTGGCAATGCCGATTCAACCAAACGGCCCACACCCTTGATCTTCAAACGGCTCGATGGGACGTACCAAGTGACCAAAGCGAAATTGATCAATGGTCTGTCAGCGACGATTCTACTGGAAAAGGATTGTCGCCTATGTATTTCTAATCGATCAGAATCCCCGCGAAGACAAAATTTGCAATCCATGCCTACTGACAACCTCTCCTACCTGGGATGTCAGTATGCGTGAAAAAAGCAGCAACTGTAAGGACGGTCGTTTGAGAACACAATGGGTCGATGGCTAGAACTAAATGGACAGATTTAGGAAGACATTTCAATGGACTAGAAAGAAGGTTGACGACATTTCCAGGCGAAGTTCCAATTCCTCGGTAACCACATCTACTTACTGGTCTATTCTCACTCCCGGTATCCTCATGTGGTAGATAGGTTAGAAAGGGCCAAGTTTCCCACTGTCCTTACCGTTCAGTTTTTTAATTCAAACATGCTCGCATGCTTCCCTTCAGCGACCAATCCAATAGTTCTAGGTATATCTGTATGATAGTCATCTCCATAAAATATGCCTCCGGGAAGGCACACATGATATATGCCACCAACGATAGTTCGTTCTCTTCTGTTCTTCCTCGCCTGGACCTTCTTCCATACTATCTTCCTGCAGTATACCTGCGATCCCATAGGCAGACGGCGATGCTTGACCCGTACACGAGACAGATATCAACATTACTAAGTAGTGAAGGCTTTCCCACGTCCCCACCCAGATCAAACCGATTTTTCTTGTGGAAATCGATTGCAAAACTCAACGCCCGAGCTTCGCAGTCTCAATAGCCATTTGCCAGATCCCACGGAATGCATGGCCGATGCTTTGTCACAGTCTCTTTCATATACAAGCCGCGGGCTTGTCGGCTACTTGGTCATTGCATACATAATTTCATGGGCGCATCCTTAGGTTATATAAAGGGACTGTATTATCAAGCTGTAGCTTTATTCGGAATATAAAATAGAATGGAAGGAACTGAAATCGGCATCCCAAAGATAGGTCTCACGAAATCTCATCGAAAGTTCATAAGAACAACGTGCGGAAGCCTTAGAAACCAATAACATAAAAATTTAATTCATCCCTAAGCCTACTTTGAAATCATGATTTCGAGTTTAGTCAACTATGATACTACTGTGGTCTCTTGAGCATGGAGTGGCACTGCCCGGGATGATCTATAAATACGTAATACAAGCCACCCACCTGGGCAGGCTCGCAATCTACAAAACGCGCTTTTGACCTTCTAACGTAGATAAAGTTCTTTCAAATAATCTTCACCATGGCTAACGGAATGGAACCAAAAGTCCACCCCTTCTTCGAGCCCAAAACTTGTTCTTGGCAGTACGTGGTAGCCTGTCCGGAAAGGAAAGAGGCGGCAATCATCGACCCAGTCCTGAATTTTGATTCCGCAAACTTCGTTGTTACCACTGAATCTGCGGAGGAACTCATTGAGTGTGTTCTCAAAAATGGATACACCCTAACCATGCTCTTAGAGACACATGCCCACGGAGACCACCTCTCAGCTAGCTACTATATCCAACAAGCCCTTTGGTCCCGCGGGCAACCTCACGCACCGGTCTGCATCAGCGAGGACGTCAGAATCGTCCAAAGCCACTTTGCCCAGAAATATCATATCCCGAGAGAGGAAATTGAGAACGCCTTCGACCACCTCTTCCAGCCCGATGAAGTGTTCAACATTGGCGACGTGACCAGCACTGCCCTCCACCTCCCCGGACATACACCAGACCATGGAGGCTACAAGATAGGGGATAATGTTTTCACGGGAGACAGCATGTTTAATCCGGATGTTGGCAGTGGCCGATGTGACTTTCCAGGTGGCGATGCTCGGCAACTGTTCCGCTCGATGAAACGCCTTCTTGCTTTCCCGCCAGAAACTAGACTATACACTGGACATGATTATCCTCCTTCCAATGAGCATACTGCACGAGATCCAATCCCCTATGTTACAGTCGGTGAGCAGCAGAAGAATAACAAGCACATCAGGAATGACTCCTCGGAGGACGATTTTGTCAAGTGGAGGACTGAGCGGGACAAGCAGATGCCTGAGCCTAAGCTTGTGCATCAGGCCATGCAGGTCAATGTGCGTGGGGGGAAGATGCCAGGCAAGTCGCGCTATGGAAAGGCATATCTCCTGTATCTTATTGATGTCCCTAAAGTAATGTTAACTGGATAAGCGATATATAAAGCTAGAAAGACGTGAATGATATGTAGTTGGTGGCAAACATATGTATCCGGTTAAACGAGTCAAATCAAGTATCGTATGTATTCGTGACTGATTATTTGTATTTTAAATTGCTGTACACTCCCCGGATGAGCATTCAATACAGGTTCTGCTTTTACTGCTTTGCTAGTATCACACCAATGCTCCCATTTTACTTTTTACCTTGAACCTTTATGTATGCCTCCTGAACTTCCTCCCGTGTCGCCATGAGATCAAGCCACTTCTTGATCATAGGATAATTGTCAAGAGACAGGCCAGCGAAGGCATACAGACGCACCCAAGGCTCGAAATGATAGTCAACAGCAGTGACACGGCTAGGCACAATGCTCTCACCGCGTGTCTTCTTCAACTGTCCCTCAAGAACATCATAGCAGCGATAGGTCTGGGCCGTGTATCGCTGCAGTGCATCGTCATTCTTCTGTGAGTTAAAATGCCTGAAGGACCAAAGAGTCAGCATCATTTGGTAATTCCTCCCATATTTAGGAGTCACGAACTTAAACCAATTTGTTTGTCCAGTCATGGGACCAAGCGTCGTCAAGAGGAAATACTCCCATTTTTCGAAATCTACGAGATCCTGCGCCGAGTCGCCCGACGGACCGATCGTGTTACCCTTGTCATACACACGGCGAACGTAGTTCATGCATGCCCCAGATTCCCATGAGACAACACCAGTGTTGGGATCTTCGATTGCAGGAACACGCCCATTCTCGTTGATTTTGAGGTACTCTGCTCCCTTGACGCCGCTCTTGGGATTATCGCTCAAGTCCCACTGCTTTACTTCGAACGGGACCCCGAGTGCCTCCAGTGCCATGGCGATCTTCACTGGATTCGGACCCGAGGCGTGGGCGTGCAGAACGAGCGGCTTGATATGGGCGGCCATTTTGTAGTCAGAAATTTGTCGATTGATGGTTATTGGGATTTGATGATCGGAAATTTCAGATCGAGTGGCTTAAGATAAGCTGTAGGGTGGCGAGATGAGATCGCCATGATGTAATTTCCCCGGCAAAATCTGGGGTGAATCGACGGAACTTATTCAGCCTGATTGCGGATTCGCGTCAGAGATATAGGGAAGGAATGTTGGACCTCAACATGTCTAGTGTCTAGTTTGGTATTGCCGACAGGATGAGATGGTCGTAATTTTGCCGGTACACCGGTTATTTGACGAGATCTTCCTTCAATGGGATCAAAGCTCGGAACAGGCTTGCTATTTCGGTCCTACAGAGTTGCTTCTGTCAATGCGGGGGAAGTAAATCGAAACCTCTATATAACAAGACAAATTGCTACCTTTCGGAATCTTTGATTGTGCTGTTTTTCACACTTGGTTATATCACGACATCCCTGCCCAGCAGCGATAATCTCAGATCAGAGTGTGTGGTGATTGCAATGACAACCTCTTCAAGATGTTTTTCAATATGCCAAAATTTTTCACGCTGCTTTCCGCAGCAGTGACTTTGGTGCTAGCCTCCAAGAATAGTGATACTCAATCGGAAAGCAATGCGTTACAGGATCTAGTGTGCTAACTATAACCCTCATGGCACTATTGTACTAACGCACTACGCATAGGTGACATGGGATCAACATTCGATGATAGTACACGGGGAGCGTCTCATGATATTTTCTGGGGAGTTTCACCCTTTCCGTCTCCCGGTCCCAGGTCTTTGGCTTGACGTCTTCCAAAAAATAAAGAGCATGGGCTTCACCGCTGTCTCATTCTACGTGGACTGGAGCCTTGTCGAAGGGAATCCGGGACAGGTTATCACTGACGGAATATGGAGCTTGGATGAATTCTTCGACGCAGCGAGCCAGGCCGGATTGTACCTAATCGCTCGACCGGGACCATATATCAATGCCGAAACCACTGCTGGCGGGATACCCGGGTGGGTCCTGCGAGAGCAAGCCATTATTCGGTCCAATGACCCTGAATACTTGAATGCGACGGCAAATTACGTGTCGAAAATAGGTCGCATTATTGAACGAGCACAGATCATACATGGTGGCCCGGTCATCATGGTTCAGCCGGAGAATGAGTACTCCACCTGGCCTGGGGTGACTGATTTCCCGAATGACATGCATCGCAGCTATATGGCACACGTTGAAGAGCAGCTGCACAACGAAGGTATTACCGTTCCTTCGATCGTCAATGATAACCTGGTCATGGGATACTTCGCGCCAGGCTCAGGGCAAGGTGCAGTTGACATCTACGCTATTGATGCGTACCCGATGCGCTACGATTGTGAGTTCATCTACACCCTCTTTATGTGCTATGCGTACCGTGGAAGTAACGCCGTCTATCATCTAGGCGCAAACCCAAGTGTTTGGCCTACTTACAGGTTTCCTTATGATTGGCAAATTACGCATAAACGCCAGAGTCCAACAACGCCCTTTGCAATTGCTGAGTTTCAAGGAGGCTCTGGGGAAGGATGGTAGATAGATTCTTCATTTCCTCATCAACTAACGCAAACTAACATCGCTCTAGGGGAGGCGTGCTTCAGGAAATGTGTAACGAGCTAGTAAATGAAGAGGCCGTCAGAGTTGTGTACAAGAACAACTACAGTTTTGGCGTTAAGATTTTCAACATCTACATGGTGAGTCCATCCAACGTCTTGATTCGAAATTGCATACTTACTGTGCGAATCTGGTCAGACATTTGGTGGGACCAACTGGGGTAACCTTGGGTATATGGGTGGGCATACATCATACGACTATGGTGCCGCCATTACAGAAGAAAGGGCAATTTGGCGGGAGAAATATAGTGAACAGAAACTCGAGGCCAACTTTCTGAAAGTTTCTCCTGCTTATCTGACAGCCACTCCTCATCTTGGAGTGAACGGTACTTACGGCGCACCCTCTTCGATCTCAGTCACTGCTCTCCTTGGGAATGGGACGCGCACAAATTTCTATGTTGTCAGGCATGCCGACTTCACTTCAACGGAAAACACCCAATACACCCTCGCATTGTCGACAAGTATTGGAGACATTAACATTCCTCAGCTGGGAGGCCATCTAACGCTCAATGGACGTGATTCCAAATTCCACGTCACAGATTATGATGTCGGCGGCATTAATCTGATCTACTCCTCCGCAGAGATATTCACATGGACGCGCGGGTCAGGGTCTACACGTGTTTTGATTTTATACGGAGGGGCTAACGAGACACATGAGTTTGCTGTGCCCAGGCACCTTGAAAAGCCGACGGTTGTCGAAGGTGACGGCATCAAAATAAAGCAACGCAGGTCTGCTTGGGTAGTACAATGGTATGTTACACCAGCCCGACGCATCATTCGGGTAGGAGATCTTCAGGTGTATCTGCTCTGGCGAAACGAGGCATACAATTACTGGGTCATGGAGCTGCCAGCATCGGGTCCGATTGGAAATTACTCTTCGCCATCAAAAAGTCTGGTTGTTGTGAAGGCCGGATATCTTATCCGTACGGCGAATCTGATAAATAATCAGCTACAATTGACAGGAGATGTGAATGCCACAACAGAAATCGAGGTCATCTCCAGCCCAGCAAAAACGCTCGAAGGTATCACCTTTAATGGGGAAGTACTACACACCTCAGAAGTGTCCAATAGGAACCTCTTGGGAACTGTCACATACGACCCTCCCAAGTTGGATGTTCCCGATTTGTCCAACCTCGAATGGAAGTTCCTTGATTCTCTCCCTGAGATCCAGGCCTCGTACAACGACTCAGCTTGGACATCCTGCACACGTAGCTCGACACATAATCCACGACCGCTGGACACTCCGAGTAGTCTTTACTCCATGGACTACGGATACCACACAGGATCTCTCTTGTACCGAGGTCATTTTGAAGCTAATGGCCAAGAATCCAATATTTGGTTGAATGTATCTGGCGGCGTGGGATTCGGACATTCCGTCTGGTTGAATGATAAATTCCTTGGCTCATGGGCCGGGGCGAGTGTCAACTCCACAGTCGTCCACAACCTATCGCTATCATTAGCCTTGTCCCAGGGAAGCCCGTATGTGATCTCAGTCCTAATTGATCACATGGGCCAAGACGAGGAGGCTCCTGGAACTGACGCGATCAAGTTCCCACGAGGGATTCTGAACTACGGGGTTTCGGGTCACGCTCAATCCGACATTTCATGGAAACTGACAGGTAACCTTGGAGGGGAGCAGTATCAAGATCTCGTTCGTGGTCCTCTGAATGAAGGTGGCATATATGCTGAGAGACATGGATACCATTATCCCGGTCCGCCGAGTTCGAATTGGGAATCATCAAACCCAGTGACAGATGGTTTATCGCATGCAGGTGTTGGATTTTATGCTGCATCTTTCCAGCTGAACATCCCCAGTGGATGGGATGCCCCAATGAGCGTGGTGTTCAATCAATCTATCCACGATACGCTTAATGAGAATAGTCGAGGGAACAATTACCGCTGCCAGCTTTTTGTCAACGGATACCAATTCGGGAAATACAGTAAGTATCTCTTTCCACGGTTGGTTCAATGGACATGGTTCCATGGTTCCAATCCGGAATCCGCCCACTCTAATTGCTAGTTTAGTCAACAACCTTGGGCCCCAAAGGGCTTTTCCTATTCCAGAGGGTATCCTCAATCATGAAGGGGACAATCATATCAGTTTGACATTGTGGGCTCAGGACGCGCAAGGTGCAACACTGGGAAATTTGGAATTAGTTCCCACATCCATCATTCGGTCAGGCTACAATAGACCCCAGGCCGCCCCACAGCCTGTCTGGACAAAACGAGAGATGGCATACTAGAAAGCACAAATGCATTATTGAACTCTGAAGATTTCAATGCAAGTTCGAATATATGTAGAAACAAGGATCTATGTGCTTCCAATATCTTCAAACCCCGTAAACCTGAATGGCCGAAAGAAATATTAAATGGCTCCGTAAATCTGCATTTCATCATGATGTGCCTTCCGCGGCAACAGCTGCGACCAGTGCATCGAGGGCCGAGCTATGTGTTGATGCATCAACCACTGCTTGAATAGGACCAGCCCAGTTCACGCCAAACTGCCCCTTGGAATTGCGATCATTATCCCAGATGCTGTTCGCACAGCTACTTATCACCTTCCGGTAAAGATCATGTGGGGATGCTTCCTGCAACTTTCGCAGGTTGCGAATGAAGATTCCCTTGAATTGTGTGCCGTCTGGAAGGCATTGTGGCTCGCAGAATTCGTGGATGATGTTTTTCGAGTCGGTCAATGTGTCAATGGCTGCTTTCGCAATCTTGTTGGCCGAGGGTAAGTATGTATTATTGGGCGCCGCTCTGTTCAATTCAACCAATCCACCGAGAACGACTCCCTGATTGTATGACCATCTGGGGATAGTTAGTAAACAGAAAAGAAGAAAAGGGTGGGAAAGCTTAGTCCTTACACGGTAGCTCCGTTATTCTGACAATTGGGCAAAAGGCCGTCATTGATAGTGCCGTTTTCGCCAATGAACGCCTGCGATGTAAACCAGTCCCATTCCTTCTGAGCCCAGTCGACGTAGTATGCTTTTCTGTCCGGGACTCGGTTTGCAAGGTGGGCTGCAACAGAAAGGAACAACTCATTCGTAATCGCGTTCACGTATGTACTTGTCGGACTCCACGGAAGACCCCCACTGCTACAATTGGTGCCCCATGCATCCGCCTGAAGAGCATTAGCACACGTCCAAAGAGACACCCGGGTTTTCACGTACCAAGCTCTCAAAGATTCCCTCGGCCAATTCTAGGTATGTTCCTTCCTTTGTCACATCGTATGCGGCAATCCATGCAAGGGCCCACCAGGCATCATCATCATAGGCTTGATCAAGCCATTTGTTCACATTCACGGAAGTTGATGTTTGGTTGTCACGAGTAAAAACAGTCTTCTTCTCAGGCCCGGGGTTCGGATTGGACACAGGTCCCACATAGAATGTGTTATTGAAGACATATGTCGCAGTATCCATCACCGTTGTATCGAGGGCAGCCAAATCGGCGATTGTATTCATGCAGCTTGCACCATCCCACCAACCGCACGTATTCCAGATCCCACTTGTGATGTTATACCAGCCCTGGAGGGTTTCAAGGGCCTCCCGAGCTCTGATTCTCGTGTCATCGGCAACTGCGTTTGCTGGCAGAAGCAGAGAAAAGAGCGAAGGGGCCAGAAGACCACGACGGGAAAATAACATGGTTGCGCGATGTCAAAGGAAGAGACCTATTCGAGCGGAGGCACCAATTGGCAGCAGATATTCGCTTTAAATAAGTCAGCTCTGATCTTCAGGTCTAGCTGTTGGACACATAACTGCATATCCAAAACAGATACATATTCGTTGTACATTCTTGCGGCTGTGATGCCTTGATTGGCGATGAAATTCAATCCGGCCCACTATAGCGGAGCCCTAGACCCCTGATCTGCAATGATCACCTCGTTGTGACACTGAAACTCGGCCAAAATCGCGAACATTTATGCAGGTGGGCGGTAATCCAAGGAACCAGCCTTGCAGCAAAACGAGGTCCGATCTCAGTCGATTTGTCAATTTTTTTCTTTCACGCGATCAAGGGGGTATGTTCGACAAGCTGGCGCGTACAACCGCTGTTGTTAGCGCTCACCCCTTGCAATGCGATCGTCGCGCTTTTTTTTCTCGTTGATTTCAAGTGAGTGCAACAAAGAGCAAGATCAGAATATTCATTGTGAACAATCACTTCCTTGGACCCGCTATGCGTTCATTTCTTCGTCAAGATCGGGAGCCCCATCAGGAGCCCACTGAAAGACCGTTACTTTGGGTCATATGAGAGACGTTGGTTCGTTGGATTTAATTGGTCAGTAGAAGTGATCGTGACCGAATCAATTGAGCTTGAATTGTCCGACCGAGCTGTCCTGGAATGCATGGCCATCTGCAGTTGCATAAGGTTCCGCAGCTCAGTTATCTTGTGCTTGAGCGCACTTCTTCTCAAGGGTCGCCATATGAGACACGCACCTGAGCTGCGCAGCATTCAAATCGGACTATTGCTGCATTGACGTCAGCAGAAGCTCTATACCAAGGTTCTCATCACCATGAGAAACCGGTGTCTTGGCACTTTCTATTATCCGCAGCCAACTGTCGACCAAAGGAAAAATTGAATCTACTCACAGTACATTGCAAAATCTCAAGGACTACAGTTATACCTGCGATTCTTGGGGGGTGAAAGTCCACTTCTCTCCGCACTCCCAATATCCTGAGGCCTGGTTGACATTGTTCTGTAATATGTTTGAGACACACGTACCCGAATGAAATTTTCCATTTTCTATTCGCTCAGTCATAGTCACACCAGCTAGTCTTGGATAACTGGACTCTGGGTGTACAAAGATAATAGCTAGACAGACGCTGTATAGCATCGCAGATGGCCAAATGTAAAAAGGAACAGCATCCCTTCCGTCGCTCAATTGAAACTCTTGGTAGAAACATGTCACAATCAATTATTTGTCAAGGATTGACTGGTAATTCCATCCACGCAAATAGAAGAAGACTGAGTACGCAAATTGTCCGCCATTAAGCCATGGGCGAACATTTTCACTATGACGGGCGCATATTTGTTCGCGCCGCAACCGAATGTGATCCAAAGATCATCCGCAAAGCCGAAAGCAATCATCGAGTCGTGGGACGTGTAAAATGTTGGATTTTATCTCGATCTGACACTTGCGCGAGAAATCTAGTGATCAGTGATGGCGATCATTATGAGATGATCTACAGATGCTAATGACCTAGTCAACTCAAAAAAAAAAAAGACATACTGCGCGGTATATGCGGGCGTTGAATTCGAAGCGAGCGGCGTCGATGGTTTCTGTTGTTGGCTTCTACATAGCATGCTAGGTGTCTTAGGGAAAAGTAAGAAATCCTCGCCGAACCTATCCCAGCTCGGGACGATATGGGACCCCTACAGGGCTGCATCATTCTTGGTTGCATGCGAACTATAGACCTGTGGCCATTTATGATACACTGGTGATAATTTGTAAAGTGGAACCTATTGATGATGAGGGAGAGACATATACTAATAGGTGAGGATTGGGAAATAGATATCACCGCTGATGGTCCGACAAAATCCCCATAATGTGTGCTCGGGATGAAAACCATATCCCACGTTCACCAATAGTATCGATATTTTCGCCCATTACTGTCAATATGCGTAATCTCCGATTCCAACTCAGGATCATCCGCTAGCTTCTTTGCGAAAACCCGATTGGCCCATTGAAAACCGAATGTCTGTGACAGGACTCCGGCTAGCCACACTGCTCCCAGGGATATACAGGCGATCCATGCCTTGTGATAGAGCGGGGCGTCACTCTAGGTTCAAAATTAGTAGATGTCATGTGCTGAATGAAGAAAGTAGACGTACCGCTCTGAATACTTGGTTGCCGTAAGTGCCCCCTAGATTAGAACATCCAACTATAGTATGATGTGTCAGTTCCTCTCTCAAGACCATGAAGGATACCAAGCCCTTACTATATACAGCATACGCAATTGCACGTTTCTGGGGCGTCTTGAAGTTCAAAGACAACCAGGTGACATTGATTGGCTGCCAGTTACTACCAGGTACTTGTGAGTTCAAATCTCGGACTGCAACGTTGATTGATGACTTACGGAGATGATTGGGTGACCACATAGGCTGCATAGAATGACCACGAAGCTTTAGAGGTAATTGGAAGACTCTGTGATAAGAGGGTTAGTAATTCGGGGACTGCACACCAGAGCTAAACATTGGCCTTACATAAAGTGCAATTAGACCCGCAAGAGTCCACACAGCTGAAAATAAGATTGCATATCCAAAGCGACTGTATCTGTCCACAAAGCCCGACAACACAATGCCAAAGATCGCCCCCAGCAGACTTCCCGGGGCATTGAGCAAGTTAGCTCGTATTGCGCTGAAGTTGAGTGATTTGATAATGGATGCACCCCAGGTGCTCAACCCATTGGTGGATTGCAGGCCGGCTAGGCACACGATGAGGTACGGCCAGGTAGCCCAGTGGAAGAAGACATCGGTTCTATTAGTAGGTACGCATTAGTCAGAGGTTTGATAGTAGCTAAACAAGATCAAAACGCACATATCCTTCCGGCCGATCTTGAGGGTCGACCCGGCCATTTGATGGTCTTCTCTTCGGGCTTGACGTGCGGCGAGAATGTCAGCTTCGTGCTCGTTCAGCCAGCCCCGCACACGAATGAGACCGCCAAGGAGGTGGCCTGTGTGGTAAGGAGACTTGGGCACTAGGGCAAAAGCCAAAAGGCCTGAGGCTGAATTGGACGTTCTGTTAGCTTGGGTAGCCGAAATGGGTTATTCCTAACTACTCACCTATCGTACAGACGCCACAGATGACGAAGATCCTGGAAATTTTATCTCCAAGTCAGCAAAGCTCACATGCAGATAAAGCAGCGAAATAAAAACCCACCATTGCCACCCACTCAAACCCCCATTCTGGTCCAAGCTTAATGCCCCCGCCGATATCAGTGATCCAAAAGCCCCAGCAAACGCCGGCCCAAGGAAGAACACTGCTGTGCGTTGCGTGAGCTCGTTGGGTGCATACCATGTAGACAAGATGTACAGGCCGCCGGGGATAAACCCGCTCTCTGCAAGCCCCAGGAATAGACGTGCGGCATACCAACCACTTGCATTAGTGACAAACATTTGCAGTACCTCAACTAAACCCCACACAACGACCTGGGCGGGAATCCAGTAGTGGGGACCCACGCGGTGGAGAACGATCTGTTACACAGTTATTTGTAACCTCAATATTGAACCGGAAGGGAAGGGGGATTTACGTTTGAGGGAATCTCCAGCAAGACAATGCCCAGCCAAAGTAGAGATACACCGGTATTGGCCTGGTCCCGGGTCATAGATGTGTCGGAGAGGAAGGTGGATGTCAGTACGCTCGACACATTGGTCCGATCAATGGCCATCCAGGTAAATATTAACTGGAATAGAGGTTTAGCAAGGAGGAAGATAGGAGAGATCAGGATCATCGGAAGACACACCGAGAAAATGGGGAGAAAAAGAAAATCAAGTTTCCGAACTATGGCAGATTCTTCTTCCAGGGTCCAAGTGACGAGGACTTGCTCGCCATTTTTGACAAGGAGATGGGAGAGCGTGTCTTGCTGTGCTTCCGGGTCTGGTTTCTCGCTATCTGAGGGTGTTGTTGTGCCATCGGACAACTGATGAACGTTTAGATTAACTGTGTCTTTTTTCTCCTCTACAGACTCCCTGCCAGGAGAATGGGTTTGCTCGTCTGTCATTTCGTAGCTTGGTCAAGTCTAGCTATGTATGCTGATAATCCAAGTGGCCGGTCTGGCGCCAGAGCGTTGCGTCAAAGTGTTAATACGTCGATTGCATTGACGTACAGCGTCTGTTGAAATGTTGAAATGTTGACGACTAACGAGTTACACCACGTAGACTGGGTGTTGGTTTGCCTGGAGGCTGGTACTCCAGCCCATTTTATACCGTCGAGTCTATATAAAAATCTCGGGAAAATTTATCGGTCTAGAAGTCGCCGCAGGATGTCGTCTTAGATCAAATTATGTCGTGACTTACTTCAGGCATGTATCGGCGTCAAACTATCTTGTTATCTCACAATTGGACCTTTCCACATGTCACTAAATCTTTGGTCAGTGGGTGATGAATGTTGTACTCTTTTGCTTCAGTAAGTTCAGAATGAACCATCAGACTGGAATCCGAAATTATGTACGGGAAGGGTAAAAGCAACTGTACAATGCGTCATGTTCCTTTTAGATAGGCCTTAGCCTGAACATGTCTCCCAAGCAAGGCCGACCGATATTTATTGGCGTTGTGTTGATTGGTCCATTTACCTGCCATATTCACCCCAATCCCTCTGCTGACGCCATATAGCGTAGATATACGGAATCTCAGGGTCCTAACACTAGTGCCTTAACCCCGGTAAGCCGGCATATAGCGAGGAAAGATTACTATGGAGAAAATGCCGTACTTTCTACTCCGCGTATGATTCTCCTTGCTAGACCCGTTGACGCCATACACGACTAAGCTCGCACCATCCTAGGGCTTTATGACTATAGTTCAAATTCTCGGCATCTAGACCATAAGGAAAAATATGTGATAGATGGGGTTATTCCGCACTGTATCTCCCTGCCACACGTTCCTTGTGCTCTGGGCTCGGTGACCCGCATGAAATCACGTACGTGCATTACCAATCTATATAGGCTGTACGTGCACAGTTAGCCCGCCCCATCTTATCAATATAGAAATAGTGTCATAGTCTCGGCTCAGTGACATACGATATGGCATAAAATAGATTATAATAAGCAGTGCTGACCCGCACTGAGCATTCCTCTTTTGCTGTAGGCTCTTAACCACATACATTGATATCTGACCCCTTCCCAATTCCGCCTCTGTTTTATCATGTCTCCAAGCGTTGAATCTTCTGTTTCTCTGCCCACCTATTTTATTGGTCATGCCGGGGTGGGCCTTCTGTTCGATGATCGACCTCGAAATGAAATTGTTCAGGCCAATTTGAGGGCAATTGGAGAGGAGATCCTGGCTCTGTCACCGCGTCCCAAAGCCATTGTTGCGTTCAGTGGTCATTTCGAAGCAGGCGAGATTCATGGCCCTGGGGTGATCGAGGGTAAGCTTGCGCAATGACGAGAGCATGTGTTGTAGACAAGTCCGATTGACATCCATGAACCTAGTGAATGTCAAACGCGGGACACATATCCAAGTAAGCTTGACGATGCGCCATTTCCTGTCAATATCCTGATGTGTCAAGGAACTAATGTTGACAACTCCTCCAGCATGACTTCGTCGGCGATTTTCACGACTCAAAACCGTTCGTCTATGAATACGACTGGCCGCATCAAGACGCACCTGAGTTAGCCGCACAGCTATGGGACCGCCTACGAAAGGCAGGGATCAAGGCCAAACGCGTGGAGCGAGGAGTAGATCACGGTGTTTGGGTACCTTTCAAGGTCATGTTTCCCGAGGAAAAGCCACTGGACATCCCCGTGATCCAAATCTCTACTTTCCATGGCTATAATCTCGAGAGCCAGATTCGTCTGGGACAGGCCTTAGAGTCGTTACGGTAAGTACAGGATTCAACCATTCATGCTCACCACCAACGAGGTAACTAATGACAATCAAATATTTAGACATGAAGGATATCTCATTGTTGGCTCGGGAATGGCTGTTCACTCGTTTGCCTCGATCGATGAGATCATAGATGCCCCGACAGAGGAGGAGAGGGAAGTCATCCGGGCAAAGGTCCTCGACGAATCTAGAGCCTTTGATACCCACCTGAGGGCGGCAGTGACGAAGAAGAATGCAAAGGAGAGAAACGAAGCTCTGCTGAAGCTGGAAACGCTGTACGAGTTCAAGCGCTCCCATCCGACTGTCGAGGTACGTCCCATTGAATCTTACGGCATGCAACTAAGAACTCACCTAACTTTTGCTTGCCTTGCGTAATAGCACTTTACGCCACTTCTGGTTGCTGCTGCTGCGGCTGGAGATGCCGAGGTAGACGCCCTAGGTGTGGACGTGGTTGACCCAGGGTTTTCTTATCTCAATTTACGTTTTGCGTAGTTTTCCACAAGACATCTGCACCCATATGAAAAGAGAAAGCCGAGATGACTACGAATATCTATCTGAGCTCAACCCTTGCTGGAGTAACAACGGACGCAGAAAAAACTGGACCCGGGCAGCGGATGACAAGATAACAGCAATCACCACAGGAGAAAGGAATGCCGACAAGGTGCCTCTGCAAGTTCGTGGAAAACGTGGGAGCACGGTATACTATCACGGCCGGAGCGCCAGTTCTCACTTCGCTGGTAGTATTGTTCATATTGCGAACGTACTATATGTTCAAATGTATTATTGGTCCGAATAAATTAAATGTTCAAGTCAGCCTTTTGTGTGAACTTCACAACGCTCAGTCACATCAATATATAATACCTTAATCCTCCATAGTCTATCTTTCCCAACATTCCAACATTTTTCTGATCTACTGATGGGGTTTGGTAGACATAGACTCGAGCAAGAGGTCTCTCACCAGTTATCGTAGTGCAGTCGCATTATCACCTCGCTATTCCCCTCTGCCCTTCCGACAATTACCTCCTAATGAAGGCCACAAGCACGTCCGCAGAATTTTCCTTTAATGGGTCCAGTCTTTGTGCCTAGCGTCGTCTCCGACTGAGATATAGAGTGCTCGAAGGCAAATGTTCACATTGGAATAAATATCTATACACTGAATATATACATGAATGACTGTACGATTGTACCTCACCTGGTAGCAATGGGTGCATTGACTCAATGGTAAGTTACCTCCTCTCCGTACAGCGTGGATCCGGTGTTAGGTTCCTTAACGATACCAGCTTTGACCAAATCATTGACCAGGTTGAAGACCATCAGATCACATCCGTGTGGTGCCACGAAATCGACCGAAACAGGCAGATACTCCTGGTGCTGGGTGACTGTAGAGTTGTAGAGCGCTTGACCGACTAAGTTATCGTTATTGTTAGTTATGGTCTGAGACGAAGCCCGGAGGCTTTTTTCAAGGGATAGGGGGTTTGAACGTACTGGGAACGGCCATATCAGGCACACCCGCGAAGTTGGCAATACGAGACGCAGCAAATCCTGACGGAATGCCTGGCATACTATATGTCGATACTGGATTAGCCGAAGTTCTCACAACCGTCTAAAAAAGTGGGAAGAAACATCACATACCTCCTGTAGACATTGCGGTAGACGGGAGACCCCTCGCTACCAATGTAAAGAATTAAGCTATCTGAGCAGGTCTCTTCATCAAAGACCTGGGCAGTGGTGTTCCACCAGCTGGTGAAGATATCCTTGTTTTTGATTTCGGTCTCCAGTTGTGAGTCAGGGTATGTGAGTCCCCAGCCCCAACGAGACAGAGGAACAGGGTCGATGAATGGCTTGCGACCCCCATTTGCAGCTGCGTAGTCCGAGTACAATGGTGCAGCAATGAGAGGGTACTGTTGCTTCGAGATGAGGATTGGATAAGTAAGATTCAACAGGCTGTTAAGCGTAGTGTTGGCGGCAACAGTCGAAGGCTTGGTGGATTCCCAGAGCGCATTGAAATCGAAGTCTGAGACTTTGGCACCGCCCAAAAATGACGATAGCTTGTCGACAAATTCAATCAAAAGGCCCTCAGCTGGGGTCGAAGCAGTAGTCGGGAACCGAATAGTCTTGATGGACTTGGGGTACTTGGTGAAGGACTTCAGGCCTGCCTCCTTGTACAACACCTCCGCAGCAGCGCGCCACAGTTGCACGTCTCTTGTCAAGAAGCCGGCCGTGTCCAAAAGGGGCGACATGGGCATAACTTTATCCAATGAGACCAAGTTCCACGAGGGTCGGTTGCCGAAGCATCCATTGACCTGCGAAGGGTTGCGAATGGAGCCACCGGTATCGCTCCCAACGGCCAGATCCAACCAGTCGTAAGCTCCAATACCAGAGCCAGGACCGGAGGAGGATGAGCTAGGATCTTGGTACCCGTCACCGCGAGCGTTGAAGGGAGAGTGGTAATCGACCCAATCAGCAGTAGCAGTCTCACCGTTCGCAAATTGACTGGTCTTCATCTTTCCGACAATAATGGCACCCGCATCTATCAGTGATTGAATCGCAGGGCCGGTAGAGTCAGCGACTGGGTATGTCTCATAGTAAGCGCGGTTCCCGCAGCCGGTTTTGACACCCTTGATATCATAGATATCCTTCACACCAAGACGAACCTGCGAGAAAATAGTCAGTATTGCAAGGCTCTTGCATAAGGAGACTCCTCCTATGCAAATATTTGAAGGTGAAGAGTACATACACCAGCCAGAGGCTTCTTCGCCGTTTTAGTGTAGTACAGACGTGAAGGCACGCCAATGGTCAAAGAAGCATAACCCTGCAAGCTTGCTGGCAAAACGTCATACGCAGAATCTCCGACTGAGATCAATCCCTGAGTAAAAGAGCCCATCACGTCGGAATACAACAGATAGGCTTCAAACACGGCTCCGGTGGAGGGATCCAAGAAGTAAGGGCCAGGAGGTAGAATTGATGACGAGGTCACCGTCTTTGATTTCTTGGTATCATAAGCGGGTGCATATCCCAAGATTTTAGGGCCCCATGAGGAATGAGTGGACACATTCTGTGAGGGCTTCTTGGCGGTACCATTATACCAGACGTAGATGTTGTCAAGGAACCCAGTATTGAAGACATCGTCAATAGATTCGTAAGTGCTCACTAAAGAATCAAGGATTGAGCTTGTCAGCTTCGAAGCATCGCTCCGAATGACCGTCAGAGGTTGCAAGCCCTCGAGTTTGCCAAAGACGTGATGATCGCCTTTCAAAGTTGCCACTACTGTCGGCGGAATGTAGTAGCTATTTCCATTGAGTTGAACAGTTTGACCCTTGGTGGTGATCGCCGCGATGGTGGTGGTGGAGAGTGACAGCAGGACTGACAACAGAGCTGATAGCCCATACGAACCAGGAGGAGAGACCATGATTATCGATGATTTGCGAGGTACTTTCATCCAACCCCCGGGCCTGACCGCGTGATATATATACCTGCCCTTGCCATATAGTACCAACACACTTCCATACTTATCTTAATTTCATTCGCTTATCCTGACATCTGGACCGATAAGGAAAGGATACAAAATAGATTATCAATTCGCGTCTGATCAGGACATGAGACATGATCAATGATGTGGGGGGCCTGACAATGGATCAACAGGGGTTAGTTCTCTTCGTATAGCGGAGATTACGGAATACAGTCCAACCTCATTAATTTGGAAGGATGGGAAAGCAGTGCGGGCTCTTGGCATTTGGAATTATGCAACCTTTGGACGCCTCATGTTTGTATTACAGAATCTCATTTTGGGGCTTTTTATTGCTTGGGAGGTGCAGGATTCTGATTAAAAAGGCGGAATACGGGGAGAATTAGGCCAATAGAATCCATAGATGTATAGTAGTCACGTGGGCGCCAGGCACCAGGAATGGAAAATCCGTCAACCCGATAGACACTAGGCATAATTTACTAATTATGCGCATTATGATATTATCTTAACAAATTGATCGGCCTAGTACGAAGTAGTTAGCCATGTATGCCAAGCCCACTAACACGCGCTGCGCCCTGTGGTAGTCTTGGCACGATTACTCTCAGATATGGTACTAAATCCTGAGGTATTCGAATTATGAAATACTAACTTGGAAATCAATGAGGTCTGTCCTCCGTAGTGGTATGTTTGTTATCTATCGCGAAAACGGCTTTCGGCAATCACAGATAAGAAAGTGATTACCAACCATGGGAATGGTTGATGGATCCCCCGGCTGCCATTGGCTTTGGGAAAACGAGGCTAACGAGAGAAGGTTAGTAAGGTTAGAACCCATGGTTCGCCGAAAACGCTACCGCTCTGACGGCCCCCACTCGTCTCGGATTCAGGAGTCCGACGGTGCGATACGATGCTATCTATCTGCCTAATTCACCGACTTAACCCACAAATACCCCGTACAGTTGTGGCTGTTAGTCTCTTCAAACGTGATAGTGACATACTAGGATCAGAGTGTATGGGGTAGTTATGCCCCGACATCGTTCTTTGGCGTCATCGCAGATAAGATTATCTCCGTCTTAGTTCTCATTTTAACATTGATGGGTATGTAGGGGGGCACGCATGAGATAGGATAGACCATTAGCTCCTCGAGTTATCTCTAGAGTTACTTACCTCAATGTCACGATGGGTTTTTTGCCATTAGTCACTAAAGCGATCAGCGAACATACAATCATCTTGTTGAAGGAATGGGCACGAATATGCTTGTTACGTTAGCACACTCAATATATATATCGCAGTATAGAGATGTGAAAACAAGAGGCAAAGAGGCTTTTTAAGTATAGAAATCCGCAAAGAATCGTCCTAGGGGTAAGAATTGTCAACCAGTCCCCACTCCTCTAGAGTTGGTCTCCCGGCCCTTCACTCAAGTTATCCAAGTTTTGCCGCAGAGTGGCGCTCGAATACTAAGGTATAAGTGAGGAGGGTATTAAACTGAAGTAGAGCCGAGAGGACGGGAGGTTTGTTTCCTTAGATCTGAGGTCGCATGAATCAGCCGGCCAGTGGCAGGGAAATACCGATATAAGCAATCAGCAAATCATCTGATCAAAGACGTTCGACTGCCACGTCGAGTCAAGGATTGAGTAGAATTCTCTGCCAAGCCATGGGTGCTAGCTGGAGTAAGGCACATCTAGCGCTCATTCAACTTCCTATTACGGAAACCTGATGAGACCTCACAAAAATCAACGGATGATCAAGAGTTGCATGCCTGACTCAAACTCCATCATAAATTCGTGGTCTTTCACCATCAAAAAGTGAGATAGCCCTACAATCTTAATTTTACCGAGCGACACCAATCGAACATGAGATCAACTGTGAGAATGAAGGCGAAGGAAATTTCCGGACAGACATTTGACTATATCGTATGTGGTGGAGGCACATCCGGCTGTGTAATTGCAGCTGAGCTTGCCTCTATTCCGAACGTCTCCGTCCTTCTGGTTGAAGCAGGCAGAGACTCAGGCGTTCTGCCTGACGTGTTAGTGCCAGGAAAATATGTCAAGCAACTACAAGAAGACAAAGACGGATTATGGGAGCTGGACACAGTACCGCAGGTGCATCTGAATGGAAGAAAACTGGTGTTCCTCAGAGGTAAACAGCTTGGGGGTAGCTCGTGAGTTGTTCCCGCTCAACGAGAAAGGCGACAAGGCTAACAGTTTGACTTAGAGCAGTCAACTACATGGCACTTGCTCGAGGACCAGCAGCCGATTACGATGAATGGGCTAGGCTTGTTGGCGAGGATGGGTGGAAATGGGAGAACATACTGCCCCTGATGAAAGAGGTTGGTCATTCGTCTGGAGCTCCATTTGCTGATGGAACGGTCTGACGAGTTGTGGTAGCTGGAGGACTTTGATCCAAAATTACCTGCTAATATGCAAGAGTTTGCTGCTCCACGGGTTTCAAATCATGGAACCTCAGGGTAAGTCTGACAGGTTCTTTTGGTTCCTTCAGGTTGTGCTAATTGGATCCCCGCAGCCCTCTCAAGATTGGATTTGGGGACGAAATGGTTCCTGGGATCGAAACATTTGTGAAGGCATGCGTGGAGACCGGGATACCGTTGTGTCCAGATATCAACTCCGGAAATCCAGTGGGAGTAGGGCTGGCCCAGTTCAACGTTCGAGATGGAGAGAGATGTTATGCAGCCAATGCTTTCCTGGGTGACACAGCTCGAGTATCGCTTAAGAACCTGACCGTTGTAACAGAAACAGAGTGCGATCGGCTTCAGTCTAAAGATGGGGTTGTTACTGGGGTGGATTTGTATCACCGACCAAACGGGGAGAAAGGTAGGTTTTGGAAACCACTATCATATCACATCGCTGATTGGAATCAGTTCATGTCTATTGTCGCAAAGAGGTTGTTCTATCTTCCGGCACGTTTGGATCTCCGAAAATCTTGATGCTGTCGGGCCTGGGACCCAGAAATAAGCTAGAGCAACACGGAATTCCCGTACACGTCGACTTGCCAGGTGCGTCGACCTGACCCGTTATGTTTCTACTAATCATTGACGAATCTTTAGGGTGTGGACAAAATATGCTTGACCATTCCATCATCACCTGTGAATATAGGGTGGACAATTCAATCCCAGCGCATAATCAGTTGTTTCTCGACACCGGGCGCCTAGCAGAAGCCGAGGCGCGCTATGCCAATGATCATACGGGACCACTTGCGATGTATGGATCTAGTGGTACCTTGGCATTCCCCAGAATCAAGCGACTCTTCGACTCGAAGGAATTTTCCGACCTCGGTAAAAAAGCGCAAAGCTTTTTGCTGGAGCCCTCAAGACCTTCAGCTGAAATTTGGCTTGGATCGGGACCCTCCGTGTATGAGGTCGATGGACCAGACAAAAGTTATATGACCCACGAGCTTCTGTTACAGAACAATTTATCACGAGGAACCGTCACAATTGGCTCCACTGATCCACGAAGACCCCCAATTCTGAACCCGAATTTCCTGGCTCATCCATTCGATCAACGCATCGCAATCGAAAGTGTTCGCATGGCATTGAAGATTGCTCGCACCAAAGCCTATGACGGTACTATTGAGCAGATGGTGCATGGCCCGGAAATTGAATTTACGACCGCAGATCTGGATAGGATCAGTGATGAGGTCATGCTGGATTTCATTCGAAAGAACTTGGATCAAGGATACCATAGCGTGGGTACTTGTCGCATGGGCAAGATCGGCGATCCAGAGGCCGTGGTAAACTGCCAGTTCCAAGTCAAGGGAATGCAAAACCTCCGGGTCGCAGACCTGAGTGTGTGCCCTATTCTAACTTGGTAAGTCATTCCACATGAAAAGCTTGAGACACACTTCCTGACTAGAACAGCAATCATACTCAGATAAATGCGTACTTGATTGGTCTTCGATGCGCAAAAGAGATGGTCAAGCATTCCAAAGTACATCAACATCTTGCGAAGCTGTAGGCATCGAGATCTTGGTTATAGTGAGAAATAGCTTGCACGGCTGCCTTGACATCAAATAAAAAGGACAGTTCCATTTCCACGTGCCTGCATTAGACTTATATATTCTGATGGCCGTTTTCCCCTCCAAACGTCCTCTAATAGCGCAATTGCGCTTTTTACGTTGCCAAATCCCCCCGAGCTCTGCATACAACGAGCTCGTTCTCGAATCCATTCCTGACGTCTGGCGTCTTTGACTTCCAAGCCAGCATGAAACAAGGGCCATAACAACTGATCCGACCATCCTGAGGCAGGCGGTGTGGCTCTCGCATGGTAGAGCACGCTGCTGACAAGCCAATCTAGCTCAAACTCGTCGATATTGCAACAGAATACTCGGAGTAAGTAAAGAATAATGGCAAAACGATATGCTTCTGTCACATGAAGCCAGTTCTGACCCCTATCACAATGGACTGGCTTTTGTAACAAGCGTTGCTTGATATCCTGGACCTGGTTCGATGTCTCGGTTGAAGGGTTCGCGGCATCCAGCTGACTTTTATACAATGCGACAATCTCACAAATAATTTCAAATTGATCCGACGGACATGGTATTACATCGAAGCTCCACTGGTCGCCTGATTCGACTAGGAGGGAGCTAATCTCCTGTGATGAAAATACCGTGGGCTTGGAATGCGAAGCGGCAGCCATAACATCAAGCCTGAAGCCGCAAAGAAACATAGATCATTAGCCGTTCATTGCGCCAAGTATCAAAATATCAAGGCTTACCATGCTAGGTATTGTTCCACAAAGCTCCCAGCCGTTCGCTCGTGGCGTAGTTCAATAAGCTTCTTGGCCCCCTGGAAATGTGACTGAAAGTCGGATATGCCCCCGTGACAAAGATCACACAAGCACAGCATGAGTATCGTTGCCAACGTGCCTGGATGACTCGCTCGGACTGGGGAGTATAGGTCCTCCTGTAATCGTTTCATGGCCTTTCCTTTGAATCTAAAAAACTCCCGCTCAAATTGCTTTGTAGAGAGTCGCACATTGTAATGGCATGCTGCCAAGGCCGCACACGCGTAGAGCAATGATGGCACTTCGGTCGCGAGAGGAAGGATGTAATCACGATAAGGGTTTTGAGGTGACAAATTGTCAACACATAGTTTTGGCACGACTTCACAGATATCTGCCAGTTGTTAGCAGGCTTGACGGTTCGCAAATGATACTTCAGCACTGACGATACTGCATGATGAATTTGAGTTCATCCGGCATCCTCAGATCATCAAGCCCCGGTCCCAATGCGTGGCGAAAGTCCATAGAAGCTTCAAGCATCTGGGAATGATTCTGCGGAGACGCTGTATCGAGATTTGGATGAGGGGTGAGAAGATAATCAACAGAATTGTCCATGAAAGGTGCTTCATTGGACCATATCAAGAGCTCGGATGGAGTGTGATCCTCTGAAAACTCCACGGGGAGCTGCATGGGGGCAAGCAGATCATCGAATCGGTTGTCTTGGCCGTCGTTCTGGTCATTATCATTGCGAGGATTTTGTGGCGATTGTAGAACGGGCGATTGTGGAATGAGCAAAGGCGGAGTTGAAATTCTCGATTGCTGGACTCGACGCGTCCGTCGTCGCTTTGTCGTCACTGGGATGCTCTTGCCCACAAGCTGATCGCGGCTTGCCAAGCCTGGCCACTGCAGCAGATAGCCCTCGCATTTCAAGCCATTGGTTTCGCAGGTATTGCACGAAGGCATGCGCCGATCACATCCTCGTCCTCGACGGCGACATGTCTTGCACGCCCTCCCAAAGTATTGGTCGTTCGCCATGGTAAGTAAAGGGTGAGATGTTCAATTCGCAACCCTCAAGAGCGGACACGAGCAGGGCTGTTATCTTGCGATAGCGTGCGGGGAAGAGGATGTGTCATCGTTATCGTAAACTATGGAATCTCGCCCGTGTAGAATCTTGTGAAGCTCGTTCAGGGGTTATACCCTTCCGCAAGATATATATCTCTACATCAGAGCCAACGCCGATTCGACTCCCCTCTCATGTCAGTTGCAATGAAGGTCGACAATTCCTGTGGTAGCTCATGAAGCTGATTCGCTACTTTCGCCCCCGCATAATGATCGCGATTAAAGCAGCGTGGGGAATCCTGGTCCTTCACAACCTCGGGATTGGCAACCTTGGCCTGAGGCCGAAACAACGCACGGACCAACGATCTCATCTATTGACCATTTTAGGAAGGTGGCTGATGAGATGGCAACTGACCCCAATACCCTTTTAATATGACTCGAGAACCATCACTTGCTCAATTTACACTGCACTGGTTGATCTAACTCGAAGCCTGGCCTCGGCGATATGGGAAAGCGCGTTCTTGTTGGATATGGCATCGACGTCGATGCGGTCAGTGGCTGGTATGACTAAAATAACTTTGCGCTTTTGGATATACAGAAGACTCATCACACATCATATAGGATCAACACTGAAGATGGCCACACACCTGATTTTACTGACATCTCGCGTGGCATCTTTGTGGCCACCGTTGGAATTGATCGACTTCTGAAATTGTGGGAGAAGTACAACATCAAAACTTCGTGGTTCATTCCGGCTCATTCCATTGAATCATTTCCATCTTAAATGAGAAAGATTCGGGATGCAGGACATGAAATGTACGTTTTGGTCATTCTCACTCATACCTACCTTGGCATGTAACCGTAACCAAAAAAAAGGAGTACTGACATTTTTCAGCGGCCTGCATGGATATACACATGAGCATGTAGATATGTTGACGGAACAACAAGAACGTGACATTCTTGCAAAATCAATACAGGTGGTCACTGCACTCACTGGAAAGCACCCGAAAGGATGGACTGCACCTTCTTGGAGAACTTCGAGCCGCAGCATCAAATTGCTGGAAGAGTTCGGTCTTGTGAGCAACTCCATAACAATATCGTATTTTTTTAAAAAAAACAAACCTAATTTCTGGGCCAGGAATATGACCATTCATTCATGCATCATGATTCCCAGCTCTACTATGTTCCCTACTGCTCAGAAGGATTGGTTGCCACCGATTTGTCGAAGTCTGCTGAGCAGTGGATGAAGCCAATGGGAAAGCTCAACTCCAGTACAATTGTTGAGGTCCCTGCCAATTGGCACCTAGATGACTGGCCGCCATTTCAGCTTACTGAGGGTCCCTCTCATGGATACGTTGATCCGGATGTCATCGAGAGACTTTGGAAAGCCCAATTTGACTTCCTGTATCGGGAGTACGACACATTTGTTTTTCCGATATCAATTCATCCTCAAGTCAGCGGAAAGCCACAAGTCATTATGCTTCATGAGAGGTTGATTGAATACATCAACTCACATGAAGGTGTGGAGTGGTGTACATTTGCACAGATGGTAGATGAGTTCAAGGCCGGGAGGATCGGAGGTGCCCAGGTGGAGGGTGGAGCTGAATAATTATCAAATTCACTTCGAAATAAGATATTGATTGATTGAAACAATCATAATTTTGAGAGTGATTCGTAAATGCCTCTGGATAACGCAGGGCGCTAGAGCACATAAAATCCAGCATCGGACTTTATCTGGGAGGCGATTTAGAATGCCATGACCCAAAAATGTATATAGACACGAGAAACCCGAAGACTGATAGACAGACAGAACAGAAACTTATTGGCGAGAGTGATAAGAGGGCTGAGAAGATTGAATTTCGCTGAGAGAACGTCCCGATTTATAAAAGTCCAAATTATTCTAAGAGACAGAAAGATATCTTGTTGTATAGTAGAAAGACATTCGGTTATCCGCAAGGTATGTAAATCCAGGCCCCTATAGCAGCCAGAGTAATGAATAATTAATTTCCCACCCGACAAAGCCGGAATTTGAAGATCGAGTCCATTGAGCATGATAGAAGACCAAAGAGAACCTTGAAACGAAAAGAATATCGATCCTAAATTCGCATGATTTTCGACTGTTTCTTTCCAATCATTGTACGTATCATTGCTCATTCTACAAGATGAAATTTGAGTTCCAGACGATGGCCTATCGGACCTGCAAGGTAGCCATCACTCGGTTCCATGTCTCCGTGGTCGTGAATGGTGGTAGTAAAATTGGAATAAATGCCTGCGAAGAGGAATTTCATCGCTAAATCAGCGTTAGCATTGAGTCTGAACATGCACCATTAGACAAACCAGACTCACAGTAATACGCAAAGTGAAGTCCAAGACACATCCTTCCACCACTGCCAAAGCCCCAGAACCATTTCCTCATCAGGGCCAACTCTTCCTGCGATGCATCGAGCCATCTTTCTGGCTTCCACTCAAAGGGATCGGGAAACACATCGGGCATACGGTGTAGAACAGATGCGTATGATTGAACAGTCGTTCCAGCAGGGATGTTGTGGTAGCCGCCCAGGGTACATGGACGCGGGACTACACGGGGCTGACCACCAGGTACCGAAGGCCAAAGTCGAAGGGTTTCCATCAAGACAGCATGCAATATCGGTAGCTTGTCAATGTCCTGAGGGCTGGTGATGTCTTCGATTTCAACAAGCTTTCCGGGGATGTGTTTCAAGGGTGGGTTGAGACCGAGGAGTTCTTCTCGAAGCTTGGTTTGCCATTCTGGGCGTCGACTCAACTCCTAAAACAAGTAGGTGGAAGTGTTTCCACTTGTCTCAAACGCTCCGGAATTCAAAGAGAACATGTCGCTTGCCAATGGAAGTCGCTGAGGGTATGACTTGGGTTTTGCGTCAACCTCACTCATTCCTTTCAGCGCTGGTTCAAATGCAACTGGCTGGTCATCCGATGATAATTGTTTCCCACTTGCCAGGAGTTGCTGGGCTTGGTCGCACTTTTCCAAATTCCAAGCCTCCACAGATTCAAAAGCACTTAAAACGCTTTTGGGAATTAGGTGAATTCCAATTTTCTGGAGAATGCTAATGAGAGTGGGAAAGTGGTACTGCCAAAATGTGTACCCGGATATTCCAAGAAACCCGTCAAGGTACATTCGCCTCTCTTTTTCGTCCTCGACCAAGTTACTACCTAGCGACCGTCCGAATTGCCACTGTACAAAGGTATCCAGTAAGCAAGAGTAGCTGAGTTCGATGACCTCGATTGCTTTATTTTCTGTAGATGCCTTATAGACTAAGGGCAGAACACGGTTGAATAATACATCTCGCGACGCGGCGCGGGCAGTTTGAGATGACATGATAGATGACTTCGAGAAGCAGCTCGACAGGGCCTTTTTATGTGCGGCGTGTGTTATGTTATCCTTGATCGTGAACAAATTTGCAGTCCTATTAGTGAGTATCAGCTGATGTTCTTCGCTTCCTGGATCGGTAAGGTATGATACCCATATACAGCAAAGCCGTTAAAGTAAAACTCTGGCTTGGGGAAACCTCCATGATAGATTCTCTTCAATCCGTCCTCGTAACAGTTCACACTGACCAGACTCGGGCCAAGTCGAACCGCCGGCCCCTTTTCCAGGTGGAGCTTGTAAATTCGACGGTTCTCTTGCTTTGTCCATTTCATCCAAAAAATCCACAATGGGCTGAAACTGCAGGACCAATGTGCATTTGGGACTTTCGCCAGAGGAGAAAGGAACGCGGGGTACAAGAGGAACTTGTATATTCCCAGAATGACGGCGAGTATAGATATGGCATAGTATAAGTGAGGTTCCATCCTGTTGAGATGATGCGGAATGTTGGTTTTGTGGATGTGTCGAACATTCAGGGTAGCTAGAATGAAAGACCTTAGTCACTGTCCCCCTTATAAGTACGCGATGATCATGATAGTACTAACGAGCTTCATTTAGCATACACAGAATATATTCTAATATTTCTGTCCTCTAATTGCATTGCGTCGAGCGGGGATGCAGCTTTCGAAGAATGCGATAGGCAAAGTAGCCGCAAATCACATTATGCCCGTTCTGGGTAGGTGTAAGGCCCATAAACCAGTGTTCCAACCTCTTGTTGGTATAGAAATTCTGAACAAGCATTACCAATCACTCCGTGTAAGAGCCCGCGATGAATGTTAGATCGTGGATACTGACCGAATGCGGTAAATAAATGCGCTAGCCAGTGCTAGCACACTACTATCTGCAGATCTAACGAGAATGAACGTGGAGTCTTGGTATTGAAACATTATCTTTTTAGCATCTGTGGCACCGTGTGAACTATTCACTTTCTACTACTCTCGCCTGCGCATTTGCTATATCAATAAATTTCTTAACTTCATGTTTTTGAACACGATTTGGGTTTGATGGAGCACGCCTATTTTCCTTTTCTCTTTCTGGTACTGTTACAAAAAACCACAGGTTCCCCTTAGATCGACAATTCATTATTCTGTGAATAGTTCTACCGGGTGACATATTCAACATCACACAGAACTGTTTATTGTATTGGAATTTGAGACAGGGTATGCTAAATACCGATAATGACGATAGCGATGTAAGCCAGGAAGTTCGTCGCACTACGGCATCAAAATCAGAAGATGACACTACACCGAATTTATACAACTTATACCTACGTCCGCAATGTTAAGAATGATATTTGGGATCGATTATTTCGACATTGGTTCATTTTGTTCTAATGCTTTGTCGAGAATATATTTAAACATGAGTTATTTCAGTCAGTGACTGCTGCTGGTGTTGCCTGTTGACGGGATGCTTGAAGACAAATGATTATCTTGGGGTGCAACCTCGAGCCCTTGTATCTCAATTGTCTGTTATTATCAGCATGTAAACATCAAAGTTTCGTGGCACAGGGGAAAAGCAACAACTGAAAAAAGCAAACGAACGAGATTGAGGGTGAGTTGACAAGACACAAGGGGGACTTACTAGCCCAGAGAATGTTTTTCTTTTGCCTCCCCACCACGATACCATAATCAATAGTGAGATCCCAGTGATAACCACACTGACATAGTTCATACTGACTGTTGTGGTCGGAACGGATGTTGGAAAGCAGAACAAGATAGTGATGAAAAGCACCCAGATGATCGAAAATGCGTTGCAGATTGGTCCAAGATAATGACCCAAGTTAAACGGACGCTTCGGGAGAATTCGTTCCCGACCCCTGACCAACAGAATCGCCTGTGGCAGAGCGTAGGTCAAATTGAGCGACAGGATGGACATAGATATGAAGCTATTGAATGCTGTAACCGACGCAATATAGATTAAGCCGTAAGTTATTATCACGACTGCACATCCGACAGTCGCATTGACGGGAGCGTGGTACTTATGGTGAATTTGAGCAAAGAACCCTGCGCATGGAAGGCCTCCATCCCGGGAAAAGGCATATGCGAGTCTCCCAGTTGTCACTATGCACGATACCAGCGCACCGAAATAAACGAAAAGAATCCACACTGTCAGTACAGTGGCCGCGGACTGACTTTGCGTGGCTTGCAAATAGATCGTATAGACCGGAATCGAGGAAGAAGCAACAGCGTCTATGTCCGTGATAGAGAACAGAAACACAACTGTCCACGGGATGACCGTCATCATGCCAATGAGCATAGTCAGCCCCATAGCACGGGGAACATCAGATCTGGGGTTGGGAAGTTCCTGAAAAGATAAATTTAGAATTTCCCATAGCAAGGCGAAAATGAGCACTTTTTAAGTCTTCCTTACCCCTGCAATGTGGCACGCCCCATCAATGGCCAGAAATGCATACATACATGTCCCAAGCCCGATGATGAAAGATGTACCGTCACTCCAGCCACTGTTGTTCTTGAAGTCAATAAACACTGCTTTGGCGGACTGTGTATGCTTCTGTGTTGCTAAAACAACGATAAAGCTGGCGATGAACCCAAGAAAGCTGCTCACAAACATCACCATTTCCCCTCGAGGAAGGCATGATGGCAAAAGGCAGACAATCCCTGTAGCAATCAATACCAAGAGGACATATATCATCCACGTCTGCCAAGCTTCGCCAATGTAAGATGGGTTGTATATGCCGGCCAAGCTCCCGATCATTTGAGCTGTGAAGAGATATCAATAAAGCTTGAGTGTTTTGTGATTTTGTTTATATTCATTCGAATAAGACTCACCACAAACAAGGGCAGTGGACGCACTGGTGAGGGCCCACGCCACCACACTTAACCACCCCATAATAAAGGCTACCAGAGTGCGATATTTTGGAGGGCTAACCATATAGGCAAAGTGGTACTGCCCACCGCTTGATGGATATGCTGAGGCGAGTTCCGCCAAACCCGCCGCTAGAAAACGATGATGCGTCAGGGGGGCAGTTGTGAGAGATCAAGAGTGGGACTCTTACTGATAAAGCAACTCGCAATGGACGCAGCAATTAGACCAAAGAACACAGTCGGACTCCCACCCAACAGGAGTGGTGTGATAAATGTCGCTGAGTAGCCAAGCCAGGAGTTGGTCATGCTGAAACCAAATGCAAGAGTGGAAAAAAGAGAGAATTGTCGAGGAAGCTCCTCTGATTTGTGACTAGGGTCAGACACAACATGGTCGACATCATCACTCTTTGCGTCAAGCTGGTCTGCTAATTTAGACATGGAATCGTTCATGGATAGTTGAACCAGACTATACAGTCAAACTTCAGCGCTTAAACTAGACAAGATGGGAAAATGGAGGATGGCAGGTTAACGTATATGTTCTTAATCCATGAGAACATTATACGCTATATGTAAACATGTACTATTAGGCCGGTCTCGATAGGATTTGATTCCCCGCAATTTCCCCCATGATAGGGCTTCACTGCTGCCAATGATGGTTAAACGATTGGTGCCTCAAAACCTTCCTGTAATTCAAATGAACCAGACAGATCAACAAAACTGGGTCTATTTTTATTTCAGCCAGTCTCGAGTCTTTTTCTAATCTCAAGTTCTGATTCGGGGACAACTTGGTCATTTTGATGTCTACTTTCGGATCTCATTTATATACCCGATTAGGAATGGTCGATCCATACTTTCCCCATTGGGCTTTATTCTCAACTTGGCGGCATCATCGGGCTGTCTGCTGATCGTAACCAATGGTGTATGCTGCCAAGGTCGTATGCACTACATCTGATAAGCCAGTCCTCCGGATCCATTGCCATTTCTCAGGAGGGCTCTTCCACCTTACAGAGATCTCATCTACCTACTTGATGGAGTATGTCACGGCATCTTGAGGGGCCAATGGATTCCCATCTCTAGGTACTTCTATTGACACTTACGTATCTCCAAACCCTATCGTATTATTTAAGAAGCCAGATATCTTGAAAAAAAACTGAATAGCCACGAACCAAACTTGATTCTATCTTTCCAAGCCTCTCCGTCTATCTCACACACACGACACTCACTCAACATGTCCGCAGTCACTGGATACGATTATCCGGGCTATGAAGAGCTGGGGAATATTTTTAACATCTCAGCTGCTGTGTCAATACCTGCTGATGCTCGCATCGTCGCCACCTCGGGCCAAATTGCCGATAACCACGACCCTATGTGGGGCACGCATGCCGAGCAGTTTGAAAAGTCAATGATCAACATCGAGAGGTCTTTGGCGGCGGCATCACCTCATATCACCGATTCAAGGCAACTGTGGGAGGGGATCTTCTATATCACATCATTCCACGTCGGCACTTTGTCGAAAGAAGAACAGTTGCAGATCGCTGAAGTTGCGAGAAGATACTTGGGGAAAAACAAGCCGGCATGGGCAGCTATCTGTGTCAATGCCTTATTTCCACCCGAGGCGCTGGTAGAGATTCAGGTCCAGGCAGCTTATCGCGATGGGAAATAGGAAACAATCACCATGTTCCGACGTAGGATTAGTGATTATGAGAAAGGATCTCTCTTCTAGATCTTGAAGTGTATTCCAACACCTTCATCCTCTGTGTTTACGTATATTCCATGTAGTAATGTCATACGACTTTCTGAACTACGACTATTATGTCTTCCTTTGGGCCGGAGGTCTTCCATCTTTGCGGTGATATCTTACTTCTAGTAGTGAAATCTAGTAGTAAAATACATTGTGATCAACGCTCGACGAGAGGAGCCCTCGACTTCTTGTTGGCCGTCTTTATCAGACATCGGGTATTTAAAAAATGTGATAGAAGCTTTCTCTACTATCTCAGTGCTATTATTTCAATTATTGTCGGCTGTTTCACATAATGTAAAAATATTTGCTCGCAGGTGTGACCTCCCATGAGCCTGCTGGATTCAAAAAAGATCATTGAAAATCTAATTGTATCACCTCTTCCGGTTCGCATGGTCTTCCAAGGTACACAGTGGCCGTTGCCCCTTCGAGGTCCATGACAATACTAAACAATGTAGCATCCATTCCCAGGGGGCCCTCTTCGTAGCGACAAATCGAGTACGGAAATCCATCATGATCATCCAGCATGCGAGTAATGTCGACAACACTTGGCTCTCGACTCGTAGATGCACTGGATTCCGCTGCCAATTGCTCAATTCGCTGCTGTCGGGAAGGGGAATCAACCAGCCAGCCAGAGTCCACAACACCATCATGAGCCAACAGCAAGTGGTTTGCGTGGTAAATCGAATTCCGGTCATCCATCTGAATGCGCCGCATAGTTTTTGCTGTCGATTCCAATCCAATGCCCTTCTCTTTGTCGGCAATCAGAATATGTGCCGATGCGGCGATTCCAACCTCTTCGAGCTGCCGAACAGCAGCGTCAGTGGATGAGCTCTCCAACACAGATCGAAGTGCCAAATGAACAGGGAGGCGAGAAGAATCGCATCCTGAGACTTTGATTGCATTCAGACAGACACCAACACCGAATTCATTCAATCCGATTTTTCCGATGATACCTGCTTCAGTGATCATTTTGATTCGAGGTCCACTGTCGCTGCTGATATCCAACAGGATAAGATTCTGCTTTTGCTCCTCCATCCACTACCAGATCGTAAGAAGATAGCCAGATCCACTGCAGCAACATTCACTTACATCCCAATTCTGAGCCAAAAAGGCATGCTGGCTGGTTTTCCGATACAAGCTTGTACATCCATCGTTGAACATCCCGAACGCGATCTCAGTGCGGATGTTGAGGATCAATATATCAATAAACGGTATTTGAGCACCATCCGAAATTCCTGGATATTTTGTTAACTTGTTACAAACATAATCGATAGTAGGTCGAAGCCAGATCACGGTCGGATGGATTGACGTACCCTGCATCTCGCGGTAATATTTCGGCCACCTCTGTTCTATTCCCCTGTCCCAGGCTTCCGCCGTTGTGCGTACAGTTTGCCAGTCCATCTTGCAAATATGGGCGAACATCTTCTGATAAAATTTGATACTGCCGCTAATCATATCTCTTGCGCCCACTCCATGTGCCCGTCCAATCTGTAGTGTGTAAGAATACATTCATAGGCCGCACAAAAGCTAATTAGGAGTGTCAATTGACTTACTTCATATGGCGCTCCGACACATTGTATTGATTTCATTTTCAAGTCGTTGTCAGTAGGCGAGTGGTTTCAGTTCCTTCGAGTTCAATAGGCTGATTAATGAAGTACGCTTGGAGTTGAAACTGGAAATCTAGTTTTTCATCAACAAAGATTGATTTTATGAATGACAAGTACGTCAAAATGTATGTCACCTAGTTGCTACATTCCAAGGCACATTGTGAACTCAGTCTGTATCCATATTAGGAAGGTCGCTGAGTTTGTTCGCCGTAGCGGTAAGGAAGATGAGCGAGGCTCGCAGCACTAGCGGACCGCAAAGCCCATCTCGACGATGACAAATCGACCTCTGTAATCGCTTTATTATGATCTTCTAGTAGTCATTTGAAGTTCAAATTCGCAATGAAAGCTTACAATGACTGAATAATGATTTTTGATAACAGCACATCAAGGTCGAGGTATGGCGAAGGCTGATATTTTTGTATCAGATATATATTCCTCTTTTCTACGGTAGTACTACCATCCTCCAGTTACCCTACGTAATTTTAGGTTATCACGAGAGGGTTATGCTCCGGGTGGCATACTTAATCGCTCGTGCTCATCTATCACCCGAACGAGTGCTACGCAGCAAATGTGTTTGGTAACAGTCAAAAATAAGCAGGCAAAAACATACCACAGTTTAGATTGTCTGGTGATCACCTACCCAGCTACTGATTCATCGGCCGGTGGCTCGGTGGACAGTGTTGCATATTCGAGTATGTGAGCTCGTGGGCCGAGCGATGCTTTTGTCTGTAGACTTATACAGAAATATACTCAGATTCTGTGTTTTGTGAGGTTTTTTTTTCCCCTGTGGATTGGAGTAGTCAACTCGATGTAAGTCTAGTGCTGCATACTTGAACCATCACTCTAACCGGAATATTTTAGTTTCAAGGTACATCAAAGGCAGTATATATTGTTTGATAGCGATTATGATACCCAGTTGCCTGAAGATAAGATGCTAGCACACATGCCTCTGCTCGAATACACTCAATTGAACAACATCGTAGGCAAGATATGAAGCCTATATGAGTGAAGATGGCTAAGCATCAGAGTACCTAAGATATATCATCCACAAGCCTCTCGTGTAGCACTTCGGAGAAGAAAAACAAAAAAAGGTCATAGCCTTTCAGCATGTCTTTTTAGGTCCTGGCAACTCGTGGATAAAATCCCTAGACCCCGGTAACTCATGGGTAGTATGCTCTTTGTTGCCAGGAAGCTCTGACAGTTGGCTTCGGCCATCTAACTCACTCGGGATGCCCGGGGGCTGGAGAGACTGGTCTTTTATCGTCGATGATTCGGTGATGGGTGTTCCCGCTTGAGATAACTTCTTCTGTGGGCGACGGCGCATGAAATACCAAAGCAAGGCTAGAATGATTGCCAACCCAGCAACTCCACCAACCACACCGCCCGCAACAGCACCAGTATTCAACTTGGAGGAGCTACTCGTTGTTGGGGGGTTGCTCGATAGTGGGGGTTGGGTCGATGTTGGGGAGCTACTGGTCATTGGTGAGCTGGTCGATGTAGGGGAGCTAAGCGACGTTGAGTCCATGCCTGAAGGTAGTTAAAGTAAGACTGGGCTCATGCAGAGTACGCAGGAGTTGGATCTTACTATATCGAACTGGGGGCAGTGGCGTGATACCATCAACCTTAGCTACCCCATTTGCCGCACACCCAACCGCCCCCGAGGTCATATTATACCCCCATTCCTGTTCTTCACAACAAAAGTATCCGCCGTTATAGTTTCGAAAAAGCCTCCAGTCTGCATTGGCGCAGTGTGGTGAGTGACTGATTTCCCGACTGCAGTCTTCATCTTCATTCCGACAACATCTCCCCGTGTTTTTGTCGCTACAAGTTGCGCCACTGGGGCAGCATCGGGAGACAAGTTTTGATGTTATCGGATCAACTGATGCTTTCGTGTTACATTCTCCCTGAAGGCAGGAGCCAGTCCTGCGTATTGCGAATCCAAACGGCGGACCCCAATCAAGGTCGTCAGTCATGCTTATGATGAATATGTCGAAAGACCAAACAAAAATCGATTGAAAAGAGAATAACACGTGTGTGATGTATATTAACAAAAGTCCAGGAACTAGGAGAGGAGGTAATGACCTCGTTTGAAGGACTTTTGATTTTATGTACCAACCGAAGCGAGAACAACAAACAGGGGAACAACCCCAGTGAAATCGAGTGGGTTTATTTTATTAATAGAGAGACCCTGTGCCCAAACAGATCCTACACCTAAGGCTATCTTGGTGCCACTTTGACCCTGATCGTCGTGGAAGCAGTCTTGGCGAGGGTAGTTTCCTGGGCAGGCTCAACAGATAACATTCTCTATTAGGCTGTCGAGAGTGCAACATTGAAATTTTTCTAAGAATGACTGCTCTTGTTTCGCAATTACCATCCGGAACAAATCGCAAATTTCATCGCGAATCAAGGCTTTATGGGCAAGGGTAAGGTAGACAAGGAGGAGCCCCAGCCGTCCTTGGCTCCCTCCGCCTGATACCTTCCCCGCTCGGCAGAACAAGGCGAAGATCCCCAGGCAAGGTCACTTGGAGGTCACTTGGAGGAAAAATAAAGAGTTATAAAGGTGAGCCAGATAGTCCTGATCGTACGTCAATTCTAATGGTTTAACCCGAAATCAGACGTCATAGCAAGCTGCTGCGGCTGAAAAGTGATAGAGATATGGGAGGAATGTCACGCGTTGGAAGGCATCGGGACGGGTGAACGTTGGCGTCTAAAAATTTAATGACGCTTAATCTAATGGGGCAACACTAGTCATATAGGCCAATTCACAGGCCGTTTTCAAGATTGACCTTACCTTTCTCAGGATAAACGGAAGCTATGTATCGCGCAGCGGTATAGGCGCCAGCTGCCGAAACCCATTTCTCGTAATTATTGGTTCCTCAATGCCTGGTTGTGGCCTGGTTCTTGGCCGCTCATTTGAGAAATGGGGCTGGGTTTTGAGCCCAGCCTCGGGCCCACCGATGGGCTATAGCCCGAAGGTAGAGGCCCAGAATGGGGAAATGAGCCCTAAAATAGGGCCGAAATACTATAACATAGAACTTGAATCCCCCTTTTGGTAGTTAAAAGTACCCTTTGTTTTACCCCGTTTCTAAGCCTTATTTTCAAGGTAATATTCTATTAACTTAAATAATCCAGATTTAATTACTATTTATTTCTCTACATCACGTCTAAATAATGTGAAAAAAACGCGTTTATTCTTCTATCCATCCCCTTCACTGCTCCTGCATGCCGACTCTAGCTTCTAATACGCCTTGCTCTATGATAAATTTTATATCCCTAATATTCATCGCTGAATCAAAAAGAAATGTCATTCTGGCCATTTCTGCTTGTCTCACATTTGTCCAGATCTGTGTTAGCCTTCAGAATGGTAGGTGAAGCTCTCAGCCCTGGATTGCAGGGACTTCGAACGGAAGTAAGAACCTCCAAATGGACCTAGACTTCATCGTATCGGGCATCGCTGTCAATACTCTCTCGCGAGGTCCTACAGCTTTTTTGATAGAAGCATGAACCAAGATGTCCTTCATGCCCCGGCACGGATAAGGCGCGGAGGATGTTGACTATGGAGAACGTAGCTTTAGAGGTTGGGTGTAGCGTGACCGTTCTCTTACAGCTGCGAACAATGCTATAGTAAATACCACGTAGCTTACTAGCCGCCACGACTGCGGATCTTTCACAAACACTTTAAATTAGTCAGTGAGATCATGGAAGGGGTAGGTTCATTTTTAAAGATTCACATGCTTGTATTTTCTTTGATAATCAGTCTAATACAGATTTATTTTTATAGCGAATCTCTCCGGCTCACGGGGCATGCTTCGCGGGCTAGATAGTGCTGTTTTAGACATGTCTAGGACTGCTAGAATGCCAATACCAAAACGCCCGGATCAGCGTTCAATAGTATACTCTGAGCCTGATGACGATATAGACATAGTCGGCGTATTTAGTTGTGGCTTTGACAGTAAATATCAAATATTTTCTGCTAGCATGTAGTACACTTCTATGAACTTAAAACAGAACCTTTCTTGAAGCGTTGATTCCTTGAAGATCCCACTGCCGTGGTGCTGTCTTCTTCATCCACACCGACCAGTCCCCCCGAAAGGCCGGCCGCATGATCTGTGCATACTCCCAGTAGTCCGGATACCATCCCGCTGATTCCCAGTCAAGAATCCCGGTGATAATGTTCTGTTCGTCTACCATCACATTACGTGGCGCAATGTCGGCATGGGTGAATACCGAGTCTTCTGACCGGGGTAACATATCTAGCAGTTGATTCTCATACCGCCTCCCTCCGCAGTGTATGTAGCGTTCGTATATTCTCCCACGTAACTCCAAGTCGCTGGTAATTGGTCGAGCGGGTTTTTTCAGATCCTGTAGCATCGGGTCCTGGGATAGAGAGCCATCCGCGGCACATTGATACACCCCCTGAAGCTCTTGTGGACGAGGGACATTTCGGATTGCTGAGATTAGATTCCAAAGTTGAATGCATATTGACTCCTTAGACTCGCTGTCTAGGCTGTCCCATTTCTTTTCCAGGGGTATTCCGGGAATAATAGTCATCGCAATCAATCCTTGGGGTATATAAAAGTTGGGTTTTAAAGGCTCATCAGTTTCCGTGTCCGTCTCCATTTGAGCTTTATCAGCATGAAAATCGGTGAAAAGCACTTCAGGAACCGGAATTTTGGTATTTTTGAACACAAGTCTCATCGCTTCTGCTTCGGCAGATCGCACTCCGAACCCTGACTTGATCACCCAGGAAGCGTCCAATTCGACCACAAGTCTGCCCATTTGTTTATCAAGAACATACATCAGCTCTTCGTCAGCTTCAAGGCTGAGTGGATCCACATATGAGGCGCATGGTAGTAGAGTGTTGCCCTTCTTGATATATCGGTGCCCTTTGTGAAGATTCTTATCTTCGTATGGAACCTCACTTGGAGAGTTCGTTTCTTCGCATGGGGCCTCGGTTGCAAAATCCTTGTCTTCGGATGGAAACTCACTCGAAGGTCCCGTCATTGTATGGTTATTATCTTTCAGCCACGTTGATCGAGCAGTGACGGCGAGAGTGAAATCCTAGAGATCCAAGTTGATCGGTTGAAAGATATTCCTTCGCTGGTATGGACGACTAAGTGTAGCACCTATTTATAACCCTGTGATTGGATGATTGCCTCACCGCTATATCTCCGCTATTAGCTATTATAACCTGTCAACTTACGGATATGGCCCTGGTAAATGCAAAATGATATCTTTTTGCTAAAGATGTATATCTCCAATTGCTACATATGTCATCCTCCGGGATATATATAGCCGCAAATTCCTTGCAAGAAGAGACGCGTCGATACATAGGGAATCAAGGGGACATATGCCTTAGTCTTTGTTTTCGTACCCATTCAAAGGAAGAGGTGAAGGCGCAGCTTGGGAAAAGTATCCATGTAATGAACTCACTTGAAATTAATAATATCTAAGCTGCCTATTCACCGTTATATTTGTCGTTATAAGTGTATCCCCTTACGGTTTACAACACATGCAAGTCTACACATAATTTGCAGACTCCTATGTTGCCTGCAGCTTGATGTTACCTTCTCCTCTATCGTCTTGTTTACGACAAATGGCTTAATTTACAAATTCTAAAAACACCGCCAAATCTCGGCATATAGGGGTGGGACCCCTGGGAAATCCCGCACTTGATCTCCGGAGGAACAAAGAACTGCCTAGCAACATTGCAATATTATCTAATGAGAGGATAACAAAGAGGTGGCATATTCAGTGACTTATGATCTGCCCTCAGGTTTTCAGCGGCGCTTTGGTAATTACCGTGAGACCTCCCAACCTTGGAACCCGTGCAGTAGAGGAGGTATAGGTATCATATGGCCCATTCATTATCTCAAGATCTTTATAATCACATAGATGTATAGAATTTATCCAACTGGATACTGCCTAATTTCCCTTCCGAATCCATCATTTAAGTGCCAGCAAAAGGCAGTTGCACTTGGCGGCTTGCCTTTTTCAGCGCAGTCGGAAAGCATCGCTCTTCCCATTGAGAGTTTGATTGACAGATGAGTCTTGCCCCTTTTTTTTGGTTTCCTTTGAAAGTAGTCGTGCAATTTATCGTCTTAAATGCTGACAAATGATAGGATATCAATAATAGGTGAAACAGACCAGGTCTGACAACCCAAGCACAAGATGGGACTCTTTCAAGTTTCTAGTTATAAAGATTCTGCTTTCAATTCTTCCCCAAAATAGATCTTGGTAGTTAAGAAATAGAAATACATACCTCCATACCTACATACATCAGTGATAGACCAGGTCTGACAACCCAAGCACAAGATGGGACTCTTTCAAGTTTCTAGTTATAAAGATTCTGCTTTCAATTCTTCCCCAAAATAGATCTTGGTAGTTAAGAAATAGAAATACATACCTCCATACCTACATACATCAGTGATAGACCAGGCCCAATCTTTATATTTGGATGCAGTCGGCTCTCACAAATCTTAAACCGGCCTTCCGCCAGTCTGAAACCAAACAAACACAGTAAGTGACGGATTGACAAGATATTTTGCGGCAAATGCCTAAACTCACAGGTTATGCGGCACTAATACTAATCTCTCAAGAAAATGAGCGACTATCCATCCGCAACAACCCCCATCACGACCATTGCTCTTCGGGAGGTGTGCGAAGTCAACGGCCGCACCTTCACTAGAAGAATAGGCACGCAGCAATGGTCTGAGCGTACCGCTTCAACTGACAGATCTGACCAATCTTTTCTCCCCCCACCCTTGAGCCTATCTCTTGTTCATCAACTACAAGGTGAGGGGGAACCTTTGCATTGGGCGCTCTTTGTTTCTCGTGAGAATCAACCTGGATATGTGTATCAGGTCAAGGGAGATGCAGAACACATGCAATACTTACCTTCGGTAGGGGTTGTCAATGTCGTCCAATCTGACTCCTTTTTAAACATCTATAACCTAGCCGATGTGACCGAAGAACAGCAGATAATGGTAAGAGTTGTTGCAGAGGCAGAAGACCCCCTAGAGCGAAAGATCGCAAATCTGTCACGGAAAATTGTCAAGGTTGGACTATTCGTGTTATCACCCAGCTAGTCGGATTAGGTTTGGTTCCAGAGCATAAGCTGCGCATGATACTCCCTATGCTTCAGACGATCTAAGAGAGGTATATTTATGGGGGCTGTATTATGGTGGCTGTGCCGGAGAAACGAGGCTTTCATCACATGGTTTTGAATTCCTACAGAATGCGGTACGGTCACTGGTCAATTGAATAGATGATCCAAATCAACGGAGTCGCCATAAGCGGAAAGCTCGAGGTCCGAACGAAGGTGGTAATCGTCTTCCCATCCCCACCCTGTTCGGGTTGGATCTGTTTCACAGTACGCAATTTCTCATAATACACAACTAAATATAAGGTATCTTTTACATGAATTCAGCATACAAAAAGGACCTAGAAAAAAAGTATCAACAATATCCTGATAATCTCGATTCTCTTTGCCGTCGAAATGGCCAAAGGGAAGGTAAAAGCTCTGGTATATTATATCAGTCTATAATGTATATATAAGAGAAGCAAGGATCAATTGAAAAAATGACCTTATATCGAAACACCAAGAAGGAACAATGTTTTCAACACGACTTATTTCTCTCTAGGTTAAATATAAAGAATGAATCCGCGCTATCCTTCAAATGAGATATGTATATAATTATATCTTCTCCAACTATATCGAGAGCGAAGAGAATCCAGATTGTTAGAATACCATCGACACCTTCTAGGTATCTTTTGTATAGTACGCCCATATAGAAGATACTTCAAATTTAGAAATTCTCTATTATGAAAAGTTGCGTACTAGAAAACAGACCCAATCCGAACAGGGTGGGGATGGGAATATGATTACCTCCAGGGCTACCTACCTAGGTAGTGCTCGGCACTTCACTTTCGTGCCAGACCATTTGAGTGGTATAAATCTTACATGTATCTCACCTGGGTCCCAGCAAATAATGACCCAGCAAATAAAAGATCAATGTGACGAGACCACGCTCTATTATCGGATATTAGCTTCAAGTCTGCCATGGAAGTAAGCCAAAGGAGAAAACCCACAAATTCCTGTACCATCCTAATTTCTAGATCCATCCTTCGTAGCTTCTCTTTTTGGTCGCTGGAGTTTTCAGCGAGCTGCGCTCTACCGATGCTTATATCTTGCGGCGATTTCATTTCAATGTCCAGATTGTGGTATTGCCGGTGATCTTGCACTGGCAAGGGAACTCCACTCCAATTGGTCGTAGGGGAACGGAGGATGTTGCGCGGCGAGGCAGGATATACAGCCGAATTGCCGCTTGAAAACCCATAGCGATACCGAACAGTGCTGGAGCCTTTCGAAATCACAGCTCGAAATGGAGGAAGGCACCCAACAATCAAGGCTTTAAGATGGTCAGTATACTTCGATCGTAGGTCCAACGAGGAAGTTACTTGCATATTGAAGACTCAGCAATACTCCATATAGCAAGAGCTGCTTGATCAGAGTATGCTTTGCCCGTGATCTCAACAGCACGAACAACTGCTGCTCCAATGATAACAAATCCGAATCCGAACACAATCACCAAACCGATCTTTTGCTGCAAATTGATTCTTGTTCCCCAAATTAGACTAAGAGGAAGAGACATGACTAGCACATATACCTGGGTCAGTTACAATTTGCTGGATTCACACATCAATGGGTGGTCATACTTAACAGGTCTGTGAGTATATCAACGGCCGTGCTATAAGATATAGAGATGATGGATCCCTTCTGATCAATTGGCTTGGTACACTTTCCTATGAAATGTCAGAAGCTGCGCATTGAAGTAACTAGCATAGTCGGAATGGGATACCAAATCTAAAGTAGTCTGACGGTGGATGGCAATTGAATATTGAAGCCATCCAGCAGCCAATATATGACGATACCGCGAATACTGTAATTATCCACCACACGCTGCGGTACCGAGGTAGTCCGTCTGACAACATCCAAAAAAGTGCCAGAAACGACCCTTTAACGCTCCATAGTACAGACCAAAATATTCCAATAATAGGAAACTCGAAGCGTGTGTAGAGTAGCCCATGGTGAACAATATCGGGCCCTGTAGTTTGAAGTACCATATGATAAAGATGAGGCGCCTGTAGGGTTTGTAAGATCGCATTGGTAATGAGGAGAGCTAAAGCAAGAAGCATGAAATAGTCATCGGCTAGCAGGCAGTGCATATATTTGATCCGAATTGCGATACGAGCAACCGTGAAGAGGATACCTAGCACTGCTCCAACCCACGTTATGGCTATGAGGCCATTTAACGAGAGATGTGTTGCCACTCCCTGGGGAGCGGGTGCATTTCTCATTGCCAAAGAAGTCCGTAAATGCTACCCGAAGTAGGTGCTATTGTGAAGCAATATTGAAGAGACTGCGGCCCCGGATGGGCTTGGACGTTTTTCATGCAGAAGCCCTGGGGAAGAAGGACCAAATAGTCTTCACATGGTCATATGGAATTCAACTCGTCTATTTGCAAAGATAAACAGCACGGAATACCCAGCAGACCCTTGTAAACCCACGGCCGACAAAGACCCGAGCGAGCGCAGCAACACGAGGGAAAGCGCATTGACATCTGAAATCCTATGCACCCGGGTCAAGCGAAGTGCCTCAAATGCGATTTAAACTCCACAATGAAAAATTTGGGTCCGTCCTTTGCAGTTCCTCAAGAATTGCCTACAATCACACGAGGCTGTTGTTCCTAGTGTTCCTTTCGTTCATCTATCAGCTAATCTATTGGGGGGCTATTTTGTGGATACGGAGACGTACAAAAAGGCAAGATCTGCACTAGTGCGTTGAAGTTCTTATGAAGGGGCTTCGGAATCCCTGTCGTTGAATAAATAATCTCGTCCTGCGGGAGTGGACGGAGAGGTGGCTTATGTTAACCCCTTTCAGGCTAGGCGAGAGGAGTCAATTGAGATCTTTTTGAGATCTCCCTCAAACGCAAGATTTGTATTAGTATCGAGCTGCAGCTATATGAAATGAAGTGTACATAGATTTGTTAAAAAAGTAAGGATCAACACGAAACAAAACCGACGCCCGGACGAGCGGGAATATCTGGAGTCTATGTATAAAACACCAAATAGTACGGAGTAATTGAGAGTAGATCATAGTTCAATATATTTTATTAGACACCAAGTCAAACTAAATCCCAAGCGAGGTCGGTAATGATGATCTTTGACAATTAGTTTGATTGTGGGTGCCACATATATTATAGCGGCCCCCAACGGCTTACCCCATTGGGTTTGTTTCGAGCCTAGGGTACATTATTTCGGCCGCATCGTTTACAACATATTCCATTCTGATAGGGGTTATAGGAAAACGGAACGGGGTGTCTCCTAGCATATGGCGTCTCCCACGATGTGCTGCTCTTTCGCATACTTCTGTTTCATACCCAAGAATAGTTTATATGTCTGATCATCCCACGTAACAAATCCTCTATTTTTGAATCGATAGAAATTGACAAGACATCAAATCCACAATCCATGACCCACACAGACCACACAGACCACACGTCCTTTGTGCCCCATGGCGGAAGGTAACAACGCTACGGACTACTCCATAAGAGATTCCACTTCCTAGTTTGGCTGGAGAAGGTCCTTGAATTAGCTGATGCGACAATTAACTCGTGCTTGCTACATGCGTACATTAGACGGTGCCCGGAGATTATTCAATCCGCGTGCCGTCTGCCGCCCGCACCCCTTGAATATTTAAATATTTGATTGAAGAGCTCGTTTGCCCCGGATTCGCGAAAGGGCCACTTTCTATCCGCCACTCTCTGAGAGAAGCTGTATTTTGTGATGGTGTCAAGAGTTTTGTCCCTTCTCGCTTTTGCTGGCTTCGGCTACGCGAGTCGGACCGCCTGCAAGTGCGTAAGTGATATATATATATTTGGAACCACTAAGACCAAACACTGTGCTTCCCACATGCCTAGCCTAACCTTTTGCACAGACTCCAGAAGATTCATGCTGGCCTTCTGTTGACAGTTGGAACGCACTAAACACAACTGTGGCCGGGAAACTCATCCACAACCTCCCGGTTGCTATTTCATGTTACCCCGGGACTTACCAGAATGCTGAGGAGTGCGCCCATGTCTACTCACAATGGTCCAACTCTACATTCCAAGAGCTTTCCCCGGTCGGATACGTTTACCCCACCGATGTGTTGTGCCCTGCCGTTGATCCCAGCACGGGCGAAAGCCCTGGAAAGTGTATTCTAGGGCCCGCCCCGGTATATACAATCAATGCTACAGAGCCGGCAGAGCTTGCAGCTGGCATAGACTTTGCGCAGAAGAACAATGTTCGCTTGGTTATAAGAAACACCGGGCATGATATGCTGGGAAAGTCAGTTAAACCAGCTCGATCATCTTTATAATATTTATCAACTAACTTATTACTTATTATAGGAGCGAGGGGTACGGAGCACTCCAAATTTGGGTCAAATATATTCAAACGGGAATCAATTTCCACGAGACTTACACTGCTTCCGATAAATGCGCAAGCAGCAAGTGGACAGGGTCTGCAATCACCATTGGAGGGGGTTATGTTTGGGAAGATGTGTATGATCTTGCCTTCAAGCGCAATGTCGTTATCGTTGGTGGGGGTGACCCGGTATGAGAGCTCACACTATGCCCCCAATTACAGATGAAGCTACAATCCTAACATTTTACGCAAAGACCGTTGGTTGCATTGGCGGTTACACGCAGGGAGGCGGCCACTCGCCAGCTAGCCATGACTACGGCCTTGCTGCTGATCAAGTCCTAGAAGCTCAGGTTGTGTTAGCTAGCGGTTCTATTGTTACCGCTAATGCGTGCCAAAATTCGGATCTCTACTTTGCTATTCGCGGCGGTGGAGGTGGCAGCTATGGCGTCGTTACCTCGATGACAGTCAAAGTGTATCCCAGCAAGCCTGTTGTCGCACAATCCCTCACGATTAGCCCGATTGAGGCTAGTAAGGATACCAACTCGCTCTTGGATGCTATTACCGATGTTCACGAACATTATCCTAGTATCATGGATGCAGGCTTTGCTGGGTACGGGTCCTGGTCTGTTAATAGCCCCATGAAACTCTTCGCCAACGAGACCGTTGGTTATGTTCATGCGGCCGCAATCATGGGCAAGTCGCTCATTGAAGCTCAAAAGATCTCCCAGCCGCTTTTGAAATCGCTTCAGAAGTATAATGGTACTTCGCTTTCTGTATCTGTTGCATGGTTTGAGTTCCCAACATACGCAGCGTACTATCAGGCTATGTCAGGTGTGAAGCAACCTGTGGGGTCGTCGAACTCAGCAATGACTTCGCGAATGATTGGCAAAACAGCCCTCACCTCTAGTCGGACTCAACTGCGCAGCATGATTGAAGTTATTGCAGGTGAGGAAAACGAATACACAATCAATAACGTGGAGCTGGTTGGCGGTGGCAAGGTTCTAACTGATGGAAATGATCAACACTCCGGTGTCAACCCTGCATGGCGCTCTACCTACATCGTGGAAGTCGTTGCCAGAGGTTGGGCAGACGAGTCCGCTGCTCAGTCTGTAAAGGATGATATTACAAACAATAAAGGAAAAGCCATGAGCCAGTTGACCCCGCACTTGGGAAGCTACATGAGTGAGGTATGTGGTACGTTGGTTCCTGCCGAGGCTTCATACTAACAGTGAGAACAGGCCGACCGTAATGACCCCTTGTGGGCTGATAATTTCTATGGTACCAACTACGAAAGGCTTGCAGCAATCAAGCAGAAGTATGACCCGACAGGTCTGTTCTACTGCCCGACTTGCGTGGGCAGCCCTTCGTGGAGTCAGCAATATCTACCCGGGACACACTACGGTCCTCTTTGTTCGACGGGGGTTTGATTTCTACGCTGCGAAGTATAGTGTGATACTCCAACATTGTCTTATTATCTCTATTCTTTATCTAAACCGACTACCGGAACAATACGAGAGCCAAGTACAGTTTATATTTTCTTGAGTATTCGGCCTTGTAGCCTATCATTTAAGCGCAACTGGAAGCTTTCACCCATGCACACACTATGCCTTCGCCGTAAGTGAAGCCCTTTTCTTAACCTTGATGTAATAAGCATGCGTCGGTGCGCGTGTCGAACTGACAGCGCCAGATACCATCTTCGCGGTTTCATCGGCGTCAGAGATCTGTAAGGCCAACAGTTAGTATTGAAAATAATAAACGGCCAACTTGAATGTCTCGGCCTACATCTAGCTTCATGAGCATCATGGCAAGAACTTTCATCGTCTTTGCTCGAGCAAAATGCTGGCCAATGCAGGTATGTTTTCCACTTCCAAACCAAATTCCACAACGCTCCATAACCTTTCGTTGATCTCCACTTGCTTCTAGCCATCTTTCAGGCCGGAAATCCTCGGCATCTTCGCCATAAACATCCTTATCGAGGTGTATCACTCTTGCATGGCAGCCGATGGTGGTTCCTGCCGGAATGTGGTGACCACATATCTCCATGCCCCCATTTGGAACAACCCGATCCATATTCGGCTGCAGTAGTAATGCATATCGTAGGCCTTCCTTGATCACGGCGTCAAGATATGGAAGCTTTGATAAGTCCTTGAGGGTCGGTGGGTAGGACAGAGCTTTTGCTAGCATAGCATTGTCAAGCTCTGTTTGGAGCTGGTGGAGAATGGCTGGATTTTTGAGCAAGTAATACACTGTCCAGGATAGGTTAAACGCCGTTGTGTCGGCTCCTGCAAGCAGGGTTGTGAAAGTCATTCCGATAACTCTCTCGTGAGAAATGAGGTCTAGGTGCTCCTGGCGTGATTTGATATAAACATCCAGAAGATCCTCCTCTTTTTCAGTGAACTGGCTTTGCTTCTCCTTGCTAGTCATCCGAGAATCGACGTGATCCAAACACATGCTGACCAATTTCCCGCTAGGTCCGACAACGAAGCTTGCTGCCCATGCACACCACATGAACACTGTGGGGAATGCAAATATGTACATCCAAATCGAGGTGACAGCACGAATTTTTCTTATAGTTCCACCGATATCCGTGGCTTGTCGCATAAACCCAAGGTCGGAGGAAAAGGCGATATTGTTCATACTATCAAAGGCCCAGTATGAAAGCCATTCATTCATATCAACAATATCGCGATTCTCAAGGTTTTGAACCAATTCTCCCGCACTGTGGTCGATGTGAGATTCGTAGTTCAGAACAGATCTCCAAGTAAATGCCGGCGCAATCAATCTCTTAACATTTGCATGTTCGACTTCATCAAACATTCCCTCAAGCCCGGCAACGTTCTTTCCTTTGGACCACCCGATGATACCCTTGTACATATTTCCCTACAACCCGAAACCCAAATGTCAGTGAGATTTTTTGTTATCCCCACATCTTTGAAGATAGATGGTTTCACCTTATGCAACAAAGGTTTAATTTGGTAAACTCTGGGGACTTCATTGGCGTCCCCAACGCTAATATGACGGGGTCCCGTACGAATCATTGGACCATGATGCTCGTGCCACCAGTAGAGAACCTCGCCATAGTCCCCTTTCAATAAATGGTATACTTTCCAATAGTCGGTAAACTTCGCAAGAAAGGGTCCTGGAATAGTGGCGAGCCTTCGCTCAATTAGGATAATCTGGAAAGCAAGAAATATTCCTAAGCTCGCCGCAGCAAGCGGAAGTGTAAACATCGTTGTCGTGAGCTGAGTTAAGAATACTATCCGGGGGGAGGGTGTGTTTAAGATAGAAAATTTAGCACGTCCGTATACATACTGACACTAACCGCTACTTGCTTCGTATGGTACACTCGTAGGATCGTGATTTCTCCGCATATTTTGTGATACATAGATCAGATCCGACAGAATATGCAAAGGATCGGGTGATCTATATCGATGATTGGCGTGCTCCGTCCACCTGTATTATCAGCGCTTATTGATGCGAGGTGCCCAAATCCCAATCGTGCATACGGGGGCACGCTAAGAAGTCGGTAATTTTTGCCATGTATGTTGAATCACAATCAATACATCACTTAAAGCGCACATATATTTTCTACTATTCCCTACCTACAGCTGCAATACATATATAGAATGGCGCAGGATGATAATTCTCTATAAGCCACTGTCAACACCACCACGAGAGTAGACGGCCGCTTGTATAGCTCTACAATATCTCATGGTCATTTTAGTAGGTCTTCTCAGTGGTGTTCTCAGAAGTCCGCTTTGATGTTCTTCTTAAATATCCCCAAGGATAGCGTTCCCCCTTTCTAGTCTACAGGTAATCTGAGTACAAAAAGGCTGGAAAAGTATACTTCATATATAATCTATAGCCCTCAAACTGTCTATCAGTATCAAAGATAACTATTTATACATCCCTACATTTAGAAATAGCAGTATCTATATAGAGGCCAAAAGCTTCATTTTTAACCCCCAGAAAACACCGAAGAATCAATCATTGGTACTACAGCCTATATGACGGTGTGGAGGGCGATCCAGATTAAAGCAGAAGAACATCAAAGGCTCCTTAAATGGGTTTGAAATACTGGCCACTATACAACTTCGTAGCCTGCTTTATAATTGATCAAACGGTTTTCCATTAAATTATCTCAATAAATCCCCATCATCTGCGCTCACAGGCTACTCACTGGAGTCATCAATGTGTACCCAATGCTCGAATGTAACCATACTTTCAGCGCAATATTGTAACCGCGGGTAGAGAGAGGTTTGTTTAATATTGCAACTCTATCCATTGTGAGAGTTAAAGGTGTCATATATACACTCTACTATCGTTTGCACGAGAAATCTTTGTTGTGTAGTTTCCATGAACTCTATTGAAATACATTCCCCCTTCAGGTCGTTTTGTCATTGAGACAACGTCTGTTTGACCAGCGATTGCGTCCCAAATGGCTGTCGTGAACACGAGCAGTTCATGGCTCGCACATTCTTTCCAATATCATTGACTGAAATTGGGAACTGTGAGGACCACGGATATAATATCTTCGAGGGGATGCAGCGATTTAACGAGTGTTTTCAATATTCAGCCTCTGCGGACCGCATACCTGGCTCAATACGATTACAATCACCATATTAGAAGTGTAGGATATTATTGTTTCAAACTCCAAGGCAGGCACAGTCTTAGGTAGACTGGGTAGGCTTATCGGAGTGATTTATGCCTGCACACCCAGGATGTTGCTCAACGACATATATCGGCATCCTAAAAGGCAGTAGATTTTAATGTGAAGTGGACCGAATTTAGAAAAAGCAAGTGAGAAGAGAAGTGGAATTTATTTGACGCCAAGATCCCAACTCGATGAGGGACCCGAGGTGAATAAAACGCCATTAACTATTCGCCACGTTCCTCATTGTTCTTCTCATCGAAGCAAATACATAATGCGGCAATTAGTACTGCATCTACCCCGGGAGCCACAACAACGGCGTAAGTCTGCTGGCCGAAGATGAGGTCGCGTCCGCTCAGAAGTTTCCGGTCAATGCGAGCCACTGTTTGGCCGCTTTTGTCATCAACAATATCGGCCGTACGATCGAACCAGCCTCCTTTCATTTTGAGAGCTACTGCTTTGCCGCTACGATCAGTGAAACTGGCAGTGGCTTTGGAGCCGACCACTAGCGGGGTCAGCAATGTTGACAATATACGGAGTTGATGAATAGTTTCGGATCATGAATGTTGATACTTACATGTGAGATTACTCTTGACCTCACAAATCTTCTTGTGATGGGTGTCTTCAATTGCATAGGTCGAATGGATATGCAGAAGCTCCTTGACAATATCGAATAGGTGATTGCCATGAGCGTCTTCGACTTTCTTGCGACCTGAAAGGGACACCCAGGCCCCTTGCACTTTCAGAAACGGGTCGCCGTTGGCTAATTTAATTTCGAAGCTATCGCCAGTGACGGAAAGGACCTTTTCTCTCAGGATTATTGTCTGAGGCACCGTCGAGACGAATTGTTCGAATATAGCGATAGGCTCAGCGACAGGGTCGAGATTGTGATGCCCTAGGATACCCATGGTGATGCTGATAGATGAGTCCAATCCAAGCTTTCCTGACGAGGGTGGTGAAATTCACCAAATGAAAATCAAACAAGGGAGAGCGGGGTCAGGCTGAAGTTGATCGGCGCTCATTACCACGTATACGGACGACCACTGGGACCACCGATACATATTTGTCTAAATGGTTCAGATTGTCAGGCAAAATTCAGATCGAACGACTTATGAACTTATTAAACTGAAGCATAAGTTGAAGTCCACTAAGTTGAAGTTTGTTATATCAAATGTCATAGAATTGGGGCTCGTTAAGCTCATGTGTATCTATCACACTAGAGTACACAAAATCAAAGTACTCTGTATGTCGACTTCAATTTCATATTTTTCGATTTTGACTTCAATTTTATAAAATCGAAGGATATGAAATTGAAGCATATTAGGATATACTCTGTACAATCAGATGACCAAGTATCAATCTTAAACATTGGCTGTCCTAGACCCTACGAGAATAATTCATCGCCAAGGATATTTCACATGATTTCGCCTGTGCTCTTTTAGCTAACTAATCCCTAGAATACTACCGAGTGGTTCGTTGGCCACGATGCCAATTCTATTCTGGACTGCTAATTGACTTGGGCGCCCGAACAAATGAAAGTGGAGCGTTGGCAGCCAAGAGGAAGGACGCTTTCCCTGTCACTTTGGGATCTGGGCCGATAAAGTTGCCTGGGAAGCCGACATCGAAGGGTTTTTGGCTCTCGAGGTATTCGATTTGCTCCGCTGTCAACCGTAGCTTAAGAGCCTGGATGTTGTCTTTCAGGTGCTCAACTTTGCGGCCACCGACAAGAGGGAACACATTTGGTGCTTTAGCCATCACATATGCCAGGGCAACAGCGGTGAGGGATTTGATGCCATGTTCCTTGGCCACCTTTTCAAGCGCAGCACTCATTGCAGCTTCTTCTTCGCTTTGTTCCGAATTCAACATGCTGCGGAGACCCTCTCCCTGAGCTTTCCGTCTTTCAACTTCCTCCTTCGTTTTGAATTTTCCTCCGCCCATGACGTCCCAAGGGGCAAGTGCCATTCCAAAATGGCGGGCCATCGGGATAATCTCCCGTTCAAAGTCACGGAGCATAATATTCCATCTGCCCTGATAGATACTGAAGGGTGTCTTTCCATGGGCTCGAGCATATGAGTTTGCCGCTCCAACAACCCACGCTGGGGTATCCGAAACTCCTAGATAGAGCACCTTTCCCTGTTCCACCAGGATATGAAGACTATCTATGATCTCTTCAATCGAGGTAGTGTGATCCCACCAGTGAAGGTATAGGATATCAATCCAGTCGGTTTGCAGCTTCTTCAATGAATCCCGAACACTCACATGGAGGCTTCGCTTGTGATTACCGCAATGATTGGGGGCCTTTCCTTTGCCAAGCTTGTACGACCGAAAGTCTGTAGTGAATTTGGTAGCAATTACCATCTGATCGCGGTTCTTGCGTTCAGCCATCCATTGCCCAATCCAAGTCTCGGATTGTTCGTCCTGGTAAGCGTTTGCAGTATCAATGAAATTTCCGCCGGCTTCCTGGAATGCGTCAAGAAGTTTGAAGGATTCCTCCTTGCTCATTGAACCCATTGACTCCGCCCACGCATTACCAATGGACATGGCTCCAAGCTGAAGAGGTGAGACGCGAATCCCGGCTGTGGAAGAGAGAACGCGGTACCGCCCCAACTCGGTGGGTGGTTCAGGAGCCGGTTCCCAAATGTCAGGCATGATGAGTGTAAATGATGTAACGGTATATAAAAGCACAGGGGATTGAAATTTGCGATTCGAGGTAGGTCAAAATTGCTTCCAACCTCGAAATATATATAATGTTCGGGAACACATCGCGCGTAGAAACATGATGACGTCACTTTCAAAATCGCACCCTCGACGTCGTCTTCGAGCAGTCAAGCTGTCATTGAGAACCAATCGTCAAAGACAAATCTCGCTGTCTAAAGACTACGTACAGTGGGTCATTGTCATCAACCTGCATTAGTTTCTGCAGGGTCCACAGATCGAACGCGCTAAAGTTGGGCCCACCACAATATGGAGACGGCTTGGAGTACAACTGTGCGTGCCTGAAGATAGGATCACTATTAATTGCCCAGTTCGTGAATAACCGGTCAACTTGTGGATCATTCCAGGTATCACAACATCTAAAAGTCATCTAGGACCCCCATCCTGACTTCCTTCAGCACTTATACTGATTTGAATGTAATTGCAAAAAGAATCATAGGTGTCGCCCCATTCAATTTACCAGGCTGATCACAGTGCAGCTCATAAGCACAAATATCATATTAATATAGATTTCGGACTCGATTTTGTCGAATAATTCCCCTGCAGGTGTTACTTGCCAGCCATGTTCGAATGTCGGAAATTGTCCAATCGGGTTCTAGATGTCATCAAAACGATCCAGACACAAATCGCCTTAAAATGAGGCTAGGCTGTTTGTTTCGCCCCACGCATCCAGATTGTGGACGGTAAACAGGGGAGAAGCATAGAGCGTTTGCATTTCTCTCATCATTAATCGCAGCCTGGAGGGAAGGGAATGCATCATCCGCGCCATGCCATGTTGTCCTTGCACGAATACAATCTGTTCAGAGATTTATCATTCATGCTTAGCATTCTAACGTTTTTACTTGATTCTGGTGGCAAGGGGACAACGCTGGACCCTATCGTCTGCCCAACTCGAGGCAGTTCGGGGACGTAATTGCGGTTCTCGGCAACTCTGCCCATACATCCTATCCTATCATAGATGATATCTTGACCTAAACTGTCCGTTGGCGGTATTGTTATCTTCTTGCCCACATTCGGAAATTGCAACTTTGTGTGAATTTTTGAGGTGATTTGATCGTTTGTTTCAGAACGTATTTGGAAAAAAGCCCCATACTGCTTGTACAGTCAAATCTATCGCTGCTACCACATTATGGGTTGTTCTCGCCGACTTCTACTAAAATGGAGGGTGCATTGACGTACTGTTACTTCATTTCAGGTGGATTCAGCGACCCATCAGAATAGGGCAATATGACGATAAGATAGAATAGTAGTTGTTTCCACGATTAACAAGATACAGAGGTTTCTCGGTCCTAGCATAAATATCCTCATTACATACTAAGTATTCCTCAGCCTTCTAGCCTAAGATAAGCCATATTCAGGTCTTAACAACATGAGCAAAGTCCGTGGGGGGAATAATCATGAACAAGGAATTATGGTAGGAAGTAGGAAAGGGAGACTTCAGGTAGCCACACATCCGCATAGACAGGAGTTGTGAGTCTCAAAAGAACGAATCTTCTCTTCCCTTCCTACTTTACATATATTCTTTCCCATATAGTTTGACTCGGTACTAAGATGCTCCCAAATACTGTCTTTTTGTACAGCAGCATATATCAGTTGATTTCGTCACTTCCAAATCCCACTAGTCAGTCACTACTCTTGCTATAAACAATATCTCTTCAATTCGCAACCTTACATGATTGACGCCGGGCGACGTCTCGTTAGTGCCATGGCAATAATTTTTGAAATTGGTATACTATATTACTTCTCATATGGTGTACGAGATAGTTTACAATGGTAGAACCTCAATCGAAGGATATTTACATATAGGTTATTAAGGAATATTCAAGTTAGCTTTTCTATTGTAAGAGTATACGATTATCAGGTGTAAGGCCTATCAACCGGGTAAAATACGAAGGCTTATTGATTGGGAGGGGGGATCCAAAATGTATTTGTCTCAAGTTATAAGACTACCTCTTACTAAAGGAAATAGGATCCTAAGGATCTCTGGTTTTTTATACTCTAGTAACCTATTTATACCTAAGCCGAGTCCTAAGCCAATTACGAATTAACCCCACTTTGACCCTAGGACATAAATGATATACTTAGATAGATAATTGAGTATTAGAAGTGAAAGGACCTTTATCCTTTATAATAGATAATAGGCCCTAAGGGTAGGGCCTATCTATAGGCCTCTTTATAGAGCCTATTTCCCACTTATATAAGGCCTGTGGGTAATGCACCTACCTATCCATAGGCGATATTATAGTCTAATACCTATAAACTTATAGTTTGATAATAATACTTAGAATAGTTTATCCCCTAAAGTAAAACCATAGCTTAGAGAAAACTTAGAAGCCAACCTAGTAGTGACCCTCCAATTAGACTCACCAAGGCGCTAAGGAGGGTCTAAAGTCAGGATCTTAGACTATGAAGGATAAAGGTCCTTTTACTTCTGATAATCAATCATCCATCTAAGTACGTGATCAATATTCCAGGGTCAAAGCGGTGTTGATTCGTAATCGGCTCGGGACTCGGCTCATGTACGTGCGGGGCACCAGAGCATAAGAACCCAGAGATCCTCAAAATCCTGTTTCCTTCGGCAAGAGTTAGTCTAACCACTTGAGACGAATACATTTTGAATCCCTCTCCCAATCCATAAGCCTTCGTATCTTACCCAGTTAATAGGCCTTACACCTAATAATTTGTATACTCTTATATAGATCCATCAAAAAGATTATATATACATAACCTATCCTAAATAGGAAACATTGTGCTTATGAACCATGTTTTATGTATATTTATATAAAATATCAGGTCTTGGTGGGTCGCTGAACCCTCGGAGGGCCCAAGGTCATAGACCACCCAGAGGGTCACTGCTAGGTCTACACACCTCTAGTTTGTTTAATTATCTGCGCGTGGACTCAATATCTGTATAAGACCTATCGGAGCATTATCTACAGCACTGATACGTCATTTGAATTTTGTGTAACGATAGGAAGTTACGGACCAACCCGAAATTAGACGAATATATCTATACAGCCAACTGATCTGGTGTCGGATACCATAGGCATCTAGGCATATAGATCAAGCATATATGATATAGCATTATGTTTGGCAGTATCAATAGGATCTTAGTATCCTATTCATACTTACTTTCTTTCTCTCTCTCAGTCTTGCTTCTAGATAGAGAATATCATCATCTTCTCTGTCATTATCTAGTTTCTTGTGTAGATGAACAATAAGTACCTTCTTGTCAACAAAAACATGGGCAATAAAAGTCTTTCTATTTGATGGCATTCCACTTGCTAACCTACTATCCCTTTTACCAGGCTATGCAACCAAATTAGGAAGGCTACACAATTTGTGCCAATCGAAGTTTTTTTTAGGTTCTGCAATCATAACTGATCCCTTGCACATCGACGAGAAGTAGCCCTGCACACAGCTGCAAGTAGGGATTGCCATATGTAGCCTACCAATAATCGCAAAAAACCGTATCAAGGCATTACTTCAAAAGCAAGCAGTAGATAGTTTTCTTCTGGCACAACTTTCCCTTTTGAAACTCCAGCACGTTAGAACGTCACTTTAAGGTTTGAATCTTCATTTATTTGCCTCTCTTTTGGATATAATACGTTAGCTACCTACGGGAGATGTTTACCATGGACCCCAATGTGTCGACGTGCTTTACAGTCATAGGCCTTACCGGTGGCGACATGATGACCTTTGCTCCCATGCTTGGGATCTAATATCTCATTGAAATCGTATATAAAACATATAAAAAAGCTCTTTCCCTTTCTTAGTCTCAGCTTTGAATGGCCAGAGTGAACCAACTATTGGGTTTATTGTCTTTTTGAGCTCAAAATGGCCAAACCCATCTCATTTTCGCACATCCCAATAGGGCTTACTTATGGCATCTCAGCCTCTAAACAATGCGACGAGTTTGCCTTTCTAAAATCTGATGCCATCAACAAGAAAGGCCATCCCTCACATAGCGTGATAATCCAACCATCAGAATGGGATCTTCCCTGGCCATCATCATTCCCGGCCGCTCGGCAATGCAAGTATTGGAAAGAGATTCAACTATCCTGTGAACAATATATGCGAGAGGTCCGAGCGCTCAGCATTCAGCTGGACAAAAAGGTGCCGGAAGGATACTGTCGGACGGCTGGCGAGCAGCCGCTGACACCAAAGGAAAGCCTGATCGTCTCGACTGCGGTCGATGCCGCGACCTACATGATACCAAATGCCCCCTGTGAGAGAGTCGAAGTTATAAGCAAATTGTGGATCCTTCTTTGGACACACGACGGTTAGTTGGTCATTGCGAACACAACCCACCCTATGAAATTGAGATATACCATCATCTGACCTGGCTCGAACAGATGTCGTCGAATGCTTCCCCGAAGAAGCGGTAAGCGGATGAATGTTTCGATCGAGCGAAGGTCCAGTGACTAACATGAGTCATGAGTTTACCGTAGTCGACGACATAACTGATTCTCTCCTTCGGGTTTGCCGAGGGCTTGAAGACCTGTCGAGGAACGAAATATGCCTGAAGTTTAAGTTAACATCAGACCTGCTTGGTATACCAGGAGGTTTGACACAAACGGTGCTAGAGACTTTCGCAGATTTCATCTTCTTTACTCGTACTCAGCAAAGGAATGAATTCAAGGACTTGCGAGACTACCTCGATTACCGCGCGATTGATATTGCCATGGAGTACGTTTCTCTTACATCCCTATTGCGATGCAGACTTATATTGACATTTCGAAGCCATATCTTAGCAGCGGTAAGATTCGGCAATGACCTGGACCTGCGCCAGGAAGAGATAGATCCACTTCGTCATTTTAGTGGCTTGGTCAGTGACCATAACATCCTTGTCAATGATCTCTTTTCCTTCGACAAGGAGAAGCGGGCGGCTGTGACTCAAGATGCCCTCCTACTTAACGCCGTCGACTATTTACAACAGAATTTATTGGTGTCATCCGCTCTCGCCAAGGACCACGCCTTGTGTCTGGTCTTTGACGTCGAGTCTCGGCTCCAGGATGAACTTCGCCAGATATCGCGGATGAGAACATTAAGCGAGGCGCAAATCCAATATGTGCGAGCAATGGTCGAATGTGCATCGGGGAATTTACTTTTCTCCGTCACCTCAGTTCGCTATGGAAAAGGTGCCAGTGGTCCTGGATAGAATATAGATTAGTGCTGTCATTTATACTATACGGGGGTACGAGCTATTCGAACTATACTAGATGCAGCGATACACATTAAAATATATCTCGGTGCGTTTTCATTTGACAGTTTACTAGTTCAATAGAAAGTTGTCGGAGTATACGATTAATGATATCAATTGTGGCACATTGAAAACGTTGTTTCTCCGAAACATACTTTTAAAATTGAAATAGAACTTTGTTTATTCCTGTCAAGTTGGATTGATATATAAAATGATACTAACTTGGCCGGGGAAAAAGGCCCCATAATTGTCGCTTGGGGGTGTGGGGTAGTTTTGATTCACAAGGCGAGCGACGATATTTCTCTCTCACGCGTCACTTTGCGCAGTTTCCTGCCCACAAGACTTCAATCCATTGTGTCTTCTGTTCTCTATTAGCCATGCCAACAATTCCCAGTTCAGAGTCTCCATCAGACAGCAATCGCACACTTCGCAAAGCTACAGTCGAAGATATACCCGCCATCAAAGCCATGGTCGATGCCGCCTATTCAAAATATATTGAGCGGATTGGCAAGCCACCAGCTCCTATGACAGAAGACTGGGACGAGACGATTCGCACGCATGAAGTCCTCGTCCTCAGAGACAATGAGCAGATCGTTGGCTCAATCAGCTTCTACAAGGACAAGCAGATGAAATCGCTGAAGATTGACAACGTGGTCGTCAACCCACAGGCGCAATCTCGGGGATATGGATATCATATGGTCAAATATGCGGAAATGGAAGGCCAAAAGCAAGGGCTGCGCAGTGTGACATTATTCACCAATGTGAAGATGTTCGAGAATATTGCGTACTATCCGAAATTGGGGTTCACGGAAACAGAACGAAAAACGGAAGACGGGTTTGAACGTGTATATTTCTATAAGAAGCTTGCTGAATGACGACATCTGTTGACTGCTGAGCCTCACCAGCTTCTTGACAGGGGGATTCTTGGAGTCGAGCCCCACCGTTCGGCTTAGGGGCTAAAATCTCCGGCAAAGTGATTAACAATTACCACCGATGCCCTTAAGATAGAATTACTAGAAGTTCACAGATTACGTAGAAATACCTTCAATCAACATACAGTCATAGATATTCAGATTCGAGAACATAAGTAGCACGTGCCAATACACATGATTCACATGAGATGAGCCCGTCCTTTTTCAAGATATATACATATAAGGTTCCATCATGGAAGAACATTGAGAGCCAGAGGTGAGAGTACAGAGGGAGATAGAAAGGAAGCTCTAAGATAGCATAAAAAGGAGACAGGAAGCGGAAGTAACACCATCGTGAAGAAGCCGTAGGTACGTATTATGGTGGCAAAAAGGAGTGTCGACGGTATCAGATGGCAAGGAAAACATAAATGGTAACCAGTGAAATATGTTCGGTGAAAAGGAAGTAAAAGGGCAAAGTGGTATGAGATAATTCATCTCCGCCATCTAGTACGAGGCGGCCGATTAGAGCCGAAGTCCTCTTTGCTAGAGTGCCCACTCGATACTTCATCAGGGTAAGCAGGCTCGTGGGTGATCTCGATGGTAGTTTCTTGATACACCTTTCCGATCGGTGTCATTTCATGATCTTGGCCGTGGCCGTGTGCGCTTGGCAAAACAATATTATCCATTGAGCCGTCGCGGTCGTCCTCAGTGAAAGTGCCGCCGTGTTTTCGCGTAGGCTCGGCCGTGATTGTAGTTAAATTGTTCTCGCCTCGTCTGCCCCTACTATCGCTGAATTTGTTATAGGAGCGGTCTTGGCTGGGTTCTGAGTCGATGATCAAGTTGCGGCGGGTGAGCGTGTACAGAATGACATCGACCAGCCCGGAACTGGTAATGAAGGCGCCGGCACAGCAGAAAAATATGATGCTGGGCGCAGTGCCGTGGGCTGTCGCCATGCGGCCTGCAGCAAGGGGTAGTGACAGAATGATGTAGACGATCGGGTAGATGGTCATGTAGCCAACGACGCGCCGTAGGCGCTGAAGGCTCGCCAATTGGTTATTTCCGAGGATGGCGGACGCGGCGATCTGTCGGCGCAGCTGGAAGTACATGAAGGCGTAGAGAATGACTGTGCCGAACTCGGCAAGGAAAATCCAAATGTAATGAGTCCATAGACGGGTAGTTTCGTATTCTTCGCTGATCCAGCACCAGGCTCCGGAAGGCACGAAGATGTCGGGGCCGTGCATTGCTATTGGGATCACAACAATCAACGCCACAAAGATCCAGACACCGACAACAAAGCAGACAAAGAACCTGTAGGACATTTTGCGTCCCCAGACAACCAAAAGAAATGTGTGGAAGGCGATGGCGAGCACGAAAAGCCCACTCCCGGGGTCTCCGATCTGCAGCCACAACCCTTGGAGAAAGCATGCGGCGGTGCCAGACTCAATTTTATTCTCCAAAATCCAACGCAGACAAATGATGAATGCAAGCGATTGCAGAAAATCCGCCAGAACAAGGTTGTAAATAAGAATAATGTACTGGTTGTAACCGATATATCGTGTATAGCTGCCACGCCAGAAAACAAGGCGATACGTGATGAAACCAAGGAGCATTGATGTTGCGATGAGAGAAAGGAGTGCCATGATTGAGATTGCTATTAAGCCTCGTCGATGCGACTGTGGAAGAGGGTCGATATCAAGTTCCGCGGAGCTGGTTAATCGAGCCGCTAATGAATGCTCATTGTTTCTGGGCATTAGGCCCATAAGAATGAGTGAAGTCATGGTGAGAATGCCTGTTGCTTTCACTTCCAGGCGCCTGCTATCATTCTATGTTCGAAAGATGGTGGAACTGAAGGCTGTAAGGTGGTGTTCTTGGGGTCACTGTCCAGAGTCCGATCGAGGTTGGGCAATAACTAGAGATATACAAGGCCAAGTAGAATGCCAACAAAGAAATGAGAAGCCAAATGCGGTAACACTGAGGCTACCCCATGCGCTGCCAGTGATTAAAGCCAAAGAACAGCTCCAGGAGGGAAAGAAGCAATAGATGTAAAAATTGAATGCAAGATGTAACGAGATAGAAAGAAGCAACAGCCACACTACTTGGACTGATTGAACTCAAAATTGGATCGGCAAGCACAGAAGAATGAGAGTCGAGCCTATTGAACCTTTTCGGTGCATCAATGGCAAGGTAATCCACGACAATTTTTATTGAAGAGTGGAATCATGGGAATTATGGACACCCGAGAGAAGGAATGCGATCTCCATAATACTCCACGGTCCAGAGTTATCGATCCCTGTATACAACGTATATTGTACTCCGCTTTAGCCTCTCTAGCCATATCCCTAAGTGGGTAATGAGGTACACGTTGCCACGAGACGTCGAATCAGATGTTTCATTATCTTGCCTTGGTTGGCTGACTCCATACCAGCCCACTACACGGGCAAGCCGAACCATCTAGCCTCCAAGAGTACACACTAAAGAAGGGTCTGTGCCGGCTGGAAACGGGGTTGCATACGAAAACAAAGTCTCCCCAATTTTCAGAACCACTAAGAGGGCGCAAAACCCATCCAGAGCCCTCGGGCTCCGGGATCTCCGTCTGAGGGCCAAAGCACACATTGGCTCATTTACCGGGGCTCGGATTGCTAGCGCCCTGAGTTCGCTGCAGGGGCAAGGCTTCTGGAACATTGGTGGGGGGTAAATTGGGACAAGTGTGTGCTTTGTCCTTCGTGGTCTTGGAAACTTGGCATTGTCCTTTCAAGCCCAGCAGGCTCTTGTCTAAACTGACGCGATACCTTCATTATATACGTTTGATCGACACTACATTGGGTCGATATCATCAAATCAATAAAAGACAACACAAAAGAGAATGTGGGCGACAGGGGGTCAGTCCGGGGGACCCTGGGAATTTCATGTGAAGTCCACCCCGCACGAGGTCGGGAATTCGGAGGTGAAGGTTAAGATATTAAACAAAAGGATTATTTAGCAATAGTGGGCATTTTGTGGACATTGGCGGATATTTGACCTCTTGGCCATACCATTGGGCCGGCTTAAGCTTCGATCCGCCTCCAAGTCTCCAGTCACCAGTGAATCGTTGATTTTTAATGGAGTCAACGGGGCGACTCTTTCCCCTTTAAAATTTATACGGCGATCGTCCTGGTATTAATCTTCATACGGGTTATGGTGTCAAGGCATCTGCAGAGAAAATCCGAGGTCACGCGGCCGGGTCTCTATCTGGCCCCTTTTCAACAGTACATTTAACCGGGAGGTGTCCGGAGAAATGCTCCTTATATTGATTCGGTATGATTCTCGCCTAGCGTGAACTAGAGGTTTCCCATAGTGGATGGGATGAACAAGCTCAACTTGCCCACAGGATGATTACGAATACTATGGTTTAGAGCCGCAGCGATCGTCGAATTGGCTATGGCCCACTGGAAAGGAATCTCCGTCCCGAGTCAGAGGATATCCACCAGAAAACCCACAATGTATTGAGGGAATTTTGGAGTGTCTCAGATGTGTGTTAGGGGTAAATCGGGAATAGCCGAGTTTATATTCTAAAGTCCGGTTGACAGCTCAGCCTGTCAACCTGTCAGGTACCCGAACGCTAAACAAAATTACCTAAATATTTTGGACAGCCATGCTGTATATATTTTCCTCGGATTATGGGTACCTGATTTTCAGCTTATAAACGCCATGTCTCATTCGCTTGTCCTTCTCGCCCCGCTTGTTGCCGATCAAATTTCCAGTCACGAAGCACGTCCACTTTGTGCGTAGGCCAAGTAGCCCAAGACTTGTATTTTGAATGATTTGCATATACTAGAATAAGACAAAAGCTTATACGACACCATGAACCTTTTTCACAGGTAAAATCGAGTTCTGCCGGTGGCCCATAGGGTAAAACGGATATCAAGTATATGCCCCTTGACCATCTTTTTTTTATCTGAGTTTCTCCTGACACTATGATAAAAGAGACTTTACTATCCAGCGTGCCTTGGATACTTGGCTTAGTTTCCCTTCCCGATGCCTAAAGCAGGAACGGCAGCTTGCAAGACACGACCTTGAACGGCAGTCCTTCTAACCGATCATGTTCACATCTGAATGAAACACAAACTCTTAAAATATCAATTTTCTCGTGCGCAATACATCCCCAATCAAGCTATCAATAGACAAACTCCCCTCTGGTGAAAATCGCCTACTCGCCGCTAGATATCTGTCCTAGGTCGTGGACAGATATATATAAATTTAGGACGTCATAGTCGAAGATTGGACTGACGGGTCAAGTTCCCTGTTGGTGTGAAGACATCAATGAAGAGCAAGTTACAGTTTTACCCTATCGATACAGCGTGGTTGATTTTCCCTATGATATCTCGATCATACCCTGACGGTTTCGCAATCAATAGCGTGTGATCATGCCTGTGGATTTCCGGATTCTGCAGCCGGAAAGGTCATTGATCTACGTTAACGGGCTTCTTATGGACTTCATAGGAAGGTTTGCCACCGTGACGGTAGGCATGGAGTAGATTATGGGCCCGTCTAGTGATACGACTCGACGACATCTAGCCCCTGGCCCGCGTGCCATGTGATGGACACATACAACATAATTGTTTTTCTACGTCTTAGATATGGATGTTACTCTTTGAATCCATGGCATATGCCTAATGGGTCGGGGTCACCTGAATAGATCTGTGGGCTACTTGCATCAAAGGTCAAACCGTCATGGAGGGTCACAAGAAAGGAAAATCCTCTCGATGAGGCACTGCAACTCCGCCCCTTCGTGCTCATTCGTAGATCCTGGTTCTTAAGGAAGATTCACGGTCTCCACAACCTAACAGCAGGAACATGTGAGAGAAGAGAGGAGGGAGAGAGTTGATTCTGATTCATCCTCAAACTCGACCTATCAACTGATAAGGGCGTGACGCCTGAGGTACCGAGCCACCATCGACAACATTACTTGGACACATTTCCCAACATTACGTCGATGTGTTATATTGCATTGCGTTCACTCCAGGCGAAAAGAGCTGTGTCGGCGGTGGAACTCGAGTACTCTACTTACCAAATATGGTGTGGGAAGATCCAACGCCTCAATAAATACCGCCTTCCAATCATGGTATACCGCCCATTAAGCCTAGATATTATTGATTGATGTTCCCTCGATCTGCCAGCAGAATACTAATCGGGGATGGTACATTTTGCGATGTGAGTGTATTTCTAGTCTTTTTGCTAATCTAGGCGAAATCGATATACCAATCAGGCATCAATTTACCAGGCATCATTGACCCCTGACGTCCAAACAGCGTCGTACTCACGTCGTATACATGTACAATCTTCCAATCAGCAACAAACGTTTTATGACCCTGCCGTAAACACTTCTCCCTCCGGTGCTATCGCGACTCATCATATCACATACCCTCCACGCGTGCGGGGAAAAATGACTGGTGTTGTTGAAGAGGTCGTTAGCTAGCTCGTTGAGCTCCACAAGGGGATGCCTATCTAGGTCCTTGCTCACCCTCCACCGGTAGAAGCTAGGAACATTCTCTGCCAGAGTGGTGGCCTCCTACAGCTGAGAATGCCGGACATGGCCGGGGATTGCCTTGGATCGTGAGGTCAGCATCGCTGCCAGCGAGAAAATGCTAGCAGCGCCGCCCAGTTCCGATGTTTGGAGGTTTACTTGGAACGTGCGCACCATCCAATTCTTTAACTCGATGCTGACAAGGGAGTCGAGGCCAATGTTAGCAAGGGGCTGATCAACCCTGATCTCGTCGATCGGCCGGTCAAGGAAGACGGCGAACTTGGTCAGCGTGGCGTCCCGTATCAGCTGTTCGGCCTCCCCCTTGTTTTCACGCTACCCAGAGCCCCTTTCAAGTCAATCTTGTCAGACTCTTTAGGCCCCGCAGCTTTCTTTGTCTCGGAATGAATCAGCTGACTGAAGACGGGATTCTCAAGAAGGTGCTTGTCGTTGGCGTCCAACATGGACTGGTATGTCACACCCTGGATTGTTTGATGCATGTCGCTGGTCATGGCATACTCGATATGAGCGATGAAATCATCAATTGAGATGTCCATAACACTATTTTGCCGGAGAGACGCCCTCATTCCTCCGATGGACATGTTGCCTTGTGCCTCTCTAGTGGCCCCGTGCGCCTCAACCGAGACGGCACCCACGTTGACAGAGAGATAGTGCGTGTGAGGGTGAGCAGAGTGCGCCAGAGCAAAGGCGTCCTGAAACCCATTTCCGGCGGCGTAGTTTGACTGACCAGCCCTGCCAACGACAGCTACGACCGAGGAGAGAGTCAGAAAGAAGGCTAAATTACGCGAAGCAAAGAACTTGTCAAGATTGAGGGTCCCGAAGACTTTAGGCTGAAGTGGTAGCTTCCACTGGTCGATGGTCATCTGGGCAAATGTCCGGTCCTATGCTGAGATGTTAGAGTATGGTATCAAACTGAAATGCTCAAGCAATTGATGACTTACACTAAGTACCAGAGCGCCATTAACCACACCCCTGACAGAGGGCAGCCTGGTGCAGTACGACGCAGCGCGCTTCATGCTCTCTTCGCCCGTGATGTCGCACTGAAGGATGTGAAGCTCAGCCCCGTGTTCCCTGACCGCAGCCATGTACTTTTGTTTCATCTCCTCGTCGAGAGCGCGCCGGGATAAAACCACCACGTGCCCGGCGCCTCGAGAGGCCAGAAATACACAGACCCGCGAGGTCAGATCGCCGAGACCCCCGGCCACAACATAGGTACCATCCTTACGTGCCTGTAGCGGCTTGGGCTTGGAAGGTGAGCACTTGACCGTGGACGCAGGAAAGGCCTGGAGGACAACCTTGCCGGTATGCTTCCTCGAACCTAGAAAGTGAAATGCATCCTCAATTTTATGAATGGGGTAGATAGTGATAGGGTGTATGGGACGCAATACACTGGACTCAAGGAGGCTGATGATGTCGCTCAAAATTCGATGGACGCGCCCGGGTTTTTGCGCTGACAGTGTTTCCAGATCAAAGGTGTGGAACGTTATCAACCTGTCAAATGCAGCCATGCTCAGCTGGGAGTCTTGTTGCATCTCACCTTTCCCCAGCTCAATGAATGTTCCCCCGGACTTGACGCAGTCGAGACTGTCCCTGAGGGCCTCTCCTTGAGCACCAGATCCACTCCCTCACCTTGGGTAAGTCGCATGATACCCCCCTTGAGTGACCTGGCCCGGCTGGAGAAGATGTGACTTTCCGGGATGCCGTATTCGTTCGTAACCAGCTTTCGCTTCGCAGCCGTGCTCACTGTGCAGAAAACGGTCGCTCCGATATGCTGGGCGAGCTGAATGGCCGCCTGGCCCACGCCCCCAGACGCGGCGTGGATCAGAACTGACTGGCTCTTCTCGAGGCGGCCTGTCTCGATGATGCAGTGATATGCCGTCACGTAGGCGTGCGGAATTGATGCCGCGACCGTTGTGGACATCGAAGTGGGCGTTTTGTGAGCCTGGTATCCATGGATACGCGACACGTTGCTGAATGGCTGTGAGCCGAAACCCATGACGCGATCGCCTACCTGGTACAAATCATACATATCTCCGCCCACAGCCGTCACGACGCCGGCAAACTCGCCGGCCATGTGGGCGCCGGGACCCCTCTGACCAAGGGCGAGGCCGACATCTTTGTAATTGAGACCGTGGGCCTCGGTCTTGACCTCTATGTGAGATGGCCTAAGAGGAACCGACAAATCATCGTCAACGAAGCGCAGCGAATTAAGTACTCCTGGTATCCTAACCTCAGCCTTGAGCACTCGGTCTCCCTGATAGGGAACTGACTCTGTCTCATCCGAAGCTCCCAGCCACGTACCGCGTCGGGCCCACCGCATGAATTCGGTATCCGCCTTGATACGGGGGATCAGAACGCGGTTGTCCTCCCAGGCAAACTCTGGCTCCAAAGACGGCGCATCGTCTGTGCCTGGCCAGAAGCGCCTCCATGCCACGTTGGCGATGACCCGAGCCGTCATCTCCGGGCTTTGAGCGGGTTGGCGGATATCAAGGCTGACGAGGCCAGTGCTGTTGCTCTCCCGCCGGAGAACACGGATCCAGGCGTTGACCAGTCCCTTGTAGGCCAAGGCAGCGGGGTTAGCGTTTCCTTGGAGAAGAACCCATAGGACTCGACATCTTGCGCTCAAGAGGGCTTTGATGGCCTCAAATAATTCGGGAGGGGGGTCAAGGAGAAGCCGTTTCTCCGCATGGTCGAAGATAACATAGAGGCTCTCTTCCTGGGCTTTGACTTGTCCCCACAGGCACTCTTTGGTATCAATATTGCGGGAGGCAAATTCCGCCGCCGCCTTTGCCGCATGTTTGTCAACGCCATCTCTGATCAAAACGATGTTGTGCCTGGAAAGTGTCCCGTTCCTTGGCAAGGGATCAGCTTTGGCTACCATCATGCATTCCCAAGATATGTCGATTCCCCCAAATCCGTTCCTTTTCAGAACATCCTGCCACTGGTTGCGGAACAGCAGCGGACCGTCGACTCTGAAATCATCCTCGGGGGTCCACCATCCGGTCAGTGAGCCACCAACGAGACTGAACACCGTACTTCTCGGCTCTATTTCAACCAGGACTAGGCTACCCCCCGGCTTAAGCAACTTTCGTACGCGGCTAATCGTCACATCAATGTTCCTCGTCGCGTGTAACACGTTGGCAGCAACCACAACGTCATAGGACCCGGGGTCGAAGCCCTGCTCGATGGGATCCGCGTCTACGTCTAGCGTCCGGAACTCCATGACCTCTTCCCATTTAGCAAATGTCTGGCGCGCGTGCTCGAAGAATCCGCTGGATATGTCCGTAAATGTGTACTTCTCGATAGGGAGGCCAACGGCGCCGTTCTGGCCAGAAAGACCGCGAAAGAGCCATTTGGTGCAGCCTCCGGTCCCAGCACCGACCTCAAGAACGCGAAGGCGCGGGCTTTTAAAGGTAAGAACCTTCAGGTATGCCACTGCGGCTTCATAGGGGCCAACGAGAACACCACTCTCGTAGTACCTTGATAGGAGGTTCCCTTCCAGCATGACGTCCAAAGGCTCAGCATCGCCAGTCAAGATGCGAGGGAGAGCCTTCCCGACGCGGGCAAGGAGTTGCAGCTGGGCTGAGGTATCAGAAGACTCGATTCTTTGTAAAACGCTTTTCTCTTCTTCCGGAGTCAAGCCTGATGTGATATGACGGCAATAGTCCGAGGATAACCACCTCTTCATCCAGCCAAAGAATTTGGCTTGCTGAAGCGTCACTATGCCAGCGTTGCTTTCCTCTACATATCGCACGGCATCGCGAACCCAAATGGACGAGGCCTGATCCGTAAGAAGATATTCCTTGTCTGACTCCTCAATGGACACCTTAGTTCCGTCGAATCCGTGTGTGGTAGTTTCTTCTAATCCTAGGGTAGACGAGAGAACCTTGCGGAATGAACTTCCTGTCATAAAGTCGGCGTCAAGGTTCCACTCGAATCGATTTACGGTATCCTGAACGACATTCGGCTCGTCTTCCTCGCGAGTCTCACCAATGGCTCTCAAATGGACAATAAGTCGAATAACCGGGCTGAGATGGCCATCCACATCCTTCTGGAACACCCAACCCTCTCCCCTGGACGCTTTCGGGCCGTCAGCTTGGATCTGCATGGCTCCAGTCAGGATGTTCCCTGTCGTGGTAGAGAGGCTGGTGTTAATTTCCAACAACGGGATCCTCGTTGGAACACATGCGCCATTGGTGACAAATTTCTTGAAAAGGACTGCATTGATCTGTTGGGTAGCGTCTAGGGTAGTTGGATGAATAACATGAGCCCTGAAGGACTGGTATGGCATCAAAGAAGCAATTTCTGGTGTGCAGACTTCGAACACACCCCGGCTTTTGCCGTACCTGGCTGCAATGATGGGAGTAAAAGCACCGCTAAATTCGTTTCCTGTCAATCTTGCAAAGTCGTAGAACTCCGACTTTGTCATCTCTGTGTCGCAGATTTGCTGGGAAGTTGCTAGGAATTGCCTGGCCTCTTCTCGGCGCAGTTCCTCCTCCCTCGTCCCCTCAACCTCGTCATGTTCATCCGTCTCGTGCTCGACCGCGATCTCACCGAAGCAATGCTCGCTCCATGACCCGTCAGCGTTGTATGACCTGATCCGGAATGACTGCCAGCGGCTGCCTTCGTACTGGTTCGCGGCTGACATGCTCAGTTGGACTTCCACCTCCCCGGAGCTGCTGTCATCCGGCTCGCTAAGGACAATGGCCTTGGGTATCGCCACGTTGCGGAGGACAAACTTGGCAATGGGGGTTTGCAGGCCTCTCATCTGCACAAGCTGCTTCATTGCCTCCATGGCCATTGTCAGATAGCCTGCACCAGGATATAGTGTGAATCCCTCAACTATATGGCCTCGGAGCCAGGGAAGGCTGTCTAAGTTGATAAAATACCTCCAGCGCGGTTCATGAATCGTGCTGGCTGGGTCGAACAGGCCAAGGAGATCGTGATGTGGGAACTGACGAAAGCGGTGGGCCTTACTGAGCCTCGACTCGCGCCAGAACGGTGCAAGGTCCCAGGGATATAGTTTCAAGTCTCTGATGATCTCTGGTTTTGTTTTGTCGGACATTGTGAGCACCGCAGTTATGTCGACCTCAAGACCAAGCTCGAAGACTCTGCCAACGAGCGCCAGTATAGACTGTGTAGCATTGGCATTGCGTCGTAGAGCAGACAAGTACTCAAATCTGAATTGCCCAGCACCATCCTGTGAGAGAGTTTGGCGAGAAGGGCCTGCAAGGGCGGAGTGTGGGCCGATTTCTATAAAGACGCTCATGTCTATGCTGGCATCGTGCTGGATCTGGTCATTTTGTAGCTGAGTCAAGGCCTGACTGAACTTGACTTGCGACACCAGGTTGGACGCCCAATAGTCGGAAGCAAAGCCAGCTGACTTGATGGCACCTGTGACGCTGGAGTAGAAGATCACGCCGTCCCTCAGTCCAGAGGGCTCGATACTGCCGAGGGCGTCTTGATAGTCTTGCGCCACACACTGCATGTGGTGTGAGTGATAAGCCGTGTCAACCCTCAGTTTCCGGGCGTATATGCCCTCCTTATCAAACATTTCCTTGAGGTCATCAATGGCGGTTTCGTCTCCTGACAGGGTCTGACTCAATGGGCTGTTCACGCATGCTACAACGGCCGCCCCGCGCGAAATCCTTTCGAGGTACAGCATCGCTTCGGTCTCGTCCATGCTAACCGCCATCATGGAGCCAGGGACACCAGCCATCCTTTTAGCTTTGGCGGAAAACACCCCCCCGCTGGTAAGCTCTGTTGATGATTAGCGAAAGACTGCGCCATATACATAAATGTCTTGCTTACATGATAATCGCACTCTCACGACTCAGGGCACCAGCTGCATAGGCGGCAGCAATTTCACCGGAACTGTGACCCACGACTTGACTTGGCCGTATCGAGAAGCTTTCGAGAAGATCCACAAGTGCAATCTGAATGGCGGTGGTTGCAGGCTGTGCTATCTCTGCCTCGCTGATCCGGGAATGCTCAGACGACTTTGAAAGCTCCTCCAAGAGACTCCACGGGCAGCCTTGCCGGCGCAGCACATCTTCTAAGGCTGATATTGATAGTTGGAAAACATGCGAGGAGTGGATAAGTTCCAAACCCATTGCATGCCACTGTGCTCCTTGCCCGGAGAATACAAACGTGACAGGGGCAATTGACACGGTTCTCTTCTGGAGCTCTAGTGCTTCCAGCTCAGCCACAAGTTCCTCAGTTGTCGATGCGACAATGGCTTTTCTGTATGGAAGAGCCGATCTGTGGACTCCGAGCGTGTATGACAGGTTGTGCAGAGTTTGTGGCGCTATCTGGTGAGAGTTGATCCAGAGGCGAATGTCTCCGGCGCGCGATAGCAGCGCTTTCTCAGTCGATGCACTGAGAACAATCAACTCCGGACATTGTGATGTTGTGTTGTTCAACAAGGAGGCCCGCCTGTTACCCAAAAGCTCGTTTTTCATCCTATTCTTGTGAGTCGTATCGGCTCCATTAGCAGTCCTTTTGTTGATACCAGTTACATTCACTTTCTCATTAGTGTCGGCAGCCTCGAGAATAATATGGCAATTGGTCCCCCCGTAGCCAAAAGAGTTGAGAGACACCCGCACCGGCCCACCATGACGGGGCACTGGGAGCTTCGTAAGTTCTGTCGGTATCTGATAGACATTAGCTCAGACACTTGGGGCCAACATAGCAGGCGAACCTTGATATTTCTCTCGTGGAGCTTCAGGGATGGCTTTGGCTGGATGAAATTCAAGTTCTGGGGGATGAGGCGATGCTTCAGCACAAGAATACATTTGAGCAGGCCGGCAATGCCGGAGGTAGCCTCGAGGTGCCCGATGTTTGGTTTGATGGAGCCGACGTAGAGGTCGTCGGTCCTGGCAATACCCTCACAAAAGACCTTCGAGATAGATGCGATCTCTTCTCGGTCGCCTACTTGAGTTCCCTATTCAGAGTCCTGTCAGCCCAGATCCATTTTACCGTACATTATACATACGGTGCCGTGAGCCTCGACGAACGATGTGTCTGCAGGGTTCAATGCAGCCTCTCGGTATACACGCGAAGACAAAGCAGCCTGGGCGTCGCCACTGGGAGTGTTGAGGCCGGAAGTCTTTCCGTCTTGGTTTGTACCAGAGTTTGCAATGACGGCATGCACTCGGTCCCTGCTCTACTTGTCAACAAAAGACATACCGTGCGCGATCTTGCACCATCTTACCCATCCTCGATTGCGCGGTCCAAACGCTTAAGAACAACCGTGGCTACGCCCTCGCCGCGTCCATAACCTTCGCCTCGCGAGTCAAAGGCATAAGACTTGCCATCTGGGTTGAGCATGCCCATGCTGCTCAATATGTCAACATCAGCACATGCGGCTAACTACATACTCTGAATCATTTTCAAAGTCTGTCCAAAGCGCAAACTGGAAAGGGGGTCTAAGTGCATAGGAAACCAACTCACTGATGGAAAGAGCATCAGGGTGGATAACAAGTTGCGAGCCACCAACCAGGGCAAGATCTGACTCGCCCAGCATGAGACTGTGGCATGCTTGATGAAGGGCCACCAGACTTCCGGACTATACGCCGTTAGTGTTGCGTTTCTCACAGCGTTACAATACCTTCTTACGCAGCCAGTATCAATAGTCATAGATGGTCCTTTCAGGTCAAAACAGTACGAGATTCTGTTCGAGAGGACTTCAACTGTGTGAGCAATATGACAATCTGGCGGGCTTCTTGAACTTACTTGCTTCCCCTGTCCCGTTCATATGCGTATTGCTAATAGTGGACAGGTCCTTGTGTCCCATCCTGTCGTAACTTCTCTCAAATATGCTAGCAAAGACACCGGTATTCGAGCCTCTCAATGTCTCGACGGGAATGCCGGCATCTTCCAATGCCTCGTACGTCGTCATTAGGAACAGACGTTGCTGAGGATCCATTGCGTGCGCCTCGGAGCTCGAAATCCCAAAAAACTTGGCATCAAACTGCGAGATATCGTCTTCTAGGAAGAATCCGTGCTTAGTGATCATAGATTGTTTTGCATCAGGGTATGCATCAAACCACTCCTCCGCAGCCCATCGATCCGTCGGTATTTCTGTCCACCCGCTGCGGCCCTCTGAGAGGAGCTTCCATAGTCTGTCCAGATTGTTGGCCCCTCCAGGGAGCCTACAGCCGACGCCGACGATGGCTACAGGAGCTGGTCTTGGATACATGGCTTGAAAGTAAAAGGCAATCAGAAGATGAGACTTAAGAGAACAGAATGCGTTACCAAGACTATCCCAGTGCCAACTCGACGAAAATGTATGGTGTTTATATGCGTTGGCATCCTATGCAGTACTTCTTAGCTAGGATTTTTGCAGGACATTACCCCCCACGATTGAGCTGGACTTCCCGTCCTAACTCGGTGAACTACGCGCGGAACCTTGTTTCTGGCAAGCCCCCCGTACTGCGATGCTGTATAGCTATTAAGGTTTAACATATACTTTTGGGGTATACATTGATATGTTGGGGTACCTTGGTGGCTAGATCAGCACCGCGTCCTACACAGTGCCATAACTACGATGTATTGTGAACCATTTACGCAGGTTCATAGTGGCCAGAGGTACTCTCTACCATTGCTGACATGCCAGGGTATTGATATACGTCCACCAAAGCGAGTTTGATGAAGACAATTTGATCATTAGCAAGGACTTCTATCCTATGTCTTGTGCTGGGCCAGACCAGGGCGTGAATATAGCATAATTCAGTGCCCAGTGTTACCTGAAATACTTGATTTACCAGTAGCGTGGAAGAAAAGGACACACTACTGACTCCGAGATCTCGTTTTGATCATCTAACACCTCTAACCAATACTGAGAAATGTTGGTTTTGAAGATCATAGCACTTTCCGGCACCTTCAAGAGCTCGTGTTGCGTGAGTTTCTTTGGAAATTAGTTTCGCATTGTCCTAACTCTCTAGACGCCACGATGACTGGCTGAGATTGACGCATACAACATCCTCGAGCACCTTTCGGTCGTAACATGCAGCCGACGCCTTGTTATTACCGGATTTTATCCGAACTTTATTATTAACTGCTTAAAAACTATATACAGCATCTTGTTTGAAAATGTCTTCCTAGCCATTCTAGGAACTTGAAGCGTCATAACACAGCAGTTGCACGCTTCTGGCCCTAAGTCCGATCCACCCCAAGGATAACGGGAAGCAATTGAACACAGTCTGCCATATGCTGCGTGAGATCTTCATCTTCTCGAGTGGCATCAAGCAGAAACTGCTGTTCACAAGCACAAAAAAGGCTCTTAATGACTCGGCTCGCCCTCTATGGATATCATTCTATTATGCGTGCATCTATCAACCACAGTGCTCACGCGTTACCCCGAAAATTTTGTATGACTATCCGTCCTAGCCGAACCACTGATATTACCAGTATTCTACTCATTCTCATCCATAGCCATCGAAGCCCACCCACGTGGATTCTATCACGTCTTTGATAGTATACACCATCCGCAACATCACCGGACCCCATCCAGCTTCATACCAGCCAACCGACCCATCCCCATAATGGATTTGGACATAGCCATAGTCTACCTGTTCGTCGGACGTTAGGTCCTCGCTAAGACTATGTCGCCTGGCACGCACTTACACAGGCTCCTATTTGTGAATTGAAGCCTAACATCGATGTAGTGCACGCCATAGTCAATCACGGGACTCCTCACATCCGGAAGTACAGGCTTATAGATATCTCGGGAAACACCGCTGGAGTGCCGATTCTGGTTTATCTGCATCAATATGACGGGCCAAGTTGTAAAGCCTGGTGGATGATTACCACCCAGCTGGAACGGTGTCGGAGGATATAGCCGATCACGAGCTTGCGATTCGTATGTCGTGCTGTTACCATAACGCGCGGTGCGTCCGCTACGGTTGCTGCCAGGGGCTAGTCAGCGAAAACACTTGCCCTGCTTCCATTGCGGCTATGGCGTAGCTGGCATGCTTGGCAGTGATGATCGACACGATATTCAGTCTAAGAGGGACGCCCTCGTCAATATATCATTTTGTTTTGTGTAGATGCTTTCACCATGTGTTCGCCAGGCGAGGTTCACCCTATTACCACTCGTCTTTATACGGGTTAGCTGGGGCGACATTGAAAGAGACTCTGGAGGCGGCCGAGAGTTGGTGATAAGAAAAAGTAATTATTGGAATACGTAGATCCAGTTATCTGATATTGCACAGTACTAACAATTCAACCGCTGAGAGATACTGAATCAAACTTGTATCATAGCGCGAGTGAACGGCCGGCGTTAGGTCAGGGGAAGCTCATAGCATTCATCAATCATGAGAAAACAAAATACAAAAAGTGTGGAGAGCCAGCAGGCGAAGCGCGGAAAAATGAAGCAAAAGCGCAAGCAAAAAAGAAAAAAAAACCCCCAAGGCAACAAAGTAAAGCGGGTATCATGAGTTCGTCAAGCCCATTGCAACAGCAACAGTTATATCCATATCCCATGCTATCCAGACAGTTCTCGAAAGATTTCAACACTGCATGTAGGTCCAGAAGAATAGAACCTATTCCATTCCACCCTGGTGCCGATCTATCTGCGCCTCGAGTTCCGCGTATCTCGACGACCAAGACCGTCATCTTCCTCGTCTTCTTCCTCGACAGGCGCGGGTGTGCGTCGCTCCGTGCGTCTCTTGGGTCGACGACGCCGGTTCGAGCTGATGTTACTCGCCGAGTCATCGGGCGCAAGAGATCGATCGTCATCGAGGAAGTCGTCTTCGCCGCCACTTTCCCATGCACCGACGCCTGAGAAGGGTGTGCCAAGGCGCGCTTCGACGAATGAGCCGCGGCGGCTTTGGTTTGCAACCGACAAGCCGGCACCGCGTTCGCGCAAAGCGCGCCGCACAGCTTCAGCTTTGCAGTGGAGGGCTTCAAAGGCGTCTTCCAGGGCTTCCATCCCGAGGAAAATGTCACGTTCGACCTCTGCCAACGCGGCTATTTCGGTTTCCTCGTCTAGAGCGATCGGTCCACCGAATGTGGCGGGACAGGTGGGTCCGTTCACTTGGCTCGAAGGTCGGAAGCTGCCGTCCATGTAGTTTGGTGTTGGTCCTCGGGAGATACTGCCGCCTAAGGGTGTGGTGGAGCGACTGGCGTAGCGAGACCCAGCGGCATTCGCGGCGGGGCTGTCTTCTGCGCCGCTGCGGAGGAATCCATCAAAGCGGCCAGAGATGAGTATTTCCCACTCGTCATCACTGATGGCGGAAAGCGTGGCAAGAACATGGTGGAGAGTGGGGTTATTCAGCATGTACATAGCAGTTTCTGGGTCACGAGGGAGAGAGGACAGTCGGTAAAGTCGCTGGATGGCTGAGGCCGACGAGATGAGCGCCGAGGGCTTTGATCGAGGTTTTTCGTCGTCGGATCGCGGGACAGGAGTTGAAGAGTTGATGCCGAGCAAAGAGCAGAACAATGAGCGCTGGTGAGGTTCAAGGTGCGTGAGCATGGCAAAGGTCAACGTCTCGTCGTCAACCTCATTAGGAGCGCTGGTGCCTGGATCATTCTGCTCAGAGAGCCATTTGTCGACAGCGACCTTTGTCTTTCGAGACTGCCGTATGAAGTGGGCGCGGTACTCTTCGGGGACATCAACATCAAGCTTCTGCATCGGAATGTGCTCGTCGCCTGGTGCACCCGTATCCACGGCCGTTGGTGCCATAGTGAAGGGAGGCCACATGGGAAGCTCCCTACGGCCAGAAACGAGCTCTAGAACCTCGCCCCAGCTCACTCCATCCGGTTGGTCGTCTATGTCCGCTTGGTCGCATATCTGGCAGTTACATGGCTCGGAAGAGATGTCGCGCGCGAACACCGCTTCGAGACGATCCAACAAACGCCGGGCAACTGACCGGTAGCCCGTCGCAACAGCAAGAGATCCATTCTTATTCATAACTTTTTGGTAGTCGTCCAGTAAACGGTTATATGGATCGAAGATTTTGCCAGCGATAGCCCGGGAGTGAGGCTGTCCTTGCGATAATGGATCCTTCTGTCCGAGACTAGCCAGCAGTGCTCTCGAGACCTTTGTTTCCAGACCACCATTTTTCAGTAAGTAATCGACTCGAGGGATCGTAGCGGGCATTTCGGGCGGAGGTGGAGGCGGCGGGGGTGCACCGAACGAATGCGGATTCGCTGGTTTTACAAAATCGATCGATTCTTCGCTATTCATGCGGTGATGGGACATGGCCGATCGGTTCTGGGTGCGAGAAGGAGGTTTCGTAGGCGGGGTCATGGGTTTTCGTGGCACTGAATGCTGCTGGTTGGGGGCAATAGACGTCGCATCAGATCCGTTAGCTGACTCTGCGCCGGTCTCACGGAGCGTGATGTTCGACTGTGAGGCAGACATCGTCGAGCGACTTGACCGTTTGGGCAGTTTCCTGTCATCGGGCACCTTCGTCTTGGACCTGGAGCTCGATGACCGAGGTAAAGGCTCACTCTCATCCTTGGTTGTTCTGGATTTTGAGGGGGTCTCTGTCTCCGTTCGCGACGTCTTACTGGACTTGGACTTGGTGCTATCATCCCGTTTCGACCGGAGACTCGACGATGACCTGTTGACTGAGGCTCTGATTTTGATACTTGGTTTTTTGGGTTTGTCTGTCTCCTTCTCATCCTCATTCACGATACTGCCCTTCCTTGACTCTTGGTCGAGCCCGGTTAGGGGTGGACTAGGAGGCGCATGGTGATTCTCATGACTCTTCCTGTCGTCATTTGTCAAATCGGTCGGGTCCGGCGTGGGGATATTCGGTTTTCGAACGCCTTCTCTGCTGTGAGCTTTCGAGAAAGTAGGATACGGTAGGCTAGATCTCGACTCGAGGAACGAGGCCTCCGATCTATCAAGTCCAGGCATGGAGGACCTTCGGGAAGTGGATGAACGAGCCGTGGTAGGATCCTCTGGGTCCTTGGTTGAGGTCTTTCTGTTTGTTTTGTTTGTTTTGGCCTTGGACTTCCTATCGTCGCGGTTTAGTCTAACAGGAAACATGACGAATGGTTGTAGATCCGTAAAAGGATCAGTCGTCGGTTACCTGGCTAAACTCGCACGGAGGGGAATGTGGTCCTATTTTTGTCTCCAATTATCCTGGCGCTTAATTCAAGTCGTGACTGGTCGCTTAAGGGGAACCAACTCCGGCATTCCGTGGGGAAAAGGGATGAAAAGTAAGGAAAAAGAAAAGCTCATTCAGGTACGACGCATGAAATGGAAGTAAAAAGAAATGCACTACGGTGATTATGCGGTGAACGATCTTGGGCCCCGCTCTTTAACTGACGTTGCTGCGTGGAAGCCTAAAATCCCGAGATATATATCAAGAGTCGCCTTCTCTCAGCTGACTTTTCTGGGGGAACACGGCAAAATTCTACAGCCTGAGGCAACTCTATATTCTTATCATTTACATAGTAGTTGGGTTAGAATTCTGATATTGCAAGTTATCATGTACATCAACACTAAGAATCAATCTGATTCATGTAATCCATTCACAGCCTTGACAGGGGAGGTCTCTAGTACCCAACTCCCCTCTTCTTCATGAGCCACCCCTCCACTCTGAGCCGCTCTCATCATCTTATCACTCGCAAGGGTCAAATCACCTGTGTTGTAATCCCAAATCCATCCTTCCTTCAGCCACATCCATGTAAGATAGGCACGTAGCTCTTTGTCATGTGGTAGAACGCACTTCCATTCAGGCACGAATCCGACCTCTGTCGCACCCGTCCCTTTCCAGTCAGAGGCTGTCCCCCGTAGCTCATCGCGACAAAAGATCCTCCAGCTATCGAGGGAATATGCTCCAACTCCGGGTAGATGTGCAATCTCCCACGCGACTCGCAAATCTTCTTCATCAATGCATTCCTCACGACCAACGTTTCGACCGTCCATGTTTCGTGGGTAGTGGAGCTTGCGGTATCTCTTGCTTTTGTTCGGGGGTCTGATAGCCATGTTTGTGCTAGTGTGATGCATTTCCTGGCGCGTTGATTTTGGAAGCCCAAGCAATTTATCATTGAGACAAATTCCGCTAAGTCTGCTTCTGCCATTGCCTCAATTGTAGGATATCGTTCGAAAACCTTGAACAAGATCGGTAGAGCAACGCCGCCGCGGGTTCGATTGAGAAATATGGTTGCAATGAGTAAACGAAAGGGGTCATGTGCAAGCTGTTCCTGAATGAGTCCAAAAGAAGGCGCATTAATAGGTGGAAACGGGAGGCAAGATTCAGGATCAACTAGCACACGGGGGAAATAAGGGGAGTGCTTCAGTGGTTTGGCTTGAGGGGTTTTGATGGGTTCCGGGTTAACGAAAGAGGTGACTTTCACAGGAGTTTCAGGGTCAGGGCTAGGGGTTATGGATTGGGATACAAGACAGGGGCTCTTCGGGGGTGATAGCGTGACATCAATATGCGAAGGGGCATCACACAGATCATTCCAATCTGAATCAGAATCGAAATCACTCGGCACATCACTCAAGGAAGAATCTGATGATAAAAAGTCCGAGGGTAGATTGAGATCGTTCAACATCTGTCGGGTTTCGGCGAGAATAGACAACTTGTTCGGCGAGCAAGCCATTTCCCGCTTCCTTTTCGAGCCGACTTTGGGGTTGCCGGCCCCTAAAAAATACTTAGACTGAACCTCATCACTTGGAGTCACACCTGGCAAATCACTGGTCATCAAAAATCCGTGTCCCACAGAGTTGGATCGGCGGGTAGCGAGGGATGACTGGAGCTTCGTCTGCTTCCATCGAAGCCCTCGAAAGAGGTTTGCTGGGGAGTGGAAGGCGGAATTCGGTCCTTTCCATCAATGGAGTCAACTTCAGCTTGTTTCTCTGCACTATGAATGGCATCATCTTGGGATTTTCTCTGCTCAACCGAGAGGTTTCGATGTTTGTTCCGTTCTCTTCTCCGTTCACGCTTGCGCCTATTCTTTTCTCTTTGTGTTTTGTTGCCTGGCTCACGACGTTTCAATGGCTTAGTGTCGACCGGCTTTTCAGGCTCCGGATTCTGAGAAGTGAGCTCCTCATGGGACGGAGATTCGGTCGGGTCCTCGTGTGGGCTAGGGCTACCCCCGATAATGTCCGCGGACAGTATGGGTAGGTCCGGCGTGTTCTCCTTATGTTTTTGTTCATTCAAATGAGCGTAGATAGTATCCCGCCCTTTAGTAGAGACACCTGCAGGGACATGCGCTTCCACTACTTCGGCTGGCTCATCATGCTGCAGAGCATCGTGGCTGTGACGTCTTGGCTTATCCGAGTGACGCCTCTTGCTCTTCTTGTGCTCTTTGTCTTCGCCGTGGTCTGTGCTGCTCTTGCGTCGCTTTCGGCGTGTTTCTGCCTCTCCATCTACTTCATCCCCAAATGCAGAGCCGGCATATTTAGCTGGCGCAATCTCACGGTCCTCAAGGAATGTGTTTCGAACGTGGTCAATCAAAGCATCGATGGATGTGTCGTTCATCCCAGCCTCCAAAGCAACCTCGCGCACTTGACCAGTGAATCTCCGCCTGGCGGAACGTTGAACAGGTTGGACCTGCTCGGTCATGAAAGAATGTGAGACAATGAACTTCATCACCTCCATCTGCTTCTCTGGATCCACTGAAACAAAGATTTTTTCTTCGGCTGTCATTTCATTGTCATCAATTGAAACTCCAGGGGACCCTGTCGGTTCTAGAAGGTTTTTGTCCGCCTCATGAATGGGATACGACTCAAGTTCCACGATGTCCCTCTCATGCCGGGGCTGTGTGATGTCTTCAAGGCCCACAAAAGCTTCATTGTCACCGTCGAGATTCTCCATCGTTACATTCTTCCTTGTGCTAGAAGATCTTCTAGACTTCGGGTTCTTTGCCGTGTTGGTTGTAGGCGAGGAGGAGGTCGAGGTAGTAGAAGAATGCGGCGACTTGGTTTCGGTCCGTCGGCTTCGACGAACGTCGAGCTTGGAAGAGTCAGACGTGCCGTCATACCCAAATGGACTCGATATGCCGATATCCCCATCCATCATCTCGTCCCGGGATTCCTCGATGCTAGCTTCCTCAGACAAGATGTTGTCAACAGCACGGTCAAAGAAGTCTTCATCAAAAGTCTTGAGTGGGTCGATGTCGAAGGAAGGCAAAGGAACAACAACCGAGATGTTACTGAGACGCGCCATTGTATTGCTGATGTCACAATAGATGGCAGCTTGTCTAGGGTAGGAAGTTGGGGAAGTTCAAAAGGTTTGTAGACATATCGGGGGGGATTAGTTTGTTAGATGTGAACTGTTTGGATGGAAAATATCTGGTTAATGCAAGCTAAAAGATAGAAAAAGAGCAAAAAGGGTACCTTTAAGTCTCCTTCGCGAGTCAAATGCCTGATGCTCTCGAGAAAGTCGCGAGGAAAGCTTTCGAGCTCCCTTTGACGCGGGGGTGGTCAATTCACGTGTAAACTTGATAAGGTGACGCGATGTCGTGTCAATGAAGCCAGGAAATCAAAATTAAGCTAGAGGCAAGTTCAGACGAACTTTTAACGTCAATGCAGACTCTTTAAGGGAGAAAGAGAAAAGCGAGCGAGTCGAGCTCTCTACATCAAAAAAGGGAAGATTGAAAGCACAGACCATCCGATAAAGAAAAGCCAATCTACCAGGCGCAGGCGCAGGCGCCTTCCAAGAATCGACAACAAAGGCGGCAATAGGTACAAAATACTTGAACTTAATCGATTCATCTATTTATAGCGACTGTTATGTACCTGACACGTGAAGATGTATGTACTTTGACGTTACTGCCAACAGTTCCACCCTATACAGAATATCCAGCCGAGTTGAGTTGTCTCGGCTCACCAGCCGCGTCAAATGTTCCATTGGGCAAGACCCGAATCAGCTGGGCGCTGCTCTGTCCTGGAGCAACCCAAGTAACATTGTGACCGCGCGCCTTCATGGAGGCAACCGTTGCGTTGTCGTAAGAGTATTCGAAGCTGACCTGGTTCGGCACGAGCTGATCATGCAGACGGGGTTTGGCTAGTGCTTTGGCAGCAGAGAGTCCCTGATCAATGGAATGTATAATGTTCTGGACGGTAGCAGTGATGATACGGCTGCCTCCTGCGGATCCCGCGATCAAAAATAACTTGCCATTGGGTCGCTCAACTATCGCGGGCGTGATGGAGGAAAGGGGGCGCTTTCCAGGGCGAACGTAGTTGGATACGGAGGGGATGTATCCAAATGAGTTCGATGATCCAGGAATGGAGAAATCTGTGAATATTTAGTCAAGTGCTCGGTCTGGGCAGGCTTGCTCGACATACCATTCATCTCATTGTTCATGATGACTCCGGTTTCAGGAACCATGACGTGACTACCGAAGAGGAGGTTGATTGTGGTGATGACCGAGATTGCAAGTCCCGTATGGTCAGCTGCTGCGATATGGGAAGTTCCAGGGCTGATATAGTGTCAGCTCGATGTCAGGGAATAATGCACCAAGTGGGACCTACGTGTCCAGGCTTTCCAGTCCGGCTGGATCATAAGCAGATACGTTCTGGGTTCGCACATCGGAGATTTTGGATCGTATGTCATCAATCGTAGCTTGATCCAAGATTTCCTTCTGATACTTGGCCATCCCGTCAACAAACAGGGGATCGCCCAAATTAGATCTCTAAGTTTGGTGTAAGCGATCATCAACCAGAAATCACAGTTGATCATTCATACCTCGCCGTATCCAAATCGCATAGCCTCGTCCAACCGATGAGTACTGAGATTCACGGATTCTTCAGTCGCAAAGAAGCCTTTGTAGGTCGCGAGAATCTTCAAAATACTCATAGCGATAATACCACTCGAGGGAGCCGATGTACTCGTGATCTTGTAGCCACGATAGTCAATTTGTGCGATATCTCGAATGGCCAGTTTGTAATTTTTAAGATCTTCAAGAGTCATTGTGCCGTTTGCGCTCTGGAGCGCATTGATCATAGCCTCCGCGATAGGGCCCGAGTACAATGCATCTGGGCCACGCTCCGCAATCGCCTCGAGGGTGTCTGCATACCGGCGTCGAGTAATAATATCACCCAGTCCAAGTCTAGTTCCATTGGGAGCAAAGTCGATTGCCCACGTCGGGTTTTTAGATAGGAAGTCCTCTCCAGTGCCCACGGAAGATACCATGTATTTGACAAGATCTTCAGTGACAGGGAAACCGTCACGGGCAGTGCGAATAGCGGGCTGCACAAGTGTCGACCATGGAAGAGAACCGTATTTTTTATGGAGGTACTCGAGGCCTCGCACTTCACCCGGTACTCCACTGGTATGGATGTTAGTTTGGCCCCTATTCACTCGACGTAACTGCCTTACCTTGCCAGTCCTCCGTAGATTGAAGCAGCCTCGTTATTCTTGTACATATCCTCGAATGCCGCAGCTGGGGCCGTCTCTCGGAAATCAATAAATTCGTATTCCCCCTTTGCTGATCTCACGAGCATGAACCCACCTCCGCCGATTCCACTGTGGTACATGCCTAGTGTCTGTTAGCTATGCTCAAGTACAATTACTGACTAGAAGAGTGTAGTCTTACCTACGACACCAATACAAAATTGGGTTGCAATCAACTATATTGTGTCAGCACTGCGATTTACCTGGCGCCCACCTCGATGGGCGTACTCACAGCGTCGGCAGCGTTGCCACCCTTCTTCAGAATATCAGATCCATGACGCGAACAGATTGAGCTTTCGCTAGCGACAGCACCCAGCTTTCCAGGGCCAATTTTACCATGCGACCCATGGCCCCCACTCGACTCTCGCTCGGAGAATTCCAAGGGGGAGGTGTTTGCACTGGGCAGATGAGTTGCGATCAATAGCAGCGACAAAAGCACGATAGCTCCGAGTCTCATCGATTTTAACATATTGACAAGAGTATCCCTCCAGTTTCTCGGTATGGAATGTTGCGCAAGAGTCGCACCGGGAGAAGAAGCTGGCGAGATCGAGTCAAGCTATGGCGCCATCGGGTATTAATATTTTCAGGAGGAAAATTAGTCGCGAGGGGAGAAAGATAGCTGTACCTGTTTCTCCGCAGCTCCGCCGATCTGACAGGGTTGTTGCATGTCACAATTCCAGGCTATTAACTTCGCTTGGGACGCTTTTGTAGAGGATCAGCGGGCTCCAGGTTACTCGCACGAGACTCACATTGAGCGCCGGTGATTCAAGAGTGGAAATTAAGGGTTACATTCTCTCGACAGTGGACATCTCATCAAAGTCTTTAATATGCGTAGCGGTGTAGTGAAGGAATCCCGGACCCCGCTGATAAGCACGGAGTTGGAGATTATTTGGGGTCAAATCGCATACTCCCGGCCCGGGGTCAAGATATTTGGAATCTCATATTTCCATCAGAAATAGGTTAGTTGATGCTTCATGAATGTTTGGATACCTCTATCTATGCGCGCCCATGTTATACTTCCCCGAATCCTCATCATTCCTGTAGCCAGTCTTCCATTACAGCGGCTCCTCTTATCCAAGAAATAGTCTCCTCCCATTCCTGCGGGATCTTGCTCAGTGGTTCAAGTGTAGCCAATACGAGCCGACAACCCCAGTCGCGGACGTACCATCGATGACACAGGAGACACATTGCTATACCATAATGCAAAAACAAAACTTGGGCAATCCAGTCGCCACGCTGAAGCAATGAGGAAAAATTGTCGGAGATAGATAAGGGCCATGCCAGAGGACCACCATGTGGTCCAATTCTCGGCCACGGTTCGATGGCCTGATGCAACTGCTGCCATGTGGCCAAGTATATTGGTTTATCCGAGCCTTCTCTGGTGTCAATTATCAAACGAAGTCGATCCAGCGACCTCACTATGTCTCTGGTCTAATCATCAGCTTTGCAAGCCCTACACAGTCCCTTCATACCTCGCTGGAACATACTGGTGTAGGCCGAATAGTACGTGTGTGTTTTTGACCGGGCTGCCGTCACTGTTTCGTGTTATCATCCGAGTGATCGCTAATGGGCCAGAAAGCAGGGATGCCTTACTGATCATGTTCCCCAGTACCGAGACTTTCCTGAGTATCTGGAGCGCATAGCCAGCCATCTAACTGCGCTTCGACGCTGCCTTCAAGTATCCGGGACAACAGCATGGCCGGGCCAGACATCAATGTGCGAGCCTCGAGAATTACGGAAACTGGGTCCAGTGGTCGATTTTCAACCGATAATACTCGATATCCCATAGCGAAAAGCATGATGATGATGGAGGAGACAAATGCTGGTTCATAATCTGGGGGCGACATTTCTGAAAGACTCATGCTCAGTCCAGCGCATGCCTGGCTCTGATATCGCACGGCGTGGTTTAACCATGAAGTCCGATTATCAGGTTCAAGCGAGGCCAAGTGTAAGGCTGAAAATGCGTGGATGCTGTCTAGCAGATAAGGACAAGATGCGGCCATCCGAGGAATAGTCATGGAGAGATGGTGTGCTGAAAGCCCGTCCTGTGACAGACTCAGGTACGTTGAAGTCATATATTGATGAAATAATCTCGTCTCGAGCAAACGTGTTGCTTGTGGAAAATCTCTTGATGGGGTCACATTGCCACTCTCTGTTTCATCCTGGGCGCTGTATGATGCCATAGGGCTGTCCTCATCTACATTTGGCGGAGGGTATCTGCACTCCAATTTTCGCTTCCGGCAGAGAGTACATTTTGGATTGCCCTCGTCACACTACGTATTGCGTCAGCATATTGGTCTTAGCTGGCGGATGACTGCTATCCACCACGGCTACATAACCCATATTTTCAGCAACGCGATGAGTGCAGAGGAACAAACTTGTTGGCACTGACCTTGACATGTCTCCTTTTACACTCCAAGCACCCCTTCCTGGACTTCGTGTGGCTGCGACGCGATGGCATTGATGGGTGCCATTCAGGGACCAACGCGATGATATTAGCGAAGGAACGAGATTAAGAAGGAAAAAAAGCAATGAGCCTCAGCCCAAAGTCATCTTGGACAAAGCAGACGCGCACCCCTGACCTCGGTACATCCTAGGGGATCTGCACATGACACTGCGTGATTAAGGTGCTTGAGGCACACCGGGCCGGGTTCCCCGCAGATGATGGCTTATATAATCGTCATGTCAAGCTCTGCAACCCGGCAGGGGGAAAGCTAGGAAATAATTCTTGGATATACAGAGGCAGCAATAGGGGATTGTTGAACTGACTAATGGTGAGTGTTGGGGTAAACATAATGACACAGCCGTGTTGAAGCGGATTGGAGATTGAATTTGATCGACGATCGATGTTGTGAGTTCTCTGTCACTACACGACAAAAAAGGAAGGCTGTCACAGATAGTATTTTCTACACGTAATGGAACTCCAAAGGTTTCTTGTATCTTGTTTTTCATTCGCTGTCTTTGTGATGTGTAACAATTGCCTCTCTCCACTGCTCTGTTCCCACTCTCAAATCACGGATTGCACATCCGAGAGAAATTGATACTAGCTGAGTGGGTGAGTTGGACATTATACCCTATGGCAATAGGCTATACTACGGCAGTTACTAACCTCCAGCGAGCCCTTCTACATGTTGGCTGTAGTACATTTTGTTCATACGAGCACTTACATGGCTGAATACATTAAAACACCTCAATTCTCAATCCCCGGTTGCAAATATCCATGTCATTTGCACGAGTTATGCGTCGGTAATTTTTTCCACAATCTGGCCACGGAACTGCGAATGTAAAGAAAGTGTCTCAAGTAGTGATCCATAAAGCACACTATTGAAATCTCATTCTTGATCATCGAGCTCTTGGTGATTCAACGCCAAGTAATTGAAATTTGTGTGCTCTTAGGACCCTAGTATTAAAGCGTGAATGCCTAAGATAAAGAGGCCTTGCTAGGCACTCGTACTCTTTCCTATCTAGAGTCCATAAGTTTATAAACTACGGACTACAATTATACAATGCTTTCTCCAATGCAGCAGCTTAGTTCCTCCCATAGCACTACGGATACTTCGTTCATCCCTATCTCCCGATTCCACATTCGTTAAGAGGATTCTTCGAGAAACCAGGGAATTTGTAATTAGCTCCTGGCAAGCTGAGACAATTGAGCCGGGTCCATTTTTGTCAAGGTCTGTTGTTATTAATGATAATGGCAATTACCGTCGAACCCTTTTTCGGCTAGTTGCGGTGTGATCCTTCAATTTCTAGAAGCCGGGGACCGGATACGCATTAAATCCCGACTTACCATATGCACGGCATATCCAAGAGACCTGTTCGGTCGAACGGTTATTTGATAAGACATTGATCGGTGATGTTCTTGATAAAGATGTGCAACAAGGAAGTGGATATGTGGAGCAAAACGATACACCGTGACCAATCCTCGGGTGACCGGATATTGTTTCCGCATCCCAGCGGCACCTTCGCTAACATACGGAGTAGATGGAGGCCTTCTAGTGTACATCTCCGAATTCCTCGCGTATAAGTGTCCGGATCGGAGAGATCTACCTAACCCCACAGTGGATCCACTGGCATGAAGATCCCAGTCGTATGCTTAGTCTGCTCTTTCAATCATTTACAGACGAACGATGACACTCCGACCCACCCAAAAAAAAAATTAGATGGTAAAAATTAGATTGTACACCAGGAACGCGGCGCATACGAAACGGTGTTGGAAGAATGCTATAGTCCATCTGAGACTCAAAATTCATGGTACTACCATGAAATTTGCTAAGTTCTTGAGAAATGGATCGATGACACCTTCACAGGTTAGGAATTGAAGACACAAACCCTTGACCGGCTGAGAAATGAAGTGGATGAGTGGATCCTGCTAACATAGCCTGTGTAGGGTCCTAGGTAAGCACCCATGAGGTACCTACCTAGGTAGGTAGTTTTTCGTTCTTATCTCCAATCAGGAGTCCAAGTCTGTTTTGATAAATACGAAGTACGTACTACATGTCTAATTCATTCTAGTCTCTATTCTGAATTCTATTGGGATGTTGATTGTTAATTACCTGATTCGAGACATGCCACACCTACAACCATCATCCCTGGGGATCATGCTCCGCAAGGGAAATTCAACACTGTAAGGATGTGGGTCGATAGAGCTCCGCACTCGGCAGAAATTGCCGTCAGTTTCCTCGGCTTATCATGACCGTTGATCAATCACATTTCTACGGAGGTTAATCGCGACAGTTTCAGCCCGCCTATTTGACGCTAGTAATAAATTCGTCCTCATATAGGAAGGCTGTTTTCAACCTCCGTGGATGGTTCGTTTCATTGTACGCTGCCTTCCCTATACCTCTAGGCTCTCTCACCCAAGCCCAGCCCCGAAGGCCCCTATGATATAGGCTCTCTCTTCCCCTCTACCTACACCTATACCTCCCCTAGCACCTCGCCCTAAGAGCTACCGTAAGGCTTCAGTCACTCTCGTTTCTAGATATCAGAGACAGGGGCTCCCTTTTCAGCGATATATTTCTTTAGCCAGAGGCACGCTGGCTCTATTTTATCGGGGCTAGGCTAGCCCATAGGCCAAAGTAGGCGCTGCGTACCCAGTCTAATCAAGACTTTCTGCCGATGATGGTGTTACTAGAGAGGGAATGAGTTGTAGTAGTGTAAGTGCTGTACACCACTATTACAATTAGTGGTTTTATTAGAAAAAGCAAATCAAAGATTGGGCTGAAACTATCGCGACCTACCTCCGACCGCCGTACTCCGGAGCATGTTCGTTGTCTTGGCATTATCAAGCATGTAGAATCCAGTCCACAGATATACAATGTCTAACATGAGCGAATTGCTTTCTGATACGCCTAGATGGACTGTAAGATCCTATCCCTTTGCTTTGCTGAACAACACGAGCTTCGGGATCGAATTGGGGCCATGGTGGGTGGTTCAATCAAATGAACGCTAGTTCCTTGAGCATTTCAGAATGGGCGGGCCTTCTTCTAGCTAAGCGCCGCTTGTTTACTTGCCGATTACGGTAGATCCTGGTCTATCCCTCAGCCTCATACGTAGTGACTCCTGTAGAAGTGGACCCAAGAGCCCCGTCGACGAACGCATGTACCTATTTGATTTCTTGATGCAGGTGTTTCCTCCAATTCCCAACTTGGTTAGTAGACAGCTTATAAGCTCCAATCAGATATACGGTGTCTTCTGATGACCAGGAACATTCTCAGGCCTCGCCGAGGTTATGGCGGTAACTTTAACGCGACATAGGTACTTATAGACCCACCATATGTATTTAATGTTCTGGCTCGCAGGTCTCTCTTAACAGTACTCGAAGTCGATGTATTCAAGAAATCCACCCATGTAACAATTAGACCATATAGTAAAAGCAATAGACCCATGATCTGTATTCTGATAACTGATTTTCTAATCTAAATTCGGATCACAGCCAAACGTTTAGACATGGATTTGGAATTAAATCCATCTACGTTTCAAGCTTGCCTCGTTATCTTGTTAGTGTACCTAGCTTACTCTAGAAGTGTATCTATCCCCACTCCTTCATTGAATTCCCCCTTACCCTGTAAAGAACCTAGATAAGGGCTACAAGGAAAGCCTCCTGTAGATGATAGTTGCTGCGACGTCATGCTGTAATCCATCGATTTTAATCTATTCTCTCATGTGCAGCTGGCTGAAGAATACGTTATGACGCAACCTGGAATGGGGCACATGCAGGTTGGTAGACATGTGAGTAGGTAATTTGGCATGTGTCAAAACGAACAGAACGACGATCTACAAGTGGAGAGAGATGTCTTGGACCGAATCGACCAGCTAGTTCCACGGGATTTGCTTAGGCTAGTGATGACAATTCTTTCCCTTGCCTTGCCATTCTCCATTTTATTAAGCCAGGCTTCCGTGATGGCAGCACGATCATATGAGGTAAGGGTAAGAAACTCAAAAAGTGAACTATATATGTGACAGAATTCGAAAGAGGTTAAACGATGCTGATCGCTCAAATATGCTACTGATTGTTGTGCGTCAAGGACGACCCGCATTGGTTGACAAGCCAATGGGAAGAACCCCATGTCTGACAGGATTGATGGAATGGAAGATCAGCGCAAAGTTCCCGAAGAATCCAGCCAGTGTCTTTTTTGATTCTCACGTACCTGTCGCAAGCGATCCACAACTCATCTGGAACTATAAAACATATCCAGGGTCTGTGATCCTCATGGCCATTCTACAGTCTCCCTGACCCCGATGGATGCCGGCATCATTGACTCAATGGCTTGTCAAACCCCCATAGCCATTGACGGGAGATTGGGTCGTGCTCACTTTGCGCATATATCTATCGACAAAGAGGGGAGCCTTCACTTGCAGTGCTCTCAGTCAATTGCCAAAACCTTTCAAGGGCCCCTGTATGCACGGCTAGCGGATACATTTTTGAAAGCCGTCACGATGTCAGAAGAAGTTTGCTCCCCAGCAACTCGGGGTGGGTTTCACACTGAATGCACCGAAAATTTCAATTCAATGACTAACTGTACCTCGGCATGCTAGCATCACCTCCCCAAACTGCAAAGGCAATCACAAAAGCGTCGCCCCCACTAGAATCACTACACACTCCACACAAGACAGGATCGGACGACAAAGATCGCACACAAAATTCCGCACCAACTAGCCTATCTCCACCAGAAGTAGGGCCAGCCCATGAAGCGCATTCGCCTCGTCGGGACACACAGGGCTTGGAGCGCACAAAAAGAAATGTTTGGAGCAAGGAAAACAGAATGTGGAGGCCCGAAGTCACGATACCTATTAGAGACCGTGATTTTCTACGATTGTACTATGAAAAGGCATTTCAAACCCTGCAGCAGTCAAACTGCCGGGTCCTCGCAAAAGCTTATATCAAGCTGGTGGAGCCTCGAAAGCAGGTATGCTTTCCATACAACGGGCGTGCCGTTGTCACAGGGGTCATTCGCCAGCTTGACCCAGAGGTGGCCAAGCCGCCTTGGTGGCCTCCTGGGGTGAGGCACAGAGAGCCAGACCATCTTCTCAAAGAGGGTAAGAAACGTTCAAAGCTAGGTGCCTGTCAAATAGCTAACCGTCAACAGAGCGCATCAAGCTTCTAGTTCATATCTTATGTGAACTGCGTACTAGCCACAGTATCACCACCAAATTGCTGCGGGAGGCCGACCAGCAAATTCGCCGGTATATAGTCCCTGCAGAGAGGGTGTGCATCTTGGACGAAATTTATCGGGTTCGACAAGAAGAGATAGAATTGTTGGAGGGCAAGAGCGGTATGTTGTTATGATTGTCATGAGGCGTTGGCTGTGCTTAATCTTACAATTGTTTGCAGATGGACAACGTCAGGTGTGGATTTGTCGCATGAATCTGCCTGAAGCACCGGGGACCGCATCCAATGATAATGAACATTACGAAGACGCCATCCCCTTTGATGCCGTACCTACAACTACCTCAAACAGCCCGTCTTCACATGCCACCCCAGGCTCTATCAGCAATGCTCCACTGGCACTACTTGCATCTGACCCAACTCTCCAACCCGCGTTACCTCTGGACCATCCATATAACGTACATTGTCACATTCCTAGGAAGTACGCAAGCCCGGATCCCAATGCCATGTTTTATGACATGAATGTGCCGATATCAATGCCACCGCATCGTTTCAAGAGAAAACGCGACGTCGAGGAGATAGGCCAAAACGACGTGACTAGGGGTGCTATGACCACACCCTACTGCTCTCCTTCGGCCACGAACTACCTTCAATCCTGTTCAGTAGAAAATTATGGTGGACCGTTCAGCTCCCTACAGCACGGTTTTGTTTCCCCGGGACCATTTACAGCAGAAGCATTGACGCAGCCAAGTCAGGGTTGTGATATGTCTCACCATTTTGGCTATTTATGACTATCAACCTTTGGCCAGTCCAACTGGAAGGCGTGGAAATATATCGTATATACTCTGGTGGTATATCTACAATCATTTGTCAGTCGGCTTTTGATTCATTCACATATTGGCTTCCGATCAGTCGAAGTAAACAAAGAAGGCTTTGAGTGTGCAATTGGGACCAGATCTGTAACCAGGTGACGAAGTCTCATGAAAGAAACTCGCGAGATTAGAACGATCTAGCTTTTGCTCTAATAAAGAGTACAATTAGCAATCGTAAGCCCTATGTATTTTGTTTCGCTTCTCTTCTCATCGCCAACTAACCTTCATGCAACTGTAGTTTCACTCTAAATTGAGGGTCGTACCCATATTTCAAAGGGCCAATGATCTTTTCAGAACCAGCTGTGTCAATGAGTCTGACTCTGTACCCCGTCATTTCCAGCGCCGAAGGTCCAGGAATTTGACTTACAACCTGAAATATTTTCAATAATTACATCTATGATCTTAGCAGACATCCATCCATCTGTATATAATAAGTGATAATAGAAAGCTACCAAGACGACACCTCCTGTAGGATGGTCGATGAATCTCACAGAGCTTTACTACGAGGGCAGATGCGTGAGTGACATCAGGGGTATAAAATCGCCATTGCATTCCAGTTGGAGAAATGCGCGCCCACCATGTGCTGCGTAAACAATGACTGCGGTGATGTCTGAGATTGACAGCGGGTTCTATCTATATGGCCAGATCGGTTTTTACCTTCGTTAGCTTACTTCACTGAAAACTCCGGGGGCGCTACTACTCACTAGAAACATGAAATGAAGGCGGAAAAGGCACTGGAATACACTAGTGGGATTGGCCTTTGGAAACTGCACCACGACAAGTCCCCCTATATACTTTTAGAATTTAGGATTTAGAACTCGGGTAATGCAAATCCATTGCATTGCATCTGAAGTACTCTTTCAAAAAATTACCGATCTCCCAACAGTACGACTACCCATACGCCATTTCCCAAATGTTCCAAAATACTTTGAGGATCACTAGTCATTATCTTGTGCATGAAAATCAATCAATATTAGACTAATACTCGGGGATTAGTAAAGATGTGGACCTTTTCGGGATCAGGAGCTAGAAAATTAAGCCCAGGGAGATGTACAGTACTCCCGAGATCCGTACAATCCATACTAGTGGACCTCCGCGAAGCCCAAGAAGGGGTGGGGTTTCAGGCTCAAAGCCCAACCCGCGGTGGGCTATGGGGCTTGCCTTCAAAGCCCGAGCCAACCCAAGGCCCCCATTAAACCCCGTCAAGAGGGTCTTTGCACTTACAAATTGGCGCATCGTAATAGCTGTAATCTAGCCTTCTCGTACTCGCCGTATATATTCGAATCTGTCATGTAAGATAATCGTGGTTCTATGTCAATTTAATAGTTTAAACAAAATTCGACCTGTAGAAGGCATGATATTGCCGAGTCTTGATATATATATTCAAGATCAAGTCAGAATTACCAAGATTGCCCTAGTTAAGCTCTACGATTCATAAATTCCTTAAAAAGCCCGTTTTTCGTGGGTGTTTGCTCGGGGTTTGGATGATTATTACTAAGTTTGACGTTTAATATATTCTATATTAATTAGCATAATGAGATACCCAATAGGTCCCCATCAAAAGCTCAGGGGCTTTATACTAGGCCCATAGCCCATCAGTTGGACCGCAGATCGGTCGTAAAGCCCAACGTTTTAGTGGGCTTATTCGGGCTGAGGTTTGGTATTTGTGCAATTTGCTGAGGTCAAGTCAATAGTAAAATCCGGGGACCTCGTATTGTTGTGGAGATTCGATAAAAAGCGTATTACATAGGTGGCTTAGACAATGCGCAACGACTGAGTTGCCTTTTTGAAAGGTTTTTGAGTTAATTTGGGCTAAATTGAATTATTGGACCAAGACAAAGGCTCTGTGGTTTTGGCCCCAGCCAGGAACAGCGATCTACATACTCTCTGTATCTGGGTCGGTTCGACAAGACCAATCAAGACCAATCACCAATTAACTTGATGTCTGACCCGCTAAGCTCCATAATGTTCGCAGCTGGAAAGTGGCGGAGCCATCTGGAGTACAATATGTACTGTTATAAGATCAATAAAATCAATGCCTGAAGCTGGAGTCAACAATAATGTCCATGGTAAACTTCTTCTCTCAACTTTTTCTTCAGTTAGATCATGGCCAAGCAGGAACAAAATGAAAGCCCGCCCAACTACGAGGAGGCAGTGATGACACCTCCTCGCTATGGTTCACTTCCATCAACAATGAATGTACATGGGCAGTGGACAAAATGGAAATCCTTGAATCTCTGCGGCGCGAGTGCCAAAGACCGTCTATGTCTCATTGAGATGCAAACGGGCTATAGCGGAAAACCTCCACTTGGAATGAGAACGGGATTTTTACTGCGCAACGGGATGAGCACCAAGAATCCACTCCTTGCTGCCGCCGGGGATGAATCGCAGGGCCTCCATGCGTTCAATCCCGACGGCATCATCTTTTGCCACCACTTGATCCAGACTCCAAGTCCGACCGCATGGACTCAGAGGTCATGCGCGCCGAACCTGGTACAAACAACGACATCGCCTTCCACTTTTCCATCGAGATAGGCGAGAAGCAGCAGCGGCAGGAGTTCGCATGGAGGAGGGCCAAGAAGGGCGATGATGGAGTCAAGAAGAATGGTTTCAAGTTGGTTCTACTCTCCTCGGGTCAACAAGCATCTCGGCCGAGTGCCAGCAGCAGCATCCAAAAGCCGGCTTCGTCTTTGCCCTCATCACGAGGCAAGGATGGTGAGAATGTCGCATTCCTTGAATGGGCCATGGCCTTCCCTAGTATGACACATGCCTTTACACTTGAGCTGGTGGATGGCCAGTCAGAGATGTTAGGGGCGCGTTGGACTCTTATGGTCGTCGTCACCGCGATCAGGCTATATACACTGCATGTAAAGGGGAAAACGAGTAAGTTTGTTGTCAATATGGGAAAGAAGGATTCGAAATAGTGTCTGCTCGTTGATATTCTGTGCAAGACAAACTCTGAGTTGTCTTTTTAAATATCTTTTTTATCTCTTTTTTTTTAAGAGATTCCCCGTCATCGAAACCGTCTTAGGGCCTTGGCAGAACTGGCTGCAATTTTAGACGCTCTGTGTACCAAAATATCAATGAAGGTCCATTAGAATCTATCCAAGCATCAAACGAACTCAGGAACAAGATATAAAATCTATTCATGCACGTATTCACTTCTGTTCAATTTGATACGCGCGGAATTAGTAACAACTGCGTGGCACAGTGTGTCAAGAGGAAAGATAATTCGACAAGGTGTTTGATATTGTTGGATACCATAGGCATCCAGGCATATAGATCAAACATGCATGATACGGCATCATGTTTGGCAATATAAATAGGATCTCAGCATCCTATTCATACTTGCTTTCTTTTCCTTCTCTCTCTCTAAGTCTTGCTTCTAGATAGAGAATATCATCTTCTTCTTCTCTGTCATCAGATATGTAACAAGAGAAAAGGCCATTAAGGTTGCACGACCGGCACCCTATCTAGTAGATATATACAAGTCTAATTGGAAATCTCAAACTGAGGCAAGAACCTTAACGTCCAGGTCGAACTAGGATATTATTATATAAAACCCTTCGAATATTTACAAGTTCTTCATCTTCTCAAAAATGGCCTGCATCTGGCCATACTGATCGGCATTCAAGTTGTTGTAAAGAAGGCATGCAGAGCCACAAGGAGTAGGCACGGGACCACCAGCTGCATCGCCGTCGAAAACGTTCGAAAGGACCATGCAAGTAGAGGGAAGGCCCTCAACCTTGACGCCTGAGAACGGTTAGCTGATTCAAGTAACGTTCGATTTCATGTCTGCTCACCATTGTTCTCAACGGGACCGCTAACGGTGACTGTGACGGCGGGGTCGGCCAAGCTATCGGCACACATATCGAAGTTGTACTGAGGCACGCCAGCAGGAGCGGTCACCTTGGTGTCACGGTCATGCAGATCTCTGGTGCCGGCAAAGTGGCCAGCGGCAATGGCACCACCGAAGCTAGCAGCAGCTGAGCCGACCTGGGCGACGGTCATGGCAACAGCATCGCTAATGAGAGGAATGGCAATGAAGGGACACTGAACCTGCTGGCCCAGCATATAAACGGCAGCACCGGCACCGACGGCCTTGAGGGAGATGGGAGAGATCATATTGAATGAGAGAGGGGAGACTGTCGATTATAGATCTGTTGAGAGTTTTCGTTGTGATGAGAAGAAGAGGAATGAGGTTGAGATGGAGGGAGAAGGGTATTTTATACCCATCCAAAGCAATCCATGGCAAAAGCTGTACTTGTGATATCCCGCATAACCTTCCTTGATTGGGAAGTACTCAAAAGCCAACTAGAGTCAGTCTCAAGCAGATAACGTCAAAGGTTCGTATTCATGAATACCTTTTCAGCTTACGTTTGAGAGGAACTGAGTCATGGCTGTGTCTTGAAGCCGGTGTTTGATAGAAGCCAAACACCGACCCGATTGATGTTGCATTGGGGGCCTCATCCAAAGATTCGGAAGCGAAATGGGTCCATTGGTTGCTCGCACGACCTCGGCGTGGGTCTGCACCGTGTTGTATGTCACTCAATTAGTTTCTCGAGGCATATTGTCGACAATTTTCAACACAATTCTCCTTCGGGACGCATTCGCGTGCACAGAGGTATGGCGAAGGGGCTGAATATGCATATATTAATTGACCCACACGCTTGCCCAACCAAAACGGCTCAAAAGGGGGCTCTTTGTGGGAAGGGTGACTTACGAAACTGGAAACCGAACAATTGACCCATAGCAATGATATGCCGAAGGAGAAAGATATGACCAAGATGACCGTAGGCTTCTTGGCCCCCAAACCAGCAGCACAAGCTCCGAGAACTTCCACAGTCCATATTTCTATACGCTCGGCTGAGAAAGATAGGAACCACTGACAGAATTATGAATTCGTGACAATAATTTACACTTTATATATACAAAATGGCTATGGTGAACTTGTGGGTTGAGAAGTAAGAAAGGCGGACTGGGGTACCTTACCTGACATCCTTCTTACCATCGACGAAGATAGACAGGAAATATTCCCGAGTTTGGAGTGAGCGATATTGAATTTCCCATTCATAGTGGAGAACCCATAATCCGCAGCATCTTAGGGGTGGTTCAGGAGTTTTACGCAATTTTTACAGAGAATATGCTACAAATCTATCAACATCATCTCTATTTCGATGTGCACCAGTTCTCTTGTACAATTGTTCTCTGCAGTAACACTTCAAGTACTTTGCTTGCCATGGATTTCCTGTCACTTTTACCGTTGCTCTATTATGTAGTAGCGAGCGTGCTCACTATTACCGGTCTCAAAAGATGCCGCGTCATCCGTCTTCTATTGCTGGGCCCAGTCTGGCTATTTTCCATACTGTCCTTGGCCTCATCCCATAGGCTGTCGTCGATGATTGGGGCCGATAGCACTTTTGCAAGCTTGTTGGTCTTTTACCTACTTTACTCGACGAAGTTACTGGCTTTTGGTCGACATACTGTCAGTCCAGTAGCTAGCACATATGATTGGAGCTTTGTCGACTGTTATAGAACATGGAACAACCCCCGAGGACTACCATTACGAATTTTGTCGTCGGAAAAAGAGCAGCTGAGAGATTCTAAGTCTCGAGCACTATTCTTCCTCGGCCAGTCGACCAAGGCAGCGGCTTTGTGGTCCTTCGAAAGATTTGCTTTTCAGAGAGTCTTCATCTATGCGCTGGGGCAAGTAGTTGTGGCGGACTTCTCGCCCGAAATGGAACTAGTCCCCCAGTTTTCTGCTCATCAAATCCAAGTCCGCGCAATCATTTCAGTCCAATGGGTTTGGCGAGCTTATTTCTTTCTGGAATTCTATCATTCCATTTTGGCCGTTGTGTTTGTGGTTATCCTCCGATTCGATTATCCCGAAGATTGGCCGTCTCTCTTTGGGAGCCCAATGGAAGCGTACAGCGTCCGAGGTTTTTGGGGTCTATTCTGGCACAAGTTGACAATACCTACGTACATCTACTATTCAAAGCTTGCTACCAGACAATTGATGGGTATAAAACCGGGCTCGGGCTTGGAGAAGACAATAATACCGTTTCTTATATTCACACTGTCTGGTATCTCGCATGCTTTAGTTGGATGGTCATTGGGAGATGCAGCCCTATCCCGAGATATCCTATTTTTTGAGATGTGTTTTGTTGCTGCTGCGGTAGAGACTGCGATATCTAAGATGGAACTCGCGAACATCTTGAAGGGGATCCTCAGTCCGCTATTGCAAAGGATTGTGGGCATGACATGGGTTTGCGTGTTCTTTTTCTGCATTTCGCCACTGTGGATTTATCCTAAGGTGTACTACGTTTTATTAAACCCAGGTCGATGAGTCCGGTGATGGGGTTTCAATTTTGTATTTATTCACTCCTATGTCTTTCCTTCAAGTTGTCAAACCAATACTCCTGCAAAACATGGCCGCAAAGTTTCGAAGCCATGAGAAGTCTTGTAGGGCAATTACAAACCATCCTATGAAGGGTATGTAGCCTCTGACGAACCCAAGAATCTGGCCGCGGGACAAGTATTCCTGGCCCTCGGGATACAGCAACGTATCATCGATGAGATTATTGTCTCCCTTGGTCAAGATAAGCTGGCTATAATATACTCAAATTAGCACATTGTAAGGAGACAGCTACTCGTATAGTGCTTACGCCGAATCTGGATTGCTTTCCTCGTCGTACGACACCCGAAGTACCCTATGAATCATTGGGAATGTGCTACCGGGTAGCCAACATACTGGCAGGTCGCCTATCTCAATATTTTGATAATTATTGGAGATGAATAACATGTCTCCTGGGGCAAATGCCGGAAACATAGACTTGGTAGTGACTATCATCACCGGGTACGGTGTACCTGCCCAAAGTGAAAGGGCCTTCCAAGTCATGAAACAGGTGCCAATAACCTGCGATACGGCGAGTATATCATTCAAGGCGGATCGCATGACTGTGTGTGCGCGTATGTGTATGTGGTTTGACACGCACGTCAAGGAAAAGTTGGCTAAAGCTGCAGTAGCCCCGGCGCTCCGAATTTACAAGTTGCCATCACAATCTATTAGGTAATCAATATTCCATATTAGTCTTCGGAACTGCCCGAAATTTGACCTCCTATACTCCGGAGGATGAATCCGCTGGAATCATTTGGACCTTTGGGAGTTAGGGCTGCAAAGGATCGGGGGTATCTTGGGGGCGTCGGGCCTTGGTTTTCATTGGCTCGGGGCCACAGCCACACCCGAAAAGGGTCCACCGAAGGCCGTACAGCCGAGACCAAATGTTGAGATATCCCCGATTTGGCGCAAATGCTGATCTTGGGGCCTAGTTTATATTAACTTGACAGGTTCTTCTTTGCCTATATTCAGCTTAGCGCCTGATTTTACGCCCCCAAACTTGGCGCAAGCCATCTCTTGTGATCGTCGTGGGGATTCATTTGAGAAAAAAGAGCAAAATGCCTCATACAATTGCTATCCCCTTCTAGGATTTCCCACCAGGTAACTACCTAAAGCCTTCCGCTTATGTAAGTCCGCCTAATCGCGCAGATCGTTTCCCGGGCAGGCGCCCACTTGGCCAACCCAGCTCAGGTCTCGGGCGCCGACCTCGGGTGGTCGATCCCTGGTACATTCTACTACGCCCTATGACAACTAAACCCACAAACCGTACTCCGTGCTGCCCATCATTCTCTAATATTTACCCTTATTGAATATACCTTGCGCATCCATCGTCGGTAAATCACATACCGGGCTGAAATATCGAGATATCCAGACTGAACTCAGTAAGGCAATGGATTCGGACTCTGACTCTTACGAAAAACCAGACGGGAATCACCCGAGGGACACCGTTGGGCCTGCCGTTCTGATTTTTTCTACTCGATCTGTCTTTGCTGAGGCTGAGACTTCAACCCCACTCTACCAAGTAAACAGTGACATCAGATCAATCTCGAATAAGGACTCGTCCGTGGCATTCGAAAGAGTCGAAGATGTACCCGAGGTTGACGGCATCACTGCTCGAACGCCAGGGAAGCGACATTTGTTCTACCTAGCACACCCCGTGAATGCGCGATACCGGACCGACATACCTGCTAGGTACTACATCACTTCTGCGGTTTCCGAGGCCGTAGGAAATATTCGCCTCGAGATTTCCGTGGCACGGCTGCAAAGGACGTCCTTCAAGGCAATGTTGAGTGCGAAAAAAACCGCATCGGATAACCCTTTATTCAACGAGGGCACACACGAAGTTCTTTTGTTTGATATCCAACCAAATTGGAAATTTGGTCGCAATTGCTATGAGTGGAGCGATCTCAATGGAGAACAGGTGGCTGTTGAAGAAAAAGAGAACGATCGATATAAACTATCGGTTACCACAAGTACGTCGCAGGAGTTGAGGGATGCACTGGTTGCTACATGGCTACTGAGGCTGTGGTATGACACGGCCGAAAGTAAACAAGCTAGAAGGGAATGTGGGTTTACCATAGCCTTGTTACTGTTAAAAAACTTATTCTTTGGCTAACTTCTGTTTGCAGTCTTTGAGAGTATGGCTGCACCAGAAGCGTATAAAGAAAGCATGGATCCGTACATGCCGAGACAGTGCATAATGATATGAGACCATAAAGGTAGTGACATTGGTCATCCACATGGGCTGTTAGATTGAGGTCCCCTGATTTTGGAATTCTCATGTTCGAATTATTGTATGTGTTTAGGAAAATCTGTTGCGTTGGCATATCATAGACCGTAGCGTTTCACTTTGGAGTATCCTAACATTTCCGATGTATGCGTCCATCTAAACAAGTGAGCTTACCGAAAGGTCGTCACTGCTGACATAGAATTGGTGATCACTGATATGCCTCTTTATATCTAGGTAGACAATGGCGTGTTTTTCTTATCGAACTCTCTCGGCGGCTCATGATTCAGCTATTTTGGCTACATCAAATGCTTATATATGGGCAACGTCATATGGAAAATTCCCTGTATATATGAGCGGTGGACTGAGTGGGAGTTATGTGGCTGAGAATTTCAATTTCGCGAATACAGAGTTTCCATCGCAGATAAGGTTAGAATTGGGTAGGTATACCATGCCGCGGATCTACCCGTGGACCTTATCAGGCCGTATGGTTACACCAATAAGGGTGCCCTGAACAACATTCGACCGTGGTAACCACGAAGATGAAGATTAAGGTTGTTAAGACAAGCTAATGCGGACACCAGACTTACGAGTGACACTCGAAGTTGCCGATGAATACACCGCATGAAACCAACCCACGCACTTTTATAGGCTATATATCTCCGACATTTCTCCTGTCAATCAAGCCTCATGATTTCAACGCACGTCCTCAAATCAAATTTATCTCCAATATTTCTAATCAAATTCAACATCTATAGGTGCGAAATATGATTCGCAACATAAAATGAAATAGAATACCACAGCAGTTTCCATAAAAGTACTGTCGTCCAATCAGAAAGTTACCTGGAATCTTGGACTTGTCCGTATGCGTTCACCATATATCCAAAAGGCGACTGGCAATGCGCAAAAGGCCAAAGCAATAAACCCAAGCAGCGAGTTACCCCAACCAAGTCCCAGAACATCATACATCTTCGGACCAGCAAGCGGAAGCATGGCACCAGCCAGCGAACGGAATACCGTGTTCGCCGCCATCACAGAAGCAGCGTAGTCCGTGAACGCATCAACCAAGTAAGTGCTCACACACATCTAACCAACAAGTTCAAGTGTCAGTATGTCAACTCATATCAGAACCTAAGGGTCAGATAGAAGGAACATAACTTACGAAGGTGATCATCATGCCAACACCAAGAAAGGAGGTTCCGATGATAGGCACAATCCAGTGAGTTTTGTAATAAGCAGTCCATCCATACATAAACAGCGAGATGGGGACGAAAATGGCTCCAGGTATCATAGGCGGCAGACGATACTCGGGTTTTGTCACGCCGTTCCTGGCAGATAGATATTTGAGCAGTCTATCGGATGTAGCTCCTAGCATGAATAGACCGATAAATGAGCCAACGCCCAAACCAAGATAGGTAAGTCCGACTGCTCCTTGAGAAAAATCGTACTGCTCTTGAAATACGCCCGTGATTGTTGTAAACAAGAGGTAGAGGTATCCGTATATCACGCCGACATAGAGTGAAAGGAGGAACACGATCGGAGAGCGGAAGAGCATCTTCGTCGGTCGCAAGATTGAAAAAAGGAATAGTTCTTTTGGCGTGCGGCCGGTGTCCAGTGCAGAGCGCAAGTTCATATTCCCAGTTTCTTTCTTGAGCTTCTTAGTCTTCCGAGCTAGGAGAGTCGGGGCGTAGGATTCACGAATTGTTAATATTGAGCTAATAGTGACAGCACCGCTCTACTCGGATTGATCAGTATGTGCGCCGCACAGGACTCTCATAGTCTTTACTTACAGCCATCGCTAGCACATAGAAGCTCCATCGCCAGCCCTTTGCCTGTGCCAGATACGCGCCAGCTAGACAGGTTAGAAATTAAGCCATCGGGAAGAAGATTATTTGGACAACATACCAACTGGACCAACGACAGGCCCAACCAAAGGACCAAGTGCCCAAGCTGCCATCGCGCCACCTCTTTTCTCTTGCACGAACATATCCGCAATCGAACCCGCACCGATCGTAAGCGGACAGCTACCGGCAAAGCCAGCGAGGAATCGGAAGACAACAAGACTGCCCATCTCTGGTGCGAAAGCGCAGGCAATGGTCCAGATCACGTAGAGAACATTGCATACATGGTAAACGTACTGTCGACCGTATAGTTCCGATAGAGGTGCGATGAGCAGGGGACCAAAACAGTATCCGAGTAAGTACACCGAGACCACGAATGAGGACAATTCAATGCTGGTAACGTGGAAGTCTCTGACTAGTTCACCGACGCCGGGGGCGAACATAGATGACCCCAAAGGCCTGTTGTTGATCAGTTGTTAGCTTTCACGATCTGAATGGTACAAGAGAGGGCCGTGCGTACGTCAGGAACGTGATGAGCGCAATCGAACACGTCGCTGTGACCTTTTTTCGCGAGGTCCAGTTAAGGGGATTTTCGGGGTCGTCTGGACCATCCCAATCGACGATGTTGGGGTCATGGACTTTTTCGGCTTTTATTGTGTCATTCACCTCGACGGGTCCGATTTCAAGATCTTTTTCTTGTTGGGCGTTGTTTTTTGTGCTTATAGTCGATCCCTCGACGGATGGAGTTTCTATATAGATGTCTTAGATGGTATTCTCTTCGCGGGTTCTTGATTGTGGGGATCATTTTTGAATAAACAATTAAGAGAGCGCCTTACTTACCTTCGCTATCCCTCATGTTGTTTTATCGCTGTCGCCAAGAAGGATATCTATTCAATATCACGCCCGTGTCGCACACCTTCTTGGTACTCTTTGATCTTGTTTGGCGATCAATACAGAAATCAAGGTCACACGGTAGAAATGTGGATGTGGCCGATTCCCCCAGTAAGAGGGATAACGTGGAGAGCAAAGAGGAGGATTGAGGGTGGTCAATGTTCAAAGCCAACGGGAACGTACGTGGTCATTAAAAAGCAAAGCTTCGGAATCATATTGAAATAGCCGGTGCATAAATTTTCTCATGCACTGAAAGGGAGTACATGTTACAAATGGCCCCTAAAACCCGGGTAAACTGATGACAGGGGCGAAGATAGCTAGTTCTCATGTTCGGATAGTTGATTGGACCGAGATTCACAAGGTCCCGTGGACTGCATACATGAATACACAGAGAATGTGCTTATGCATAATTGTTTAAGGTAAAACTCCCTAGGACTTTGGGAGAATGGAAAGACAAGGTACCGAAAGAACCAAGAGAGAGAAAGCTACAGAGTACTACACCCCGCAAAAAGGGTCTAGGGCCCACTTACTGGCGAGTTCATAAAATTTATGCACTTCGTGGCTTGATCTGAATCCTTAGCCGAGAAATCAAAAGAGTCATTTTCCGCAGACGGGTAGAATGTAATCGATTCAGCTTAGAAAAAATAATTCAGTTTCCTATACAGAGTATTTGTCGGGGCAATTCACCAAATACTCGGAGTTGAAGCGAAGCGAGCCGAGTCGAGCATTTCATTCTCAGCTCCATATTAATAAGTACCGCTGAAATCTGACCTTGTTCCGGCGACTCACTATGATTGGCCTTGTTTTTCGGCCTTAGCACGTTACCCCACGTTTTCCCTTGTTATCATACCGAGATTCTTGCAGTATATCTTCGGTAGGTAGTTATACTGGTATGGATTATCTAATACTTAGAGGATATCTCACCCGATTCAAGAATTGCCTTGTCCAATTCTATGCGATACGAGGGACTTATGAGCGCAACCGATGAAGCCTATACTAAGCTTACCGCGATCTTTACAAGCATATTAATAATGATGTTGAAAATCGCAACAAAACACTCAAATATAGACCTATAATTGCAAGCTATTTGGTCGGCTTTTTTATATCCCTGACAAAGACTTTTCCTTTCTTCCTATCGTCGCTAAACGCGCCTCAGCATAAAACCATCGAAATAGGAAGTCACGTCTTCCAGTTGGTCCAAGCCAGTGACAAGGCCAATATAGCCATCGGGTCTCACCACTACCAGAGCACCAGATTCTTCAGGGACGCCAAGCTGGCTTTGAGCGGCACCACTGATGTCGGAATATATCTGCATTGGCCATTTGGTAGAAAATGGAGCGGGAAGATCTCCCAATGAAAGATCAAGATGATTCTTTGAATGAATGAAGAAAAGGTCAAGGAAATAGGACTTGTTCGTGGAAGGAATTGAGTCTGTGGTAATGTCTTCATGGTGGAAACGCTCCATGAGTTCCAATGGTAGAAGATTGAAGAGACTCATTGGAGACTGAGGGGAATTCAAGGAGTTCCCGAGGTTCTCCACAGTCGACGAAAGAGGAAGATTACCCGCAAAAACAAATAAATGGAATCTGCCGTTGGACGGCATGACATCGAGCAAGCGAACATGATTTCCATCAATGTGTCGAATGAGATCAATAGGTAGAAGACGTTTTCCCGGCACCAGTGGCTCCGCTGCTTGGTTATTGATTGGCGTTCGGACGTCGGGATTGACAAGCAGGCTTGAAGGGTATTCATATCCACATCCACTAGTGAAACCATGTCCCATTTCCCACGTTTCGCGGAGATTCTGGCTTTCAAGCTTATCTTTCTGTCCAAATTGACGAGCAAACAGGGCATCGAACTCGATAAGCTGTTGTGCAACCCAAAGTCTCTCTTGTTCGTATGTTTCGAGCAAGGCGGAATTTGCAACACCTTTCATAACAAGCGCCAGTTTCCACGTGAGGTTATATGCGTCAGAAATACTAACGTTCATTCCCTGTCCCGCCTTGGGGCTGTGTGTGTGGCATGCATCTCCAAGAAGGAAAACCCGCCCGGTGTGATCAGAAAAATTATGAACAACTCGCTGGGTAACACGATATTGGCTAATCCAAACAATATCAGTGATATTCATTTGGTAAGGGTGAATGACTTTGCTGATGTGCGACTGAACTGTCTCGGTGAGCTTGAAAGAGCTGTTTTCACAAAGAGCATCGAGTGCACGATCTCTGCCTGCGTCGACAACCTCCTGATTCTTTTCATCCACTTGGAGGAATATCCGGAGCCCCTCATCCTTGCGAGGAATCAGCATACAGCCACCATCTGGGGTTCGAATGGCGCAGCGTCGTCTATAGTCAGGGAAGTTCGTGTCAACATAGACGTCTGCCACGGCCCAAACATCTTCGCCGCCCTGCGAGGATGATTGTACACCTGCCGCTCGGCGCGTAGCGCTTCGTGCCCCATCAGAGCCCAGAATGTACTTTGTCAACCAAGCTTCAATGGCTCCGCTAGCATTGTTTTTTATATATGCTGTGAGAGGCCATTCGGCTTCGTCTGGATTGTGTTCATAATGAAGCAATTCCATAAAACGCTGCACCTTTTGCCCCTTGGACATCAGATAATCTTCATAAATAGCTTCTGTCATACCTTGGTCGGTATTGAAAAGGTACTTGTAGGGTGTAGCTTTTAAGGAGTTAGGTAAGTTGATAGTCGCATTATTCAAGCTTTTCCGCTTGTGGGAGAACTTACGGTGGACTACCTCGACGCCGGTAAAGCTCCTAACCAAAGCCCCAGCACTATCACGCACCCAAAAGGATGTTTCGGTAAGCCGATGACCCTTCTTGTCAAGATCATGAAGTAAGTTCATTGTCTGCAGTATCTCTTGAGTGCGGGGTTGAAATGCTTTTCCAAATAATCAGCACTGTTGTCAAAACAATTGTAAGAGCATCTTGTTCACGAACCACTGGCATGCCCAGTTTGGGTCCTTGTAGGCCGTTTGTCAATCAAGCAGTAATCGATACCGTATCTTTGTAAAGTCGCGGCAGCCATGCATCCAGCAGGACCAGCTCCTACAATAAGGACATCTGTTCTCTGGGACTTGAAAGCTCCCATTTGGTACGGTTTTATGGTCATGATGAAAACTGAGGGATCACAACTTCTTTGTGTGCAAATCGAAGCGACGATGGAATTTGATACTGTAGCATGAAGAGCTTTATGCTGCGGATTTACCATCTTCTTTATACGTACTCTGGTTCGAAGTTGGACTCAGGTCAAGTACCAGGCTTCATTTCGATGTCAGACGCCAAGTATCACAGCTGGATAGTCACCACCAAATGAAACCTGGAATTCGTTGAGGTAAGCTCTCTCGTGATTGCTGCATTGTCCCATTGGCTCGCGCGCACGCTAATGCGGAATGCAAAACCGGTTCCAGAGTCAGCAGGCCAGTTCTCGGATCCAAGAGGCTATGGTTGTAAGCTCGGTCGTGCGGATGATACCTTGACTCTGTTGTGGAGTCTCTCATCTGGAATCAAAGATGGTTGTCATTTCTGAAGTGGCGACAATATGAAGACCAATCGTCCTGGAGGGAGACTTGTGAAGAGAATTCGGGATCCTCTACCATAATTGGAGGATCATTCTCCAAATGAACAAATTGATATACTCAGTTGAGCGCTGACAATCCCTTGGACGGCTTGATTGAAGTCGTCAACGGGAAGAACAATGCGATGGAGTCGATGTGGCTTTTTTTGCTTCACTAGTTTCAAACCCATCATCCAGTTATATGCAGCTAGACACCAATTTGGACTAGCTGGGCCATCCCTGTGACCAGGGGGGACTGTCAGATTTCCGTACGAGTGAGGAATCCGGATAAATATGAAGCTTATTCCCAAAACCATTGTAAGCTTATCAAAGGTGTCTCAGGCCCTCTGAATAGAAAATTGCGCTCGATTATTTTCTCTTACCTTCCAGCGCTTGTCTTTTTATGATAAAAAGGATTTCAGAAATCCAACGCGTTGAAATTATGAGGATGAGTGACAACATTTTTTTAGGTGCATCGATATTCTGGTCCGTCGATGCGACAATCCGAGATAGGATTCATATCTAATTAAACAAGTATTAGATTAATTACTAGACAAGGACCCCGGTCAATGTTCCCTGTAGGCTCGGGAAAAATATCTAGATCGTCGTTGACAGGATTTTCAACAGGAGCCAGCTGAGGATCGAGGATGTAACCGTGAGACGGGACCAGGTCGGCGGTCGACGGTCTCCGTAGGGACAGAAGAGGTCCTGATCGTCGTTGACATGACCAACGTTGGGAGCTAGTGGAGGATCCAGGATCTGATTGGCGGTCCCCGTTAGCACAGAAGACGTCCCGGTTGTCGTTGATAGGCCCCACGCTGGGAGCTAGCGGAGGATCGAGGATCTAGCCGCAAGACGGGAGGCGGGAAGGCAAAGGCCCCACCGTAAGCCCGTGAAGAATTTTCTCTTTCTGAAAGGGGCCAACGATAAGATTCGACAGAGGATCAGGGGTCCAAATCTAGGCTCTCACCGTAAGACAGGGGTAGTTCATCTAGTTTTTCGGCGAGCTCCGACCAGTTCAACAACAAAAAGCGGCGGTTGCCGACGACTCAAAAGCACAGCGGAGTATGTTCTTTCTTTGAGCCAACCGGAGGTGCCGTATCAATTATGGTCAAGCGTTTTGCGGCGGGCTTTTGTAGATCCTGGGGAGGTTAAGTTAGCTATCGATCGTCGGTCGCCTCCGTTCTGCGGAACGGTCTTAGGATATCAGATTGTACCGCAGAGAACCGAGCAAGACGTTAGCCGCTAGCGTTTTCTTCGGCTTCAAAAAGGTATCTATTTCTGTTTCTGGAGAGAAAATACTCATTTCAGAGACTTTGGCCTTGCCTCTCCCGTGTTCACATTCATTCTTTGGATCGCATGCCGACTTATCCAACATGGAAGGGGCAAAAGCATATACGTCGAGTCCACCAGATTCCGCGGATAAGGAGCCAGCTCTTAAAACGGCATCAAAGGCTCTGGCCAACGAAGCACAAACCGTTCCGAATGGTGGTGCAACAGCTTGGCTGCAAGTACTCGGAACTTTCTTCGTCTTCTTCAACACTTGGTGGGCTTTCCCTTCGGTCTTTCGAATGCTCAAAAAGACATATATTTACATGTCTGGAAAATAGGGGAATCTTGAATACATTTGGGGCTTATCAAACGTATTACGAGACTGGAAAATTGTATACTGCATCCTCCTCCAATATCTCCTGGATCGGTTCAGTCCAGTCTTCTCTGCTCTTGCTACTCGGTCTTGCGACTGGACCGCTATACGACGCTGGATACTTTCGTACACTGTTGTATAGCGGATCATTTTTGATACTTTTGGGGCAAATGATGACCAGTCTTTGTCATGAATATTACCAGGCACTACTTGCACAAGGCTTTTGTATAGGAATTGGAGTGGGTCTTATCTTTATTCCAGGGGTTGCAATATTATCCACCTATTTCAGCTCCAAATTGGCCCTAGCAAATGGCATAGCTGCCGCCGGAAGTGGATTGGGTAAGTATCAATTCAGTACTCCGTACTAAGTGGTCGATTGCTGATACTCTCTCGTCTGCAGGGGGGATCTTGTACCCAATCATTTTCCACAAACTGTGCAGCAAGATCGGGTTTGGCTGGACCGTACGAGCGATAGGACTGGTCATATTCCTGACTTTGCTCATTCCACTATCGGCCTTCAGAGTCCGACTCATACCGTCTAGCAAGAGGAAGCCGATTGACTTACCTGCTTTTAAAGAACCAGCATATGTCTTCTTTGTCATGGGTGGTCTACTTACATTCATTTCTTTGAACATTCCTTTCTTTTATATTCAATCTTACGGCCAAGAAAAGGGGATTCCCGCTGATGGGATGGGATTCTATCTTCTTTCTATCATTACAACTGGGTCCGTTTTTGGACGTATATTCCCCAACTTCTTTGCCAATCAGGTCGGCCCCTTCAACATCATCTCTCTATGTACCATTGTGTGCGGAGCTCTGATGTTTGCCCTGGTGAATCTATCCAGTCTGGCGGGGATGGTGGTTGTCTCGCTGCTCTACGGCTTCTTCTCGGGGGCTTTTGTTTCTTTGCCCCCCACTTGTTTTGTGCACCTTTCCCCGGATCGAAGCCTGATTGGAACTCGTATGGGCATGGGCTATGCAACTATGACAATAGGCAACCTGATTGGCACGCCAGTAGCGGGTGCTATCTTGCAAAGTAAAGGGTTCAATTCGATGTGGATCTTTGGGGGGATTATGTCGATCGCTGGGGGATTGACCATGATGGTTAGTCGCAACATCCAAGGGGGTGGAAACCATTTGCGAGGGTGTAAGATTAGTGGACATTGTTACGGTATTCAATATTTTGATATGAGTATCATGTAGAACTAGATTGAGTTCGTGTATAATGGTTCCGGGAATCGCTATCACTACCTTGACTCTTCGTGAGCCTAAATAGGACACATATGTCACGAGTCGCTGGTGGATATACCAACAAAACCTCACTCATTTTGATCAGTGAAGACAGACAAAATGAATTCATAGTGATATTTTGATTTGATAATTGCAACAATGAACAGCCACCTTGACGGTAGCAGAGTGCAATATACATATAGTATCGATATCCACGCTCAACAAGATAAGTACAATATATGTACATTGAAAATCATGACTTCTTCTCTGCGCAGCAGACGACACATCAATTCTGAAACAATGCGAACCATGAACAAAACTTCCAACCGGTGCATCGTAACCGGGTATACTGTGGAACGGAAAGCCTTTCTAGAAGATCATTCTACCCTTGTTCTGCTTTCGGTTGACATCATAGTTCTTCCAGACCAGAATGCAAGGAATAGTCAAAGCTAAGACGGCAGTAGAAGCAATGCAGTTCAGACGTTGAGCATGGCCCCACGTATACGCGACAGCTTCACGAAGAGGGCTTCCCCAGGGGTAAGTCGACTGCACAGGGATTCCATCAAAGTATATCTGAGTGGCATTGGCCTTCAAGTTTTCCGGTAATTGTGTCGTGAGGGTATTGACAAAGACATTATTGTAGATAGCAGCGCCAACAGCCAGGCCGATCCCACCGCCGATATTCGAGAACAATCCGATGAGAGCCAGCATCATGGGAGTACCCTCGCGGCCACCTGCTGCCATGACGGCCATGTCCTCGCCGATGACGAGGGTGCCGCCGGCGAAGGCAATGAAGATCTGACACATGACAACGTACCCGATACCGTGATCTGAGCCACGGAAGTAGATCATCAATCCGGAGCCGAGGATCATCAGCGGGGCCCCGAAGAATAGGCATATATATTTGAAGCGCGCGGTTGCCCAGATGACGGCTCCGATAATGGGAGAAAAGAAACAAGAGCCGACGTTGTAAATCTGGAGCATGTAATTTGCGTTGACTGCGGAAATGTCGTAGGAGATCAAGACGTAGTTGTAGAAGTACTGATCCCAAAGTTCGAAGCTGAAAAATAGTACAGCGGATAGGAGACATGCTCCTAAAATGGTTGGCCGTTTGATCAACTCATAGCGGATAAAGTGGGTTCGTGCGCCCCATTTCTCCCATGCTGCGAAGACACACAACATGAGTACTCCAAGGATGATGAGAGCAATAAAGCTTGCGCTTGAATACTCAGAACGGCCGTACTGCGCCAAGCTGAATGGCAAGAGAAACAGTACCCAACCAATCATCAGTAAGAACGCACCGATGACTAGTACACAATGTTAGTATATATATTTCGATATTTGTTTCGAGTAATCTTACCATCAAATTCATGAAGATAGTGGATGATAGACTGCTGAACAGTGCGACCGCTGGGTACCCGGCGGAAAATGCCCTTCTTCTCTGCCTTCTTTTCAAAGTACTTGAATGCCATAGCGAGGGGCAAGAACACAAACGGCATCACGATGCAGAAAATCCCATAACCCCAGCGCCAACCAAACTTCGCATATATCGAGTTTGCTGCCAGTCCACCGGTGAATGCAGTACAGATGAACGGAGTCTGCAAAAATCCAAAAGCGAACGCTCGGTTTCTCAGGCCGGAGGTATCGGCGACGAAGATATTCAAGATCAGGTATATGCAGTAGTACCCAATCCAGTAAAGCACATATCCCGCCGCATATCCATTGGGGCCATCACACGCCGTGAGGATGATCATTCCAAGGACATAGATTCCGGTTGAGACCACCAGGGCCTCAGCACGACCCCACAGGTTCAATGTCTTACCGAGCGGCAGCTTCAGAACACCGCCCACAACATTCGCGAGGATATAGGCGGTCGAGACCTGCGGTGCGGACCGGAAACCACCCTGTATGTAGTTGATCAGGAAGCCGCTTATATTCGAGTGAAAGGCCAACATAAACATGCAGACCCAGATCCTGAAATTGCAACCATTGTTAGATGGGTTTCATCGCAAGGGCATCGGAATGAATGGGCTGCGATTAATTACCAAGCATAGATTCCCACCAAAGCTGGCCAACCCCACGTGAGCGCCGCGGCTTCCGCCTTCTGTTGACCCAACTCCGCGCCCTCTGTGATACTATCGGGATGCTGGGCCAATTCCTTCTCGTCGTCGCACATATCTCCATGTGGGCTGTCCGATCTGGGCTGTGATTCGGGATCATATGATGACTTTTCGCCGTTGGCTACAAGTGCCTCGGGTTTCTCATTTTGCGAAATATATGATTCCTCCCCGATTATAGTCTCGTCGATGCTTTTGCCGTCATCACGACCCTCGGCAGTCTCGGGGAGACCCATAGCTGTAGGTACCCTTCAGTCCAGTCTCAGGATGCTTCAACAGAATGTCAGATCCTCAGTTGCTTCCGGGGAAGCTGTGTGAGGATAGACAATAATTGAGTCTTGAGTTCACTAGGAGGAAAGAAGGAACAGATCGGCGATGGAGGGGCTCATTCTCTATAATCTGGAATGATCGTGGCCCAGGAGGTTCCAGACCAGCAATCGAACCAGCACATCTCCAGTTTTCCTTTTTTTTTCGCGGAGGATCCGATGGGGTTGACGATCAGATAATCCCATCAAATCTGATAGAAGACCCAATCAGGGGTTGCCGTAGCGGACGATCATTCGCCATTCGCCCCTTGACCGTGTGGGGTCCTCAACCCTGATTGGTCAGTGATGGAGCTCTTCCTCCTATTTCAGACTAGTGGATTGTTGCCCCAAATGTCCAGGGTCGCAGTGCACGTCGCTTTTCCCTTCGCGCCTACTACCTACTTGATGCGGCATCCCGTTTGCGTCACCAATAGGCTGGATAGACATTACCCAATATTGTTGTATTTGAGTCATGGCATCATCTGTACTTTTTTTTTCTTTTTCCCCCTTACTACCCCCTGGGAAAGGCCATGCGCCCTGCCCCTTGCCTCTCTCCACGCGGTGTAGGAACAGAGCAAGGTGCTGGAAAGCTTAAATGCCAGAACCAAAAAAAATCAAGAGATTTTCCAGGCCAATTGATACTCATGAAACGAAACATTTTATCTATTGGCCGTGCATGAAGGATCCCTCCCAGAGCCTTGGAACTCGCTATATCTAATCAATTGATAGAACTAGATTCCCGTTAGCCACCTGGTCCAGGGCGCAATTTTAGTTTCACTCCATCTTATCTGATCATGATCAGGTGTGTGCAGCCAGAATCTATGACGCTGTCAATTCAAGCTTCCTCTGTTTCCATTTAACGTTCTCGCAAGCCAAGCCTCGCTAGGCAAGGTGTGCCTGCGGGATGCCCGAACTAGCAACTGGTTACTGCATGAACACCACCTGGTGGGGCCATGTCATATGCATGTATTTTCTCTCCAAGCGCTCGAGGCGCTTAGAAGTACCACGTAGTTGTCCTTTGTGACCGCGCATCAGAGCAAGAACCTTGTATCAGATGTGAGCGAAAAAGTATTGGGCGAATCAACAGTTATTTTGGGTCTGCGAGGATTGCGATCAATCAATCGAAGATCACTCGATCGCATCTAATCTGATCGCGAATTTGACTTTCACTAATTCCCCCGCATACATCCACCCATCGATGATGCCGTCCATTGCAGAGGATGCTACGACAGAGTATCCCTCGCCACTATGTGGAGTCTTGCCGATCCCATGATCCTGTCGGAAGACCCCTTCGGCCTACCTAAACAGTCTACCCGTTACTTTGCGCAATGTTTTCTACTAGATCGTTTCTCTACAAGTGACAAAAGATGTTTTCAGCAAACGTAATTGTGAGCTATACCTCTGCATCCACCAAAATATCTGAGTTGATTGGCAGGCATTCTAGAGATGATGATTTGGGAAACCTGAGCTTGTCGCCGCTATATTGCTAGATTTTCTTGCATGAGTAAATATCCCTAGATCAATGTCCAACCATAGCCTGATGCGCGGGTCCATATCTGTTACCATGTGGCTTAGCAGCATCGATGATTTGACGCATTGTTTTCTTTTCCTCCTCTGTCAATTCAATATCCCGAGATGCCCAGTTTTCTTCCAGACGGGTCGCCTTGGTCGTTCCCGGGATGGGAATCATTCCCTGGGAAATCACCCAAGCAATCGCAATTTGACTAATTTTGCATCCCTTCCGAACAGCAAGCTTCTTTATTTCTTCGACGATGGCTCGGTTCTGGTAGAAATTCTCGCCTTGGAATTTGGGAGCTGCGAAGAGTGATTATGTTAGCGACTATGTCCAATCTAGGGTTGGGAGCTTGGACACTGGACACATACAATTTCGGCGGAAATCGTCAGGGGCAAAGTCATCTGGGGATTTGTAATTGAAGTTATCGACGAGCCAGCCGTGTCCCAGTGGACTGTAGGCGACGTAAGCCACGCCAAGCTCCTTTGCTGTATCGATCAAGCCGTCTGTCTCGTGGATTGTCTCAAATGCTGAATATTCGGCTTGGACGGCGTCAATCTTGGCAACTATTGACAGTTAGTAACTTTACCGGAAGCTAGCTGGAAGGGAACGAACTTGAGTTTGCCTTGCGAAGTGTCGCCGCAGAACATTCGGAGAGTCCAATGTACTTAGTCTTTCCTGCCTTGCGAATTTCGTCAAGAGCAGGAATGGACTCGGTGAGGGGTGTATCTTATTCAATCAATAAACGTACTTCATAGAGGACAGGAGTTTGACTCACTAGGGTCAATCCGGTGGAGGTAGTACAAATCAGGCGCAAAGCCGAGTCTCTCGATAGTTCCTTCAATATACTCCTTGATATGGGAGGCGGAGTTGGTGACGGAGCCATCCCCTCCAAACACGTTGAACCCGCACTTAGAGGCAACTATTACCGATAGCAGTCAGTCTCAAAATCGATCTCTTGTCATGGCGTGGGATCTTACTGAAGACCTTATCACGGACGTTGTGCTTCCTTATGAAATCTCCCAAAAGCTTTTCGTTCACCCCCGCTTGATAAACAACAGCAGTATCCCAAAATGTACATCCCAATTCAATTGCCTTTAGAAGGACTGGCTCGGCTTCTTCGAGGCTAAGGTTGCTCCCCAAACCAAAGCTCAAACCCATGGCACCGAAGCCTGGTGTTGGGACCTGGATATCACCAAAGGGAAGTGTCTTAACCATGTTGAGTGAGTTCGACAATTTGGTAGAAAATTGTTAGATTATGTTGTATTATCAGTGGTAGGATGTGGCAGAGGGTTTGCTTTTATATCTTTTACATCACCATCACTCTAAAGCCCGGAATTAAGGCTTCTGGATCACCAAGTGGGTCATGCTGGCGTTACATGTCTTAACTCCGCTGACTTCAATTCCATTCTATGAAACCCCACATTTTCTTTACTTCTCCATTGTGTTGTGATGAATGGAATGATATAGCAATGGGATTACAAATCAAAATAACCGTAACTACAATTCTCTCCTAGAAACCTCAAATGCAGACGAATCAAGAAGGAAAAAGAGAAGAAAATGTTCAAGTTGGCCTACCATACTAGTCAAATGAGCTTCCAAATTACTTCTCTATTGCTTCTTGGCTGCAAGGAGATACTATGTTCAACATTCACGGATTCCAAAACGCTTAACTCCGAAGATTTTGTAGACGGGGCGTAATCAACTCCACAGTGACATCATACCATGTACTAAATACCAGAACGTGAGTGAACTACTACTCACAGGTGTTCACGGGAGTGTATGTGGCAGTCACAGATACATACGTTACTACTCTGCGAACTGGAGGGACCGAGTCAGCAGTCAAGACATGTTAGCTTTCAACGGCTGTATTAGCATCGACACATTGCCCCGGTGGGGGCTGTAAGCAGGATGCATTAGCGTCCTCGGGTTGAAGTCTAAATGATGTAGAATGCGATGTATATTGGAGACAGTCCATGCTGCCTAGGCAATTGACTACGCAGCCAAGTACAGTGCTAAGCAGGCTATAACACAATCGTCGGCCTTCAAAATGCCGTGGTTCCATTCATACGTATGAGTGTATATCGAGCAACCTGCGAAAAGGAGGCGATTGCATTGCCCAATATACCAATTACCGGGCATTCTATGCAGTGAAAGTCTATGTTAAACTACTAGTCTTTCGGAGCCACCTCATGCGTAGAAAGTTAGGCCCATTGCGGGCGCGCGAATATAAAGTGGCCGAGCCAAGATTGTGAACAAAAACCGAAAGATGAGTTACTCTCTAAAACCTACCCCCCATCGCCCGCATGAGGTCATTTCGGATGGTATGAAGTAAATCCCACCTAGGTAGTGTCGTGTCGATGAATACAGCTGTTTTAGCTATAAAATCCCTCTGTGGAGGCCTTCTCTCTTTCATCTCCACTGTCATTGCTTTGTTTGTTGAGACTTCCCCTGTGCAATCTGCAATCGTATCAGCAAAATACAGTCTAAATTGAAATTGAGATGGGCCAAGTGGAGCTTCTGACAATGATAAGGACCTATCACCTATGATACTCCTGCAATAAAAGAGTGGACTCCCTTGAGTACTCCTTCCGCTGTCATAGGAGCTGCCCATATTCTGATCATTGTCAGCAGCTCTACTTGGCCCATTTCAATTTTAATTTAGACTTTGTTTTGCTTGAGACCCATTTTTAGGATATATGGAAATAATAATGAGAGGTTCTGCCGCCTTACCACCGCAAGCTCTTCTGTTCGTAAGTAAAGGCTCGGAGGGTTCGAGCAGATTCGAGCGTCAACGGACAGCAAAGTGGTCATGATATTGCATTGAAATTCCTCTTCACTGTTGATCTTTGTGGGTTCCATCGCTTTGGGTGTGATAGGATTGATCCCCACCTCTGTGTAGAGCAATGACTCAACAGGAATTCCAAATTGTGTTCCGTAACAAAACCTTCGCATAGCAAGTTGAAGATGGACAAAATAAAATTTGCAATAAGCATGGCTTGGGTAATGAATAACGTGAAGAGGATAGATCTCTGAGGCAATGTACGCTTTGATCTAGAGACTCGACACAGGCTGGAACTTTTAAACTAGGACCTGGTAAAGACACTTTTTGCCAAGGATGAAGTCGTAGGCAAGCATGTTGGCTTTTGCTTACCCATCTCTAAGTATCTTGGTGGGGTGGTGCACCCCACGTCAAATCGGAAATGCTGTAGTCTGGCGACAGTTCAGAAGCGGTGAATTCACATGTAGATGGTCATGGTCAGAGAAAAGGGGACAGTAGGCTCTATTCTCAGGGAATTGAAAGTCGAATATTCCAAAGAAGTAGTATGTATGAAGACGATATTGTGACGCGGTGATCATAGTGCCAAGTGACGCTAAAGTTAAAGTTGGATAGAGAGTGGATCACATGGTCCACATCAAATTTCAATGTGGGAAAAATAAAGCCACGGTAGGTCGTAAGAAAGCCGAGACAAGAGCTTGATATATGCATCCTCAGTAGGGTTTCTAGTGCGGCCGTTTGAGAGGGTCTGGAGAGCAGTGTCACCGAGGGAAGGCGGCATATGATGGTTGAATAATGACAGACAAGCAAAGTCGACTGGTGATAAATGCTCAGAGATCATCCACAACAGCTCAACTGGACGGTTAGTCAAGTTTGTTAGGTTTTTGGATGATCATCCTAGCTGCGCAAAGTATCAACCCCAATTGTCACTCTAGATCTGAGATTTTAGACTGATCGACTCAAAATGGAGAAGAAAAGGTCTTTACATAATGACACATACTGAGGGAGGAAAATGAAATAAGTGTGATCACTAGTGCTATCCCAATGGAGAAAGAATGTTGAGATGAGAAAGATCAAGGCAAGTTAGGTATTGTGGCCAACTACGTATTACCATCATGAGAAATGGCAGTTAAGCCGTGCGCTCGCAGTGTTATTTGGATGTCAGGTTGAGTTCCGACGTCAAATTACCGTAATTGATCGACCAGTTTATTGCCGTTTTAAGGTAGCCTTGGCCCTTTAGCTTTAGCGGTCCAAGACGTCCCTTGCTCCAATGCTCCTGGCATAATGAAGACCCGTCTTCAAGTGCCTCTAGCTACAACTCATTTCCGTTGATACCTCGAGGCCTGAAAGAGACTTGTTGCCCTTGGAAATGACAAAACGAATTTTAAAATAGGCTTTGACAGGGCATATTGGCTTCGGAATACATTGACCCCGCACGTGAACGTCGTCCTGGCATACAGCACTAACACCATTTAGGCTGTCGATCGCACGAACAATGCGACGTTACAACGCGGTGATATGAAAGATACCCTCCTTGCAGGAGAGAAGACTCTCTTTCCTTCTTATTATATGCATTTATGCGCTTCACAGCCTAAACATACAAACCCAACGCGTCACTACGCGTGTCCCAATCCTCACATTCCAGAACGACATGTTGATTCTGCAGAAAAACATTTTGTACGGTCTTCTATTGCTCCAATGGGCCCTGGGTACAGTAGCAACCCAGGATGACCTCCGCTATGTCGATCCCCTGATCGGTTCTACCAATGGAGGCAATGTCTTCGCAGGCGCAAGCCTCCCCTATGGCATGGCAAAACCTGTCGCCGATGTCGACGGCGAGAATACCGGAGGTTTCTCGACAGACGGTAGTAATGTTACCGGCTTCTCGCATATGCATGACAGTGGTACAGGCGGAAACCCGTCTATGGGAAATTTTCCTCTGTTCCCACAATACTGCAAAGACAATATTGTGGATAATTGCAAGTTTCCCAAAGCCGCTCGCGCGGTTCACTACAAGAATGACTCCGTAGTTGCCCAGCCTGGCTACTTTGCCTTGACACTCGAGAATGGCATTAAGGCTGAGATGACTGCGGCCCGACGCACGGCGCTGTACCGTTTCACTTTCCCAAAGGGGCAAACGGCAGATGGAAATGATTTGAACCCGTTAATCTCGGTGGATTTAACTGATCTGTGGGATAGTCGACAGAATGCTTCCATTAGTCTTGATGCTGATAGAGCTAGAATCAAAGGCAATGGTACTTTCTTGCCGAGCTTTGGAGCTGGCTCATACAAATCGTATTTCTGTGCTGATTTTGGGGACACTATTGATGTCGATGACAGCGGAATATGGGTCAACGATCGAGCTGGATCAGTACAAGAGCTGTTTGTCACTCGCGGCTTCAACAACTTTTATCTTCAAGCTGGAGGCTATATGGCCTTCGATCGTCCGGAAAATGGAATCGTGACGGTGAGGGTTGGCGTCAGCTTCATCAGCTCAGATCAAGCTTGCAAAAATGCCGAAGCGGAGGTGCCTAAGCCAGAAAGTGCCTTTGATAATCTACGCAAAAGTGCCGAGGCTGCATGGAAGGAAAAGCTCAGTCCTATCAAGGTCACGTCAGGGGGTGCTAGCAATGACATGGTCCGCAGTTTCTGGAGTGGTATCTACCGAACCATGTTGTCACCTCAAGATTTGACTGGGGAGAATCCACTGTGGAAAAGTAATGAGCCATACTTTGACTCCTTCTACTGCTTGTGGGACGCTTTTAGGTCACAGCATCCGTTCCTCACAGTCATCGACCCAAAGGCGCAGTCGAAGATGGTCCGTAGCTTGCTGGACACCTTCAAGCACGAAGGATGGCTGCCCGATTGCCGCATGAGCCTCTGCAAAGGCTGGACGCAGGGAGGCTCCAATGCCGACATTGTTCTTGCAGATGCCTACGTGAAGAACCTGACTGGTATCAACTGGGAACTTGCCTACAAAGCTATGGTTAACAATGCCGAAAATGAGCCACTCGAATGGTCATATGAAGGACGAGGGGGTCTGCAGAGCTGGAAACACCTCAACTACATCCCATACCTGGACTTTGACTATATTGGCTTTGGGACCAATTCACGGAGCATCTCGCGAACGGTTGAGTACGCATACAATGACTATGCCCTATCGGTCGTGGGCAAAGGCCTCGGCAAACAGGATTACACAACTTATTTGTCTCGGTCTGGCAACTGGCAAAACTTATACAAAAAAGATCAGAAATCGCTGCTGGGAAATGGAACAGATACTGGTTTTACCGGATTCTTTCAGCCGAAATATATGAACGGAACCTGGGGTTATCAGGACCCTATTGCCTGCAGTGCTCTGGCATCGTGGTGCTCCCTCACTTCGAACCCCTCAGAGACGTTCGAATCCAGCATCTGGGAGTATCTTTTGTGCGTATATCTT